TTAGGAAATAATTTTACTAAAATACTTTATTTATATTCTAACTTTTTTTTAAAGAAATAAAGCTATTAAGAAATATACCATTTTAAAAAAATATTTATTAAAATATTTAATTTTACTAGTCTTAAGATTTTTAAAAAAATTATAAAGTTTTATTTTTAAAAAATTAAGTATAGCTATTTTTAGTTTTTTTTATTTAAATACTAGATATTTTAGTAATTTACTAAATAAATAGTTTAGTATAAAGTTAATAATAAAAAGCGTTAAATAAATATCTAAAATAATTAGATTAAGTAGCTATATATTTTAGTAGGCGAAACGTAAAATAAAAATAAATAAATAAAACTATACTCTTAAGTAGTTTTTTTCTTATCTCCGCTCTACTATTCTAAATTAGAAGTAAAATAAAATAAAATAATTACTTCTCTTATTAATATAATAGTTTTTAAGAAAGAATAGCTAAAGAATTAAATTAATAAATAAAAAGTTATCTCTTCCGGTCTATAGATTTAAGGCTACCTCTAAGGCTACCTCTAAGTATCTTATCGTAGCTTATCTATTAGCTAAAAAACTTAATACTATCGAATATCTCTTAATCGGGACTAAGAATAGTAAGAACTAAGCCCGATTAAGTAAGCGCTAAGCTACTCGAAGGTGGCCTCGGAGGTAGCCTCGAATTTATAGGCCGGAAGAGATATAATTCTTATAAAAGAAGACTCTACGAGAGGACTTCTATTTATAGATAAATTATATAACGTTACGTAACGTTACGCGAGTTACTAGAGTAACTTATAGGGCGGATCGTAATATTAGAGTATATAATCTTTCTAATATAATCTTACGATTGTGCTATAATAAAGCCAAACTCTAGAGGCAGTAAATACTTACTAGTACACGAAGGGATTCGCTGAATCACTCGCTTCCCCTTAAGGCCGTCCGTACTAGTAGCCATAACGTGTCTGACGGTGTAATGGGTTTGACGGTGTAATGGGTTAGCCAACGAGATTCTGTGACGGCACTCGTGGAATTCTTCGGTCGTCAACAAGAGGCGACTCAATGTAGCCTCATAACTGGATAACCCATTAGACCATCAAACCCGTTACACCGTCGAACACGTTAGCGATAGGGCTCTACCCGCTGCTTTTTTCAAACAAGCTGAGAATTTGCTGCGGATAACGTAGCTCCGATGCACCGCCCAAAAACTGCTAAACAACTCTAATTTCAGACTTACTAGTAAACGACACATGATAACACATATTAAATCAACACATCAATAGAGCTAAACGGTAACTGAAACTCGCAAGGATTGTTCGATTATATGGTATCATTCCTTGATTCAATGTAACTTGCTTGACCCTCCGTCGAACTCCATATGCCGTATGATACAACAAAGCCCATAACCCAGCCAGACCCATCCGGCAAAAAAGGCTTCATATCGTGCCTAGCCAGGCCGATGTAGAAGATTCGTGAAAACATGGAAAAAAGAGAAGTCGCTTAACCACCGAAACCGTAGAGGGTGCGGCCTTGCCTCTTGAGGGCGTAGACAACATCGAGCGAGGTAACGGTCTTGCGCTTGGCGTGCTCGGTGTAGGTGACGGCGTCACGGATGACACCCTCAAGGAAGGTCTTCAAAACACCGCGGGTCTCCTCGTAGATCACTAAGGAGTGTAAGCAGAGGCTCAACAACAGACAAGAGGCGACACATACTGGCAGAGATACGCTTGACACCACCACGACGAGCGAGACGGCGGATAGCGGGCTTGGTGATACCCTGGATGTTGTCGCGCAAGATCTTCCTGTGACGCTTGGCACCGCCCTTGCCAAGGCCCTTGCCACCCTTGCCACCTGAAGAAGGTCAGTACGGAAGCCGTTGGGAGTGCAGCGGGGAGAGTGGAGACGCACGGCCAGTCATGATTGAGATTGAGTGAGTGGGTTCGAAAGTGTGGGGTTGAAGTGAGCGTGGAGACGCGAGTGGTGGTTGGTCGAATGTGGTCGAGGCAAAGGGGATGAGCGGCGCTATGCGCATTTATCAAATGCGGCGGAACAACGCGTTGGCGCGCTCATCAACATCAACATGGGCGGGCGGGCAGGTGCAGGGGCCAGCGGAGCCGCGGGCGCGGGCGTCATCGCTCGCTAAGGTGATCTTGCAGCGGGCCCTGTTCCGGCTTAGCGCGATTTTTGTATTTTCAGCCAATCGCGGTTGCGCCAGCAATCGCTCTGAATCCAGCACTTGGTAAGGCCGTTCAAAGCGCGCTAAAATCGGCAGCGGAAACAGTCAGGGCGCCGCTGCCTGATCATCCGCCGCCCGCCCGCCTTCCATATAAGCGCCTCTCCCACTCCCGCTCCTCCAACTCCTAACAACACTCATCGGCGACTCCACCCGTCATCGACAACTCCACATCTCCATCCACACAGCCCATCGCAACACCGCGCATCGACCGCAACGATGGCCCGCACCAAGCAAACTGCCCGTAAGTGCCCCCACACCCCCCATCGTCGGCGTGCCGTTGTTGCACGCGTGTCGGTCGCGTTTCGCCCGGTCGCGCACTGCAACAACATCGCCACCTCACCTCACATTACACGTCGCTGACTCATCAGCATAGGCAAGTCCACTGGTGGCAAGGCGCCCCGCAAGGCTCTCGCCTCCAAGGCCGCCCGCAAGTCGGCCCCCTCTACCGGTGGTGTCAAGAAGCCCCACCGCTACAAGCCCGGCACGGTCGCTCTTCGTGAGATCCGTCGCTACCAGAAGTCGACTGAGCTCCTGATCCGCAAGCTCCCGTTCCAGCGCCTGGTCCGTGAGATTGCCCAGGACTTCAAGTCGGATCTCCGCTTCCAGTCGTCGGCCATTGGTGCTCTCCAGGAGTCTGTTGAGGCTTACCTCGTCTCCCTCTTCGAGGACACGAACCTGTGCGCCATCCACGCCAAGCGTGTCACTATCCGTAAGCTGCCTTGTTCATCCTCACTCTCACGTTCGGCTGCTAACATGTCGTTGCAGAGTCCAAGGACATCCAGCTGGCCCGCCGTCTTCGTGGCGAGCGCTCTTAGAGAGCTTATTTCTTCGCGTCACTCCCAGATACCACAAGTCGATGGCTAGTTCCATTCGACGGGGACAGTGATTGCTCTCTGGTTTTGCGGACGGATGCCTGGCGTTATAGGAAATGCTTTTCAAATCAAATGGATGATGGGCTGGGGTTTCTGGCTTTTTCAGTGGAGCATGGGATGGTAGCCCACAGCGATGCTTGTACATTAATACCACGGGCATTGAGATGATCTCATGAAAGTCTTCAAGACATCGATTCTTGCCATCAGTTCCCTCGATGAAAGTGATTTCTGCGCGCAACCCTGAAAACAACGGACGCCATGCCTCAACTGTGGGCTCGCGCCTACTTCTTTATACCGTCGTGTCTATTATTTACATATACATCTATGCCCGGACGTTAAGCAAGCTCAGGCTGCGGAAGACGTAAGCGCTGGTCTCGCTGCTTTTCATGATCGGCCTTTTCCTGGGCCGCGGCCCGTTGGTTGAGGAGGGTCAGCCAACTCTGCCAACCGATTGCGATGAAGCCTTGAATGGGTTAGTCATATGTGTGGCAACTACTGGGGAAGCGTCGTTCTTACCTGCAAATATGCTTCGAAACTGTGGTGGAATGAAGGTGAAGCTGAAGGCAGTAACGGCAGGCCAGACTGGCTCTTGGTCAGCATCACAGTTCTAACCGAGCGTGGGGTGGAGGGGAGGGGGGCCCAACGTTTGCATGAGTTCACCCATGAAATGGGGACGGCGATTTTGATCCTCTCGACAAGTTCTTCAAAAGTTGCGCCGCTCAACAAAGAATGCATGGAGAAGAAATAAGTGTTGAAGAGCGGGGTGAACACCAGCTGATTCACAACTATTTTGGTGGCCAGACTCAGCAGCTTCGAGCTGTAATTAAAAGACTGACCCAGGAACATGAACCACCGATAATTGGGAATGGACGTAAGACTGCCGATGAAAACGGAACGTAGCGCTCTAGTCGGCGAGTATGAGTCTTCCTCAGAAGCAGAAATCATCTGGGCAGAGAGATCGCCAAAGAACCATATCTGCAGCGACGGGTCAGCGTGGCGTTTCGGCTGAGGGTGGGGAGCGTACCGTGATGGTGCTTAGCAACTGAACGACATAGGGACGGCGGGCCTGTGCTCGACTGTAGGCACGGAAGGGCCTTCCCACGGGTTCAAGCCACACCCACGACGGTCCTTGAATGGTTATGGTCTTTGGCTCCCGTTCAGGAGGCTCCTCCAGAGACTTGGTCTTTGTACATTTGCGTCGGATGCCTGCAGGACGGCCTGCGGCACGCGGGAACAGGGAGCCGCGCCGGAGGAGCACACGGACAGACGCTGTGGGAGTCATGGTCTTGGGCATGTAAAACCAGACGGCATTTTCGGGGTGAAGATTGAGGTATTTCAGCCCGGCGGCGGCGATCAGCGGGCGCGGGTGGACCACGGCGGGAACGTGAGCTTACGAAAAAGATTTGAGCCCCTCTGGAACCCGTCACGGACGCTACATTCTGGCTGTGGCTTTCGAGCTTTTAATGTCTGGACGGATCTGTACGCGTCTCCGCCCCAAATCCACGCTCGCCTGTTGGATTCAGCTCCGTACACAATTGTTTTGAACCCCGCTGTGGTACGTGCCGGCCTTGAGGCCGAGGCCGAAGCCGCGGAGCCGAGACTCAGGGAGTGCCGCACCCATCCATAGCGTCACAAGGCGCCTGCCTCCGGCCGGGACGGACGCGGTCGCGTCGAGGCGCACAGGTCGCGCGTCTATGACGCCGCCACCAACATGACTCTGACCATGGCCAACAATGGCCACCCGTGCATCGCCGCTTGCGAGTCCGGCCAGCGAATCCGACTATGGCAGCGACTTGGATAGCGAGGTGGTGCTTCAAGCCCTCTCTGAACTGGAATCCGCGCCCGTAGCGTCCTTGGCCTTGGAAAGCATCCGTGATGATGCGCTTCACGCTGCCGCCGTCCGCCTTCCAGTCCTGCTTTCATCCGACCCAGGCGGGAAGTCGCCGCCTCTGTCGCCGAAACATATCGAGATCGGCTACAGCCCGGGCCCAGGGGATGGTAAGAAGCGCCTCAACTTCGCTGCGCAAACGCTGACGTGCTGACAGCGCCTAGATGCCCGGAAGGAAGACCTTGCGGAGCCTTCTCTCGTGGAGCCAAAGCCAAATCGCCACACCGCTCTCGATGAGAGGTCTCCGCTGGAGCGCTTTCGAACCTCGCCCAAGAAGCCGCTTTCCGTTACCGACATGGTTTCTCCAGCGTGGTGCGAGCTGCAATACTGGTACACGCTGACGAAGCATGGCCGGAAGAGACGGACTTCTGCCATGAAGCAAGGCTCCAAAGTCCACAAACAGCTCGAGGATCAGGTGCACAGAAAGGTTGAAGTCGCGGTAAAGTCAAGAGAGGATGCCTGGGGCCTAAAGATCTGGAACATCATCCAGGGTTTGCGAATTTTGAGACAGACGGGCCAAACGCGCGAGCTCGAGGTGTGGGGAGTCATTGACGGCCAAGTCATAAATGGCATCATCGACGAACTATCCTACAGGTGCTCGGATGAAGCGCTAGAGGAGCTTGCTCTTGCTCGACTCAATAGGCTAAAGAGCCAGCCAGCCAGCCAGACGTCCATCCCGCAGTTTTTCCAGGCCCAAGGTGCAGTCGATCTTGAACCGAAAAGCTGGACTGACGAAGCGCACCAGCAGAGGAAGGTCTGGATAACCGATGTCAAGACCCGAGGCAGCAAGACTCTTCCGCAAGGCTCATTGATGAGACCCACAACCATGCAGTTGATGATGTATCGAAAGCTTCTAGCAGAGCTGGCAGCCAACCTGGTTGATGCAGAAACCATATTCAAGCGATACCGGCTTCGGTCAAGCGAAAACTTCACCGATGCATTTGTGGCGGAAATGGCTGGCCTGGACTCCAATTCTCAAGACGATCATGACGCCCTCTTGAGCAGCCAGGGGGGCGCCGTTTCGCAGTTGTTGGCTCACAACTCGCTCTTAAAGCTTTGGGGCTTGATGATCGAGGAGTTTCACAGGACAATTCCAGGGCCTGGCGCTATTGGCCAGGTTCTTCGGGCTGAATTTCGCCACCAGCAAACCGGTGACATCCTCGGATCAAAGACACTTGTATACGATGAGAGCACGCTGGACATCTATCTCGGAGAGGAGATGAGGTGGTGGCGTGGCGAGCGGAAAGCGAAAGGCGTTGATATCGAAGAAGCCTTCAAGTGTCGCACCTGCGAATTTGCAGAAGAGTGCGGATGGCGGAAAGACAAGGTAGAAGAAGCTACAGACAACCACCGCAAGAAAAGGGCAGTCAGGTCGAAATCGGCGGTCTGAGAGGAGCGTGCATTCAGGCAAGGAAAGGCTGTCGCTGAACAGCTAGACCGTTGCACTTTAGAGGGTTGTTATGCTTGCAATTGCAGGATCGTAACGGCAACAGTTTAGTTCTCTGCCAGAATAGCATGCGCCAATACCTCAGTCTCAAGTGTGTTCCCATCATCACCAATGTGCAACCGCTCTGGCTGCTCAGTCTCAGGTCTCTGTTCCTGCGATAATTAATTTGGCATAAGAAATTGCACCGGCCATGGTATTTTAGGCGCTTTGAAACACCCAGGAAGAAATTGATCGAAGTAGAGCAAAGAAGCGCGGCACATCAACCTTAAATGCGTAGGTGTTGCAGCGGGTTTCGATTTATAGATCAGTAGGGTGGTCTCCTGTTCACCGTTTCAGCGAATCTTCAGCCGGTTACCCATGAGACGTGTTGCCGCGGCGGCTAATTTCCGTTGGCGAACACCATGGGGTCGACTGACCTGTATCCACCCGAGTCGCGCCTGCTCCGATGGCGCCTGGGCGGGCTGTGCTCCTCAATGACCTCCACAATGTCGTCGCCATCGACTCTTCGCTCAGCGCTGATGCGCTCCTCGACCAGCACAGAGCGACTGCGCGGGCGCGGCTGCGGGGGCGGAGGTGGAGGCCCGCTTGTGCGGCGCTCTTCGACAATGATGTGCGGGTGTGGACGCGGACTCCTGCTGATTTCTCGTATCTCATGCTCATGCCTGGAGGTGCGGCGGCTGCGGCGGGAGCGAGGGGAGCGAGGAGGGCGTTCGCGCACAACAACCTCCTCTTCGCCGGCGATGGCGTTGCGGCTCCCGAGGTTGGCAACAGTGAGAAGCAGCCAGGCGATGAGTAAGAAGCCGGCGACGGAGCCCAAGACGATGCCAACGACGGCTCCTGGGGCAGGCCCAGAATTGAGACCCTGATACGAGAGGGGAATGTAGCCGCCGCTCGAATCGTAGGCCTGGCGCGTGATGAGATGGCTGTACGAGTTGGCGGGAAGCGGATCACTGGTGGGAATAGAGCGCGACTCGAAGGCGGCGGCGTCGAGTGTGACTCCGTTGGGAGCTTGGGCGTGTGGTATCGCTGGCATCGTTGCGCATGCAGGCGTCCTCTGCTATCGCGGGTCCTTGGAAGGCGTGGAGTCCGGACTTTCGACGCAGAGGATGCAAGCGGTATCGCACGGATTGGCGAAGGCAGCAGCGGCGGGCGGAGGAAGCAAGTGCCGGCGCTGCAGTGACGCAATGCCTGGTGGCTGGGAGCTGCGAAAAGCGTGGCTGTAGCAGCATCCCACCATCCTGTTTCGTCCGGCTCAAGCAGGCTTGGGTACGCGGTAACAATAGAGCAGTATCTGGACCCACGTGGATTGCAACAACATGCGCCCTCTGTGCCCCACAAAGGACACCGCGTTTTCCCTACGCGCACAGTTGCAGTAGAAACCTAGACGTAGACGCGAGTTCTCAGACCGTACAAATGTGTCCAGACATTGCCATGTAAGTTTTGAGGGAGACAGGTGCAGGTGGGCTCAACTCTTGCAACCCGCCACAGTGGGTTGAAAGCTGCACCTACGATCTTCCTTCCCGCCTCCGGATCGGCCCCGTCTCCGCAGGAACAGCACTGACCTCTGGCGTCGCCGATCCTGCCCTACCCTCCGCCACGGTGCTGTGGTCTTTCCTGACCCACTCGCAGCATTCTCTACGCATGACTTCCTACATGAAGCTTCGTTCTCCAGGCAAGTTTTGATCTCTCGCCGTTCTGCTTGGGAGCCCGCGCCCCACAAGCAAGCTGTCTCCCAAGCAAGCTGTCTCCCAAGCGTCCGTGCATAGCAGTAGCATCAGAAAGCCAATGGAAAGCAAGTGCACAGATGCCTCCAAAGGCAGTTTTGGAGCACTCTGCATGTAGAGAGCAGACGCAGCCCAGGCGCGACACGGAGGGAACCGTCCACGGATGAGAACGGCAGGGCCCGTGCCTTCGAGTTGGCTGAGAAGTTGGACCAGGTTCAATCTATCTCTGTTTGCTCGTTCGAGGAGCGACCGCCGAAGGTGGCGGCATCCTCGCGGAGTCGAGAACGGCTGGTGGATGCACAACAGCAGTAGTACTCGAATGATTATTAGCAAAACCTCTTTGCGATTGCGGGGACGTGTCGACACGGGCGTTGTAGCAGCGGTACTCTAACTTCCGCAGTGGCGTGGGGCTACGGGCCAGGGTAGAAGTACAAGCCACGGGTCCAAAGTCAGGGGGTGTTCGTCTGGAGGATTGAGGAGGTGGCACGAGAGGAGATGATGGCTATGAACTGCCGGCGCCCGCTAAGGCCACAATGGCCGCGCTGGCTTGGCACGCGTCTAGGTGCTTGGCCCCGCACCGCCAGCCCGAGAGGCAACCCAGCAATAATAATGTTGTGAGCGCCCGTCTGTGGACAGCGAGACGAACAGCGGCCGGCTGGCCCTGCACATGTCGCGCGGAACCACGGCTCGTCGCTGGGCTTGGCGGAGAGATGGCACCACGGCGCATGCGGAGCAGCCGGGCCCAAGAGCTGCTTGACCGCAAGCGGCTAGTGGCACGCGCATTCCATGTCCGCTCCGCCGCAATGCCGAGAGATTGTAACACTCCCCCCAACTTGCGACACATTAGGTCGCCGCTGGCCACTTCTCCCTGTGCTATCTTTCTTGACGCTCTTTGCTACTCTTACCTGCCTCTGATCGTTGTTCTCCTCCTGGTGTCGCCGCCGCTACTTCCCGCTTCTATCGCAGCCTTAGCAACGACTGAGCTCTCTGGCATTCTCGGCTCCACCACATCCGTAGCAGCGCCTCGCATCCCGGTCACAACTCTGGACCTATCTTTTCTGCAGCACACCGTTAATACAGAGCCGCAATGTCGCAAAAATTTGTGCGCAATCTCGCATCCCCCTTTGTCTGGCAAGAGCATTATTGTTGATTGTGAACAGGACACTCCGCCCCCTGGCTATCCGCAGCAGCCGCCGCCAGCTGCTTATGGTCCGCCTCCACCCTCCGACTACTCAACACCCCCGCCTCAGGGAGCTTATGGTTCGCCGGCCCCCCAGGGATATTATGGAGCACCTCCGCCTCAAGGATACTATCCTCCCGATCAGCAGCAGATGTACGGCCCGCCGCCGGGCCAGATGCAGTACCAGCAAGGATACCCGCCCCAGCAAGGATACCCGCCCCAACAAGGATACCCGCCCCAAACAGTGTACGTGGAGGAGAAGAAGAGCGGATCTGATGGCATTTTCACCGGACTATTAGCGGGTCTGGCTTGTTGCTGCTGCTTGGATTGTTTGTTCTAGACCAGGAGGGAACGACATGAACGCCCAAATGAACAGTTTGGCTGCGAGTATGACGCGACGGTGGACTTGGAGTTGGCGAAATCACTACTACGTTTCGGCCGGCGCGCCGGAGTCGATGATCCTAAACATTTCTTTCAACAAACTAATTGGACGAGAGGTTGGAATCCTTTTGATAACCTGTAATGTCATTGCTGCAGCCGAACAGAGATTCCCGGCCTCCTATTACGCCAGCTGCTCCAAACTCCGGACGCCATTGAATGCTATCTGTGTGTCTGGAACGCGAACCCTAAGAGACATCCATCTTTTCACCTGGCGTGTTTTCTTCCGCTTCGCCCTCTTCCATTTCGCTCTCATTCCCAACTTCTCCAGACTCAGTCATGTCGGCGTCTCGCTCTCTGCTGCCGTTTTGGCTGTCGTCATCCCTCCTGGCGGGGCTGGCGGCACCTCCAAAGCTGGCAGCCGGGCTTGGGGCTGAAAGTAAGCCCTTCTGAACGGCAAGTTGGCTTGTTTGGGCGGGATTTGGCGTTTGTCCCCCGACATCTGGCCGCGGAGTGCCGACAGCACTTGTCTCCCCCTTCGCGCTGCTGCCCTCAGCTCCTTCGTCCAGACCTTCTTCACCTCCCTCCATACCCTCCTTGCGCTCGGCCTCTTCTTTTTCGTCCCGGATGAGTCGGAGCATCTGGCGGCCTTCCTCAACAATCCTGCCAAATTGCTCTCTCCTCTCCGCCCACGTCTGGGCGTAGACCCTGCTCTCTTGCTCCAGCTCGGCGATCTCAGACTCCAACTTGTGAAGCTGCGTGGTTTGGTCTTCGCGCGGACGCAACATGCGGTTGCTCGTTATACGCTCGGCCAACTCGTCGTACGTTTTTCTGCGGGCCAAGGTCGCACGTGCCGCGTCCAACTGGAGCCGGAGCGACGCAGTGCTGCCACGAATTGCGGCGGCTGTTGCCTCGATCTTGGCCTTCTCCGCAGCATAGCGCTTTCTCTCAGCTTCATTGCTGTTGCGCAGCAGCTGTATGCGGACAATGCTGTCGGCTAGAGCGCCAAAGTCGAGAAGCATGTCGGTGCGCCAAGCCTCGCGCTCGGCGGCCTGGCTCGCGCGGGCGGCGTCGTAGTCCTCATCGGCCGAAGTAGCATCTGGCGGAGGAGTCGGTAAGGCGGCAGGAGGGGCGTAAACGGGCGAGTCGGGCGTGAGGAGACGTTTGGTTATGCGCTGGAAGGGCCGCTCTTCGATGCGCAGCAGTCGCGATTTGTGGATTTGATCTGCGTGGTGTCAGAAGCTGTCAATGGCGCGGCGGGAGCGTGGCACACATACCCTCGTTGCCCTGGTCGAGCAGGCCATAATCTTGCGACGACATGGTGGAAGTACCTGGGTAAGAGTGGATGGAAGCTGCAGTCGCGCAGGTCTGCAGCCGCCCGGAAGAACGTCGGCAGGCGGCCGCCCATTATTTAAAGACGTCAGGCTGGGAGCAGTGGTCACCCGCCTCCTTTGACCTCCCGTCCTGCCTGCTTGGCCGTCAAAGGTCTTGTGCCCGCGCTGTCCACCTTCTGCTGCAGCCCTCTGACACGCGCTTCTTAAAACTCACTCTGACCCGCCAGGTTGCAACGTTGCCCTTCCGCGCCCGCACGCGGCTTCCATATGGAGCTTGCTGCCGCACTCGGCCGCGAACTCCGCCTGCGCCACAGAGCTACGACCCTTTGAACCTTTGCTTCCACCAGACTCGAGTACCCTCCCGACGGATCCCACCCCGGCAGCCATCATGCCCGCCCCCTCCTTGCTGGAAATGGTCAAGCGGCGCTTGCAGCGCAGCGTGGACCTCGTCGTTGACGTTGGCGACATCCCGTTCCATGTGCTGGAATCCGTCTTAAAGAAAATTGAGAACCCCAAGCAGCTCCGCGACATCGAGGCCAGCAGCCCACACATTGCCGAGGACACAGGGCCGTTGTGGCTCAACTTTATCAAACGCGACATACAGAATTGGGAGCAGAAGCCACACAGGCCGCGGAACCCCACCATGTGGTGCAAGGTCTACTACAAGCTCCGGCGCGAGCAGGAGGAGGAGATAGTTCAGCAGCAAGATGCCTTAAAGGCTGCTCTGGCCAAGACGGAACAAGAGCGCAAAAAGAACACCAGCACCCTACTCAACCGCGCTTTCGACCCCGTCCAGCATCGCCGCACACATGCAACATCGGGCCCGTCAGTGATGAAGGATCCGCGCAACTATACTTACATGCCTGGAGGGCCGAAGAAGAAGCTTACTGGTCGCGGCATCATCGCTCAGATTCAGCATAAGGCTCAGGCCAGCTTGACGGCCAAGAAAAATACCTCATTGATGAATGTGCCGACCCATCTCCTCAGCAGCCGAACCAAAACGATGGCCGCTCCAAAGAGCATGGTGGCGGAGAAGAGCAGGGCACCGCAGCCCATTGATCGGGGGAAGCAAGCGCCGTCTAGGAGTTCCCTGCCGGCACGTCCAGCACCTACGCCCGGCGACTCGATCCGAAGGCAGAGGGAAGAGGCGGAAGCGAGACTGAGGGCGCTAACGACTGGGACTGCTCCTCCTACCTCAACGAGGAAGACAGAAGGGACGAATGGTAACGGGGGAATGAGAGCTCCAGCGAGCGCTCCAGCAGCCGGAAGTGTTGCGCGACCCTTGAAACGGAAGGCGGAGATCAACTGTCTGATGCCACCGAAGAAAAAGTAGGAATTTTGCGCTTGGAATTTTCATTTCGGACAAGCATGGTGTTGGGGGAATCTCAATCATTCAAGGGCCAATGATGGCATGGCGAACTACTTTGGCGCAATGGGAAGGGATACCCCAATTTCGAAGGATTAGAGTGGCGTTTACAGAATTTCCAGGATAGAGTAGAGATAGAACAAATGTCATGGACGTTGTTCGGTTAGACCAAGATCGGAGAGAGAGTAGACCTGCCATGTTTTGTGGCGATTCTCTATCTAAATATATGGATTGCGCTCACTGTCCGTGATCGTGCATGACTGGAACATGACCTAGTTCGAAGGTCGCCCTTGGCGCGAGTCGGAGCCGATGCAGAGCCTGCACCGAAAGATTCCTGGTAGCGTCGTCTTCCTCCAAGAGCTCATGTGGTCCATCCTAGGCTTTTTATCGCCAACAAGACAGGGCTTCATGCGGCGCCGCCGCGCAGGGCAAGGACAAGGTGGAGAGTGGCGCCGCCCTCAAGGTTGTACTCAGCAGCCGTTTTATCGTCGCTCCTGCACCGAACAGGGACCGTTAGCCGCGAAGAGGTGGGCATGTGGGCGAAGTCACGCACATTTGCTTGCCGCCGAAGATCAGACGCTGCTGGACCGGGGGTATGCCCTCCTTCTCTTCAACACGCTCCTTTATGCGCGAGACCTGGGAGAGCAGCAGCATCAGCGGGGCATCGCACTCGGTAGGTATGTCACGGCGGTACCTTGTAGTCGGGCTCGATGTCGAGCTCGATTTCCTTGCCGGTCAGCGTGCGCACCCTGTTGGCGCGGTTAGCCAGCGTAGTGGGGGCGGGGCAGCGACCTACTTGATCTGCATGGTGCTGGCGATGTCGAGAGGTGTCTGTGTGCTATAGGCGAGGACGAGCGGGCGCGTGCAGCGGGCGCGACAGCAGGGAGTCCGGGTGTGGTGGCAGGTGTTGCGGCAGGAGAGGCGGCGGATGTTTGAATGGTTGTTTGAGCGCAGACAGGCTGCCACTGCGGCGCGCACGTCAGGTTGTCCGAGCGTCAATGCCTGGCGGGGCGCCTCCGCTCGCTCTCCGCTTAGCCATTCGCCCGCCACCTCCGCCGACCATCCACTGCACCTCCGCTGCCTCTGGCTTGCGCGCCTTTCTGCTGTAACCGAATCGCAGCCCACCTGCTGCCCGCCGCCATGCTTCATGCCGTTCAACCCAAACGGCCTCACGGAGGGAAAATGTATCCAGCGCGCATCGAGAGCCATGTGCAACCAAGCGTGGCTATCCATAGCCATTGTGGCCTAATCTCGAGCTGTATGCTCGCGATCACCCTCTCATAGCTTCCCGACGCTTTTCCCTCGAGCTACACAAGGCTTACGTCTTGCTATCCTTTCCCCGCTGCCAGGTAAGCACCGGATGGCCCAGTGAGACTACAGGCACCCTAAGAGCGGTATTCGCTTCATGGATCGACCGTCCAGCACGCGACTCTGCCACACCATTCATCATGCTGCATAGCGCGACACGGTTGTTTGCGTTCATTCATTACTTCTCCGACAGGCGTCGTCTCACCCTTGACCGCACCATTGCGGTTGACGGCTCACACGTTAGATGTAAGGGAGGAGGGTTTGTTCGTTCCCCAATGCCAGTCAATAAGTATTCTTGTCAACTCCACCTCCTACTGGCTCTTTGTCTTCCTTGTTCATGCCAAGAGGTATTTGGCCCTGGATTACTATCATAGTGCGTGGACGTTGAGCGCGTATGTAAACGAATTTGCCTCCTAGATGACAATAACGTGGTGCGTCTTCGCCCGCGTATGACCTGCCCTACAAGTAGGGTTATTCTATCCAAAATGCCGCCGTTTGTCTTGGGATGTTCGAGCTGGATGAGGCGGCACAAACCTCTGATCCTGTTACCAGCTGGCTTTGGCTGATGGTCGAGAAGGATGTTGCTGGACTTGGCCCGGCTGATGAGAAAGAACATTTGGAGGACGAGCTGACATAACCAACAGCGGCACCACCTAGTTCCCGTCGGTCGCGAGGATAGAGCAGCTACGATGTCGTCGCGCCATTGCAGGCCTAAATTCAGAATTCATAAGTCAAGTATGCCCATGGATGCAACCACCATATTTGCTTGCCTCGTCCTGTAAATAGACTGGAGTGGGGTGATAGGTAGAGCGTTCCGGGAGAGCTGAGCAAGGTGGCAGGAAAGAAGAAATGGTTCAGCTGGTCGGTTGATGAGGGGGCTCCGAAGCCTTTGCGTTGGCCGGGCCTCCCGGCACTCGGGAACCCACTAGCCCCCACTGCGCGCTGCGAGCAGCCGTCCAATGGGCAGCAGCGTGACACGAAGCCTTTGTAATACGACGCCGTGAGTGGGCTGGCGGCTAGAGCTGTCGGGAGCTTGGGCCCGGCTGGCATGTCGTCAACACGTCTCTCCCGGGCGCCATCTCCACCCCGCCTTTGCAGCGTATAATAATTCGCCGCTCCCGCCGCACTGCTGGGCCTGAGAATCCCGCCGTCTTCCCAAAATCGTCGTCTCAAACAATGGCCTCCGCCACTGGCATCCCCGAGCAGCATCCAGACCCCGTCAGCAACGGCCACGGCGAACAGGAACCGTTGCTTGGCCGTCCTGGCGATGCCTCGCAGAAGGAGGGCAAGCCACTCGCCTGGAATCTGGTCCTTGGCACCGGTGTTATCGCACAAGCCGGAATCTGGATCGTAAGCCGCCCCAGCCCGCTGCCGCTGCTCTGCTCTAAGCCTGCTCACTCTTCCAGCTCACTGCCATTGTGTGGGCTGGCATCCTGTCCCACGACGTGATACTGTTCTCCGCTCATCCGGTAACTAATTGCCCTCGCCACTTCCACATCCGGCCCGCACGCTAATCACGGCTTAGCTGCTCAACTCTGCTGGGTTGCTGCTCATCACTCAAGCCGCCCTTATCTTGCAGCCAACACACACGCCGGACCAGAAGCGTCGCGGAACTTATGTTCATGCTGTCTTGAATCACGTCGGCGTCCTCGCACTGCTCGCTGGCCTCATCGTCATTGAGGTGAACAAAGAGCGCGGCGGCCTGGATCATTTCGAGTCCCCACATGCCATCCTCGGTATCATTACCTACATCTTCCTGGTGTTGCAGGTCATCGTTGGCTTCACCCAGTTCTTCACGCCTGAAGTCTACCGGGGTGTTGACAGGGCAAAGAAGATCTACAAGTACCACCGGTTCTTTGGGTACGTGACCTTTGTGCTCACACTCGTGACCATCGCGGCTGCGACCAGGACTACCTTCAACGTCAACGTCTTGCACATCAAAACTTGGGCTGTCATTGTTGCATCTCTTATTGTTCTTGCCGGTATTGTTCCTAGGATCAAGAGACAGAAACTCGGGCTGTAAAGCCAGTCTTGCTTCCTGAACCCCCTGGTCGAGGCAATTGGAGAGCTCACGTGCTTCGAGAGACCATAGATTAGCTGCGATACCGGCCGTGGGCTCGACCTTGGTCATTAAACCGGCACTATGATGGAGGTCCATATTATTTAATCAAGTGTTTGACAAGTCATTCTTCTCTGGGCGCTTATACATTCGTCCTATCGATGCTGATGTGGCCCGACCTTCTGGCCAGAATGAACAACTAATGAAATTTCCGTGCTCTCTGACGATAGTTGTGTGAACCGCCCGCGGCACGCACAACTATGACGGACTTCATGTGGCTGTCATTACAATCAACCGCTCCTAGATGTCTGGCTTGTTGGAGTGAATGGCGCTTTTGCAAGGTATGATAAGAGCTAATGCATCCCCCTAGCCAAATAACTTCGACGTGCGCTATCACGCCCCGTATTCGTGCTTCGCCTGCTCATCCTCTGATTTTGCACCGAGTTCCCCTCCCCATGTTTGCTGCTGGATGTGCAGTATTCTATTAGGGGAATGGGTTTGATATAATCGGGAGAGCTACTGTCGGTAACATATCCCCGCAGACCCTTGTTTTGTTTTATTAAAAAAAAAGGACAGAGCTGAGGATTTCATTTGAAAGACTCATTGGGACTCTTCATCGCCACTTTCGATGAGGCCTTCTAAGTCTTTAAGGCCTTTGGCAAGCCTTCTTTTGGGCCGGGCACCAATTTCTTCTTCCGACTCCGACTGGCCCCAACGCTTTGCACCTTCCTGGACGGCCTCAAGATCAGCAGCTAACTCTCTACGTTCTTTGATCTGGCGCGCCTTCTCGACCGAGTAGCGTCCCTCCATGCCGGCATCTTTCAGCAGATCCTTCAAGTGACTGATCTTGGCCTTGGGTGTCTCAAAAGGCTTCAGTTCTTTCCCCCAGAGCTTGCGAATGCCACATTTGATTAACCAACCCTGTAGCCGCTTGATTTCGGCTTCCTGTGGGTCGACGTCTTTGTCGTTGGATTTGCTCTTGTTGTTGGCGGGCTTGGAGGCTTTGGTAGAAGCTCCCTTCTTCTGTTGCTTTTTCTTGGGGGGCTCATCTAACAGAACAGACATGTCACTGTCGGAATCAGGTTTCGCGTCCCTAGCCGGACTGGTCGACATGTCCTGGCCTTTTGAGTCACCGTTGCCAACGTGGGCTGACATGGACCGAGGGCTCCCTTCGTCACCTGATGATGGGCGCGGCTCTAGGGCGGTACCGCCTTCATCTTCGGAATCATCTTGAACCACGCGGGGCTTCTTGACATTCCTCTTCGTGGGCGGCTGTGGAGACTTGGATGCGTCGCTATGCAGAGCCTCGTCGTCGGACGAGGAGGAGTTTTTCTGGCGCTTCCGCGCCGTGGGCTTGGTGGCAGGAGCAGCCTTCTTGATCGAAGACTGGGGCTTTTGGGGGCGGGCGGCGGGCCTGGGGGCTTTCGCCCGTGGCACCTCAGGCTCCGCAGGCGCGGCGTCGCCGCCCTCGCGTTCCTGCACGCTCTGCACGGCAAGGTCAGGGCGTGAGCGGGGCGGGGCGATGAGGAGGATTTACATACGACTTGATCGGTGATGACATTCTCGCTGCGGACCTTCCAGGCTCGATCGGTTCTGAAGAAGCTGTCGGGCAGGTCGAGCTGGTGCTCGACGGACTTGCGCACGCGCCTGAGGGTCAGGTTTTCATGGTCGCCGGAAAGCCAGAGGTCGCGAACGGCGTTGCGCAGGGCATGTTCAATCTTGGCATCGGGCGCAACAGCCGTGACGGGCTCAGCGTCGCTGTCTGACATGGCCGGGGTGGACCGCGGGAGCTGCGACGCGTGCGCCTGGAAAGGCAGAGGCAGTGCGGAGACGGACGGGCCTCAGATAAGATTGTCCGATGCGGTTTAGCGCAACGTGTGCAGGTCCAAGGCACGGCGCGCGCGGATGCTGGTGGAGGTGCAGCGAGGATGGCATTTGCTAAGTTGCGCATCCGCCGATGGCCCCGGCCGCCAGGCACTGCCGTGCTGCTCCTCGCCGCGGCGAACCTACCAAGCGCCGCCGGCTGCGTCATCGTCCGCGCCCGGTGCAACCGCCGTCCCGTCGCCCAGTGGCCGCGCTGCGAGGGCCTTGCCTGTTGCTGCTGAAAATAAAAGTGGGCGCGGGCCTCGGGCTTGTGCGCCGCGCAGACGTCAACCAGCATCACACCGCGTTGTTGCCTCTTCAGGTTTCCCAGTCAGCGCGCGCCGAACCCGTGTGCCCGCTCTGCCCTGGCTGCGGCCGTTTTTATCATCATCCCGCCTCCCGCTTCAGGCCCCAAGCCCAAGCTTCCCCAGACAGTTGACGTGCGTGGAAGTTGCGAGAAAGCGAGAAAAGCTGCCGCGAGAACCACCGTGACGCTTGGTCTCGCCGCCCCAAGCTCCAGACCCGCGCGCCCAGCCAAATATCACTCTGACGACACCCGCCTGCCCCCGACAACAACTCCGTCCCGACACCTACTGGATCCTGCCGCCCGCCCACCAGCGCCGCCACCTTCCTTCGAGCAACCCCGTTATCTTCCACTTGCGCGCATACCGCACCACCGCTATGCCGTCGGCCACCGAAGAGCCCAGGTCGGACAACGGCCGCCTGCTGCTCGTCTCCAACCGCCTGCCCATCACCATCAAGCGCTCTGACGAGGGCAAATATGACTTCTCCATGTCGTCGGGCGGTCTAGTCAGTGGTCTCAGCGGCCTGTCCAAGTCTACTACCTTCCAATGGTACGGATGGCCGGGCCTCGAGGTCCCCGAGAACGAGATCCCCACACTCAAGCAGCGGCTGAAGGAGGAATACAATGCTGTTCCGGTCATGCTGGACGATGATCTAGCCGACAGGCATTACAATGGCTTCTCGAGTGAGTCCTCTTCGCCCCTCTGTTTCCCCGCCCAGACGTTGACCCCGCCGACCAGATTCCATTCTTTGGCCCCTCTTCCACTACCACCCGGGCGAGATCACGTTCGACGAGTCAGCGTGGAACGCGTACACGGAAGCCAACCGCCTCTTCGCCAAGGCCATCGCCGCAGACGTTCAGGATAACGACCTTGTCTGGGTCCATGACTATCACCTCATGCTCCTGCCTGCCATGCTCCGCGAGGAGATCGGCAAGACAAAAAAGAACGTCAAACTTGGCTTCTTCCTGCACACACCGTTCCCCAGCAGCGAGATCTACCGCATCCTGCCCGTTCGCAACGAGATCCTGCTTGGCGTCTTGCACTGTGACTTGATTGGCTTCCACACCTATGATTACGCCCGCCATTTCCTTAGCAGTTGCTCGAGGATACTGTAAGTTTACACTCAAAGGTAGGATCAAACAAACCGCCATGCTGATCAGCTGGGTTTTAGGGGCTTGGCCACGACCCCCAACGGAGTCGAGTTTCAGGGCAAGGTCGTTACTGTCGGTGCCTTCCCGATCGGCATTGACCCTGAGAAGTTCGAAGAGGGCCTCAAGAAGCCCAAAGTTCAGGAGCGTATTGCCACTCTGGAGCGAAAGTTCCAAGGCGTGAAGTTGATTGTGGGCGTGGACCGCCTGGACTACATCAAGGGCGTCCCTCAAAAGCTACACGCCCTTGAAGTGTTCTTGACCGAGCATCCCGAGTGGATCGGGAAGGTAGTGTTGGTTCAGGTCGCCGTTCCTAGCCGTCAGGACGTCGAAGAGTATCAGAACCTGCGAGCGGTTGTCAATGAGCTGGTCGGACGAATCAATGGCAAATTCGGTGAGTAGGGCCGTCCCCCTACGGTAAATGGAGATGATTTACTGACAACGCAGGCACCATCGAGTTCATGCCTATCCACTTCATGCACAAGTCGGTGTCATTCGACGAGCTCATCGCGCTGTACGCAGTGTCCGATGTGTGCCTAGTCTCGTCGACCCGCGATGGCATGAACTTGGTATCTTATGAGTACATTGCTACCCAACAAAAGCGCCATGGCGTCATGATCCTCTCGGAGTTTGCCGGTGCCGCCCAGAGTTTGAACGGTAGCATCATTGTGAATCCGTGGAACACCGAGGAACTCGCAGACGCCATCCACGATGCAGTGACGATGGGCGCGGAGCAGCGTGCGCTCAACTACCAAAAGCTCGCTAAATACGTCAACAAATACACCAGGTAAGTCACGGTCTGGTAAGGACGACCAAGCGGCACAACTGACAGGGGTACACAGTGCTTGGTGGGGTCAGTCGTTCGTCAGCGAGCTCACCAGGATCTCTGAGCAAGCTGAGAAGAAGTTGAATGTGCGCCGAGGTTCTCTACTTGACAATGTCCCTGGCAACAGCGAGGATGTGACGGCCAAATCGGAGACCGTCCACGCTGCATCTTGAGAGCTGCTGACGGCATGAATGCGCAACCGGTTGAGTATGCATAAGGGCGTATGGATAGAAAATGTGGCACGATTGCATGAAGTTTGCACAGCACAATATGGGTTTTTGGAGGACATCCCCTCTCATGGTATAGTGCCTGGTGCAGGCACTGGCGTCAAGTTGTGTTATACGGTAATTAGACCATGCGAGCGGGGTTTCTTTTGCACGCTGCACGAAATTGGGCGAATATCGGAGTGCTGGATAATGGGCACATGCCGTTGTGCCGGTTTAATTCGAGCCCGTGAGCATCGAATCGACGTGCGGTTCGGAAATGCCAGCGGAGCGCACGGCCCCATTGCCAGCGCCCGGCCCGCGGTCTGATGTCGAAAAGTGCATCCGCAGTCTCGCGCTGCCCCATCACTCTAACCGCTTTCTCCACGAACATCTCGCAACCGCGCCAATTGCTGCCGGACATCAATAGCGATCGTAGCCACGCATGCGCTCTGCTCTACAGATACGGCTACCATCTCCATTTCCACCGGGCCGGTGCTGCAGCCTCCACGATGCCGACGCCAGGGAACCCATATCGCCAATTCACAGGCGTGGTCGTGTCGGCCGGCAAGATGATGAAGACGGTGAGGGTGCGCATACCTGGTCAGAAGTGGGACAAGCTCATCCGTAAGGTCGGTCACATTCGCGCCTCTTCCCTCGGGGTTCGACGCGTGCATACTAACACTCGACTGTAGGATTTCCCTGCACCCTATCACGTCCTTGTTTCAGACCCTACCGAGTCAGTCAGAGAAGGAGACGTCGTCACGCTGCGAAACGGATGGAGGACATCGAAACATGTCCACCACGTCGTCACGAGCATCGTGGCTCCGTTTGGGCCAGAAATTAGCAAACGGCCACCCATACCAACCGAGGAAGAGCGTCAGCAGCAACTTCTGCACACACGGCTGGAGAAGGACCTCAGGAAAGCAGCATTGGGCAGACAGGCCTCTATCCAACACATCCGGCAGATCGCTCAAGATGACGGTTGGGTGCAGGAGCTGCCGCAGCGTCTCGCGGACGCTTGGAAGCAAGCCAAGGAGGCCGGCATCGTCAGGACAAGCGAAAAGCAGGAGCAGATGCCTCCGATCAACGTTCTAGCACAACAGAACGTGGCCGCGGCTGCCGAATACACGGAAAAGGGCCTTGAGAACGAGGAGCAGGCGGAACAAGCTCAAAAGGCAGGCGAGTCCATGGCCGAGGACGTTATAAGGGGCGGCAAGACCATCTAGAAGGAAGACAAGAGCAGGGTATATGGTCGGGAGAGTGTATTACTACGAACTGGATGGAGACGGCGTTGAAGTGGAACCACGCGCATGGCAAGGATATATATGTCTTTCTCAGTGGTGTAGTAAGGAGTACAATGAAACTGGTCGGAAGACGCGGTAAGGGTTCATAGGCGAAGTGTAAACGGTAGCAAATACGACACAGCAAGTCAACGTTCTAAATGAAGCAGAGCGTGGCAATAATGCAAATCACAGCCGAGAAATGGTCCCACTGCTGTATAAAGCAATCTGCGGCAATCTGCGTGTACCTGCAGGGAGCACGATTGCGACTCTGTCCCGTGCTTCCGGCGGCCTGGATGCTGCCGTGTCTCGTTGATTTTCCACAACAAAGAAATAGCGTGTCTAGATTGTGGCGATGGTATGGGGCGGGTGGTGACTGCCGCGCAGGTTTCCCCAGTAACGTTAAGCGAAGAAGGGAATGATGGCTTTGGGCCAGCAAGCAGGACACCACTTTCTGCGCACGCTGCAGCCTGCGCGTCATACGGGGCTTTGACCCGTGCCTTCGTCTTCAGCACAAAGCACAAAGCACCTCCGCATCTTCGCCGCCCACGCTGCGCCGCCGACATGTTCATGCTACGGAATGGTATGCACGCCCGCACCTGCGCTGCCCCACCGCACCCCTCCTTCACCTGGGCAACCGAGTTTGCGTTGCGATCGCCTGCTAACCCTCTTTGGCCACAGTCAGCAAGTACCTCTTCGGCGACAGCTCCAAGGAATCCATCGTCGAAGTCCCCCAGGGTCAGCTCTATCTCGTGCGCCCGTTGTCCGTCAAGGGCTACTCTGAGCTCATTTTCAAGGACGCCGCCGCCTCCATCCGCCGCACCGGCCAAGACTTCCAGTACCAGCTTGTCATCCAGCGCGCATACGAGGAGGGCGAGCGCGAGTTGCTCGGCGAGGACGAGGAAGAAGACGGCGCTACCGAGGGTTTGGGTGCGGAGAAAGACGAGCGCACCTTCCTGCTCGACGAGGCTCTGCGCTTCCGAACCGACGTGAGGCAGACCGGCGAGAAGGTATTCGCCTGGAAGGATCTCAGCGGCGACGAGGGCGACCTTTGGGAATTTGTTTGCGACAGCTCTGTCCAGCCTCCGACTGTCGCTACATTCGAGGTTGTTGCCGTCCAGTGCCAGTACGAGAGAAAGTACCGAAGGAGCCATCAACAAGCTACTGAGCAGGACCTTCAACAATTCTCCTTTGAACAAGAAGCCATTCCAGACGCAAGCCCGGTGTCCAGCCCAAGGATACGCTCCCCTCTTGCGTCACCCGACATTGCGAGGTCCAGCTTCAGCCTCGATCCGCCAACTACCATCGACACCATGGTTTCCAAGCCCGCTCCGCAGGTGGAAACCCCGCCCAAGGTCCCAAAGGCCACCGCTGCCCCTGCCGCCCGCGCGCAACCCGATAGTCGCGAGGTGCTCGCAAACGAGACGGCTGAACTGCACTTGTTCGATTTCGAATCCGGTGCTTTCGTCCTCCAGGACCCCGGCGTGAAAGCTAGTGTTTCCGATATTGGCGACTGGAAGTACTGGCTGCAAATCAGCGGCGAAGGAAAGGAGTGGCTCGGCCAGCCCGTCGTGCCAGATATCAACCCGGTCTTCAATTTCGAATATCTCTCGTTTATTTTCAATCACTACACAGAAGACGGATCTGCCTACTCATGGCTCCTTCGTTTCAAGGACCAGGAAACGGAGGAGAGGTTCCAGGGAGGCCTCATGCAGGCTCTGTGGGAACACCTGAACGAGACCAAATGGCACAAGGCCAAGACTGACGACCGCGACTATGTCATGGAAGCCTTCCAGGACTTGACGATGGAAGATGATGATGGAAAGGCCGAAGAAGATGAAGATGAACAGCAGTCGGACGAGGAGGAGGAAGACCGTACCAGGCGCAGTGAGCATTACGACTCGGATGAAGAGCAGGATGACGTGGTTACCAGGGACAGTGACGGCAACGTGAACTCCCAACTTGCTGTTGGCTACAGACATGACAGGTCATTCGTTGTGCGCGGCTCAAAGATTGGCGTGTTCAAGCACACGGATGACAACCAGCTGGAATTCACCACCAACATCTCAAAGGTTGAAACCCCCAAGGGCAAGCTCTTCAGCCCGAAGAAAGTTATGCTCCACATGGAGGACCGGGACATGATCTTGCAGAATCCTCACGATCCCAATTCGCTCTACCGCATGGATCTCGAGCGCGGTCAGATTGTAGACGAGTGGAAAGTGCACGAAGACATTCCCGTTGACATTTTCGCGCCGGAGAAGGTAAGCTACGGTGTCTTGCGCCAACGCTGGATCTCAGGGGCTGACTAGGGACAGAAATATTCCCAGATGACAGGAGAGCAAACCCTCCTGGGCCTGTCGCACAATGCGCTGTACCGCATCGATCCTCGCCTATCGGGCGACAAGCTGGTCGACTCGGACCTGAAGCAGTACACGATCAAGAACGACTTCTCCGCCGCAGCCACTACTGAAAAGGGCTACATTGCTGTTGCATCCAACAAGGGCGACATCCGGATGTTTGACCGGCTCGGCATCAATGCGAAGACGGCTTTACCGGCCATTGGTGATCCCATCATTGGCGTTGACGTTTCTGCTGATGGTCGTTGGATACTTGCGACGACGCGCACATATCTACTCCTGATCGATGCGCTCCAAAAGGAGGGCAAGAACGAGGGGAAGCTTGGATTTGAAAAGGCATTCCCCAAGGACTCGAAGCCACAGCCGCGCCGGCTTGCGCTGACGCCCAGCCACGTGGCGCAATTCCAACACGAAACCAAGGCGCCCATCTCGTTCACGCCGGCTCAGTTCAACACAGGCATGGACAGCACCGAGACCACGATTGTGTCAGCCACGGGGCCATTCGTGGTGACGTGGAGCATGAAGAAGGTGCTGGCGGGCCGCAAGGACCCATACAGCATCAAGCGCTACGCGGAGGAGGTCAAGGCGGACAACTTCCGATACGGGTCGGACAAGAACCTCATCGTGGCGCTTCCAAACGAGGTCAACATGGTGGCCAAGCGGGCACTCCGACGGCCCACGCGCGAGAGCATCGCCATGCCCTCACGCGTCGGCACGCCCCGGAAGGGCGGCAGAGGGAGCTATCTCTCGCGCAACGACATTGTCAACAGCCCGTACTAGGATGCTGGAGGGGATGGCGGGGAGGGGCAGGCGCGGGTCTGCCGCCATCTTAGGGTTTGGCCTTTCTTTCTCTCCTAGATTGTGTCCCTAGCGAGAGGAGATGGACATGTAGGGTGGCGTTTGTTGATATCCAGCACATGGCCGTTAGTGGGCCGTCTGCCACCAGCGTCGATCAATCTTATAATTCATTTCTCGCGTTTCAATGGCGCACAGATTGGCGTCAGCCCTAAACACTCGCACGCACGCACGCACGCACGCACGCACGCATATGACGGATCCGTTTCTGCAGGCTCTCCTCAGCAGGAACAGACGGCGGGCGCCAAGCACGCAGCCGGTCAGCGCGGACGAGGCACGGCACTGGGCAGGCGAGGCAGGCGAGGCGGCGAGGCAGCGAGGAGGCGAGGAGGCGCGGAGGCGAGGAGGCGAGAGGGCGAGAGGGCGAGAGGGCGAGAGCGGTCGGCAATCTCTCAAAGGTGATCGACGCTGCAGCGTTTTCGCAGCACGGGGACCCGTAGGGCAGACGAGGACGTCACGTCTGCATACGGCCGCAGCGGGCGACGTGCGGTGAGCGGCAGCATCGCGTGTTGGCGGGCTGCGGTGAGGCCTCACTTCAGCTTGCGTCGACACATCGACGACAAATTTGCGGCTCTTGCCACGCTCTGGCGAGTCGTGGTGACTACACACCGCCACCGCTTGATCTGCAGGAGATCCCTGGCCGTTTCACTGGCCTCCGTCTTCACGCTAGCCGGCCGCTGCACGCCCGGCTTCGCTGCAGCCTCGATGCGGATGCGCAAATGAGCCAGGCCTGCGCCCTCAAATCATCGCAACACACCCTCTGCCTCCATCGTCCCGGGCCCCCACACGCTCCAAGCACGCACGTGTCGCCCGCTAGACGCATCTCACTCCAGACTTCAACGCTGACGACTGGCGGTGCGTGGTCTTCCCTTGCCTCTAATACCGCCGCTCCCCCTCCCCTCGTCCGCCGTCACTCTCCTGCCGCCCGCTCACGATGCTTCCTGCAGCCCCCGGACCCGGCATTGAACCCTCCCCGCCCCCGCCGGGGAAAGCTCCGGGCTCGTCCGCCCAAGCCGCCATGGCCTCGATCCAGAATGACGACGAGCGTCTGCTTGCCCGCATCGGCTACAACCAGGTACTGCCCTCAGCCCACTGACCCCGCGGGCCGTGCTGACGCCGTGCCGCCAGGAACTGAGACGCGAGTTCAACAAATGGTCCACCGTTTCCTATGCAATCTCCATCCTCGGCGTCCTGGGCTCCGTCCCGGCAACCTTTGGCAGCCCCATCGCTGCCGGCGGCCCCGCCACCGCCGTGTGGGCCTGGTTTGTCGGCAGTGTCATGGCCATGTGCATAGCCAGCTCTGGTACCCTAGCCTCCGGCCATTGCATGCACCCCGCGACTGACGCTGGACAGTGGCCGAGCTGGTATCCGCCTATCCCACCGCTGGCGGAATGTACTTCGTCACCAAGCACGTCGTCCCCCCCGAGCATGTGGCCATCTGGGCATGGGTCATTGGCTGGTGCAACTTCCTCGGCCAAGCCGCTGGTGTGGCCAGTCTTGCCTACACCATCTCGCAGATGATCTTTGCCGCCGCAGTCATGAACTCCACTGCCGAGGACGGTTCCCCGGCCTTCACGCCGTAGGTTGCTGCTCTGCTGCTGCGCCTCGCCATGCTGACCAAGCACCAGGTCGGCTCTGCAGACCGTTCTTCTTGCGATACTAATCCTCTGCCTGTTCGGCACCATCTGCTCACTCACCACCAGAGCGTTGCATAAGATCATCTTGTGGTTCGCCCCGATCAACAGTACGCCGCATGCAACTCGTGGTATCTGTGCGGAAATGGCTAATGCTCTGCTCAGTATTGGCCTCTATCAGCATCTGCGTCGCGTTGCTTGTTCTCACGCCCAACAAGCGCAGCGCTGAATGGGTGTTTACCGAAGTCACGGACGGCTCCGGCTGGGGAAGCAAGGGCTTCTCATTTCTGCTAGGGTGCGTGGCCATACTCATACTCAACCACACGAGCTGACATTCAACAGATTCCTCTCCGTGGCCTGGACAATGACTGATTATGACGGAACGACGCAGTAAGGATTGAGTCCCTGTTACACCAGACATGCTCCCGAGCTGACCGAGAGATAGCATGTCTGAGGAGACGCACGATGCTGCTATTCGCGGGCCTGTTGCCATCCGATCGGCCATTCTTGTTTCTGGACTCGTCGGTTGGATGCTCACTGTTACATTCTGTTTCTGTCTGACAGACTATGACGGCATTGTCAATTCGCCAACCGGACTCCCCGTGGCCCAGATATTCCTCAATGCTGGTGGCAAGACCGGAGGAACAATCATGTGGTTCTTTGTCATCCTGGTCCAGTTCTTCACCGGGTGCTCGGCCATGCTGGCCAACGCTCGCATGTGCTACGCATTTGCCCGAGATGATGCTCTGCCGTTTTCAAGGTAAATCGAGTGCCTTTGCTCAGGGACAGACGTTGGCTGACAAATCCAGCTTCTGGAGCAAAATAAACAAGTACACCGGCACTCCGGTCAACGCCGTATGGCTTGTCGTGGTCTTCTGCACCTGTCTCGACCTCATCGGCATTGGAAGCACGCTCACAATTGTTGCCATCTTCAACGTATGCGCGCCAGCTCTGGACCTGAGCTACGTGGCCGTCATCGTCGCGCACCGCGTGTACGAGAAGCGGGTGCGGTTCATCCCAGGTCCATACACGATGGGCATCTGGAGCAAGCCGATCAACCTCATTGCCTGCTCGTGGGTTGTGTTCATCAGCGTCATCCTGTTCTTCCCGACCACGAAGCCGGTTACGGCCACCAACATGAATTATGCCATCTGCGTGGCTGGGTTTGTGGGACTCTTCAGTCTGAGTTGGTGGTGGATTGGGGCGAGAAAGTACGTCATTGGCCGGCAGCATGCCCTCACCGTCAGTTTGGGTGCTAACCGGCTTCGCGGCACAGCAAATACACAGGGCCCCGTACGAAGGATATCATCGACATGCTTCCGACCGACGACCCGGACGACGCGCCCTTTCCGTAGTCACGCCGCCGATCTTCCTTTTCTTCTTTCTTCCCTCTTTCGTTTTACCCCATTGGGGACTGGGCATTGCAGGCGTTCAAGCAAGCGAGCAATTTGGGCTATCTATACCACGTCTGTCGTTTTCAAGGCAGCGGGCGGGCTGTTATTTTTGGCATGAAAGCAATCTCTGAGCGCGTATCAAGGTGTTTTATTCGGCGTAAACGGACAAAATGGTTAGACATAGAGTTGGAGCACAGGCATGACAGCAGGATATGTGCGGCTTCACCGCTGTTTCGCAGGCAGCTCCCAGCGTCCGTGAGTGAGGCGAGGGCAGGTCGAGGTTCCACCGAGCCCGCGTGCCGCCTTCGGGCAGAAGAACGGCGTCAGCAGCATTGAGGCTCGTCCGCAGGGGCCGGGCTGTGGCGTCCAACGGCAGACGGCAGGCCGGTAACGGGTTAAACGAGATTGATGATCCTTCATCAGCAGCAACTGCTTCGCTAGCGGCGGCTTGCGGCAGACTCCACAACGTCTCCGGCTGACGGACTGCTGGCCGCCAGCCGGGCCGCAGCCAAACCCCGTCCTCGGCAGGGATTGTGCGTTGTCATGGTCAGCTGCGACCCCATGCTCTCCCGATCATCTGAGCATCCTGTTTTTTCTTCCCCGCAGGCGCCTGGCAGTACGGGAGCACCAAAGGACCGGATGCAGCCACACCACGGCCGACACCATCACGGCCGGCGAAGCGAGGTGGCCCTGTCACGATGCGAGACGGGCTGTGCCGGCGCGACGGATTAAAGGGCCTGCGAATGGCGCTGCAGGGGCCTCGTCACACAACGGCGGCGCTACTCGACCACGTTGATCTGCTGCAGGGATGGCTGTCTCCGAAACCAACGTCATCCGGCCCGTCAGCATCTCTGTTGGCCTTTTGTTTATGTCGGTGTGCGACGACACCCGCCTTGTACATACATCGTCTGCTGCTGCTTGGCGTCGGAACAGCCTCCATAAGCGTCCTAGCCAAGTCTGCACTGGGCGTGCCAGAACCCAAGTCACCACGCTGAACGCGTTTGTGCACGCGAAAAACCATTCTTTCAAAACAGATGCTACCAGGCCCTGCAAATCCCACCGGCCAACACGACGCCCGCTGTAATGCTCATCATCTCGTCAGACTCGTAAGGACATCAGACCGCCCCGAATCTTCCCACAAATGCAAACCCCAGTGCCGGTACAGAAACGTATGCGAAGGTCCCCGTTTGCGCCGTTGCCCTGACCACGACTTGAAAAGTGCCGAAACAGAATGGTCCCCCAACGCAGAAGCGGCCTCGCTACTGAGAGCTGACCAGGTCCACGCCTTCTTCCTCAGCATCGTCTTCGTGCTCCATCTCGTCCACCTGGAGAATGAAAGGGTGCTCCAATGCTTCTTGGGCCGTGATTCTCTTGGTCGGATCGCATTCCAGACATCGCTGCAGGAATTCTATTGCCTCTTTTTCCTCACTCGACAGCCCAACGCGCCTTCCGTTCTCATCCTTCTGGTTTCGATTCGTACACCACAGAATGATTTTCTCGAAGCCGTGGCCCGCTTCACTGTAGCTTGGGATGTTTGTCTCAAACACTTGCCCGTGCAGTAGAGCCGTCTCGCGCATGCGGGACTTGCCGAAAATGGCCGTGAGTTCGAGCAGGGCGTCGATGTCGTCAGCGCTGTGAAAGAATGGAAAGCGACGCGAGAGTAGGGTTAGCAAGATGACGCCGGCACTCCACATGTCGATGGACGTGGTCTGGGCTGTGCATTTGAGGAGAACCTCGGGGGCACGAAACCCACGGGTACCAGCACGGTTGGCGCGCCTGCTGGGACGGGAGTCATTCTTGGGGAAGGTGGGGACATGGTTGGGGTTTGAGGCTACAGTGTTGGCATAAACGCTATGCTCTATCTTGTGCTGACGCTCGCCGGAACGCAGTTGGCAAGTGCACAGGTGCCAGTCAGTGCCCTTACGCTCGGCAAGACCAAAGTCGACGAGAACGCCGCGGGCGTGCTCCGGGGCGTACAGAAAGTTGGTCGGCTTGATGTCACGATGCAGGATGTTGTGTTCGTGGACGGCCTTCAGGGCTGTAAACAGGCTGCGGAAGTACAGGCGCATGTCATGCACCTTCATGTCGCGATAGTAGTCCCGAAAGTCTCGGTGCTGGAAGTAGGGCAGGATGGCGACCACCTGGTCCTGGTGGCGAAATGCGGTGATGAGCGGGCATACCGAGTCGGAGTTGCGGAGATCGTGCAGGAGCTCGAGTTCGTTAAGGATGCGCAGAGGGCTGCTGGTCACGTAGATTTTTTTAATGGCAACGTAGCGGGCCTTGCGTTTGCCATTGCGCCTGGATGCGGCCGAGTCCCACGCAGAGTCCTCCTTCGCCTCGATATCCCAATCGTTCTGGTACATGTCGTACTGCAAGTCCTCGGCCTTGTAGACGGTGGAGAAGGTTCCTGCCGGCGGTTAGCTGTGGTGCGGCACGGCGGAGCGGGGCCAGGCGGCGCGGACCTTCGCCAATGCGATTGATGAGCCGGTAGCGCTTGGTGATGCCCTCAAACGTCTCCTCGAAGCGGTCCATGTCCTCGGCGACCGACTCTTCGACGACCTCTTCCTCGTCACTGCCGTCGTGGGTGCAGCCGCTCTCCTCGAGCGGGTCACGGCTCTCGTCCGTGTGGGTGCCGTCATTGTCATCGTCTTCTGGGCCGGGGTGGACGGGGTGGACGGGCACGTCGTCGTTGGCCATCCTCTGCAGCCGGGCCCTTGCCATTGCGGACATGGGCGTGGGGCGGAGATGTGGTTGTGCAGGTCGCTTGTGCCTGGAGCGGCGGCTGCCCTAGCGCAGCCGATGGTGATTTGTTTTGGCAGGTTCGGGCGAGTAGGTAAACAGCAACAGCAACGTGCGCGTCTGCTCCTCCGCGCCGCCGTCGCCGCCGCCGCAACGTCAACTCCCACGCACGCCAACCGTCTCCGCCAGAGCAGCACATGTGCCGCACCGCGTCCGCGCCTGCGCCTCCCTCAACATGGGCGACCGCATAGACTTCGACATCAACGATGCCCTCAAGAACTACCTGAGCGACCCGTCCGCCATCGCCACGCCCGAGGCGCCTGCAGACTTGCAGGACTGCGAAAATGATCCCAGTTCACTCACTGCGCCCACCGTCAATGCCGCCCTCAATCCGGTCGTCGACGCCGTCGCCGATAGCCCGGATGCTATCACACGCAGCGAGAACTTTGACACCCTGCAGTGTCTGCTGAAGTACGCGTCGCACGACCGCCTCCAAACCTCCGCTTTCTGACTGCTGCTCTAGGCACGCGTCCTTCCTGCCACCTACCGTGCTCAGCAAAATCCTCGATCTCGTGACTTCCGGTCTCTCCGTCGAAGCTGACGCCGTCCACGCCGACCTCGAGGCCGACGAACAAGAAACGGTCCAGCACCACAAGCAGTTACTCGAGCTCTTTGGCTTCCTTCTGCAATGGACGATCTCTGCCGTCGAGGCCAAGGCGGCTGAGAAGCCTGCTTCGACTAGCGGTGTTGCCAAAGGGCGCAAAGGGACGAAGGCCAAATCCGGCTTTGGTAAGGATGGTCACTGGGACTCCTCCGCCCAACTTACTACGGCAATGGACGTTATGAGCAAAGTCCTGAAGCTCAAGCTGGCCAGGATATTTGTCACAACTTCCGAGCGTGACACCTTCATCAGTCTCTTTACCCGTCCGGTCTACCTGATTCTCGAAAGCGAAGCCAGGGTCAAGAGCGCCACCATTCGCATGCACACGTTCAAGGTGTTATGCATCGCTATCAAACACCATGGACATGCCTTTGGTACTCTCTCCCGCTTTCTGCCTTCCCCGGCTTTGCTGATCGTTTTGTACAGGAGCGCAGACTTCTATTATCCAGAATCTGTCGTATTTTGAGCACCTATCCGAACCCATGGCCGAGTTCCTCCACATTTTGGCTGACCAATACGATCATCCACAACTGACAGAAGAAGTGCTGCGGGAGTTGAGCAACAAGGAGTTCAACAGCAATGATCTGAGGGGTCCCAAGTCCGTTTCCACCTTCGTGACCAAGATCTCAGAGCTCGCTCCTCGCCTGGTCATCAAACAGATGACCTTACTCGCAAAGCTCTTGGATAGCGAATCTTACACGCTCAGATGCGCCATCATAGAGGTTTGTGGTAACTTGATTGCAATGCTGAGTAAACACGAGGACGAAGAACGCATCGAACATACCGAGGGGCAAATTAGCGTCTTCTTCGACGTACTCGAGGAGCGCTTCTTAGACGTGAATCCCTACTGCAGATGTCGTGCCATCCAGGTCTATGTGAGGCTCTGCGATCTTGAGGCGAAATACCCTCAGCGGAGACAGGCCGCGGCGGAATTGGCAGCAAGAAGCCTCGAAGATAAGAGCAGCCACGTTCGGAGAAACGCCATCAAGTTACTGGGGAAATTGGTGACAACCCATCCTTTCAGCGTTCTTCATGGCGGTCAACTCTCATTTGATGACTGGAACGCCCGCCTGCAGAAGGTTGATGATGAGATCAACGCTCTCAAGCCACCGGAGGAGCTGCAGGAGAAAACAACGGTCGACGCCACAGTGGATGAGAGCTTGCTGGATGACGCGACTGTGGCCGATAACCAACCGGCTCCCGAGCCGGCCCCCATGACAGAAGACGAGAAGAGGGCCGCCGTGGAAAAGGCCATGGCTGAGGCCGCTACCGCCGACGCCTTGAACAAGCTCCAGCTAACCAGGAAATACTATCGTGATGCAATTCGGTTCGTTGAAATCATCCATGCCGCTTCGGTACTTGTCATGCAACTATTGTCTTCCAAGAACAAGAGCGAAGTTATCGAGGCTATGGATTTCTTTGGCATCATCGACGCATACAAGATCCATACCTCCAGGGTTGGCATTCGGCGGATGCTGCGTCTCATTTGGACCAAAGGAAACAGCGACGAGGGCAAGGGCGTCCAATCGCATCTGATTGACTGCTACAAGAATCTTTTCTTTGATGCTCCGGATTCCTTCGACACCAATACGGCCGCCAACTACGTCGCTCGGAACATGGTCAGCTTGACTTTCGGCGCCACTCCCGCGGAGCTTACATCACTTGAACAGCTCCTGAGCACGATGATGAAGCAGGGGAACGTAAGTGAGCATGTAATTGCCAAGCTCTGGCAGATTTACGGCGCCCAGAAGAAGGGGAGAGAATTTTCGAAGAAGTCACGCCGGGGCGCCATCATTGTCCTCGGCATGCTCGCCCTTGCCGATCCCAATATCATCGTAAAGGAAATGGAAACATGCTTACGGATAGGCTTGGGCGAGCTCGGCAGCAGAGACCTCGGGCTTGCTCGATACACGTGCGTAGCTCTGAGACGCATCAATGCCGCTGAAAAGGCAAGCAAGGGCACGGTGTCTGCGGCATCTGCTAAGCTGCCCAACGACCACGCCGTCTTGGTGCGCTTGGCCGCCACGATGGATATTGTTGCGGACAGCTATGAGTGGTTCGGTGTCGCTGAGCAAGCTTTAGATGCGATCTATGCTCTCTCAAAGCACCCCGACACCCTCTGCTCTGAGATCATCAGGAGAAAGACCAAGGATGTCTTCGCACCGCAGGGAAGAAGACCTGGCACAGCGAGTTCGCATAAAACAGACCCGGACAGGATGGAGACCGAGGAACGGCCAACCAGCCGCGATTCGCAGCACAGCTCCCATCACGATGACAAGGCACAGAATGCTGCTCTTGCCCTGTCACAGTTGCTGTTCATCGTTGGGCACGTAGCAATCAAACAGATCGTTCACCTGGAGCTTTGCGAGCAAGATTTCAAGAGAAGGAAGGCTGAAAAGGAGAGAGCCAGCGGCGGCGACAAGCGGAAGTCGGTAGGGCCTAACCCATCAACGGGCAAAAAAGGTGCGAAAAGAGCATCGGCGGTACAGGAGGAACAGGACGAGCTGGACCTCATGGCAGGCACAACCGAAGACGATTTCACAGAAGCTCTTGCGCACATCCGGGAGCGGGAGCTGCTCTATGGGCCGCAGTCACTTCTCTCAAGCTTCGGCCCGCTTGTGGCTGAAGTGTGCGCAAATAATACGACGTACGCGGACAGCATGCTGCAGTCACAGGCGGCTCTTTGCCTGGCCAAACTGATGTGTGTTAGTTCGGAGTACTGCGAAAAGAACCTTGGTCTTCTCCTCACGATCTTGGAACGCAGTAAAGATCCCGTGGTACGCAGCAACTTGGTGGTCGCTCTTGGCGACATGGCAGTCTGCTTCAATCACCTGATTGACGAGAACACGGACTTCCTGTACCGTCGGCTGAACGATCGAGAGGCTTCGGTGAAACGGACGTGTCTCATGACGTTGACTTTCCTGATTCTTGCGGGGCAGGTCAAGGTCAAGGGTCAACTCAGCGAAATGGCAAAGTGCCTGGAGGATGACGATAAGAAGATCGCGGACATGTCACGCATGTTCTTCAGTGAGCTTGCTACCAAGGACAATGCGGTGTACAATCAGTTTGTGGACATGTTTAGCGTGCTCAGCGCGGATCCAGCACTCGAGGAAGAGTCCTTTCGGCGCATCATCAAGTTCCTCGCGGGCTTTATTGAAAAGGTACAGGCTTGCGCTCGCTGCTCAACATCCGAAGAAGCGCTAACACGGTGGCACAGGACAAGCATGCAAAACAGCTTTCAGTCAAGCTTGCGGCGCGTTTGCCGAGGTGCGAGAACCAGAGACAGTGGAACGACGTGGCTTTCACATTGGGGCTGCTTCAGCACAAGGACGAGGAAATCCAGAAGCAAATCACGGAGGGGTTCAAAGTGGTGCATGCTGCGGCATAGGAGCACGGCCGCAGGCTGGGGGAGTGGTGGCGGAGGGCTCTTTCTCCACGCGCGGCGTTACAGACAGGGAGATGGATTCAGGGTAGGCGGAGGGGCGGGCCTGGAATTGTCTGGGTTTAGGAGTTTGGGCACGGACGGTCGATTGCTCTTACGCTTTAAGCCTCACAAGAGGATGACGTGAATGATTGGTTGCTATCATGATGCTCGACTCCTCCGAAGGCGCCTCAGAATGACTGTTCCAAGCTCTCATGGCCCGCGGCGACTTGGGGTGGGTGGTCCAAGGGCTGCGGGCGCTTGAGACCAGTGCCCTCTTTGAGGTACAGGACCAGGCGGAAGGCCGTGTTGCCGTTGAGATAGTACCTGTGGAGGCGCTTGCTGCGCAGGAAGCCGAGGCGCTCGTACAGGCGCAGCGAGGCAGCGTTGTCAGTCTCGGTCTCAAGCACAATCTCGTCGGCGTCACGGGCAGTCATGGCGTCGATGGCCAGCTTGACCAGCTTGCTTGCAATGCCCTGGCCGCGAAAGGGCTCCTGGACGGCGAGCATGGCGATGTAGCCGCGGAAGGTGCCGCTGCGGTGGGGCTCGAGCTTGGAGACCACGACGCCGACGAGGCTCGAGTCGTCGTCGAGGGCCTGCGCGGGTTAGCAGCGGACACGGGGCTGGGGCGGGCGGGAGCACGCGACCATGTAGCAGAGATGGCCCCATTGGTAGAGGAAGTAGCGGTAGACGTAGATGCTGTAGGGCTCGGAGAGGTCCTTGGAGATCAGCTGGCGGATGGCGGGCAGATACTGCTCCTCGTCGAGGCCGTCATACTGGACGTAGCGCAGGGCGTCGGGGTTTGACGGGGGCATAGGCTTCGCGGGGTGGAGGGAGGTGTGGGTGTGCAGTGTGCACGGCATCGGCATGGCGCGGGCGGCGGCGGCAGTGGATGATTGCGCCGGCCGTGTGCGTGCGCGCGCTAGCTCCAGCTCCCAGCGCTTCCCCAGCACTTCCCCAGCACTTCCCTCTTCGCTCGCCCACCCCGCCCTCCGCCGCCCAAGCCTCTCGCCGGCCATGTCCTCTCTTCGTCGCCGCCTCGCCGGCGACGCGTCCGCCTCCTCCTCTGAGCCGTCGCGCGAGCCGACTCCCGACCCGACCCAGGACACCCAGTACCGCGTCGTGCCGGCCGAGAAGCTGCACCAGCTCTCTGTCGCCCGCGAGAAGGCCGCCAAGAACGCCCGCGGCAGCAAGAGATGGAATCTGTTCGTCCTGGGCCTGGGCGGCGTCATCGGCATCGTCGGCGCCGGCTGGTTCGCCCAGAACAACGACATGATTGACCTGCCCGCCATCGCCGACATCAATCTCGAGTCCATTGCCGACATGCTTCCCGCCGGCCTGCTGCAGGATGCACGGGACTTGCAAGTAAGCTTCCAAGTTGGTAGCGCCTTGCCCTTTTACCCTGCTTTGTCTGCCGTCGCGACCAGTGCCCGTGTTGACTGTTGCCGCCTGCCTGCAGAGACATGAGCGCGAAGCCGTTGCCTACGACTCTTTCGCCGTTGGTCTGCACGCCCGCTCCCAGGGCATCGAAGCCACCCACCCCGTCATCATGATCCCCGGTGTCATCTCGACCGGCCTGGAGAGCTGGAGCACCGTCGAGGACTCGCGCCAGTACTTTCGCAAGCGCCTGTGGGGCAGCTGGAGCATGATGCGTGCCCTGGTCATGGACAAGGCTGGTTGGAAGAAGCACATCATGCTGGACAAGGACTCCGGTCTGGATCCTCCGGGGGGGATCAAGCTACGTGCTGCCCAGGGCTTCGATGCTACCGACTTTTTCATTACCGGTTACTGGATCTGGAACAAAATCCTCGAGAACCTGGCTACCATCGGCTATGATCCCACAAACGCTTTCACAGCCGCCTATGACTGGCGCCTCTCGTACGGTAATTTCGAGGTCCGCGACCAGTACTTCACCCGGCTGAAGACACATATCGAGACCGCTGTCCGCATCTCCAACAAGAAGGTTGTGCTGCTATCTCACAGCATGGGCTCCCAGGTCCTCTACTACTTCCTGCACTGGGTTGAGACTGAGGGCTACGGGAATGGCGGCCCTGGTTGGGTTGATGCCTTTATCGACTCCTGGATCAACATCAGTGGCTGCATGCTCGGCACTCCCAAGGGCATGCCCGCTGTTCTGTCTGGCGAGATGAAGGACACAGCACAACTTAACGCCTTTGCAGTCTACGGCCTCGAGAAGTTCCTAAGTCGCGCTGAGCGTGCTGAAATCTTCCGGGCCATGCCCGGCATCAGCAGCATGCTGCCAATGGGTGGCGATGCGGTGTGGGGCAATCTCACTTGGGCTCCTGACGATACTCCGGACCAAAAACATAGCTACGGGGCATTCATGAAGTTCAGAAATAACAACTCGTCTGCTACAGCGCGCAACCTAACCGTTTCGCAAGCTCTCCCTTATCTTTTTGGCCAGAGCGACGAGTGGTATAGCACTCAGATACTGAGTAGCTACTCGTACGGCCTGGCACAGTCTCGAGAGGAGGTGGAGGCCAATCAAATCATCCCCTCCAAGTGGGTGAACCCCCTTGAGACACGCCTACCGCTCGCTCCAAACCTGAAGATCTACTGTTTCTATGGCGTGGGAAAACCCACCGAGCGAGCCTACTTCTATCAGGCCGACACGGACCCCCTCTCCGCCATCAACGTGACGATTGATACCACTTACAGTGAGAACGAGGCCGATCGTGGTGTCGTCATGGGCGAGGGGGATGGCACTGTCAGCATTCTCAGCTCCGGCTACATGTGCACCAAGGGGTGGAAAATGAAGAGGTACAACCCTGCCGGCGTCAAGGTGACGACGTACGAGATGCCCCATGAACCCGACCGGTTCTCACCTCGCGGCGGCCCCAACACTGGTGAGTGGTTCCGGGATACTGTCCAGCGGAGCAGAGACTAACGTGGAAAAGGCGACCATGTTGACATTCTCGGCCGGGCGTCTCTCAATGACCTCATCTTGAAAGTTGTCGGTGGGAAGGGCGGTGATATTGAAGAAAACATAGTGTCCAATATTTTGGACTATTCCGACAAGGTCCGGATCTGGGACGACGAAGACTAACGGCGGAAGACGTAGAGACTTAGAATCTCACTAGACGACGCGATGCATAACGAGGCGTTCCACTGACGGTGCGTTCATCGATACTCTCTTGATACCACTAGATTTTTTATCTCCCATGAATTACATGCGTTCTTGTTCTATCTACTGGGAAGTTTTCGTTATTTAGGGGGTGAGGCTACCGTCAATGGGTTTTCTGTAGCTTCCACTCGACCTTGCGACCCTCTTCTCCTGCCAACCATTGCTTTTTCTTCCCCATCTTCTCCACTCTTGCAATATCGTCCTCCAAGGAATCTGTCAAGAAGTCGTCGGGGACGGAAACCACCAACGTGACCCTGTCGTCCCGAGTGGACGAAGGGTCGTGCTTCAGGAGGATCCTCGTGTCGGCACCGGTGGGCATACCGACGGGGTAGACAGTGCCCAGGACAGCAGCCACACGGCCCAGGTAGCGCAGCCACCACCGCTTGTCAGCCTCGACAAGTTGGATCAGGCGGTCGTACTGCTGAAGGTTCGCGGGATCAAGCGCTTTCCTGCCACCGTGACGCTCGCACAATGCAATGGCCAGATGTGCGCGGTCCGCATGACTCAAGCCGTGGGTCCCGGCCAAGTCGCCCGTGACAGGACACTGCAATGCCGCGGCGGCTCGTATGTCTTTACTTAGCGAGGAATGCTTGTACATGATGTTTGCGAGCGCAAAGGGAAGATTGACAAGATCAGGGCCGTTGGAGCTTTTGATGGCGGCTGCCAGCGTGTCGCCCATGGCTTGGTTTTGATGATTGAGCGCAAACTGCTGCGTAGCCACCAGCAGCGGTCTCTGAGCACGCAGACGTGGTTCCAGCTCCGAGAACAGGCGCCCTTCGCGCACGCCGCCCTGGCAAAAGTAGACGTTGCGGATTGCGGGCAAGGCCTCGGCGACACAAGCCACCAAGTTAGCGACAGCGGGGATCTGGGAGACGCGCCGCTTGGACACGCGATGCATCGTCAGGGGTTCCTGCTGCTCAGATGCGGTGCGAAGGACGGCGACGATGGCGGCCGTGTTGTGGAAGGTGGCAGCCGGCACGCAGAAGCCGTTGATGATGGGGATTGGATAAGGCCGCACGTCCGGATGCTGGTCCATCAACGCGAACCCCCAGCCCCGAAAGCCGCCGCCCGAAAGGTACAGGTTGAGCGCCCCACCGGCGCTGGGAGAGGCCAACTCTGCCGGGAGCTTGAGGCTCTTGTATGCTGCCGAAAGGTTGACGAGCATTTCGTCCTGCGTGGGCATCAGCGGTGGCATCTCGTTGGTGGCGCAGTGCGCGGGTTGGTTACTACCCTACTAGGCGGGTTCTTGGTCAGGGCGGCAGCGCCATAGGGCAGGCTGACGGCGGCGTCGGACGTGCGCACCTGGCCGTTTTCGGTGTAGATCCAGGAAAGCTGGGTGCTTCCTCCTCCCAGATCCATGCACAGGCCGCGCACCTCGTCGAAGCTGCTTGCGATGCCATGAGCGCCCAGGAGGCCCTCGTCCTCTTTGCCCAGAAGCGTCACCTCCCAGCCGGTGGCGGCGCAGAGTTGCTCCCTGAACTCGTGCGAGTTGGGGGCGGTGCGAGTGGCCTCGGTGGCCAGGACGCGGATGCGCTGCTGCTCGACGCCGGCATCTTGACACACGGTCTTGAAGCGCCGGAACGCGGTAGCTACCTGCTGCATGGTTTCGGCGGGGATGGGCACCCGCTGGCCGTCGCTCCACTGAGCGTCGTACAACGAGACGCCGAGCCGCTCGGAGAAGACGGTGGGCAGGCAGCGGGCAGTGTCGGGCGAGATGTCTGTGATGGAGAAGCGGATGCCATTGCTACGCGGTTGGAGCCTGTGTGAGCGCATGAAACGCCGTGGCTCGATGGGCGGGCGGGCAGAGGCAGAAATACCTTCCCATGTCTACGAGAGCCGCGTATGGAGCCATGTTGGGCGGTGGTAGGGTCGGCGTGACGAGACGCTCGGACGGCGAGGTGCAGCGAGGTTGGCACGTTGGGTCGAAGAGGCCGAGCGCGGATGGCGAGCGCGAATCACCAGGGTCCCGCCCGCACTAGTGCCGATCAGAAACCCCCGGGTGTCCGTCGCTCGGCGAGATGGAGGCTGGGCGAGACGCTCCTGAGAAGAGGGCCGCCGCCCCTGGCTTCGTTCCAGATCCTACAGGTAGGTGGAACTGACAATAATGGCAGTAGTGCAGTGCGGCCAGGGGTGCTCGATCTTGAAAGTCAATCATTGGCTCTCCTGATGGATCTCGCCGCCGACCAAATGCGGAAATACCGTTCTATTGCATGCATGCGGTTGAGCGTGTGCTGGCCCCGCCTCGATGCGCGTACCGCTCTCTGCATGTGCACGCGTTTGTAAACATCTCTACCTGCCTCCTCACCGGTGCAATCTTGCTTTCTGACAGCCGGTGCTCGCTTCAGCTCCTGCAATTTGACGCCGCAAGTTTCGTTTTTGCAAGCTTTGATCAGCGGGGGAATGAAGTAAGGACGGGTGAGACTGTCGGGGCCAAGTCGCACTCCGGCTGTTTGTAATCAATCTTCACTTGGCAGGCCACTGACTGGGACGCAACGATGCCATGACCCGGGCGGCGCTCGTGTAGCGTGTTGAATTGAATGTCTGCGCATCTATAATGAGCTCAAAAGCGCCACTCCACGGGCTACTCCGAGCAAGTGTGTAAACACTGCCTTCGCAAGCCTGCATATCGGACAGTTTTACTGGTTGCGACTGGGTCACGCAAGACCTGCGCCGACCCATGATCACTGGAACTGTGGCTTAGTATGCATGTTGCCACAACCACCAAGTCACGCCCAAAGCCAACCGCCGCAGGGGTTGACGGAAAAGGTGTCTCGATAAGATGAAGTCCATAGGCCATGAGAAGGGGTTTTGCAGAGCAAATCTCCATGTTCGTACTACAGTCTGTCCAGAGGAGAATCTCCGGTTATTTGCAGGAACACAGTGCCTGAGGATATCCGCCATAGTGCAACAAAGGCAGGTTGCGAGGTTTTGACATTTTCCCTTCCCAATCGTAGACCACATGACAATAGAAATTAACGACAGGCAGCTTTCGCCGCGCCGTCGATGCAAAGGCGGTAGGAAGTTGCCGACCGGATACTGGCCCCCAGACGTGGGGGAGGCCAGTTATGCCACCGCGTCGACGCCAAGAAGACAAAGGAAGAAAGTGACGGCAGGCTTCTTACAAGACGTAAGCAGCGAAGCCGAGGAGAGCGGCCAGACCAGCGCCCGAGGCGGCGATGTGGTTGGCAGCACCCGTCTGGGTGCTGGAGGCCGAGGCGCCGGCAGTTCCAGACGCAGAACCCGCGGCGGTCGCGGTGGAGGAGAGGACTGGCTTGCTGATGCTGACGGTGCTGTTGGTGCTGTTGCCACCGGTGGGGTAGGGAGCAGAGGAGCTCGACGAGATGACGGGCATCTGGTGGGCCGAGGGAGTCGTGGGGCGAGGGGTGGCTGCGTTGGGAGTGCCGGCCACCTGCTTGGTGACAGTGCAACCACCGGGGCAGTCGGTGATGGTCAAGGTGGTGGCAGAGGAGACGGTGTACGTCTTGCCGGCCTGGGTGAAGGAGGTGGCGTACGGGCAGAAGGTGGTGTACTCGCTGACGACTGGAAGACTGGATCAGCTCGGGGCCTTGACGGACAAAGACAGCGGAGACTTACCCTCGGTCACGTAGACATCGCCGGTGGAGTTTCCGGCAGCCTGGGCACCGGCGGCAAGGGCGGCGGCGGCGACAACGGCGGAGAAACGCATTATGAAGGTCTGGATCTAAGGTGTCGACGGGAGGGGTGCAAAAGAGTGTACTCGGTGACGACCGGTTGCTGCAGGGTGAAGAGAGCGAGAGTGGGTGGGGAGGGAGAAGTGCGGCGGGCAGACGGACAGCATCTTTATAGCAAGCATGGCGTTTGACACCGTCTGGCTGGCCGTTGTACGGGACGGCAATCTCGAGGCTGGCGGCGCCGGTGCTCAGGAGCACGGGTGGACCGAATCAGGTAAAGGGGGCGGTCGGGGGGAGTAGGACGGAAGAGTCTAGCCAGCCGGCCAAGAAGCGAAATTAAACGGCGAAAGCTGGGGCAGAGGCGCAGGTGCAGGCAGGCGGGCCGTGGAGTGGGCGGCCGTTCCCCTGGCGCTTGACTCGCCCGATTCTAGTGTCAGGCACCCGGCCACGCGTGCCACCGGGAGCCACGGGTGCTGGTCGAACGCGTCAATAGAGCATGGATGCTGCAAAAATAGCCGGGGCAGATCGGGATGTGTTCGAGAAGGCGCGAGGTCCAGCCCAGCCGCGAAGGGAGGAGGTGTTTGTGGCGGGGATTGCCTGTTGCCGCGCTTCAGCCAGCTTGTTTCAATTCGCCGCCGCATGAACGCCTGCACGCCTGGCCTCCGGTCGTGGCTGCGGGCCTGGCGGGAGTGGACGGCCGGCGGCCCCGGGCAGGCAGTGTGGCAGTGTGGCAGCGACGCGCTGCGCTGGACGGCCGGTCGTCATCGTGGCCATCGTGGTCGGCGCCACACCAGCCGCCAAGCGAAACCCTCACCAGCCCCAGCCCATCGCATCCTCCACAACAGCACCACACCCCAAGCCTTCCTGCACCCGGCTGCGCCGCCTGTGCTTGGCCACGCGGCTCTGCTCTATTTTTTGCAACACGTCCAATTCCGCTTCGCGCCTCACACGTCGCAGGGCCCGCCGAAATTTACAGTCGCGGCGATCGGCACAGGAGACGCTCCCTCCCCTGGTCTCGGCCCGCCGCGATTTTCCAATCTTTCTTTGGAGTCCACAATCGTCGCGAGCTATGGGCCCGCCCAAGTCTGTCGCTCCCAAGGGCTGGCCGCCCGCCGTCACCTACATCGTGGCCCCGCTGTACTCCAGAGCGTGCTCGCCAGAGCTGATCAACCAGCTTCACACGCCGCCCGCGCAGCCAACGCCCCTCCGACCCCCGCCTGCGCCGTCGCCCTTGGTCCGCGTCACCCAGATCAGTGACCCGTCGCACCCCGCCCACGGCCAGCACGGGCTCTTCGCCTCCCGCCATCTCGCCCCCGACACCTTTGTTATCCTGTACTTGGGTCTTGTTCACACCCGCACAGACGCCGATCCCGCCTCTGACTATGACCTGTCCCTGGACCGTGAGCTGGGAATCGGCGTTGACGCCACGCGCATCGGCAACGAGGCCCGCTTCATCAACGATTATCGTGGCGTAGGCCCACCCGGCCCCAACGCCGAGTTCCGGGAGCTGTGGGTGGACCTGGGTCGAGGCGGCCTGGAGAAACGCATGGGCGTCTTCGTTCTGAGCGCAGGGAAGAGCGGGAAGAGAGCCAAGGGCATCGCCAAGGGCGACGAGATACTAGTAAGCTACGGAAAAGGCTTTTGGAGCGAGCGCAGGAAAGAGCAGGAAGGTGAATCCGAGTCGTCGCCAGCTACCCAGTAGTCCCTTGGTCCCTCGACTCATGTGTCGCTCCGTCGAACATTCCGGATCAGCATGACAGGTCACACGCCATCGAGCCATTGCCTATCATCTGCAAGCCTGTGGCGGTGCGCCCGCCTGGGCGTCGACGAAGAGGGACATCGCCATGGAAATCCCGATCCGCGCGGCTGCTGGGATTCTGTTTAACCCCCAGATCCTCTATCATGCCCATACCAGATGCCCATATGGACGTGAATCTTGCAGGTTACCTAGGACGACCAGCCCGAGTGCTGCCTTTGACTCGTCTCCCCTACTTTGCCCCTGGCGACGGTTCCGAACGAGCTTGCCTCCACATCACTGTGCGGCACGTCCAGTAGGCTATCCGTACCGTAGAGCCGTTCTCTAGTGATAGCGGTCAGTAGTCAACGGGCACAGCGGCACTAGGATTCGATCTAGTTCCCTTCCGATGATGCATGACATCAGCCCACGCGACCGAAATAAGCAGACAGGAAAAACTAATTCCAAGGACAAAGACATTGGCCCATCTAGGTACCGGGCGCGATTCTCGGGACGGTGCAGAGGACTTGGTTCAAGCGGTGGTAGATCGCTCGATGAGCTGGTGTTGAGGTTCTGCTCACAAACGCCACATGAGATCATGTTGACGATCATGGACATGTAGGGGATCTGCGGCAGCAAGATTATCTACCGCGCTTCCGTATTGGGCTACACCTGCGTGGTGTTGTCGCAACTGTGCAGGACAGTCTACGATTTGACTGCAGCCTCCCTGATTCTCCAGATGTTGCCCTTGAAGACGATCATAGGCAGCTCTGCGTCCAATGCAAGGTTCTGTGGCTTGTCGTCGCCGTCTCGGGCGAGCTCACACCACGTTTTGCGCGGGCTCTCCGCATGCTCGTGATTGTGCCCATCGACGTCATGGTTATACAAGTCAGCAGGGTGTTACGGCTCGGGTGGTGGAAGAGGCGAAGCGGGATTGGGAGCGTGTCAGTCCAGCTGCCTTGACGTGTTTGAACAAGCGCTTTGGAGCGAAGCGGGCAGAGCCGGCCGGGCTGAAGTGGCCATCGGACGGCGACGGGAAAAGGACGGCGGTCGTGCATGTTAGGAATCGGGGTGGGTGGGAAACACAGCAGCATGCGATGCACAACCCGGGTTCCTGTTGATTGACAGGCACGCTGACGAGTCCCGAGTCGGGTCAACGTGGTGGAGCCCACCCGACCAGCTGAAAGCAGCATGATCAGCCAACCAACAAGCCGCTTTCGGGCCTTGTGAGGGGCTATGCGAGCTTCCAGAGGGCCCGAAGCGGCAAGTTGGTCGAGCGCTTGCTGCTGCGAGCGCCCGTGTCGCTGGAGTCGATGGTTCTGCGCGGCCGGGCGGGCGAAACGGTGAGAGGGCGGCGACAATGTCGCAGCAGGCGGCTGGGCTGGGCGGCATGAAATGGTCGGAAGCACGAAGGGTGTGGCGGGTCGTCTACCTGCAGCGGCTCAATAAACATGAAGATCGGGCCCAGGCTGCCGACGATCAGCATTTTCGGCGGGTCCCAGGATGCAGCGTCTGCTTGAACTCATCAGGATCCAGGATCGGGCGCGCGCTGGCTTGCTACGTAGGGGCGACGTAGCTCGACGCACGGAAGGCGTCGGCGGCAATGGGGTCATGGGCGGAGCTGGTTGGTGCTGTGGATTGCAGAGGTGGTTGCGGGTGATGCAGTTGTCTTCGGCGGCGCTCGGACCCGTCGAAGCAGCGCGGACCGGCCCTCCGATTCGCGCCTGTTACTTCATCCCTACGTTTCGCACGTCATCGCGTTAATGTATCTCTGGCACCGTCGTCCCGGGGCCCCGGGGAAAAAAATGCTGGGAGGTGAAGGGGGGCGGGCGGCAGGGCAGCTCAAATAGGCGGCGCGCCCCTGGGAGTTGCGCGCGGTCAAAGACGCACCGCTCCAGCCTTGCGAAGCTAGCACTGCAGCCCGTCCCGCTTGACACCCTTGACACCCACCCCACTAGCGCCCCAGACTGCCCGCACTGCGTCGTGCAGCCTGCAGCCAACCCACCCCTGCCGCTGCCAGCCTATCACGCTACCACCGCCGGTATACATAGCACCAGCTCCCAACTATCCTCGCCCCCGGCCTCAATCCTCGCACCACTACTGCCCGCTGCGCCATATATCAACCTGTCCGGCCCGCCCTGCTGCCTCTCCAGCTCCATACTCCACTCCACACCCTCCACCCACCCATTGCCGCCCAACAGTGGTTGTCCATGACTGCGTCACTCGCCCACCTGGATCCTCTTGTCACAATGGCCCCGCAGTCTCGCCGCGGCTCCAGCAGCGTAAGCACGCCGTCGCCCCCTCGCGCCCAGCTCCCCGCTGACCCGCCGCAGAACGACCCCTACCACCGCTATCTACTGCTCTCCACCCAGCAGGAGACTCTCCGCCAGCGTCTGACGCTGCAGATCCCGCCCTCGACATCGACCCTGACCAACGAGCCATCATACTCTCCTCGCTCGTCCTTTTCGTCGGACATGTCCACCCAGTACAGTCCGACACACTCGCCCTCTCAGACTCCGGCAACCCCCCACCACACAGCCGCTCCCTCCAGCGCTGCCAGCTCATCGCCAACTCCCGACATGCCAGGTGTCGTGCACTCCTCTCACGCTTCGCACCACGGCATCCGCGCCGGCCAGCCCGTGCCCGAGGACAGCAAGCTGTATGACGTAAACAAGCAGGTCAAAGCTGTGCTGACCGAACTGCTCAACACCGACAGCGTCAAGCACGACGAGCGCTTCCGCATGTGGGTGCAAGGACGCCTCATGGAGACTGAGATGGAAATGCGTCGTCAGCGCAGGAGACGGAGCAGTGTTGACCGAGAAGTGCTCGAGAGCATCGCCGAGCATTTCTGATTTATCTGAATCCACAAGTGCATTCATTCTGTTGGATTGGGAAAACGGGGCGGAAAAGTTTGGCAGTCGGGAGTTTTCTTTCGGAGTTGCGAGCGTTTGTTCACGATCCTTTTGGATTGTTTTGTCATGGAGCCTGGGCGGCGTTGTGGTTCAGCGCTGTACTATACCGGGCTTGGCGCTTCACAGAGGCAGTGCGGTTTGCATCTTTTTCTTTTGCTTCTATGATACCAGGCGCCACCGGCTTGCGCATTTCACCTCTTTCTTGCGTGTTTCCCCGCTTGTAGCTCTGCAGTTCGTCTAATCGACACCATGTCCATCACCCCATTGCCTCCTTTCTCCGCTCGAGTGTGTTATCGGAACCAGGGCATCACGCAACCTTGACTCGCGGCTTGCGCCAGCTCACGCCTCCGGGACCACCCAACGAACCCTCGTTCAGCCGCGGGCGCCCGTCCTCGCTTTGCTGGCCGCCCTCTCCCTTACCGTCTCTAGCACCAAAGCCAAAGGGCCCGGCGACGATCGTCCCGTCCTACCGGCGCCCTTACCGGCCAACCCTAGACGAGAGCCATCTTGGCCACCCCGCATCTCCAGCAGCCACCACCCACGGCGGCCAGCCAACCACGTCGCGGTCCGCGCGCCCAGCGTCCCCGAGCCTCCCCACGGCGACTTGTCGGACACACAGCCCGCCGCTAGCTGGAGCAACCTGGAACGCTGTCCATGGCCCGTCCTTTTGCCTCCTCTCCCCGTCTGCCCTTTTCCGCGGATGCCTCACCTTCAATGGCGGGCTCCTGTGCGCCAAATGGAGGGAATGGCGGCGCGGCTGTTCGTATAAGCAAGCCATGAACAGGCGGCGGCTAGGTGGGCCGAGATTGGAGCGGGTTATGGGCGAGTTCATCAGACGGGTCATCAGACGGCGGCACCCAGCGGCTCCATCGATGGCTGCGTTGGCGGAATAATCGACCGCCACCCCGCTTCGTTTATTTATAACTCTCGACAACAGGTGTTCTCCGCCACGGTTTTGCGGCCGCTTCTCATCAATCTCCGGTTCGATCGTGCTGGAGCGACTGCTGCACCGGGGCCCGGCCAGGCTGGCTGATGGTGGGCAGCGAAGGCGCCTCTTTTGGCAGGCGTGGCTGTGGGGCAATCAAGTTGCCATGTTTCGTTGGCCTGTGTGGCGGGCACGATTGCGTACCTTTTTTTTTTCTTGCTTCCCCTCACCGGCTGCTCGTTGCGCAAACTACGGCGGATGCGGCAAGGCGCACCGAGAGGGGGAGGGTGCTTGCGGGTGACGGGAGCTGGATGTTTCGGGGCTTGTTCGTGGTTGACTGACGGTGGGGCCAGGGTGGAGTGAAGCCTCAGCTGATAACCCCGCCTTTGCGCTCTTCTGGGGGACGCGAGTGCGGAGTATTGTTATCTTCACGTGCTGGCTATGGGCCTCGTTCGGAGCTCCGCCGCTGTCCCTGGTCTTCCATCTTCGGTGGGCTCTAGACTCCCGGAGATGCATGCGTGTACGTCCAGTGTGGCAGCCAGTCGCGAGCCAATCTCAACTCCCACAACACCAAGGACCGCGTGATTAGCCGCTCAAGCTGCTGCGGATGGGCGCGGATGGGGGGGAGAGCAGGGTCTGCCAGATCAGCCCCAGCCAGATGGGGCGTGGAGCTCAATGCTGACGTGCAGCATGCGCAACCATGCACATGCAAAATTGGCTTTCCTGCCCTCTCTGAAACCATGGGCGGCATTGGTGGATCGCGCGCGCAAAGTCTCCTGATGGGCATCTGATGTCGCAGAAGACGTGGGGAGCGTTGGCGTGTGAGATGCAGGGCCTCCGGATGGGGAACCAAGGGCAGCCTGCGATCCCTCGTCCCTGGCCTGCTCCTGTGCCCTGGGGCCTACTGGGCAACAGAGCGGCGTGGCCATGCACCGCTGGTTCCAGACAATCCACCGCTTGCAGAAGATGGTGAGGAGAGAATCCAGTCCGTTGTCGGCACCTCACTTCACCATGACCGCGGGCTCCTGCACCTTGCTGTCTCCAACACGGGAGGACGGAGGTGGTCGACACGGCGGCCATCAAGGCCATGTCAGTGCTTTGTGGCTTCTCATCACTTGGCGTGTGGAGCATGGGAAAGGAAATAAGAGAGTGGGGCGCACAAACACTTTCCTGGCACCTCTGGGCATCTGTCGTAGTCGTGGGTGGAGCCATGCAGGTATACGCATAGAAGGTTTCGAGAATGATTGTCTCGGTCATTGAACGCCCGGGGGTTTGCGATTTCTCGTGCAGCCCAGCACTATCCTGCAAGCAACATTCTCCCCTATTCCTCCCACTTCCCAGAAAGACGCCAGGTTATGCTTTTTGTTTTTAATGCCATTCCACGCCGCTCTAAGGAAAAGAAAAAACTGATCCGCCGTTTTGCTGCAGTCAGATTACCGGGTCTGTTATCCAGAAATTCTCCTCCGTCGACCTCTGACATGCATATGCTTGCAATTCTACTTCAATCTCTCCGGGATTTCCGCTCCCTCCTCTGCGGCAGCAGTGTCTGTAACGCCACTCATCATCTCCTTCGCGCCCCCTTCCTCACACTCATGCACGATGCGCTTCCAGCGTAGTTCCTCTGCTTCGTCCTTGACGAACTCGATCGTCGGGAAGTAATGTTCATTCTTCTTCATGGTTGCCACCCACGGCACGTTGTCGAACGTCATGACCTTCAGACGGAAGTACGTGTTGTCCGCGATCTTTTTGACCTCGCGCAAGAACGAACACAGGTCAGGCGTCGGCACTCCGTTGACGTGGGTCAAGAAGTTGGTCGGCGCAAGGCCGTAAGCGCAGGCAGGAGAACCGCGCATCCGACCAGAGACGTATATGTCCGAATGAACTTTACTAATCTGCTGACGCACTGCATGGTGCGGGCGGTGCAGAATAGCGCCGCAGAACAGGACGGCACGGTCGGTCTCGAGATCCTCAGTCGGTACTGTGGGTACCTTGATGCTGATCTCTTTTTGCTTCCGAATGATGACAGCATCAAGATGCTCGTTGTCGTACATAATGTCGAGATCAGAGACGCGGGTGATTAGCTTGTCATTGAACGACAAAATGACGTCGCCCTCAAGCAGGCCACCCTCGTGCCCAGAGTCAACTTTACGCACCATAAAGAGCTGGTGGCGTTCGGGATCCTCGTGTTCCACACGCTGGATCCATTCTAAGGTGCGTTAGCAGACATTTTTTTTTCAGTGACGGGGAAAATGCCACGTACCTTCGGAAACCCCCATAATACGGGCCTTGTCCATCTGGACCGTGTGCATCTCAACATTCAGGATGCGCAGCTTCGGCTGAACCCCATTGCGAAGTTGACGTAGCACCGGCTCAACCATGGGTGTTGAAAGACCAAGGTGGTACTCCATGTCTTTGCCGCTGTGAGACGAGCGCTCGCCAAGATATGTCAGCCAGATGGCTTGGACGGTGCCATCCTCGGCGATCAGCACGCCACTACCGCACTGTCCTGCCAGGTTCGTGTCCACAGTGACAGCGTCCAGGTTGATGGCACGGTAGCGTGGGGTGGCGGCACTTGCAGGAATCGCAACCGTTGTGATATCTGTGACGACAGTCTTGGCCACAACAGGGCGCAGGTTTTGGTTGAAGCCGAAGAAGATGGTTTCCTCGCCCTGCTTGATGAACTTGTCCGACAGTTTGGCCGTCTTCACGGGAGCTTGGACGAGGGAAGGATCGTACTTGACGATGGCGTAGTTCTGGAGAGGATGGAGGAACACCGGCTTGCCTTCAACAACTATCGAGTCGGCAATGGTGATTTGGATATCGCACAGATCGTACGGGACGATTGCACGGGAGACGAGCACAAGACCCTTTTCGGCATCCACAACAAGCCCATAGCCAACTTTCCTAGACCTGGGGAACCCATCGAGCTTCAGCGGCATCGATGAAGCTATCCGAACGAAGCTCCTCACGATGTCGACTGCTTGCGGGTGCTGCGCGTGGTCCATCCGGATGAAATTCGCGCGCTGAGGCTCGCGCAGCTTAGGTGGGATACGGTCTGCGAGATCTGAGAAGTCCCACAGACCAGTGGCGTCGTTTCGCTTAGCCAATTTCATCTTGTCATGCCAATGGCGATCGATGGTCAGGACGCTGGTGTTCAAGGTGTGCAGGTCGCGGATATGTTTGTAGGTGACGACAACCCTGCTGCGATCTGGTTGAGAAAACATGAGCACTGGAAGCACCAAAACGCCGCGGGAAAGCTGACGTACCAGGAATCTCTTTCATGACTTTGACAAAGGTATCGAGATCCGGAGTCTCCTTGTGGTCAATTGACTGGACCAGCCAGCCATATTCGCTACCTTCGAATCGGAAGGATCCGGCTGCCTCGCACACGAACACGCCCATGCCCTTGGTAGAAATGGCATACAGCCTGGCCTGCTGGTACGAAAGCTCGTGAAACGAGGCGCCGGCTGCCGAAACGAAGCGATCAGGGGTAATGGCATGGAGATCTTCAACGGACACTTCGACTTCCATGTCCACACCCTGGCGCTGGATCAAGAGCTTGATGATTCCGCCAACGCTGGAGTCAAGGGTATCGTCAAGGCGGATGAACTGAGTGATGAGCTCGCCATTCGCCTTGATCATGATATCACCCTCCTGGATCTTGGCATCCGCAGGCCCATTCGGAAGAATGACTTCAGCAACCAGAAGGCACGTCTCCTTGGGAAATTCCTTTCTAAGTGCATCTTCCCAGTTAGCGGTCAGGCCCAGCCTACGACACTCATCAAAAGGCTTGAGGATCCACTGGGTCTGGATGGTACCACGCGTCACAGGCTCGCCTTTCTGGACACACTGCAGGGCACGGAGTGGACGGTCCAGCGGGAGGAAGTAGTCGGTCGCAGCTCCGTCAGCTCGACCGCCAGCTTGCAGAGCCACAGCCGCTCCGTCACGGTTCACAACGGGACTGCCGGAACTGCCACCGCTGGCAGCAGCAGCAGCCTGAATGTAGTTTGTGTTGAAGTCGCTGTAGCCTTCTCCATATTCGGGAGCATTGCGATCCAGGCGGCTGATGACACCAGAAAGGATGCTAAGCTTCTCACCGGCATCGTTGCCAACAACCCTAATCTCCTCTCCAACGCGGGCCAGGTCCGGCCTGAGCTCCAACGCCGACAAGTCCATGTACTTTACAGCCTTGGGGTCGTATTTGAGGATGCCAAAGTCATGGACAGGATCGCGATAGACCGGATGAACGTCGACCTGAGGAAAGTCAGCCCCGTGTGTTGTGTGCAGGCGTCCAAGCTTGTGTGACAGACCTCCTCGTGATTGTCGAAGATGACGTATCCCCAAAAGGGGCCTGCGCCGACGACATGCTGCAAAACCATCAGCTCAGCGCGCGAAGCATTTGGAAAGCGAGATGCCTACTCTGTTTGTAAGGATGTAGCCCCGCTTGGCATCGACAACGAAGCCGGTAGCTTCGCTGGCCAAGGCGGAGTCGGTGTCAAAGGCGGCCGTCTGGCAAAAGTGGATGGAGACGACATTCTTGACGACCTTCTCGATGGTGCGCTGCCACTCGACCGTGTCGCCAGATGCGCCGATGTGGGTGACGGAGCGCATGTCGTCCGAGTCGTAGTCCATGTCCATGCCATTGGGCTGGGAGCCGTTGGCGCCGTTCATGGCGGCTTCTTCTTCTTCTTGTCCGGGCTGTGCTTGGGCGTCGCGCTCGGGGCGGCGCTGCTTCATGGGGCGGTCGTTGGAGGGCGTGGGGGGCTGCTTGCGCTTGCTGCGGGTGTCGTGGCTCTTGCGGTCCATGGCGACGGCGGGGGCGCGGCACGTATGCGGATTGGGCTGATGGAGGGAGCTTAATGCGCGGCGGGCGATGGGCGCAGACAACAGGCCGGGGGCGGGGGCAGCGCAGAAGGTAAGTGGCTGGCGCGGCGCAAGCAAGAGGGTGCTCGAAGGACGGAGACACAGCAGCGGCCGGGAAAGGCGCAGGTGCAGCGCTGGACAGCCAATTAAGGAGCGGCACAGGCGGGCGGGCAGAGGGCCAGCACGCATTCGACGGGAGAGATTGGCGACTCAACACCCACGGCTACTCGACGGGGCGGCGGGCTCGTGTGGATGGGGCTCTGCGCGATGAGGAGCGTCAAGGTGTTGACTTGCATTCAAATTTCAGGGCCGCCATGCGACCAGCGCCGGCCATTGGCCCGCGCGCCCGTCCGAGCGCACGGCAACGTCACTGCCAGTTGCTCGGCTGCTCTGCACGTCACTCGCTTTGATTTGCATGCTCCCTGCCAGCTATCTGCACTATTCATCTGCCTGTCCGCCCCCATTTCCTTGGCCGAGAGAAAGCCCACCGCAGCAAGCCACAGCACATGATGTTGCATCCACTCCGCCGCCGCCCTCAAGTGAAGACGCAGCTTCCTAATTCGACCTTTTGATCTTTCCTTGGACGTTTCCCCGTCTGCCGCCCCTTGCTCCGCGACAAGTACGTCTCGCCCGTTGGAGATCACTGGTCGCGCGTCTGCTTCCTGTCACGCTCGCTGGCCTCATCTTCCTTCTCGTCGTCGTCCTCCTTGTCGTCGTCGCCGTGCTGCTCGCCTTCACTCTTGACCTCGGCCTCGGCGTCTTCGGCGCTTGCCTCGCCCTTGGACGCTGCCTCCTCCGGACAAGCTTTGGCCAGCTCGGCGCTGTCTGCTTCTCCAATCTCGCCGCTCTTGAGTTTGTCGAGTTGTGGCCTGTAGGAATCCGCAAGGCGCCTCATCATCATCTTGACGGCTGCTACCCTCTTGCCCGGAGGGAGAGTAGCCTTGCTCCAGTCGATCGTAGCAGCACCGCTGTCAAACAGGTGAACCAAGAACACCATCTGCAACCTCAGTCGGTGGAGCGCGCATCTGTCTCGGCGTACTCATGGGCAGAACGTACCTTCGTCTCATCGGTCCACCGGAAAGCAGCCTTTCCGTCGGCCATGTTGTTTGGATGCGAGTCGCGTTAGCTTTGCTTTGCGCAAATACGGTGTTGATCTTGCTTCTCACTCGCGGTAGTCTCGACTGCCTTGGAGGTAGCGATGTGGCGGTGGTGTTGTGGTGAAAGCAGAGAAAGAACGAAAAGAAGAGCGGGCGGTGGCTTTATAGCTTTCAGGTACTGCTCTGCTGACCCTCGTAGCATCTGTTCACGTGGACCCTGGAACTGGACCCTGCTTCACCTGCCCTTTACGGAAATCGAAGGCGCGGTTCGATCGTACATATCGACAAGACATATTGTGCCCAGCATGTGTGGATATCCCCACAGACTTCTCCCCCACTATGGTCACGTAAGTTCAGCGCATCGAGATCTTCAAGGATCCTGGGCTAGGACGGGGTCTACTTTCGAAAAAGGTATGCGTGAAAGTGAGCCGAAGCGTGTCTTGGGATAGAGTTGTGGAAGTGACCGATTTTCAGTACGCTTGGTTTTGCTGTCTGAATGTATCTGCCACGTATGGCATGGCTGCATACTACTCGTGAAGGACTCGGATGGATGTGGCTGGTGCAACAGGATCTAATCATCATAATCATCATAAGATTCTAAAAGCGTGGGTTTCTTTGGAGACCCCAATTGCGCGGAGAAAAAAAGTAGAGGGATTGACAGGCAAAATCTGGTCCAAGGTTCCTCGTGATCTATGAGGAGTGCAACAGGTGTGGGCACGACGTGGTGAGGCCAGCGGCGCGGCCACAACATCCTGCAGGCTAAGAACTGCGGCGGGCGACAGAAACCCCCGACGCAAGCGGGCGTCGCATCCCCGCCGATCGCATCACCCTGGCCGTTTCCGCCGACGCAGAGGGAGGCCTGCGCCAGAAACCACCACACCTCCACATCCGCCGCCATCATGGTGTTGTCCTACATCCTCATCCAAAACCGGCAGTGAGCGACCGTTGAAGTTCCCGCATCCTTCGGCTCCCGCAATGCTAACGGCTGCTTGTTGCTCGCCCGCAGGGGCAAGACGCGCCTGGCCAAGTGGTATGCGCCGTACAGCGTAAGCTCCCCCTCTCCACTGCACGCGCTGCTCCACCGCATCGTCCGCATCCGCTAAGCTCGCATCTGCCGTCTAGGATGAAGAAAAAGTCAAGTTAAAAGGCGAAGTCCGTTCCCCGCCTGCCCCGTCCGTCGCTTCGATCCCGCCCGTTCCCGCGGTTGCCCGTCTCCAATTCGTGATGGCCATGCCTGGCTCATCGCCCATTCTTGCAACGAGCCTCTGACGCCCGAGTTTGATGCTAGATCCACCGTCTTATTGCGCCGCGCGATCAAAAGCACCAGTCCAACTTTGTCGAGTTCCGGAATACATCCAAGATCGTGTATCGCCGGTACGCAGGGCTGTTCTTCTGTGCATGCGTCGACACCAACGACAACGAGCTTGCCTATCTCGAGGCCATCCACTTTTTCGTCGAGGTTCTGGACGCGTTTTTTGGGAACGTCTGCGAGTTGGATCTGGTGTTTAATTTCTACAAGGTTGGTGACTGCGAGCTCGACAGCAGTGAAGATAGGGGCGAAATCACTCCGCGAGCATTCGCGTCATGGGATTCAATCGCAAATTGGTGTTCGTGCGATGGCCAGGCTGACGAGATGTTCACGGCAGGTCTACGCGATTCTTGACGAGGTGTTCTTGGCCGGGGAGATCGAGGAGACGAGCAAGCAGGTGGTATTGACACGCCTGGAACATTTGGACAAGCTGGAGTAAACAAGGAGACGGGGTGCAAGATAGCACCGCTTCGAGTAGAGTCGCATCGGCGTAGGAGTCTGGCGTCAGGATTCGAGAAGTGTTGGCTTAAGCTACTCTTCCCCAAGGAAGTCGATATCAATGCTTGAGGAACATGAACTTATCTATATTTAGTCACTGAAACATGATTCAGACACATGTGACTACGCGACTGAGCTCTCTGCATAGCCCTCGACCCCCAACCGCCGGTTGTACGCAGCAACCGGCTACTCGACACCCTGGTCTCTCAGCATGCACGGCACAACCTGCACTGTGCAGTGCGGTGTACGGATTAGAAGCCGGACTCCTAAGCGGGTATGTCTGGGATCATGAATGGCACCACACGCGCCAAAATAGGCATCGTCGGCACGAGCAGTCCCATGGCGGTGGGCCAGGCACAGCGGAACGCGCCGTCACGTTGACAGATGGAGCCAGGGATATTTCTCGAAAGCCCGCGAGTAGCCGAGGGCCAAGCCAGCGACAAGTCCACAACAGAGCTCGATTCTTCACCGGTAAGCAGTGCAGGGGATGTCTCGGAGGAGGTGCAGCATGCTTGGGTCATGTCGGCGCATCTCGGCGAGCAAGGAGGCTGCTTGCCGAGTGTCTCGCAGGAGCAACCGGGCATATATCTTTACCAGCTAGTGATCATCATGGGTATTTGCAGGCAGACGGCCGGGCAAAACCGTGTGCACCGGCAAGCGCTAGGTAATACAAGCCAGGCACGCCGCGGCGCTACACGGTCAAATACATTTCGTAAATGCGGGCTGCCAAGCACGGGCGTTAAGGCAGTTGGGCACGGGGAGCTCGCGTGGGCGGGCCTGACGTGAGGCTAATGATACCAAGCATCAGTCGTCATCGGCATCGGCAAGAAGGCAGCGGCGCCGGCGGCGGCGCCAGCGTCCCGGATGACCGTTTTACCGCGTGGAAATGGCTGAAGGGGCGGGTTGGGTGGCGGCAAGGTGGCTCCGATTTGGCCAGCACGGCGGAACTCCGACTTCGGGGCATGGTCCTGCTGCACCATGGCCCTGCTGCACCATGGCGTATTGATGAGGCGCCTGGACCCTGAGCGGAAGTTGCCCCCATGGGCGGTCTTGTTCCAAGAAATATCGTGGAATAATCGGACGCTTTGACAGGTGCTTTCATCAGCTATGGCTGATTGTCGAAGCCACGCTGAATGGTCGGGCAGACATGTGCGCGCGCCCTATTACCGACACGGCCGCGGGCTGGGCGAGGGCGGCGTGTGCAGCTGGAGGACCTGGCGCCGTGACGAAGCGTCGACCGCGTGTCGGGCAGACAGGTGGCGGGCGTCGACCGGCGAAGCACCCATGAAGGATGCTGGAGTAGGCACTTCGGTGCGGAGCTGAGACGTTGGTCTGCGGCGCTGTTCTCGACAAGTCAACGACTGATGTCGATTCCATGGGTCCAGGGTGAAGTGGGAGGACCGATGAGGTTGGAAGAAGCGCACTGGCGCACCCTGCACGGGATTTGCTCAAGCAGGCTCGCGCCTATCTTGACGGGGCCAGTTCTCCGCGTGTGATGGCCGCTGTGCCACGAGATGAACGTGGAGAGTCGGATGGGCAGCATGGGGTGAGGGCGGCGCTGGGCGATAGGCGCGCGGAGCAGACAGCAGGTATTTGTACACGACTAATTCGCGGCCCCAGATCACGGCACTGGCTGCATCGGGGCGCGTTCCACGCGGATCACGGCAGCGCTGCGAACAGGCAGGCTGGGCGCCTGGATGGCTGGATGCGCGCGACCCGGCTGGCAGGACGCGGCGAGTCGTTGCAGGCGCCGAGCACAAATGCCTACACAGTGACGGCGATGCGGGTGGGAGATGGCAGGCGCGAGGCGGCGATTTGGGGGTGGGTGAGCGGCGGGCGGTGATTGGGCGCGAGGGCTTATCTCTGGGCTGCGGACAAGCTCGTGCTTGGCGGCGATCTAGAAGCGCGCTAGGCCGGAGCAGGCAGGGGTCCCTGTGGTCGCTGGCCAGTGTGGTCGCGGCTTGCATAAGGCGATGACATATCGAAGATAAGGGCGCCGCTGCTGGGCGCCCATCCGTCATCCCGTGCCAAGGCGATTCCGCCCCGGCGCTGCAGCTGCGCGGGCGGGCGGCGACATGGAGGGCGGATCGCAGGCTTCACAGCAGGCGCGCGCGCGACTCGAGGGCTGCGCGGACGGCGCGTCTGGTCGTCGGTCGTCGGTCGTCGGTCGTCGCTCCACGCTGGCCGCCACGCCCAGCTGGACCCATAGTAGAGGCGCAGGCGGGCCAGCCGCGAGCCAGGTGGCCGGCTGTTTGCGGCGGCGGCCAGGCACAGCGATCCCCCGTCAACGTCCGGCGCGCGGTTCCATGGCCACACATGGCCACACTACCGCGACACTGGCCGGTGCGCAGGCAGCCCGGGCTCCAGATCTCTGGTCGAAGCCACCCGGCCGAACCCCACGAGGCGCCCGCCGCCTCTCGTCTAATTTGCCGCAACGGGCGCGACAAGGGGAGATAAGCAGACGGCGATGCAAACCCTTGGGTACTTTGACGTTTTCACAATACGTCGGCACAACCAGGTCGTGCGAGGCGGCCGCGTTAAAATGCCACCCCGGCCCCGCTCCAGCCCGCAGATCCAGAGAAGCACCCGGAGCTTTTGTACTTCAACCCAGCCCTCCCAACCCTCCCGCCGGCCGTCGCCTCACAGCTCACGCGGCCGCTCACTCACCACCCCCCGCCCCCGTCCACCGCAGCCGTCATGTCTTACTCGTGGGTCGGCGCGCCCACGCCCTTCAATGGCACCGACACCGACCTCGGTGGTGATTCCAGTACGCTGCCTCGCCGCACGTGCCAGCTGATCTGTCTGGACTGACCCGCCTGTGTGCAGAAACCGAGAACCTCAACCAATGGTACCAGTCGGGCGACCAGGCCTACATCATCGTGGCCTCGGCCATGGTGTTGATCATGGTCCCTGGCCTGGCCTTCCTCTACTCCGGGCTCGCGCGCAGAAAGTCGGCCCTCTCCATGGTCTGGGCCTGCATGGCCTCGTCCTCCATCATCACTTTCCAATGGTACTTCTGGGGCTATTCGCTGGCCTTCAGCACCAACACCACCAATGGCTTCATCGGCGATCTGTACAAGTTCGGGCTCATGAGGACGCTGGGGGCCCCTAGCCCCGGCAGTCCTCTGATTCCCGAGCTGCTCTACGCCTTCTACCAGGTCAGCCCCTTCCCCATTCCCCATTCCCCAGCCACACGTCTTCTGACCCTCGTCCAGATGCAATTCTGCGCCGTCACCGCCGCCATCGTCGTCGGCTGCGTTGCCGAGCGCGGCCGCCTGATTCCCTGCATGATCTTCATCTTCGTCTGGGCCACACTCGTCTACTGCCCCGTCGCCTGCTGGGCTTGGAATGCCAACGGCTGGTTCTACGTCTGGGGTGGACTGGACTACGCGGGCGGTGGCCCTGTCGAGATCGTTTCCGGAATGTCTGCTCTGGCCTACTCGTTGATCCTGGGCCGTCGCCAGGAGAGGATGATGCTCAACTTCCGCCCGCACAACGTCTCGCTCATCACCCTCGGCACCATCCTGCTGTGGTTCGGCTGGCTCGGCTTCAACGGTGGCTCGGCTTTCGGCGCCAACCTCCGTGCCGTCATGGCCTGCTGGAACTCCAACCTGACGGCCATGTTTGCTGCCATGACCTGGGTTCTGCTCGACTGGAGGCTTGCTCGCAAGTGGTCCATGGTTGGCTGGTGCTCGGGTACCATTTCCGGTCTTGTCGCAGCCACGCCCGCCTCGGGTTTCATCACGCCGTGGGCCAGTGTTGTTCTCGGCATTGTGACGGGCGTTGTCTGCAACTTTGCCACCAAGAGTGAGTCGGGTTTCTTCGTCGACTGCCGCAGCCTGCTAACGTCATTCTAGTCAAGTTCTGGATCCGCATTGACGACGCTATGGATGTGTTCGCTGAGCACGGCGTTGCCGGCATGATCGGTCTTTTCTTCAACGGCCTCTTCGGTGCCAGTTACATCATCGGTCTCGACGGCGTCAACACGGGCATTCTCGGCGGCTGGGTCGACCATCAGTGGGTCCAGCTCGGCAAGCAGGTTGCCTACATCGTCGCCGTCACCGCCTACGCCTTCGTCGTCTCTGCGCTCATCGCCTTCGTCATCAACAAGATTCCCGGCCTGCATCTGCGTGCGTCTGAAGAGGCCGAGCTCCTGGGTATGGACGACGACCAGCTCGGCGAGTTCGCGTACGATTACGTCGAGGTCCGTCGCGATTACCTGGCGTGGACTCCGGCGAAGAACGAGCCGGCGGCGGCCGACCACCAAATCCCTCAGGGCGAGCGTCACGGCATCCCGCAGCACAGCCAGATGCTCGAGGGCAAGGAGCCCAGCGACTCGAGTTCGGGCCACGAGCACACGGGCATTGCGGGCGACAGGCACGCAGTCACGCTGGAAGAGAAGGCAGAGGGCGCGATGCAGAGATGAGCAGGGGCTGGCTGGTTTATATGTGGCTTTTTACGATGTTGATTTGAGCGAAGCACTGGCGTTGGATACCAAGAGATTGATTTGGATAGGCACATTATCCGCTGTCTGCAAAAGACGGTACATACAATAAAAACTTCTTCGACTTTTACGCAAAACACGTTTGAGCAGTGTACCGGGCATGCCGCCTCATCGAGTCCAGCATGACGGCATCGCTTGGCTATTGATCTTGTGCTGGCGCCGGAGACGTCCCGCAAATGCTCATACCACGGGCTGGCCTAGAACGGAGGGCAGTGCCCAAACCGCTTAGTCGTTTGACAGGAGCGCGCCAAGGAAAGCCTTATCAGGACGAGCCACTCGCGCTTTCTGCCTTCCGCGTGCGCTCTGCGGCGCTCCATATGCCCAAAGACCACAACCGGCGGTTCAATCAAGATCAGCCAGCAAGCAGACGCCAGGCTGCCGATCTCGTGGTGCTCTGGTCTGCGATCATCCAAGAAATCAGCGATCGGTCCCGACATCATGCCAGCACGCCGGCCAAGGCTCACCCGCTTATCTCCACCGCGGCAGTTCCTCTCCAAAGAGTCGACGAGAGGCACAGGCTCATGACATCACCAGTTGCGGGGTGGAGGCGGGTGCCTGTGCGTACGTGTGCAGATAACGCGCCCCGTCATGCATCCTGGCAACCCGCCCACCGCTTCAGTGGATCTTGTGGGGTGCAGGCGCGCGCCAGCCCCATGTCCTTCCCCCGCTGCCGCTCTCCTGGCGTCGCAACTTCCCGGCAGAGCGGGTTGTGGCGTCGCCGGGACGCATGTGCACAGATAAGGAACCCGCGGTTATCAGGGAAGATGGAGTGGACTGACTCGGCGAGCCCGGCGACGCCTCGAACAGGACATATTGGCTGTTGTCGACGCCTGGTCTGCTTCGGATGCTCGACCCACGCCACGAACGCCCTGCTGGCTGGCGGTACCCTCCGAATCTACCGCAAGAAGGCGGCAACCCGCTTTCTCGTTGCAGCAAACCGAAGCGCGCCGCCCCCGACTTTCACGTGCTGTCAATCTATGCCTCTGGAACGGTTCACTTCGCCATTGTGGCTGGCTACCATCCTTTCTCATGGCTCTTGGCATACTCTCCCGCTGCTTTGTCCCGGACGCACCGCTTCAATCCTGCCTTCTGGCCTTCCGTCGTCCTCTTTGGCCTGACTCCGCATCCCATCGCCACGACTTCCAGAGAGCTCCTATCCCCGCCACGCTGATCCATCACACCTACTCCGGCTCGACATACCAGACTACAAGGATAGGAGCACTCCTCCCTCTTCAGATGTGGTCCCAGAGGCCGTCGGAGGCGGCCTTTGTTCTCCTGCTGCTAAGGTGACGAGCACCGAGCACACTGGCATCGAGACAAAGGAAACCAGCACATGGCAGAGCCAGAACACCAAATGTTACTATGAATAGGCCCTGTCGAACAAAGGCATCGATGAGATGAGTGTTTGGATAATGAGGCGAAGGGCTGGCATCGTCGAAGAACCCCTCCTCTTTGTCCGCCTTCTCGCCCTCTGACAGTGTTTAATAACTTTCCCGTCCGCTAACAACCACTCTCGACCTTGAACATCGCCGTTCTCTACTTTCGGTATTCCCTTTGCATCTTGTTTGTGAAGCTGGTCTTCGCCCACACGCTCGTTCCACCGTAACAAGCGCTCGCCGTTCGAGCTTCCAGTCGTTTTCGTTTTGTAAGCTGCAGGAAAGAAGACCTAGAAACATGCCAAAGCCTCTCACAATCACGCCTGCCCCGTTCAGGCCCTCCAAACTTTCCATCCCCCCTTCCCCTTTCTCTCCCCGCCTGCCCCTGACTCCCCCAGCATCGACGCCAAAGGAAGGCTCGTTGGTGCCGAACAGAAACAAGCGCGAGCTCTCGTCTCCTAGTACACCACCACCGTCTCCGCCGCTGAAGTGGATCTGGCAATGCCACGTCTGCCACCGGGCCTATCTCCTCGGCATGACCAGGCGGTGTCTGGACGATGGCCACTACTTCTGCTCTGGTGTGACCACGGTCAAGACATGGCGTGCCAGTGCCAACCCGAGGAAGGGCAGGAGGACGAAGAAGCACCGGGCGTGCGCTAGCGAGTTCGACTACGGGGGGTGGAAGGCGTTTGGAGAATGGCGGCGCAACGAGGAGGCCATCCGCCGCGCCTCCTTCGCTGACACGGTCGACTTCAGCACGAGCACCGGTGGTTTCTTGTCGCCCCGCCCGTCTGCGCAGAGCAAGGTCGCCCGCAACTGCTGGAACACCTGTGATTTCCCCTCCGAATGCCGCTGGGGCTCGCAGCACGGCGTCCAGGCCGCGTGCGCCGCGTCGCCGATCCTGCCTTCTCCCCCCGACGAAGACACGGGCCCTCAATCCAGCGAGGTCTCGGCCTCTACCCCCGACGCCATCAAGCTCGACACCGCCTTGGCCACCAACGACACGCCGCCCACGACCTTCGATGGCATCCTCAACCACAGCCAAGAAGGGGAGCTTTCGCCATTGTCGCCCAAGGAGCTGCGTGGCCGCTTCTGGGATGGCATCCTCGACTCGGCACGGCAGCGCAGGCTGAGCAAGTCCGGCAAGGCCCATTCGCCACTCACACTCAACCCGGTCACGGAGAAGGACGAGCCGGTGTCGCCCAGCGACCTGGATCGCGAGCAGCTCGCCTCTCCTGAACCTGCCGCCTTCGATCAAAGCACACGCTCGAAGGGGTTATTCGAGATGTCGGATCGGTGGACATTGTCGGAGTCGGGACAGGAGCGTGGACATGTCCAGATCCCGGAGCCCGCGCTCGTCGTGAGCCACGGGTTCGACTTTGGGTTTGAGATGGCAGACAACGGTATGGATGCGGGGATTGAAGCAGGAAGGAGCGATGCAAAGAGCCGGAAGAAAAGCAAGAAGGGGAAGAGAAAGTTGACAAAGAGGACGTAAGAGACTGTTTCATCAATGTACATGTTTTCACCCAATCACATACAAGACAATGGTTTCCAAGTTCTGCTATTCAGATGCATACGTCAAAGTGGAAGTCTGTGGGTAGCGAAATCATCTATGTGACTACTTGTCATACAGTATAAGGCCAGTGCGGCGTCGTACTTTTTCTAGTCCGACGGTTGTGAGCCCGGACTTTGCTATATGGCTCCGTTGCATTGAAAAGTCATCTTAGCTTCCTTGGGAGGCACTGGATAGTCCAACACAAGGACTCGGGGCGAAGAATAGCCCACGCAGGGCAAAAACAACCCACACCAATAAGGGTTTATAGTTTGAACCATGTCATCAGCCGCCTCCACCAGCAAGCGGCGCCAGCAAAAAAATCGGTAAATGACTAGTCCCGCTCGTGTCTGTTGCCGAAAGTATACAGAATTTACTGATATGAGGCAACCAAAGATGCCGGTCGTGTGGCGGCCCGCACGCCCCCGGGATGCTCGGACCCGGAGCTTCTGTACCTTTACTCGCAAGCTTTCGCCTCCCTTGTAATCAGAGCTTAAAATTCATGCGAGGAATTGGGTGCTCGTTGCTTTACCCGCTACCGGAGGTCATGACTAACTGTTTAGATATAACAACAGAGGTCATCCCACTGCAATCGTTGAGTTCCAGCTTCTCCAAAGCCCCAGGTTGTCATGATGGTTTCGTGCACAGGAACCCTGCTTCAAGCACTGTTGTTACTCCGGGCGGGTGCTGCCTATGCCCAGGAGGATTTTGCGGCGCGCAATCTACGGACCATCCAGGCAATCTACAATCTGACGGTGTGTTTCATTGCTCTTTGCTGGAATCGGAGCTGACGCAACATAGATATACCCTAAGAATGCACCAATAATAGCACAGGGTGGCTCTGCTGTACCGCCAGGTCTCTTCAACCCGGAAGCCACGGGCAGGATTACGCCGCTGGGCAACTTTACCGGTTTCGAGGACAGCATCGAGTATTTCTTTGGACTTGCTCCTACACCGCAGACAAACGCTGCAGACCTCGGTCTGTATGAGGCTGAAATCGCCGCTTTTTCCAGCGGCTGCCCCGAGGTCGCGGCAAGCGTGGTGTACCTGAAAGGAGGCGCTGTAAACAATGTTACTGGCGGGCTGCTTCCAGGCTCGCCAACAACCACGCTGAAGCAAGTGGGTTCCCCAGGACATACGAATCGAGTGGGAAAGGGTTTCTATGTACTCACTGTCTCTCTTGTTAGATTGCCTTTTGGAAATTCGACGCCGAGGGGCTCGTTCAGCAATACGACGCCTGGATCCCGAACCTGCAGCTCTGGACGCGCGTCGCCAACGGCATCGACTACGAGAATAGAGCAATCCAGCAAGGCACTGTCACTCAAGCTCTCTGCCCAACCATCCAGCGGCAGTGTTCGGGCAAAGACCAGGTCTACCAGAGCGTGGACGACTGCATCGGCCAGCTGTCGGCGAAGCCTTTCGGTACATTTGACGAAGTTTGGGCGGACAATGTGGTGTGCCGAATCATTCACGTACTTCTCACGGCTATCAGGCCGGATGTGAGTGTTGCGATGGTTGCCCGTCATGTTCAGCAAAGCTAACGCGGTGTCAGGTTCACTGCGCTCACGTAGGCCCCACTGGCGGTGGAAAGTGCGTGGATATTGACTATAGACTGGATTATTTCGACGACGATCTTCTTTTCGGCCTTCCGGAGCCGTTCATTTGCCCGCAGATAGTGGAAGATACTCTGAGCACTCTCGGAGCGGGTTATTGAGACGACACCTCTTCCATGGTCAGGCTGGGGGAAACACCACTTTCTCCTCGATCACGCGTCAGAGACATGCAGCAACTTGGATTAGACAATAGCTTTTTATTTGATTCATGTACCTGAATATCAGCTGGCTCTCGCACCAAGTCTCACTGACGTATAAAGTGATGTCTAAGATCAGACCTTGGTGCCATGTGGTTACGCAGAAGCTGCAGTGGAAGCATTCGAGAGTCTCTAACTTCAACTCCGGCTTCTTGCATAGCATTGCTTTTGGGAAAGGTGGGCCAAGCCGTCGATATCCCCTATCTTTTGCGCCATCACTTGTGATACCAATAATAACGAATCTTCTCCGGAACATGGCGGGAAGCCCGGAAGCTGGCGGGAAGCCCGGAATATGGCGGGAAGTCTATCCTGTTCATAGCGAAGGTTTAATTCATTTGTCCACCTTGATGCAACTCCATGCTGACTTTTAGTGCCGAGTCATTTTTATTGATTCCCAACCTTAGACAGCCCCATGAAAACCCTCTAAGCGACGTAGCTTTCAAAGTTGCCCCTTTCTTCAGTTACTGAGTATTCGAGAACACTATGTGTACTTAGTTTAAGGGGACAGCGCTTCGTATGCCGCCAATTAATAGTTGCTTTTATATATTTTATTGAATTCCATGTGAGTTCTGTGAAAGAGTAGTAAAAGCGCCGCATTAAATCGAGTTATCCACCTACATAGAAACGCAGCGTCCGCCGCGGGGATTAGAGGGGTCACTGGCCGCAGGAGGTGCTGGACGCCCTCCAACAATACCGAGACGGAGCCTTCAACTACTGACCATTTTCACCCCGGTCCCTCATCCGGTTCACCACTTCAGGTTAGCTTCTTCCACCTTGGCTAGCGCTCTCACCGTACAGACAGCCATTGCGTTCGAATCTCAAAGTGCCAATGACATTTCATCCCCTTGTGATGATGCCATTGACCAACCAGAGAAGCAAGAAGCGGGAAACTAAACATGCATTCATGCCCGTGAAGGGCCACTCAACAGCACAATCATCTGCATCATAGCTTTCCAAAACAAGACGCGCGTCTCCAAAATCTCAATTGACTATTCGGCTTTTAGATGGCAACCTGCCCAGGGTGCTTCTAGCCATCGTTTCTACTACTAAACTCCTGCGCTATTGATGCATCACAACCACCAATTTTCACTTGTACGGACTCTTCATTCCAAAGCCATGTTACACGATTGGGCCTTTTCTTTTGCTTGGCTTAGAACGGGGGCAGGTAGAAGGGGTAGCCGCCGTTCTTGATCCTGAAAACGCTGAGAAGGAAGCTGTAAGTCACGAAAAGCAGACCGCCCCAGATGAGAACGGCCGTCTGCTGCGTCTTGGGGTTCGCGATGCGGGGAACCTTGAGGGCGAGCGAGATGGTAGCAAAAGAGAGGACGCCATCTGCAACGGTCAGCATTGCGCCCTGTGCACGGCAATCGCACCAGACTTACAGAGGGCCGCGACAATCTGCGTCTCCATCCCGAACTGGTTCTGGAAGCCGCCGGCAAAATAACTGATGCCGCCCTTGCCGTCCCCAGCGACGTAGGGAACCTTCCTGATGTGGTTGAACATGTGGCCGCTGGTGAACAAGAGCACCATGATCAAGCTGAAGGCAGCCCACAGGTTGCGGTTCTGGATGACGGGCAGAATGTAGGGAGCCGCGACGGTGACGAAGGTGACGACGCCGAGGACGGCCGTGGTCACCGACACGATCTTCAGGTAGTTGATGGGGCGGACAATGGGAGGGTGCGGGCCCTCGGGGAGGTTGCGCGAAATCCAGGCGTGGATGCCGTCGGCCGACTGAGGGCTGCGGAGCGTCAGCGTGCACTGGGACGGGTGGCTTCAATTGGCAGCATACCCCATGGCAAAGTCAAAGCGCTTGGGCGTGGCGTCAGCCCGGGCATTGGGACCAGAAGTCGGGTGGAAGAGCAGAAGGACGGGGGCGGTTTGGAGCATGAGCTGGCGCGGGTATCAGCAATTGCAACGGCCACAGGACCAGCAGCACGGCGTACGGATTGGAAAGTGGCCTTTCCATCGACAAAGTCCAGGGTCGCGAAGACGAGGCGGCTCTCGCCTTGCTTGTCGCCCTTGGTCCAGCTCTTGGAGAGCAGGCTCCACTCGGGCTGGAAGTCCTGGCACATGGCGCAGCCGAAGCGCGGCTCGAGGGCAGTCAGCAGCACGGCGACGGCGTAGTCGCGCGGCGCAGAGGTCAGTTCGTTGAACGAGCCATCGTCGAGCTGCAGCGGCGTCGACTGGGCGCGGGCGGAGAGGAAGCGGTCCTGCGCGGGGGCCTTCTTGGCGGCCAATGCCGACAGCGGCAGCAAGAGCTGGGTGACGAGCGACAGGATGCGCATGGTGGTGAGCTTTGGGAGTGGTGGAGCAGCTGGTGCTGTCGGCGTCGTCAGCCCAGCATGGAGCTCAACGTAGCATCATCGGCAAAACGTCGCCGCCGTGCAGGGGTGCCGGGGTGCCGGGGTGCGCGGCCCATCCAAGTTGCCGGGTGAGCTCCGCTTGTTATGTTTACTCCCGCCCGCGCCTCCGTCTTCTCCGCACACCACCGCTATCCTTACCGCGCCGCCCACCCCACCCCGCAGCCCGCTGCTCAATCGCCTCAAAAATGGAGGCTCTCGCCGCAACCGACGTGAAAGAGGTCCGTTGCGCCGTCCGCCACGCCCGCACGCCCGCACGCCCGCCATGCTGACCGCGCCTAGCTGCACCAGGCCCTCCGCACTGTCGAATGCGAGCTGGATCTCGAGCGTAGCCAGCGCATCGTCGAATCCGTCAACAAGGACGAAGAAATCCGCAAGCTGCGCTTCCAGGTTCTGGTGCTCGAGGATGAGAATGACGAGCTGCAAGACCAGCTGCAGGAGGAGGAGCAACGCTCCGACAAGCTGGAGACCACCCTCGACGACGCCCTCGCCCGGCTGCGCGAGAGGGAGGCCGACATGCAGCGCGTCTCCAATGAACTGCGCATGAAGACGCGTGAGGCCGAAAACATGAAGGTTTGTCTGTGCCCGCCAGTGCCTCGCCCTCGTGCTTATCCTTGACCAGGCCGAACTCGCCTCCCTGGAAACCGTTCATACCGACTCCAACAAGGTCCTGACCGAGAAGCTTGCCCTCGCCCGCGAACTTTCCACCTTGAAGCCCGAGCTGGAGCACCTCAGGTCGCAGGTCGCTTCGCAAGAAGGTCTCATCTCGGAGAAGCTGTCTTTGCAGCGCCAGCTGAATACGGCCGAAGTCGAGCTCGAAAACGAGAAGCGTGCCGCCCAGCGCGCCCTTGCCCGCTCCGAGAAGCAGAGCGAACGTGACGCCGAGCACCAGAGCCAGATCAACGAGCTCGAGAAGCAGCTGGCCAAGGAGAGACGCGACCGTGAAAAGGCCGAGAGGGACGCCCAGAAGATGCAGCGCGATCTGGACTCCGAGAAGAAGGCTGCAGAGCGCACCCATGACAAGGAACAGAGAAAAGCGGAGCAGGATGCCAAAAGCAGCGCAAAGGTCGACGAGCTCAAGAAGGAACTGGCTCGAGGGAAACGTGAGATGGAGGAGCTTCAGAAAGAAATGGCCAAGGAGAAGCGCGAGCGTGAGAAAGCCGAGAAGGCCATTAGCAAAACCCAGATGGACAACGAAGCCCAGGTATCTCTTGCCACCGAGCGTGCCGAAGCGTACAAGAACAAACTCAAGACCACCAAGAACAAACTCAAGGAGGCCCAGGCCGAGTTGCAGAGGGCTCAAGAAGCCGCCACCGCAAGACCTTCTGTCGAGGAAATCCCCAAGCTTTCAAAGAACCCGCGCAAGCGCGTTGCACAGATGGATTTCGATGCCACAACGCTGGGCACCCCTGGCGATGGGGCGGCTGCAAAGAGATCCCGCACTGCCGCTCCCGGCGACAAATCCACCTTTTCCATCACACCCTTCCTCAACCGTACAGCAAGCGTCGCCCCCGACAGCCCAATTCAGGAGGAAGAGTCCGAGCACGAGGGCGACAAGACCGAGGAGGTCGTTGCTGCTCAATCTACACCCACCACAAGATCAAAGAAGGGCAAGAAGGCGGCCGCTCCCAAGCCCAAGCCCCTCGCACCCGCCTCCACAAACAAGTCGAACAACAAGACATCAAAACGCCAGAAGGCCACTGTGCCTTCATTGGAGCAGGTTGCCGAGGAGGTCAGCGACGAGGACGAGGAAGAACGGGAGAACACGCCGCCCCAACCTCAGCCTGCCAAGCAGAAGGAGAATGAGAAGCCTGCAGGCTCCAAGGCCAAGATCGCCACAGCTGGCACGACGACACTGAAGCCCAAGGTCAAGCCGGCTGCGAATCAACCTCGTAAGTCGCTCGCCTCGTTCCCCGGCTTCAACGACGACGACGACGACGAACCGGCCAAGAAGAGGAAGCGCAAGCTCGGCGGCGGCGATAAAAGCGTACTCGGCAAGCCCACGCTCTTCGACATGGACGACGAGGATGCTCGTCCTGCCAAGCCCATTCCTGGCCGTGGCGTTTTTGCGGCGAGGGCTCTGAACAAGACCATGGGTCTCAAGGGCAAGGGCGCGGTAACAGGAGGCACGCTGACGACTGCGGATGGCTTTACGTTTAGTCCGCTGAAGAAAGAGAAGAGGGCCATGAGGGAGGCATCGTACATGGCATGAAGTCGAGGCTGTCTTCACACGTGCTGTCTGTAATTTGACATGGGGGCGGCGTTTATCAATTGGGTCGGGATTGGCTGGTTTGGCAAAATGTATTTACTTTCGGGGCGTTGGAACGGGGATCGGCCATCTCTTTTATTGTTTAGTTATTTCAATGTTCAGTGTCCGAACACTTACCGTCTGTTCATACGATGGTCAACGATCAGTGAGCATTTATTCACTCTCGGGTCTTGTGTTTGCCGGTCAAGCCCGAACCTCCCCATACCTCATCTACCCAGTTGTCCACTCCTCGCGTAGGCGGCTCATTGGCGCGGATAAGAAGGCACAGTGTGCTCTAGCCTAAAGAGGAAGTATTTTAAAAGAAAAATGAATAAAGTTGAGAAGTCGGTGGTTGTCGAGTTGACCCTGTTAGAGAATACAAAGTCGGACGAATGCTTGTTGACCGTCAAGCTCAAAAGCACTCTACGTACACGAAAAGGAACACGATGCCAAAGAGGGTAAACATACACCGCGGAAAGGAACAGCAGCTCTCGGAAGCTGAAGACACGCTGAGAAACATGAGCATGCGAATAGCGGTGCAGTGGTACAACAGACCTTCAGTGACTTTGGAAGCCTAGGGTGATGCTGGGAGATGGTTCTGGGGTTACACCAAGATGAAAGGGGTTGTTGTTACGTCCAAGGGATGGGAATAGCCCTGATTGGCGTATCCTAGTATAGGGATGCCCGAAATAGGCATGGGCACGAGACGGTATTCATTTGAACCAGGTGAGGCTCCCGTTGTAATATATACTTGTCGCTTTGTGCCGCACAGCAGGCCGAGGGTTTTGCCTGCAGAGGAAAGAGGACGTGTGACACAGGACATTAGCGTGGTGCATGAACATAGCTGATGACTGGGATCCAACTTCTCCATTTCCGGTATGGCCACTATTATTCATTCCACGTGACTGTTTGCTGTCGTCGCGTCATACGCCCGGTGTTGAGCAGTGGATAGGAAGAAATGAGCCAACCATGACGCATCAGTACCCCGCGCCTGACACGTGCTCGCAAGTCTGATGGCTGAAGTACCGACACCGAGTTTGATCCTACCATGGGAGGGGTTGAAGGAGCAGATCTGACAATTTCAACTCTATCGACCGCTTTCGACCCCTTGCAAAAGGTACAAAAACTCCGCCATGCTAAACCAAGTATACCATTGCGGCGATGAAAGGAAGGTCCCTAGCTATGCTCCCTGGCAGATCGTTCCCGTCGGCTCCTGCCATGCATCCGATTTTCTCCCCAAGCGCCGTTGCCCAAAAATCCGCTTCAAAAAAGCAAATACAAAGATACGGGTTGTGTGTCCCCCAGAGATGCTTATCTTACTATAAGCGCCCCTACGAGTGAAGCCTTGGATTCTGCATGGTGCCAGACAAGAGACAACGTTGCTAGTCGAGGGCCCAGAATCTCTGGCGATATCATTCAAGCCGCCTGCGAAGGCGGCGGCACGCCCGAACCAACGCAGATGACCGGAAGGCGACGTGAAGCCGGGCACGTCCGTTGCTCCAGAAATCCCCTCGTCATCATTCGTATCTTTGTGGTTGACCCGTCAATACTGAAAGAACAGGGCAACGGGATACCCTCAGCCTGAGAGATGCACGTTGAATTCCCAGTTGCCTAGATAACACGACGTTAGCCCGTCACTCCGAATCAACGACCAGGAATCTTCCTCACCTGATTTCAGATTATCTGCTGTATCACTGAGAAGAATGACCCGTCGGCGGTTGCAGTATGACGTCTTGTCCATCATCTCCACCTTGAGGTCGCCGAGCTGGTCAACAGGCTTCTCGAACATCTCGCTGAGGTTTTCAACAGCCATCTCAAGATCCTTCTGATTGTCCTCGAAGATCTCGGTCAGATTGTTGCGGGCGAGGTAGTACGCAAACGCGTAGGTCCACTTCAACGTCTGACGACACTGCTGCAGAGCCTGTGATGCCTGCTCAAGGAACTGCACCTCAATCCACGACAGCCCTGATGACGTCTGAAGCTGCATCATCTTTCTCTCCGTCTTGAGGTAGATGTCCTTGTCAAGCTTGGCGGACTGCTCGTGATTCGCATAGCGGTTGTAGTAGTGCAAGTAGCGCTCAAGGGACTGGCGCGACTTTGCCTGCGCGTCACGCGCCTCGTGGCCGCTCTTCTCCTCGTAGCGATTGCAGTTGTACCAGCTGGTGCCGTGCTCCGACCACACCCCCATACACATCCAGCAGAACTCGTGTCGACACTTTCGGCAAGTCATGTGATTACAGCCTCCGTTCTTCTCGATCGTCGAATGGCACTTTGGGCATTCCTTGGTGTTGGCTGAAATCCAGTTGGCTGTTTCCGAGTCGTCCTCACACTTCTTCAACCACTTCTTCACCAGAGCGCATGGCGCCGGCTGGTGGTCGTTCAGCGAACACCCGAAACAGAAGTGGTGCTTGCAGTCACAGACGACTGTAGGCACAATCCGGAGCAGATCCTTCAATTTCACCGGGCAGTCTACAGCATACTCGCAGTTGGGCGCAGGACACCACTTTAAGTTTTCCTTGTCGTCGACATACGTCCTGGTCAACAAGACGTGGTACCTGCAATGCCGTCGTTAATTTCCAGCAAATCCTACCATGCACGCATCCGGCAAAACGTACCTGGTCTTGAGATCTTCGGCGACCAGCAGCTCCAGGGACTTGGAGTCCACTATTCTGTTGCAGTCGGAGCCTGGGCACTTGATGCGCGCTGCTTCGCCCTCGTCTTTGATCTTGGTGTAGAGATATTGCTTCCAGCACGGAACGCAGAATCTGTGGCTGCACCTCATGGCGAAGGTGTCTAGGTCAGGATCGTCGTCGGCGCAAATGTCGCACATGAAGTCCGGGCCTGCTTTCGCAATCTTCACAGCTCCCACGACATCGTCGCCAAGTCCAGCATCCTCGAGCAGCTCCTCCTGCTTGTCCATGTACTGCTCGATGAGCTTCTCCTTGTTCCATCGCGCATATCGTAAAAGGATGGCGGTCGACTCTGCGGGCTGGCCAAGGATCTGCGAGACCTCGTCGACGACGCGGTTCTGGTAGGCTTGGATATCACCAGGGCTGTAGACCTTGAAGTCGACCTCGTAGGACTTCTTGCTCGGCTTGATGTCCTTGTCTTGCGAGTCGAAGGCAACGTCGGCTTCTTCGACCTCAAGGTCGGAGTCTGCTGCGATAAGCGGGGCGCCGTGTTAGCATCGTTGACCAGCTCGCGCGGGCGGCAGCGGGGCGGGAAGCGGGGCGGGAAGCGGCATACCGTCCCCCAGGCTCATGTCGCTGTCATCGTCGGCCATGAAGTCGTCCTCGCTCGACTGGGCGCTGTTGAAGTCGTCGTCGGAATCCATCGAGGGCGAGGCTGTGGTGAGGGGCGTGGCTGGGAGCGCCTGCTTGGTCAGGCGTGTCGAGGCAGTCTCCGGGCGCTTGTTGGACAGTGACGGTGCGGCGTCGGACTCGGAGGCCTTTCGCTTCTTGACGGCGGAAGGCGTGGTGGGTGGTGGTCAAGGAGCCGAGTCCGCCGTGATGACGGAATCGGCTACTCGCTGGGGCGAAGGGAGGGTCGGGGGGGGGGGGAGAGCGGTGGTCAGCTGGCACGCGCGGTGTGCTGAAGGCGTGGCGGCAGTGGGGGTGCTGGTTGTGTGGCGAGGGGCGCAAGGAGGGCGGGCTCGTGGATATGTTCCAGGTGGGAGTCAGCTGGAGCGCTGAGGGTTGTCGGGCACACGCTGGCCTGGTCATGACAGCAACGGACGCATTGACGAGCCGCTAAGGCAGCCGGGTGTTCGCCCGGAGGCAACCGCGCCTGCCTGGCGGCCTCATTGCCGGGACCGCCCTGCGCGAGACTGCAGAGCGAGTCACCTTCCGGTCGATGCCTGGCGCCCGCGTTCCTTTTTATTCTGCCATCTATTTCCTCGTCTCTCGGCCGGCCCGCGCTATCGCCATGCCCTGGAGACATCGAATCCGTCCATGTGCCGCCGGACATGCTCGGATGAACCTCGGCATGTTTGCAGATCAGCCAGCTATCTAATCACTCGTCTTCGTCTTCGTCTTCGTCTTCGTCCTCGTCCTCCTCCTCGCTGCTCTCGTCGTCCGACTGGGCCAGGAAGTCGATGAACTGCTGCGTCTTGCTTCTGACCTTCTGCAGACCCTCGTTCTCGCTGGACTTGGCGTCCGACCACCACTGCTGGATCGCCTCCTCCTCCAGCACGTCCATCTCATACAGCTTCATCGATGCATGGAGCAGCATGCTGTCTCCGTCGTTGCGGTGCACCAGATCCGTTTGGAGCAGCAACAGGAAGTCGACCTGATCGACTTTGCTCGACGTGTCCTTGTCGAACATGGTCCGGGAGATCAAGCTCTGGTGTGGGCTGAGAACCTGCTCTGCGGCTTGCTTGATGCCTTGTCCGGCCTGGACCACCTCGCATATGCGCCGCACCAGAGCTATGACAAGTGCACGTCGCACCTGATGCTCTGACGCGTTGGTCGTCATGCGGAGAGACGCCAGCTCCAGCTGAATGTTTGCTGAATCATCGCCCTTGCGGAATGAGTCAAGCATGCTGTCGACTGCTTCGTGGTCGAAATTGGCAGCATGATGGCTCGACGTGTCAGAGTTGATTGAGACAAAGCTTCCTCCTCTCGATCTGTCGTGGTGCAGCCCTTCATCCGAGATGTCTGACTCCGAATTGAGCGTGGAAATCGACTCGACAGACAAAGAGAGGCGCCCAAGGTTGTAGACTGCATCACGTCAGCAACAAACCCGTCGACACTCGCTTTCGACCACTTACTAGACTTCTTCGAGACGAGACCTTCGACGATCTCGTCCACATCGTCCTCGTCGGGATCCACGTATTCGATGCCATCGCCCTTCTCGCCGACAACCTTGAAGTCGGGCGCCGCTCTCTCGACTTCCTCGCCTTCTTCCCTTTTCCTCTTCGCTCGGGTAATCCTACTCGAACCATCGATGGTGACACCGTCGGCTATCCGCACACCGTATGAAACAAGAGCCCCGGGTTCGATCGTGCATCTCTTGCCAATGCTTGCTTCGTTGGCAACGATGGCCTTCTTGATGACAGTGTTGTCGCCAATCACTGCGTGGTCCCAAATGTATGCTCCTTCAATGGTAACGTTTCTTCCAATGTAGCACATGCGGCCAATTATGCTGTTCGACACGACACTGCCGTCTCCAATGCTGCTGTCCTTGCCAATGACCGTACCGCGATTCACCACGCACGACCTTGCCAAGATGACGCCGTCTTCCTTGTAGATATTGCCCTTCTGGAATCTGTACGTCTGGCCACGCAGGAGATTGCTGTCCGGGCAGAGCGGGTAGGCCCACCGAGAAATGACGTCCTGGCTTACCGAGTCGTACGCATGGAGGTTCCGGACGCGTGCCGCATAGTGATCGTCTACAATGTGGGTGTGAATTGTCTTGCCATGCAGCTCGTAGTCTTTCAGCACGCTGTGCAGGAAACCCCTTCGTGGAGCCTGGAAATCGAAGTTGTCACTCCACAGCGCCAAGACGTCTGGAGTGCAAATGTCGATGCCGCAGTCGATCAGATCGGTGCGGACCTCGAGCTCCGTGTTTTCGGCAAGTAAATCCGGTGCGATGCTGACGAAATGCTTCTCTGAATGCTCTCTGGAATGCATTTGCTCGAAGTGCAAGCAGCGATCCTTGGTCGGATCAACGACGAAAACCGGCCGCGCCTCCTGCGCCTTGGTACGATGGGCTGTGCCTGCTTCCCTCAACACCATGGTCATGATCGCATTCTTGTCCTTCGCTCGCCGTGCTCTGTGCGCCGCTAGCGCCGCTTCGAGCGGCAGGTTGCTGATGACATCGCCGTACACTACGAGGAAGTCTCCTACGAGGAATGCGCGCTGGTCGAGATCACGCATGGCATCACCGATCGTGTGGGAGGCTGACCGCACGAGCTCGACTTTGGAAAATGGCGACGACGGCGAATACCACTTCGAGTTTCTGGCAGCTCCGTGTCAGCGATGCTGACAAAATTTCTTCGCTCATGCCGGCAGCTCCGCGACCTACTGGATGTACTCCTCGACGAGGTCGGTTTGGGCACCGCAACACACAAAGACCTCCTGCACGCCTGCGTTGGCGAGGAACTCGAAGGTGTATTCAATGAGCGGGGTGTTTGCGAGAGGGAGAAGACACTGTCACGGCCATGTATTAGAGTCTGTGAATACGCCTGCAAGACAGAGAGGAGGCCCAACCCGGGGACGTTCGAGGGTAAATGGGTGGAAGCGCGTCTCGAAGGGATCAGCGAGTATCTGCAGCAAGCTTAGTATGACGCAGTGGTGGCTCGTTGCAGCGACCAAACTCACCACAGCCTGGAGAGGATCCTCGACTTCTTCCTCCGCAGCCCGCTGCCGGTCGTTGGAAGCGCCTTTCTTCGCCTTGGGTCCCATGGTGCGTGACGGTCGGCGGGGGGTGTTGTAGAGTTGCGAAGGTGTTTTCTCAAAAGGCGCGAGTTGACTCAACGCGGCGGGACATGCATGACTCGGAATTTGTGCTAGCGGCTGTCCCTTAGTAGGTCCTGCTGTCGCGGGGGATGTCGCTCCGTGGCCGGCCCTCACAACAACAACCTCTCTCGCTTGCACAATAATGCTCTTGCACCATCTACTTCCATGCTTCGATTGCAACTCTAAATACATACCTCGCACTATCGAAGCAGTTCTTGCCAGTTACTACATATTGAACCTTCTTCTACACAGATATACAATGGATCCCGCCCTTCTCGCTCGCTGATGCGCTCAGTCTCAAGCCGCTTCTGCTTGGAACAGCACGTTAAAAACGGCAATGTAAATTGTCATCATCTGCCTCGATTGGTACGAGCAACGCCAAGATTGTTCAATGGGTGCCTGACCCCGGAGACTCGCCTAAACCCCCCAAAATATCCGAATCCGATTCCGTTGACGCCGTTGCCGTACGCCCGCTCCCGGCGGCCCAAGGCCCTGATTCGGCTCCTTTGCGTATCCCCCTCTAGATTTTTTATTCTCCATATCGTAGATTCCGATGGTATGCTCATTCAGCTGAAGAGCAACTCCCTCCTCCCTCCTCCCCTAGCACAGCTTCCACGAGCTTGCTCGAAGCGGAGCAGCCCTGGACGGGTAAATGGTGGAGCGGAAAATTGAAACAAAAACACTAGATGCATCGAGGAACACCTAGTATCCCACCTTGCCTTGCGCCTGACGTGTTGAAAAATCCTTAAAAAAAAATCTAACACCGCGTTCGGTGTTATCGTGGCCTTTGCATTGGATTCATGGCTTGGGGTTGAAGCTGTGCATTGGCGTAGAGCTGCTGCCGCTTGTTCGGTGCGTTCATGTCGTCTCCCCCGGAAATCTCGGATATCTGTCTTCGGTGCTGAGCACTCGGCTGCCGCGCTCCCATCGCCAATTGGGGGGACGTATTGTACTGCATGCCAGCTTGTAGAGGCGCAGCACCAGGTGGAACTCCGTAGGCGCCCGGATGACCGGGAACAGTACTCATATACTCATCAGCAACCGTGCTTCCGACAGGAGAAACACCCGGCATCTGGCTGGGTGAGTTCCAATTGCTACCAGTTGTGGGCGACTTTGCGGGCGAATCTTCGTCTTTCAGAGAGGGCCTGTTGGAACTCTGCGGGAGCGGTTGAGGTGCTTGCACTGCTGGGGGGACCATGGCATCCATGCCGTGACCTGGCTTCTTCAAGTGTGCAAGATGTTTTTCAAGCATTTGCAGCAGGCCTTCTTTGGTAAAAGGTTTTGGCAAGACGTCATTCATACCTGCTGAACGTTAGAGGAGGTTCTTGCAATGCTTAACCCCGTACTCACCATGCTGGAAATACATCGAAATATCGTCGCTACGAATGTTGGATGTCATGGCAATGATCGGCGTCGAATCGAATTGCCGAATCAAGTGGCAAGCAGACACTCCATCCAAATTGGGCATGATGATATCCATGAGAACCAAGTCGTACTTCGATCCATGGTTCATCTTATTGACAGCCTCCAAACCGTCCAGCTAGACAAAAGTCAGCATGAGATGTTACCACAAAACACAGACGATACTTACTGCGCTGTCGATGGAGCAATGGAAAGCATAGAGGAATTTGCTTCCAATACGCCGGCAAGTGTGATCGTCTTCAACCAACAAAATCTGAGGCTGCCGAATCCAACCAGGATCGACTTGAGCGCTCTTCTTGCGGTGTTCCGCAGCGCGGAATCTGGGATCGTTGTTGCTGGCGGCGGCAGCGGCGGCGGTGTTGTTGTTGTTGTTGCTGCCACCACTGCTGTTGTTGCCTTCGACCGCTTTGGTCGGCATCGGATAAGGAATGTTGTTGATGTGCTCGCTGTACATGGGATCGATGCCGTTGTTCTGCCCGACAGGATATACGAGGGAGTCAATGTCGCCCAGACGAATGGATGTTGAAGAGCTCGCCGAATGGGGCGCGGCGTTGCGACTGGCTGGGCGGGTGCCATTGCGAAGCATATCCGGAGGTGGCGTGGTGAGGGTCCCGTTCATGCGCATAGCCAGCTCATTCATGTGCTCCAGGTTACGCGGGTTGAGCATCGCGTCGGCGTTCGTTTCGCTGAGCAATTTCGAAGCATGCTGAAGAGGCGAGGCCGGGCCGTCATCTTCCATGGATGGCATCTGTTGGTTTGACGGATCCATGTTCCCATTCTGCGCTCCAGGACCGTCTCCCGGGAACGGGTTAACCAGTCTGCTATCCCTCCTTCGTTGAGCATCGACCGAATGCAAGAAGCTCATGACGCTCTGCATGATGTGCTCGTGGTTGACAATCGTCTTCTGCATCCCCATCAATTCCTGGAGAAGCATCGAGTGGTGGATGCTCAACTCGTTATAGCGCTCCTGCAACTGCTGGAGCTGCTGTTGCGTCGCCATCAGTTGCGTGTTGAACATGTCCATCTGCTGCGTAGGAATGACCATGTCCTCGGGGTTGGCGGCGGGCTTCCTCGGTGCGGGCGCCTTCCTTCGAATATTGTCCAGGGCATCTTTATTGTTCATCTTGAAATCCGGATGCTTGAACTCCCAGGCCTGGTTTTGCTGCGCTTAGCACCGTTTTTGCGTCATAGCCGTCGACTGTACTCACTCCTGCGCCATAGGGCGACTGCCCGTTCTCCTCGTTGTTGTGCCGGACTTTGTGGAAATCATATTTGTTTAGCTGTCTGACGAAACTGGCGAAGTTGCTGTGCTTAAAATGCTTGGGCAGGATGTGCTTCGTAAACTTTTCGTTCTGCGCCAAAATCAGTGCTGGCGCTGGAGGCGTGGCGGAGGGCGGCTACCTCCAAAACAACAAAACTGTCGCCCTCATTTCCCCATCGCACAACGCTTTCGTCGGAGGGGTTTTCCAGCATCCTGCAGCGATGGTCAATGGGCGGACTTAACGAGGACGAAAGCGGGTTCAGGAGAAGACGCACTTGTACAGCTTGCGGACCTGTTGCAGCGGTCAGCAGGGCGCATCGTAGGGACGGGGGAGCGCGCGCGTGCGCGCGTGCGGGCATCACTCACGAAGTCGCTCGAATTGGAGCCGCCACCGCCGGCACCTCCTTGGCTGGTGGTGCTGGCGGAGTCCATGGTGTCTCGGGCTCAGATGCGGTCGCGCGCGGTTGGCGGTCGTGGGGGCTTCGCGGAGACAAGCCGCAGCGGGCCAGCGTAGACGGCAACGCTCGTAGACGGGCTCAACGCCTCGACGCAATGGCGTTGGATGGGGTCGCGCGCGTGGGTTCGGCGGGCGCGACTCTCGTCGTGCGGCAGACGGGCCGTCGCAGGCAGGGGTGCCGTTTACGTCAAGAGCCCGACGGCCAGGGACGGGCAGACACGGGAACAAGGCTCGAGAGGCTGAAGCGTGTCGCAATGCGATGGGATGCGCGCGGGACGCGAGATGGGTCCGGTGGATGCAGGACTCGATGAGCGAGACTTGGAGCCCAGAGGGATGAGGTGGGTTCGGAGAAGGCAGGCGCGAGGCTCGACGGTATTGGCGGGCGGCGGCCGGTGCTAGAGGAGCGCTACCAGATGGACACGGCCTCAGCTGCGCGGCAGCTCTGGCGAGCGAGCGAGCTTGGGACGCGGGGAGGACTCGACAGGCTGGGACGCAGCGGGGCCTTGGCGGGCGATGCGTGAAGGGAGAGAGCGCCGTGGGCCAGCTGATCGGGCAGAAGGCTGCTGGTTCTGGGAAGGCGCGGCGAGCGGGCGCCTTTGTTGCGAGCGATGGAACGGCGGGCAGTCAAGGCTGACTGACGGGGCCAGCAGATCGGCGCGGCAGTCGAGAGAGCGGCCGCTGCCACGCTGGTTTGATCGCGCAGCGCGCCGGCGGACGCTGAAAAGCCTGAGGCGACGCCGTGACGCCTGCAGCGCGCCGATTCGCCCAGTGAGGCGGCGTAGCAGCTCGCGGCCGCGCTCCCGGGAGCTGCGGGCGGGCGCCACGGCCTGCGATCTTCATTCCAGATTGCCCCTCTCAATCGAATCTCCAGCGATGTGGCCCTCCGCTGTCAGCGGCGTGCGTCGTCCTGAGTCCCACCGCACGGCGCCTTGCCTTGCAGCCCTCGCTTAGCCGGGGCCCAGCAGCGCGCGCGCGGAGCTCCGCCTGCCAGCGCTGTGACGTCCGGCGCCTGCGCGCCTGCGTGCCTGCAACACCGCCGCCACTCCACGCCTTGTCACGATGCTTGCTGCCCGTCGTATTCCTGCCGCCCTGCCGCGCCTCGTGCGCCCCCGCGCCGCCGGGTTCCATGCCTCTGCCCGCGCCCATGTGCGCGTCGGTGACGCGGTGCCCGACGTCGAGCTCATGGAGGCCAGCCCCGGCAACAAGCTCAGCATCGCCAAGCAGCTGAAAGGCAAGGGACTTGTGAGTCTTTCCCGGCTGCGGCCTCGCCCGCGACCTCGCCCGCGACCTCGCTGACCTCTTTGATCGCGCCCCAGATCATTGGCGTTCCCGCAGCGTACAGTAAGAGTTGCTTTTCGGACTTGTGTGACGTGCCCGACGGCTGACCGCGGAGCGTCAAGGCCCGGCGTGCTCGTCGAGCCATGTGCCGGGATACATCTCCCACCCCAAGCTCGCTGCTGCCGGCCAGGTCTTCGTTGTCTCAGTCAACGACCCCTTCGTGTAAGGCGCTGTCTCTCTCGGCCGAATCTTCAGCGCTGTCGTACCGAGTACTGATCACTAGACCCAACAGAATGAAGGCGTGGGGCGATGTTCTTGATCCTGCCGGCAAGAGTGGCGTATGATTCAGGCTCGCATCCTGCTGTGTTCTTCCATTAACGGCCTCCCAGATCCGCTTCATTGCCGACCCGGCCGGTGCCTTTACCAAGGCCCTGGATCTCTCCTTTGACAGCCGTGCTATCTTTGGCAATGAGCGTAGCAAGCGCTATGCGCTTGTCATCGAAGACGGCAAGGTCAAGGAGGCTCATGTCGAGCCCGACAACACCGGCGTCGACGGTAAAGCTCTTTGAGGCGTCTTGTCGATAATGCATGCTAACGACAATGGCAGTCTCCGCGGCGACCAAGGTTTTGGGTTGATTTGCCAGATCAATGGGCGGCCCAATCATGACCTTGGGCCATCGCCGTCTGTATCATATACGCTGTAGACAGATCAGTCATGTCATCAAAAACGCCTCTGGAAAAATCACTCATGCTCGCGAGAAGGGGTGCTGACTCCTTTGGCTGGGTGTCGGCAATGGGCAGACTTGAGGGAATGCAGAATGCTTTGTACTACCGAGTGACGGGCCCTGCATCGTGCTACAACCCAAACGGCACTTCAGCCTTAATCGTCTGAAGTCTAGAGACTTGCTGGTACTATGCTCGGAGATGGCGCTGGTAGCAATAGCCATCGTACCGCCCACCTTCAAGCATAGAAACTAGGCATGTTGCGTCTGCTAGCCCTGCCCACATCCTCTTTCAAAATGCCCGCCAAACGGGAACGATGCCGCCCCGATGCTGCGTGCCAAAGTCGCGTGAGGAAGGTCGCGCGCCGCCGTTCGCAAAGTACCGGCTGCTGCGCCCGTCATTGGATCGAGGGAGGCTGACGTCACTTCTCTCCGCAGACAACGGCGTGGATGGAACCAACCATGTGGAGCCGAGGCGGTTCGTGGCAGTTCGTGGCGGTCTTCACCAGCAGCAAGCCGGAAGTGGGGTGGGGCCTCAGGTTGCTCTGGTCCGTCTCAGGACGAGCGTGTCTGAATTGCGCAGGTAGTATCGTATGCGTGCACTGGTACAATGCGTGTGACCTGGGGCTGCATTGCGCGGCAGGCACCTGGCTGCCTGGCTGCCTGGCTGCCTGGCTGCCTGGGTCCATGATGAAGCAGCTCCCAGTCGCCGCGCCGGCGCGGCCCGTTCTCCCGGCCACCGCAGCGTCCGCACTCCGCAGCGTCCGGCATGGAACGCGTCGGCGCGTCGCCCAGCTCCACGCGTCGCACGCACAAGCTGTCCGAAACACTTCCTCCCCCCCATCGCGGACGCCGAAACATCATCACAATCATGGCAAACCGGGACATCCGTGCATATCTTAAGCGCTCAAGCGCTCAAGCAAATTTGCAAATCGGCAGGTTCTCTCACGTTGCCAGTATGTACCGCGCTTTTCATATATTCCTCTCCATCTACATGGTGACTGGCTATGGTGGCGAGCAGGACTATGCGACATTGGATGTCTTCAGACCGCCTCTAGTGCTTACAGTCATTTGCAGTTCCCGTTCGGACGAAAAAAGCCAAGCCGCCCGCCGTCCTGGCCGAAGCTTCTGACGACGACGAAGCTTCTGACTATGCAGAGTCTGGGGCCTCTGCTTCACCTCAGTCTGACGATTTTGATTCCAATCCAGACCTAGACACGAGTCCCGAGCCAGATGCAGATGCAGATGAGTCTGAAGCCCATGGCGTGGATCTCATGGAGATGGATGAGCCCGCAACTCTCGTTGAGAAGGCGCGCCCGAAACCTCAAAGACGCAAGACAGAAGCCAGCGGGAAGAGACCTACCAAGTCACGCGGCATTGACACCAATCTTCCGCCCCTATCCAACATCGAGGATATTTTCAAGGACATTACACAGCTGGCCATGGAAAACGGTTTCAACAAGACATTGGATGCATTGAATGGTCACGAACTGCGCATTGCCACAATGTGTTCCGGCACAGAAAGCCCTGTTCTAGCTCTTGAGCTCGTGTCTGAAGCTTTGCAACAAATCGGAAAATCGCTGCGCCTTCGTCACGTGTTCAGCGCAGAAATCGTCCCGAAGAAGCAAGCATACATAGAGAGGAACTTTCATCCCCCTATTATCTTCCGGGATATTCGCGAGCTTACGAAAGAGGACGCGTTTGAGGCCGGAGCGTACGTATCAGGAATTCCCGAAACCCAGTATGGAAATGTACTCATGGATATTAGGACGAATGTGTACGGTGCAAAGGTTGCAATTCCTGGAAATGTTGATCTCCTCGTTGCTGGGTTCTCATGTGTCGACTTTTCCAGTCTCAACAACAAAGGCAAGACCCTTAGTGAGAAGGGTGAATCTAGAGATACGCTTGAAGCCATCTTAAGCTATGCCGAGAAGTGGAAACCCAAGATCATCGTCCTGGAAAATGTCTTCGGAGCACCATGGCCCAAGTGTGTCGAGCGTGCAAAGAAGGTGGGTTACGCGGCGGATTTCGTGCGCGTAGACACGAAAGATTATTATTTACCGCACACCCGCACTCGTGGGTACATGGTTTGTATTCACAAGGAGCAGTTCCCCGGGCCCGGCAGTGTGCACTCGGCTGTAAGCAAATGGAAAGAACTAATGCTGAGTTTCAAACGCCGCGCGAGCGCCCCGGCGTCCGATTTCCTTTTACCAGCGGATGACCATCGAGTCCATCAGTTCAATTCCCAGCTCAACACACAGTACAGACAAGACTCCAGAGACAGGACAGTGAACTGGGATGCCTGCCGCATTCGACATCAGAAAGTGCGCACATTAGATCGTCTCGGCAGCCAACGGCCGATAACTCAGTGGATCGATAGTGGCTCATGCGTTACCTTTGAGAACGCACACAAAATGTGGTTCTCAAAACAAGTCGAAAGAGTGTGGGATTCAATCGAAATCCGCTTTCTCCGCGCCGCCAAGGACAACGGCAGTGGCATGCCTGGATATGATCCCATGTTCAAGACTTCGATCATGGAGTTGAGCCAGAATGTGGACAGATTTGCCCAAGAGATGCCATTCGGCATCTGTTCCTGCATCACCCCTTCTGGCATTTTCTACTTGACTGATCGTGGTGGTCCGTTGACGCCGTATGAGACGCTGGCTCTTCAAGGCCTCCCCTTGGACAAGATCTCGTTCACTATCGAGACAATGCGAGAACTGCAGGACCTCGCAGGTAATGCAATGAGTTCGACCGTCGTCGGCGTAGCGCAATTGGCAGCTCTTATTGTGGCATCTCCCGCGCTCAAGCAGGTCGGCCCACCAGCAAACTCCAGACTCTCGACGGCTCCCAAAATCAGTTCTTACTTACGAGGAGAGGATGATTTGCAACCGATAGTGTATGAGGACCTCGGGTCATCGAGGTTCTCGGTCAGTCGGCTTTGCAAGGATGCCTTGGAAAGCGTACGACTCTGCCGTTGTGAGGGTCGATTCGGAAGCACAGATTACGAAATCCTCGTGTGTAAGGAATGTGGGCACTCAGTATGCACCGGATGCAAAAGCAAGCCCACGCATGCGTGTACGACTGGAGTTTTTAATCGCAGCATCACCGCTCATGGATTTGAGCTCCGGTGGAAGCATCACTTCCCGTCTGAACTTCACTTCTCCACGCACCCCCACCTCCCTAGTTTGGGGAGTGGTTATCAAATGGACGAAAGTCTCCGTGCTGAGTATTTTGAAATAGTCAAGACGGCCCTCAAGGGACAGTTCAAGTTCCAGACCTTCCAACGCACCTCAAAGTGGGCCATCCATTACGAGTCACATTCCGCTTTCCTAAACCTGGAAATCGGAGATGTAGCAGAGTGGCGCCTATTCGTCAAGGCTCCCGCAAAGTGGGCTGGGAATCATCCACTTAGAGACATCCTTAAATCGCCCATTGCTCGTGCCAAGATGCCTATGGACCTCGATCCAGATGACGCTAATAGTTGTTGGGCGGATGATTGGGAATGGTTCGTCCCCTCGACTTGCCGCTTTCAGGTCTCTGTTCAAGAGGCAACTGAAGATGTCAATCCGTCCTGGAGGGCGTTGTATGGGATGGTCGAGTACCAAAAAGAGACGGTTCCTCAGCGATTGAATGTCACAGTCCATCCCGACGATGCACAAATTCTGCCCAAGGACTTTTCTGGGATATACAGACATTTGCCGGCGTGTGGCACAGCCTGTTCATCTTTGTACCGACGCGTCTCCGGTTCTGGTGCGCACATTACAAGTGAGATGGAGGCCAATCCCCTCTATCTCTTCCTCGATCCTTCCCGGATTGGCCCTGTCGATCAGGACTCCTTCTTATTTTCCCATAGCCACGAGCGTCTTGAATACAACGAGGAAAGAGACGTGGTGGCCCGTCTGGAGCCCTCGTTCCGGCCCTGGATCCGGAAAACATTCCAGACGCATGGGTACCTCACTGGAGTCTGGGTCCAGGGAAGCACAGAAACGGAACTGCTTGCATCGCACAAACTTCTTGTCGTCAAAGGACCAAGTAACATTTCTGACTGGGGTACGATAGTGTCTCAAGACTGCTCACAAAGTCTGGCAGTCCTGAGTTTAGATTTTCAGGCCGAGGACAGAAGTGGAGGGTCTAGGGAGTATCGTTTCGACGCGCGTAAAGGAACAGCGTTCATGAAGGCATTCTCATGGGTACTTGCGACCAACGCACATCTGCCAAGTCTGAAAGAGTGGCGACGACTCGACATTGGCGATATTATTGGACACTGTGATGCGTGTGGCCCCACGCTACCGACAGTCCGATGGGCACAGTCTGACTCCGGACGAGGGAACAACAAGGGTGCCTTTGTCGCTCAGGAAGACCCAGAAGAAGCCGCTCAGTATGAGTTGAGGATGAAGGCCCGTCCGTCAATTTTGGACATGACGGCAGTTGTTGACGAGTCCAATGTCTGCCGCTTGCGGGCCGGTTTGAACGTTGTTTCTTTGGCTCATAGAGCACTCGCTCATCTCCGTCCGGTTGAAGGAACCGCAGTTCTGTCTTGGAACCTGACCACCGAGTACGTACCTCCCACAGCGCCTCGTCTTCGGCCTTTTCGACTTTTGAGTAATATCAACGACCGAGAACATGAGCAACCGAAACGCTTCCGCTTAGATCTCCGGCCTACCCAGCGAAAGTCTCTTTTCTGGATGAGGCAACAGGAAAGGGAGAAACACTTCACTCTGCAAGAGGTGGCTGAAGAAGTAATCGAGCCGATCCGCTGGAAAGTCGAAGCAAAGGCGGAGGTCGATATGACGGTGAGGGGCGGTGTCATTGCCGATCAAGTGTCATACGGCAAGACTATTACGTCGCTGGCTCTCATACACGCGGGGTTCTGCGAATCTCAAACCAGCGCCAGCAATGATGGGGGGTTGATCCCATTGAAAGCAACGCTTGTGCTTGTCCCGAACAACTTGCCAAACCAATGGATGCAGGAAGCTTTGAAGTGCCTGCCGAGCAAGGACTATGCTTCTGGAGCAATCCTGAAGATCAGAAATGCCAATGAGTTGAAGAGCTTGCGAGTCGAAGACTTTAGGCAGGCGAAGATAATCATTGCCTCGTTCTCGCTCCTCGGCAAAGACTTCTATGCCCAGCAACTTGCAAACGTCTCGGCTGTGCCAGAAGTCCCTGCATCGGACGGGCGCCAATACGAGGCATGGTTCAAGTACTGTCTCAAACGGATCCCAGATTTGAATGATCAGCTAAAAGATTTGGGTGTCTCCTCATTCAAGCGATACCTCAAGGACGAACTGGAAAAGACGAGGTCTCATAAAGATTTCAGCGGTATCATTCCCTCGAAGCGCACCAAAGGTGCAAGCTACAAGAGCTTCGAGGAGCTGGAAGACCAGACAACTCGAAGCAATCACACGAAGGCTCCGGGGACTGCGAAATCATACCCGCGGAAGGCTGACTGGGAACGATGGGAGTTTCCAGTGTTCCATCAGTTCAAATTCAACCGGGTCATAATCGACGAGTTCCACTACCTTCGCGACAGAGACTACACTGCATTGGTCACGCTCTCGGCAGACAAACGGTGGATCCTTTCTGGAACCCCACCTCTTGGGGACTTTGCGGACGTCAAGCGGTTCGCGGCATTCTTGGGAGTCAATCTCGGGATAGACTGGGACACACCAGGCGTCATCACACGGGAGAATTCCAAGCAGATGCGCAAAGAGAAGACGAGCTTCGAGCTCTTCCAGACGTTCAGTGAACGACGCTCTCCAACGTGGCACGAGAGGCGGCATCAACACGCACAGACGTTCCTGGACATGTTCGCCCGACAAAATTATGCCGACATCGGTGATGTCAAATGCTACGAGAGCCTGCGGTCCGTACCGTTGGCGCTTGACCATCGCGCAATCTACGAAGAGCTGTCTTCGTACCTCAAGGGTCGAAACATGGCCATGGCTGGCGTGTCCAGTGCAGAGACTGGAGATCGAGCCAAAAAACTACGGCAAGCCATGCGCAACTTCGAGACGGCTGAGGAAGCGCTGGTGAACTGCTCTAGTGTGCGCATTGAAGCGGTCCACCAGACTTCAGCATGTAACAGTCTCATCGAGCAGCGCGACGCAGAGCTCAAAGAGCAGGGGGAAAGGCTACGAAAATACATCCTCGAAGCTTCAAAACTCGCGAGACTCAGCGGCGATCCGAAGAACGAATGGGCTCAATGGACGCAGAGGTACAGAGGGGTCGGCCTGAGCGCCGCCGCAGATCCCAAATCCCAAGTTGAAATCAGGAAGATGATCCTGAAAGCCGAGGCAGAATACGCCGGTATTGGGAACAAGCGATCCGCAGATGCTGCAGCCAGTTTGCAGACACTTGTGCGAACCAAGGTCGGTGCAGAAGCTCGCAAGTTTACGAACATGCGTAGATCGCTACGGTACGCTCGGTCCATCTCAAAGGTCAAATCAGCGCTCCGGGGTGTGAAGCAGCTGTACTGCGAATGTGGGGACGCATCCCACGAGACCACGGCCGAGCTTAGCTCTGTCATCGTCGGCTGTGGACATGTGGTTTGCAGCGATTGCCTGGACGCGGGCATGGCAGAAGAGAGGTGTGGTGTGCTCGGGTGTGAGATGGAGATTCGGGAGCACGGAGTCCTTCATGGGGCGAGCTTACGCGGTTGCGAGGACGTGGCAGCTGGGCCAAAGAGCTTTGGGTCGAAGCTGGATAGTGTGATGGAGTTGCTGGGAACCATCCCCGACGAAGAACAGGCCATTGTCTTCGTGCAATCGTACAGCATGATGGCGAAGGTTGAGCAAGCACTCAAGGCCAGAAGCATCCCGGCATACGCCATTGATCGGGTGTCTGAAAGCGCGACGGACAAGATTGAAGCTTTCGTCAAGAACTCGCGGTATACGGACAGCGGCAAGACCAAGCTCAACGGCGAGTTTGGGAAGGTGTTGATTCTCAACCTGGGAGACGAGTCGGCATCTGGGATGTAAGTGTTTGTGAGCGATGGCGAGTGATGTCGACTAACGCAGTACAGGAACCTCGTCAACGCAAATCACGTCATCTTTCTCTCACCGCTCCTGACCAGTACGAGCCAAAAGTACCATGCGGCAATGGTGCAGTCGGTTGGACGGGCACGGCGATACGGGCAGCAGAGGCCGGTTTACGTATACCGATTCATGGCACCGCACAGCATCGACGTGGACATTCTCGAACAACGCGAGCGGCGCAGCACGGCCTTGACAAAGGAGGCGCAGAAGATGGCGGCTCCGTTGGAGCGGGGAAAAGCACAGTACGAGGCGGTGCGGGTGGTGGAGGATGCCTCTTTGGGCATGATGGTGGTGCCGAAGTCCTGGGTCCAAGACATCGGCAAGGCACAGCAGCACGGACTCCTGCTGGGGGCATCCAGCGGCGACGAGGTGGAGCGGTTCAACTCGCTCTCCAAGCTCTCGGAGGCGTACGCCCAGGACGGCGAGGCGTAGGTGGTTGGTGGTGGTCACATGTCTTAGCGTCTGAGCTTCTGAGGCAAGCGTCGCAGAGGATGTGTGGGTGGAGCCGTGGAGCACCACTGGGTGGACTGGCTGCGTTGTCACGGAGCGAGTCAGACCGCATGTCGTGGGGATCCTGGTTCTGGCCACGCTTACCCGTCTGGGGTGTGGCTGGCGGGTCATGTGCGCGCGGGCGGCGAGGGATCAGTGGGCTCGAGGCATCGTCGCCGGGCGGTTGTTGTTTGGAGCAGGAGGATCACCGGGGCCATGAGTGTATGTACAGTAGCACGGCCAACGTGAGGCCATGTGCGGTTGCGGCAGGCATGGGTGCGGGTTTGGCGGCGGCGGGAAGCAAAGCTTGGAAGCTGGAAGGCTGGAAACCGGCCCGTCTTTTACAGTCGCGCGTCACGTCGTCAACAAACAACATACCTAGGTACAACAATAATAACAACAGTCCGTCGCGGATGCCCTCGTCGCGTCGTCCGCCAGTGGTGCCCAGCGCGCGCCCCAGTCGCCGCCCCAGTCGCCGCCCCAGTCGCCGCAGCCCCCCATGCCTGCTCTGATCGCACCACGCTGGTCACCCGGGAATCCGGCTTTTCTTCACGACCAACACGGCTGCCAGATGCGCCGCCGACTCTTGCCGTCTCACCGCTCGACTCGCCCGCATTGCGTCACTCGGCCTCGGCCATTGGCAGCAGAGAGTGACTACCGACTACACAGATACCTCTACAGCGCTTAGCTAAGTCACCATCGGGCACTGCCCAACGTCCAGCTAGTGCTCGTCCCGGAAATTGCATCTGTGGAATCCTTCGTACGCGGTGCACTGGAGCAACCGCTTGAAGCTCGGCCGTGGCAGCGCCTGGATATTATATGTACCTGTTGCTCATCTCGCGCTCCAGCTCTTTCTCGCGACGCTCCATCTCCCAGCCAACATGGTCCCGGATGTCAACGCCGTGCCCTCTGCGAACGAGATCACCGTCCCGCGCCTGCGGCCATCGTCTGCACACGTCCCGCCTCCGTCCAAAATCTACAGTCGCCGCAGCCCATCCAGACCCCGGCGCAGATCCATCGATGGCCGCCCGCTCGTCCGCAGCAGCACCACCAAGGTATCAGTCCGCATGAAACCGCGGCCTGCTGCCACTGCCGCTGCCGCTGCCACGGCTATTCCAGCCCCAACACCTGCCACTTCCACTTCCACTTTACCAACCTCCTCGTCTTGGCGACCACCGCCGCCTTCCCGACAGGTCTCATGGTCGTACCTGAGGAAGACGTCGTGGTCGTCGCCGCACAAGCATCCGCTCGAAGCCCAACCCCAGGACGTGGACCATGGCTCTTCCATGGGCGGGACTGGTGACAGTGGAGCTGGTGATCCCGCATCATCGAGAGCTGCAGGCTCGCTGCGCCCCCGGTACTCGGTCTCGTATCGTCTCGCCAAAGCACCGCGAGCTGCTGCCACGAGCGCCGCTGCTGCCACCGTCGCTCCCACTGCCGTTGGCGTCGATGAATCTCCAGCAGCTGAGCCTTCGCCAGAAGCGTCGGCAGGGGCGGAAGCTGGACCGACCGATGCCACCGCCACGAAAGGCTCGGAAGAAACTGTGACAGCCGATGATGATGATGAAGGCGTCACATGTGCGAAAAATCAAAGCAGATCGTCGACATCACCACCTCCTGCACAACCCACTCCACTCTTCGATGAGGCCACGAGGTTGACAGCTGCCTGGAAAGATATTCAGCGCAAGGAGCGGCAACTGAAAGTACGCGAAGACGCGCTCAAGCTGAGCCAGAAACGCCTCCGCCAAGACCGCGATGCGCTCGAGAAGGAGAAGCGACGGGTCCAAGAGGAGCTGAAAGCGCAGCAGGAGCGGGAGCGGGAGCATGAGCAGCAACAAAAGAAAACACGAACCACTACAGCCAATGCTACCACTGCTGCCCCCGACGAAGACACCACCCGCAAAAGACGAGCCGCGAGGCGGGGCAGGAGCAGGAGCAGGAGCAAGCCGCGAACCAAGGTCGTGTTTCCCGACGACTGCTGGCGGCTGGACCATCAGAAGCAACAAGACCACCGTCACTCGTCCTGGTCCTCGGTTAACAGCAGCGACGCTGGCACCAACACCTCCCGCCACTCGTCGACATCCTACCCTTCCGACGCCGAAAGCGCCACTACCGCTGCCACACGCACATCGTCGTCCTCATCCACCCGCCCTTCCCCCGAAACTCAGAGCGATCCCAATCCCCAACCCCAACCCCAGCCCAAACCCACTTTCGAACCCAAACCCAAACCCACTTCCGCACCCATACCCATAACCATACCCATACCCATACCCGTACCCGTACCCGTACCCGTACCCACACCCTCACCCCGACGCACCTGGTCCCCCGCCGACCTCGGACCCTCCCTGGCGGCCTACAACGCCCAATGGACGGCCCTATCGCCGCGCTCCGCCGCGATTCCCTACCCGTCGCCCAACCACTCGGCCGCCGAGCTGGTCGATGCCACGCACCTGCGCTCGCTGCTCCACCTGCTCCTCCCGCTGCCGGCCGCGGCCATGGAAGAGAGGAGGAGGATACTGGCCGCCATCATCGCCGGCAGCGGCGGCGGCAGCACCCACCACGACGCCGTCGTCCATTACAACGTCGTCCACTTCTTCCTCGTCGCCCGCGGCGTCGCGTGCCGGCCGGTGCTGTCGCGCGGGTTCGGCACGGCGGCGGTGGTGGCGCCCGCCGTGCTCAAGCCCGATTACCGGTTCGGGTTGAGGAGGGTCCCGGTCGCCGCCGCCGTCAATGGGAAGGAGGGGAGCGGCGGCGGCCGCGAGGAGAGCAAGGAGCACAAACAAGTGTCGTTGAGGGCGTTGGTCAAGGAGGTGCGGGGCGAGTTGAGGAGGTGGCACGAGGACGGGTTGAAGTATCGGGGCAGCGGCGGCGGCGGCGACGTTGAGAACGGCCACGTGGAGGAGAGGAAGGTCAACGAGGAGCTGGTCAAGGACGAGACGGCCAAGGCCGTCTTCAGGGCGTTTACCGAGCTGAGGGATGAGCTGTTGGCCGAGGTGCGGTGGAGGAAGAGCATCGGCATTACCGACGATGGGGTCGTTGCCGCCGAGCCGAGGAGAGAGGAACGCCCGAGGTCGGGCTACGGTGCTGCTCCGGAAGAGGAGCAGAACGGGGCAGGTGGAGTGGACTGGTCGGTTTTGTCCGAGGCCATGTTGTAAGACGGAAAGAGGGTGATTGTGATGTCTCTGGTATGATTGACGATGGTGATGAATCTGGCGATGTGAATAACGAACAAGGGCATGACGGTTAGATGGCTGCTCCGCGAGGAGAACGAACGAACTCACGGGTTTGAGAAAGAATACGGCGTTTGTTTTTGAGAGGGTGTTTTTTTTTTTTTTTGCATACTGTTCTGTTCATGATACCTCGGGCGGCATGGTTTGAAATGCATCTTGTAGGTGTAGTATGTTTAGTTAGTTACATGTAATCATCGATTCGTTACTCTTAAGTTCGTCTCCGCATGTGCTTCGTGACTGTCGTTATCATCCAGGCGTTCTGTTGCTGTCGTTCGGACCAAACCAGCTAATCGTCAACCCTCATTAATCCATTACAAGCCAGACGCCTTTTCCCTCCTCCTGCATGACTTCCCTCTCTCGGCTCGGGGAATATGTTGGACTTTTTTCTTTCTTTCTCCCTGCAGCCACTGCTTTCATCCTCCACTAGTATCGCCGACGCTTCTTCCCTTAGCATAGTAGTCGCTGCCCAACCACCCCTCCTCGTAAAGCGCCACTCACATGACTTCTCAAATGCGGCTTTGCTGGCAAGGGCCCCCCGGCGGTTGGGGGACATATTGTGGCCTGACGAAGAGCCACACGTAAGGAAGAAGTCTTTCCAGGGGCACTCCCTGCAGACCGTCCACAACCTAGTCTTCGTTTTGCACTTCTTCTTCTTCTTCTTCTTTTTCTGCTGACCTAATGAGTCCGTCGTTCGTTCACCGGGCAACCCCCGTCAAAGGATCTACTATCGAAAAGAAAAAAAAAGGTGTTGGGTCACTCACCCACAAAGAAACTTGAAGCAATTCTGCTCTTTTGTAATTTTTCCCTCTTCTTTCGCCCAAGCCCATCATCCTCTCTCCGCCCCACCCCACCCCACTCCATTTTGGGCGTCGGGCAACTTTCAGGGCGGGTTGCCCCACCTGTCGTAGTCATCGCCGTAGTCATCGTCGCCGCATTCCCCCATGAGCGGCCGCCGCACGGAGAAGATGCTGCCGTCGAGATACATCATCACCTCGCGCTCGTACACGCGCTGCAGGCAGATTTCCGAGTCGCGCGCGCGGATCTCGCGCAGGCTCTCGTTGCGGGGCGAGAACTTGCGGCGGAGCGTCCGCGTCGGCGAGTGCGGTGGGGAGAAGGACGACGAAGAGGAAGAGGTTGACGACGACGAGGCGGAGCGTAGCGACGAGGACGAGGCCGTCGACGCTCGGCGCTGCCGCGGCGGGGACAGGGGGAATACGGTGGGGGGAGGAGGGTAGTAGTGGTAGGTGGGCGTTGGCGAGAGGCGGGGAGGCTTCTGGTGGCGGCGGCGCGAGATGCTGTTGGTGTAGTGCAGGACGTCATCGATCTCGTGGATGATGGCGAGCACGCTCTCGGACCCGTCGCTGCAGGTGCTGCACGCGCGGGACGACGAGGGCGAGGAGGTCCAGGTGCCGACCTTGGGGAGCCGGAGCGGAGGCTCGGGCAGCGGGCGCGGGAGGCGGCGGCGGAGGGGCGAAGGGGTGGAGCGGATGTCCGGGAAGTGAAGGGGCGGAGAGGGCGAGCGGCAGTCCATGGCGGGGCGGAGTGGACTAAGCGGGAGCAAGCATGAACCCGGACGGGAAAGACACGATGGTTTCGCGACGCCGAAGGGGCCGCGACGGGTGGGGAGGACACGGGCACGGGCGACCAGGGCCGGGGATCAAGGTGGAAGGTGAATCAAGGGGAGGGGTGGTGGCGGGTAGAGGTGGGCTTGGAGCTATATAGACTGCCTGCCACGCCCATTTCAGGGCTGGCGCTGGGCTGTGGTCGGCGTCGCAGCGGGCAGCCCTCTGGACCCGCCCGGCTGGGCATTTATGGGACGGGAGGCAAGGCTGGAGTGGCACAAGACGGCCATCTGGGGCAGGGTCGACGTGGGCGGGTGGCCCGAATGGCAGCGGTCGAGAGGTTGGGCTGGGAAGAGGCGCGGCCGGCCACCGCAGCGCCCCAGCCACTCGGCAGGACGACGCGAGCGAGCGCCCGGCGGTGCGCGTGAGGACGCGATAACACGGGCGCTATGCTGCGGTGAAGCAGCAGGGTCGCCGGCCGCGGTAAGCTGATGTCAGGGGGCTTCTGGCCCGAGGTGGTGAGGCTTAGGGTGACGTCGCGGTGCAGTACACGGCCGCGGATAGTCCTGGCTGGTCAGCTGCGCGCTAGCGCCGCCAGGGCGCGGCCACCACTATTAGCGGCCGGTTGCTGCAGGGCAACGGGAGGAACAACAGAGCAGCCGCCGCCCTGCAGCCGCCCGACACTCCATCTGCTGGTCATGCGGCGGTGCAGCCCGCCGTCCCGCAACTGCTTCACCGTCTTGGGCTCGTCCGCTGTCCCGACTCGATGACAGGTACCCAGGCCGGCAGGGGTGCTCTGCCGTTCGTCTCGTCGCTGCATTCGCTGCACTCGCTGCACACCATCGTCGGCGCCGCAGCGCCGCCTTCCTCGTCGCCTCGATCCACCCGGCTCCTTCAGCCCTCCAGCTCAACACCACGGACGCGTCCCATGATTTCTACGGCTCCCCGCCGGATGTGAGGCCAGAAGGTGTGACACAGGCTCGCAGCCTCCCCTCCCTTGCCATCAACCCTGTACCGAGGCCCCAAGACGAAAAAGCCGTCCGCTCTGCCCTCCCGCAGGACCCCACCAGTCTTTAGCCTGATGACTTGCAGCTCTGCGAGGCACTCGTCTCGGAACACTTGCATTCGGCACCAAGAAGCACCCCATGAGCACGTGGTGATCGCTGCCAATCATCCCCACTTGTGGACATGCACAGCTTATGGGCTGCTTACCTCTTGAATGCTTTTGTGAGAAGCTGAGACCTGCTCTACCTCACTTTTGGTGCTACGCCCTGTCTCCTTCACGACCTCTGCCCCGAGAGAATGGTCACTTGCTCATATTATTCTGTGGGTTATTAGATGGCTCACCCTCGGAGCCTCGACCCGACCAATAGCCTAATTTCCTTGTGCACCACTTACCATGGCCTCTGCCTCACTCCATGCTGAACGACGCCCGTCTCCGGCCAAGCCCGTTGCCATCCTTCCTTAACGCCCAGAAAAGTGCCCAAGCGGACGAGGAGAGTCACACTCGCCCTTGCCCTCATCCTATTCCTTGTATCCAAAGGGGCCAACCACAAACTCCAAGCGCCAATTCCTCCATCTCGAAAACAAGGGAAATCCAGCCCTAACAACGAGGCGCTGCTCAGTGGGGGGTATCTCTATCAAACTTACGACTTTCAGTCGACGTCCGACGCATCCGTCTCTCTCGTCCTGATATTTCCGAGGGGGATGCCGTAATCATCCTCATCCTCCCATTCGTCCGCCTCATCCTCGCTCCACTGCCATGCTCCCGGAATCTTCTTCGCTCGGCGCAAGCTCCACGAATCCGGCGTGAACACCCCGGTCGCGATACGTGCCGCGATGCTTAGCATGAGCGCGACCAGGTGTGCAGGCGGCCCGATCAGGATCCCCATGGTCTTCTGCATGATGGCGCTCGTGTACTCCTTCCTGGGATGCGCCTGCGCCGGCGGAGTGAAGAGATTGGCCGGGTGAGGCATCGGTGACAAGCCTCGCAGATGAGACGTGCTTGTCAGACGCCGCAGCCTGATCGACTCTGGCGGAGGGTCGATATCTGGATAGCTCATGTCCACGGCCGAATCCGAGTCACTGGTCAGCGTCGGCGTCGGCGGGGCTGAACTTGGCCCGTCTTCGGCACGAGGCGACGGCGTAAACGGCGACCGCTCGTCCTCGCTCAGGTGCACCCGACCGGTGATGGTCAGCTCCGACATCTCACGCTTATGGCGTCTGCCTGGGCTGGAGTCCAGACGATATTCAGACCCCCCATCCACCGCCTGCGAAGACGGGGTGTCTCGCCGGATCGAGGCGGCATCGAAATACATGGATGCCTGTCGGGATTGCAGCTCTCGCATATGCGATTCGTTGCTCAGTGAATAGAAAGAGTCCGAAGTCGAGTCCGCAGTGGAAGAGATGCTTGCAGCATCGGAATTGCCATCAGACGATTCTTCTTCGGCTGAGGCGCCAAGCGAAGCCCTTGACGCCGACCTGAGGCTCAGCTGGACGGGTGCAGTCACAGATCTCGAGCCCTCGGAATGCCTCATGTTGGGTTTGAGGGCTCGCCGTCCGGCAGACTTCTCCGAAAAGCCGTCCTCGGATGGAGTCTCGTTTTCGACAACGGAGCTGGCGACAGAGGATGCCGAAAAGACACTGCTGCGTCTGAAAGGATCCGAGGATGCAGAAGTCGTGCTGTTTTCCGAGGCATATGAGTTCTCGGTTCCCTGGCTCGCCGGTCTCTCTCCGTCCTCGGGTCTCCAGACACCGTCGAGCTTCCACTTCTTGGCCCTGCCTGGTGTTACAGGCCTCCGTTTACGTGGCGGTGTCGCCGGCGCCTGCGGAATCTCCACGTGAAAGCCACGCGCAAACGGGCAGAGAGTCCTTTCATACAAAAGGACCTTCGCCATCACGGCCTTGAATTCCTCGACCTTTGCCAGGTTCTCCGCTCCTTCGCCCGGAAGCTCGATGCGGTAGTACGAGCTGGGGCGGGGTATGCGCATGGCGAACTTGGATACGCCATCGACGCACCAGCATTGCGACTTGGGCAGGATGGCGTGCAGCAGGGAGCCAGAGTGCAGGAATGCGACAGATCCGGGGACGCGGTAGATTCGGATGGGTCCTGTATACTGGTTAGCAGCGGGCAGACGCAGCAGTCGAGTGGCACATACCAGCAGCAACGGTGCTCTCCGTCGGCGACGTCCAGGGGATTGCGTCTGGGTGGCCATTGTCCCCTAAGGCCGGCCGGTGGCTAGCGCTAGACGAAGGCCGAGATAGCGACGATGCGGTCGTGAAGAGCACGATCTTGGCAAAGCTGTGATTGAACAGGATCTCGATGCCGTCCGCAGATCCAGGCGCCTGCGCCGAGGGGCTCGAGCCGGCCAGGCGCGTAGGCAGGGTCAGGGAGCGGCGCACGCCGTGCTTAACGGTTGGTTGCGCAGGAGGGGTGGAGGGAGCGGTCGGGGAGGACATGGCGCATGTGGGCTAATCAGGTGTGCATGCTGACGCGGGCGCGGGCGGGGTGGGCAAAGACTGCAGGCGCAAGAGTCGTGGTGTTGCCTGAGTGGAGTTGTTGTGCGGTGGTGGGCGGGCGCGGGCACAGCAAAAGAGCAAATGGCTGGTGACGAGGATCGACGGCGCGGGCGGCCGGCGGGCCTTCGGGCGGCATGCGCGTGAGCTGCACTACAGGGGCTATCCAGAGCGATCTCCACCATCTCGCTATTGGCCGCTCGTCAAACCCAATGCGAAACGCTACGGCACCACCATCACCTGTCAGTCATGCGTGTCGCGTCCTGGCCTCGTGAATTGAGCTCTATGCTAGCTGTGCTCGTGCACAGTACAGTCCTGACCTCATCGAACCCCCCGCCATGCCCGCCGTCAAACCGTCTACTCCAGATCCGCCGTGACGTTGGAGAACTCGCCCCTCTCCAACTTCGTGTTCCAGAAGATGGGATTCGTATCATTGAAGCCGTGCTTGACCCAGCCGTCCTCCCTGACGTGGTAGAGGTTGATGTAGCCACCCGAGTACGCGTCCCTGTGCGTGGCGGCCAGAATGCTGCGACGGCCCAGCTCGAGCGCCGCCTCATCCGAGAGATCGTACTTGTACTCCGCATCCAGAACACCGTACGCAAACGTCTGTCCGGAGCCGACACAGAAGAGGTTTCCGGCAAGACGGGTGCCGTCGCTGTCAATGTAGTAGAGAGCCGGGCCTTCTTGGGGCGTCACACCAGCACACATGGTACCCTGCAACCAACATATCAGCAAACATGCTTGCACCATCAACTCTGGGCTCTGCTCACCATGCTCAAGCCCATTCCCTTGTAGGAGTAAACCAGGTTCGCGAGAATCTTGGAGGCGGCGGCGACGGAGATGCGGCGCTTGTGCCTAAGCTCGTGGAGACGGCACTGCATGCCGAGGTAGGCAAGCCAGTATTGGCAATCCTAGCAGCAAGAAAATCCATTAGCACCCATGTCTCGGGTGGGAAAGGTGCGGCTTACAGCAGCGCCACCGGCCATGGTTCCCAGCAGGCAGTTGTTGATCTCAATAACCTTCTTCACCGTCTGACTGGCGATCCAGTTGCCGGCTGTCGCTCTCGAGTCGGTCGCAACAATGATGCCGCCCTTGAACCTGAAGGCTAGCGTGGTGGTACCGTGGGCAAGCTTGATGGGGCAGCTTGGGTTGGAGTGGTCGTCGGTCATGGTGCGGAGCCACGATGCGGGCTGCCAAGGCGGTTAGCATCACAAGAAGCTGCGGACGGAAGCTGAAGGGCTCGACGTACAGCAGCGACGGGAGGAAGAGCGAACTTCAGCGACAGCGGCGGAGTGACCTCCATAAGCTCCTGCTGCTCGTCATAGCCGTAGCCTTCGTTCTGGTGCGGCTGCTGGCTGTACTGCGCCACTAATGACTCCATGGTGCGGGATGTGAGCTGGCAAGGCGGGTGAGAGAAGCAGAGGAGGCCGAGATGCGGATGCGGTGGTTGATGGGGTGGGAGGGTTGCGGTGGTATGGAGCTTGGGTCTTGGTCGAGCTTCGGCTCCAGGCACGCAACGAGGCGCGTCAAGCTGACCGACGGGGGCCAAGAGAGCCGCACCCGCCAAGCCATCCGCTGTCCGCCGTCCGCCGCCCGCTGTCCGCCTTCCGCCATCCGCCATCGCCGGCCACGCACCTTTGCAACAGCCCCGTGGACTCTGTTGAATTGTCACGAATTTCTGTGCGAGTCCAAGCAGGCCGAAGGGTGACTATGCGTAGTTTGATCGCGATGCTCAGACTATCGTTTTTTCCACGTGTGCAAACGCACGCCATGTTAATGCCGGTGCAAGAGCTGTCAAACAAGCCGTGGTATTCACATGAATTCGTCCAGATTATCGTTTACACGTGAGGACTGGATGGCTGATTGCCTAGGGCGATGGTGCACTTGAACTGGTGCATCTCCGTCGTGCCCGCCCAAGCCAAAGGCGTCTTGGACCCGTTGAATAATCCTATCCACCAGATAGCTCAAACCAGCTCTCAGCCAACGCAGATATCCATGTGTGGATCTCGACCCAAGCAGAGCGAGACTTGTAAGTCTGCCGGCTTGACATCAAGACGCAATTAATTTAATGCAATTGAAGAGTTCTTTGTGCTTGGTCGAGCTGCTGCTCCAAACGGAAACGAGCCCGCTACCCACTACGGACGTACCTGAACTTTATTTTGAGATTATAAGCATAAGCTATCAAATTTTTTTTCCAAAATGCGCCGATGGTGTAATGGTTAGCATTAATGCCTTCCAACCTCGTAATTCTAATTGCGATTTTCGACAGCATTAGATTCGGGTTCGATTCCCGATCGGCGCAGTTATCGATTCATTCTTTTCTTTTTTTGCATCTCTTCTTTCAAAAGTTTGAAGACCGTCAATGGAAGAGATACATACATACCGTCGAGAATACCAGGGTAGAGTTGTCTAGAATGTCAGCAAATATCCTTCGTTTTGTTAACATTGTGCTGGTAGAGTGGCGATAGTCGTGTGCGTCGCCCCAGTGACGACTTACGTCGGTTGGATGGGATTATGGATGTCACCACTTACTCTTCCTATACGGGTAGTCGGCGTAAGTATCCAACTAAACATTCATTCTACCACCTATACGAGTTTAACGTAATATCCGAGTCGGTATAATAGCGAGATAACTCTTTGGCAATACGTTATTCCGTCCGATAATGCTATTAATTATCTCCTCTTCTAACCGCCGACTAAGGTAGACCGGCTCTGTATGGGGTTATGTACGATCCATATACCTCGTGAATAGTTCAACGCTGAGGAGGGTGTAGACGTGCGGTAGAGCGATAGTAGCTTAGACGATTACACGACGTAGGGGTGCTTCTATGAACGGATTTCCATCGAGGAAGGCTTTGCTGACTACGAACAGAGAGCCTAAACAGCACGGGGGTTATGGAGTTAGGATGAGGTGTGCAGTAGACGGCCTCATTGCGATGGTAGGTGAAGAGGGGGTGAAGAGATGCTAGCCGGGAAATGAGGGGAATGGGTAGAACCGATCCGCGATTTACCGACCAATCTTAAAGGCGGCCGTATACTCCATCCTACGTTCCACATGCGCCGGCCAACAAAACTTATGTCGATCACGCCAATAAGAAAAACACTTCCATCATAAGAGCCTAGAGCCGTTTGTGGGGAGCGAAGTGCAATGGCAATAGGCGAAGCGGTCAAGCCTCCGTAAGCAGGCCCAAGCCGTTGTTTGTTTGCCTTACTAAGTCCGCTATCTCGACGAAGGCTTACTCCGCAAAAGCACGGCATCACAAACATAGCTGTGGTAGAACCCGAGTTTGGAAGAGCACCCGTCTGGCTTGATGTCCATGTTTAATCCGACGTGACAGATGACAGTCAGCATGCTCCTTCTGGGGAATGTGCTAGATGGTGGTGTTGCGCGTAAAGGCTCCACAGTGGTAAGCACTAACGCTGCGCGCAGAGAAAGTATGACGAATGGCCTCGGTGGCTCTCTGCCGGCCATTGGCCCCGTCCGAGGGAGAAAGCCAGACACTGTCGTACTACCCGCGCTTACGGAAGACGACAGATCCAACGGAGGCCGGGGTTTGGGAGAAACTTCAGTCTCAAAGGACACTAGCACGCTGGTGACAAATCTCGCAAGACGATGCCATGCTCATTCCTTTTGGGGACGCGGAGTGGCGTAGTAAACCACCATGCGGCCTAGTGACCCTAATGACGCTGTTGAAGACCAGCCTGGCTGAGTAGGTCTGTGCGGGAGTGTTCAGCCTGGATAAAGTTTCGAAATAGCGTCTCACGGGTGCTTTGATAGAAAAGGCAGACTGGCTCGAAGTGAAGCCACAGATCCAAGCATCGCGTCCTCCTATCTTCGCACTCCATGTACTACATCGTCTTTCTGTGTCACTGGTCAGCATGTGAACAAATCATTTCGTACCTCCTGGGACAAGCCGTGAGTCAGTAGCACGGAAATTTGGACATGGCAGCCTGCTCGAAGACGCTTGCCATGCAAGCAGACCTTCTGCCAAGACGAGGACGTTTTACCCGGAGCAAGACCCATGGGAGCGGACGAGTGGATGCAGCCGTACGGCACGGCTGTTGATGTGGAAGGCTGCAAGATAGCGGAAGCGTGTATAATGGCGGCCTATCAGGTGGGTTGTTATATAAGAGGCGCTGTGTAGAGTGTAGTAGGTTGACATGGGTCGGAGATGATAGCCCGCGCGTACAGCGGAGACCAGTCTTCTTTGATGCATGGCAGCCCCCCGGGCCCAATTTATTTTCCCACAACAGCGAACGCAGAAGAAGTGACACATCGTATGGCTGCTGCAACTCCACGTAGGTCTGCGTAGCCGCCAACAGGACAGGCCATGTTTCACTCCTTCCGCTGACTTGACCTCACATGCTCCGCTTGCAGGGGACGACGCACCAGGAGCAGGAGTCACCAAGCAGCACGTCGGGGAAATCCATCTCTGCGTGAACAATCTCGCGAATCTAGACCGCCGCGTCCCGACCGTGTTGCGCGGCTGCGGCCGTCTCGGGTGCTGCGCGCCGAGAGGCGCAGGGTCAGGGATGCCGCACGTGAAGTGCTTCCAACGGGGCCTCGGCGTCTCGAGAATCTGTGACCGTCGGATCCTCCCTATTCGGGACTGCATTGCCGGCCTCTGGAAGTCTTGGGGTTATGCGGTCTTGGCCGTCGTCCAAACGAAGTAATACGAGATATCACCACGAACGCGCCACTGGTTGTTTACTGCGCCTCAAGGCCTTTACGAGGAGCTTCGTGGCTCGTATTCAAAGCGAGAGTGACCTGATGAGACATATGGTATAGGGAGACAAGTTCCCGTCGGAGTCAGGGGCATAGCGAGCGCACCAGGAAGTCTTACCAGCGGAAGTGTGGCACCCTGTCCACTTGAGGAACTGAAGACCAGGCCTTTACGAATGACAAAGAATCGAATGCTTGTGCATCTGCCTCGCAGAGGCAACCCAATATAGTCAAATCTCGCACCTACACTTGAACGTTTGCTTCGATTGACCACGTGTGACGAGTGTAGCATCCTCTGCAGGGCGCATGAGGCACGATCCCTTCTTTTTTCTTTTGCTATCCACTGTGAGGACTCGATCTGTTTGGAATGGCAATAGGTCCATAGCCTGCGTCACGGTAGAAGGCTCTGCAGACGTGCCATGAGAAGACTTGGACATCCAGGTAGGTCCCATCCGCTTAGCTTGATTGAGACTGGAGAAACGAGTGGCAATCAATGTCGTGTGGGCATGCCATCAAGGACTTTGGGCACACAACAAACGGGACCCGTCAGCAAAGTCCAGCATCATGGATTGCAATACTCACCTCTTTTTTTTTGGAACAAAAAGAAGAAACAAAAAAGAAACGTGCTGCATGTAAATAAGTCTCCGTCTGTCGTGGAAACATGACTGCCGCACGCCGCGTCATCTGTTCAACAAAAACGGGCAATCCTGCACAGTAATTGACTGCTCCGAAGCCTGTGCTGTCCCCATGTGATCTGGGCGCGGCTCATTTGTAGAAAATATCATATATACAGAGAATTGAAAGAGGCTGGAGAAGGCAGAAGATCCTTGAAAGAATCGCACGGGTGGCGGCTCAAAAGTATACACAGAGCCCAGGGGAGTGGCCCCGCCACCTGCCTCGCGGCCGTGTTCTCGCTGAACGCTGGCAAAAGGAAAAGACGAAGGGAAGAGCGCAAGGTGGAAATGCAGACCTGAGACCCGGCCCCATGAAGAAAAGCAGGACGAGCAAGGGAAAGCGACAAACCGAGCACCCGCCCAACCCGCGCCAATGCAAGCCAAGTACCCTAGATTTTTCGTCTCACAAAGGATGACACAAACGGCAGCAGAAACAATGCGTTCCAGGAAAAAAAAGAAGACGGCGCCAGGCAAATGCAGAGACTGAAGCCAACGGTGGGACCGGCGTGGCACGCAACAAGGGACGAAGAAAGAAGCTGCGGGATCTGCAGCCAAAAGCCAGATCGCCGCCCCGCCAAAGATAGAAGCGCATGTAAGCATGAACACAGGCTGTGAGAAAGAAGACCAAAGCGACGGAGCGAGGAATAAGCCGCGCAGGCTTTCCCCGGCCCTTGGGGGGGTGCGCCCGGGAATCGTAGGATCTCCGCCTGGGGACCCGGTGAGCTGCCAAGACTCGCGATGGCTTGCAGTGCAGTAGGGCCAACAACACCAGCGGAACTTGGTCCAAAGGTCGGCCATGATGATGCAAATTGCGCGTCACCCAGGATCGGCGGCGCAATGCGGTGCAAGCAGCCGCCGCAGCCAGACTCCCCAAAAACACGGACAGCCGCGCGGCGGCGGGGTAAGAAGCGGAAGCAGTGCTGGGGAATCTGAAGGCAGCAAATGAGCGATTCCAGAAGGGAAACCGTGTCTACGACGGCCGAGACAACAGGAACAAGCCGGAGTCCGGGTATAATGTGCGCACGAACGAGGAGAGCTGGGCCAGAAACAAAACAGAACACGCCGACGTGTACCAGGGACGCGCGGAGACAGCCGACAAGGTCGCGATAGGAAATTTTTGGTGGGTTTGGGCATGCTGAAACACCCTCTGCAGAGCGCAGTGTGATTGAGGAGCAGAGCCAGGCCCTGGCCGCCCGGCCAATCTCGCTTCGGCTCCCAGCAGACGGCGCCGTAATCCGCAATCTCCCCCAGTCCAAAGTCCGACGGAGGTTGACTGAAGAGGTGACCTGCCCAGAGATGGTCAACGTCAGCGATCGCACAAGCCCGTGCCCGCCCGGCCGAAGCCTTCCATCTCCTGCGCCCGTCCCTTCAGCCCCACCGCCCAAACCGGCAATCCTCACGCCCGGCCAGCCCCCGCTTCCCGCTTCGGCGTGCTGGGACGCGAGCCCTGGGACGCTTGCACTGACGGGCGCGTTTCACGCTGGACTAGCGAGGACCTCTCTGAGCCCTCGCCGTCGCTGCCATGGTTCCCACGCTCCTCCGCGCCGTGCGAGGACTGCGGCGCCTGAAGCGGCTGCTGCTGGTGCTGCTGGTTCTGCTGGTGCTGGTGCTGGTGCTGTTGCTGCTGCTGGAATTGTTCTCGCCGGTGAGAATCGTGGCTTGCATACCGCTCGGAATAGGAGCTCGATTCGGCCCCTGTGTGCGTGCCGGCTCGGCTTCGCCCCGTGTACTGCGTCTGCTCAGTGCCGTACCCGCGCGAAGACTGGTCGCTGCGGGTCCGTGCGTGTCCTCGCCGGCCTGGTGTCGACGTTGACGAGCCCGAGACATGCGAGAACGAGGGCGACGTATATTGCGGCGCAGACGTCGGCGCCGGGGCTGCCTGGTGCGCGCCCTGCGCCTTACGCTTCTTGGGCGAGCTCGCGTAGTCTACACCGCATTCGTAAGCTGTCAGACTGTGTGGACACTCCCTATTTGTGGTGTTTACCTGACGGCGTCGCGGAAGGATTCGTACCAGAGCTGGACTGGGTGGTGGGGGGCACCCAGTGGTGGAAGTAGATCGAAGGCGATGACGTCTGCGGTTGTTCCTGCTGAGACTGTTGGATTGTGCTGAGCGTCTGCGCCTGCGGCGGCTGCTGGATCTGCATCTCGTTGGTCGTGAGCCGTGGCAGCTGCGAATGTGCCGGCGGCTTGGGGTGTTGCGGGTAGCTCGACACCCCCCGTCCTCCACGCGGCGACATGTTGCCCACCGGCGCGTAGGTGGGCGCCGCGAAGGGGCCGGCTGCGGGCTGAGCTGGAGCCTGCCCCTGTAGCACGGGCGGGGCTGCCACGACCTGCTGCGCGCCCGCGTAGACGCCTGGCGGGGTGGGATTGACGATGCGCTGCTCTCCCCTCCGCATGTCCGGCGACACCTGCGCCTGGGCCTGGGCCTGAGCCAGCGCCTGCTGCTGCTGGGCCTGGAGCTGTGCAACATACTGCTGCAGCCAGTCGACAGTGGCATTGGCGGAGCTGCCGCCGCCGATGCCGGCAAAGATCATGGGGACGAGATGCGGCGGCACGCCGCCCTGCATCGACTCCCGCAACATGGACTGCTCGACCTTGCGCTGCTCCAGGCGCAGGGATTCCTGGCGGGTCTTCTCCTCCTCCTGCTTCCTCTTGTCCTCCTCGGCCTTGGCGGACAGCCAGTTCCGCATCGACTCCTCGGCGCCCTGCCACTGCGAGGGCGGGGCGGGCATCTGGCCCAGCGACTGCGAGACGGACATGGGCGGCGGGGCGGTCCGGCTGGGGTCCGGGAGGGTCATGGCTGCGGGCGGCGGGAGGCCGCGATGAGAGGTGCTCATCGTGCTCGGGGCACTGGCCGGCAGTGACTGCGGCAGGGCCACCTGGGGAGAAAGGCGTGCGGACGGCGAATAGGCCTTGGGCGGAGGGTAATCATGGGGATGCTTGAACTCAAAGTCCGATCTGGTCGGCTGGGACAGCGTGAGTAACATGGGGGGTTAGGCGCGGACGGCAACGACCGACATGGAGAGAAGAGAGCAAGAAGAAGGAGAAGAAGCAGGAAAAAGAAAGGAAAGCGTCGAGTGGATGGCAGCTTTTGAGGCCGTGGCGGCGCGCGGTGCTGGGCCTGGGGAGGGCTACGTTATTTAGAGGCATGGCTGGGCCGGTGGACCAGGAACCTTACCGGCGCGGTGGGAGATTCGCCTGCCGCATGCCGTAAGGCTAACGGGCTCTGGTCGGGCGCGGGCTGCGCGGTCGATCCAGCGCTCGCGTGAAGGGCGGCGATCACGTAGGCCTGGGCGGTGTCTGGTGTCGGCGGGCATGCTGGGCGGCGCAGCGGCCGGTTCGGCTTCAACGGCAGGCGCAGAGCGTGTGGCGCGCAGCGGCAAATGCACGGAGCAGCGCTGGCTGCAGTGCGCGGGCACGATGCTAGCGCAGTCCATCCTCGTCGCATCGCGCCCGATTCGACTCGCTCAGGCGCGCCGCCCCAGGCCTATCAGCCCCCAGGCTCGCAGACGCGCTCCCCGAAGCGTCATTTCGCCAGGAGCCCCAAGTCCCACCGCTCAATTTCAGCGCGAGCGCTGGCCAGAAAATGAAGGACCGCGCGCGCTTCTCCAGCAATTTGGCCCTGATGAGCGCCTCTATGCGAAACGCCCGCCGCCGACGGCATCTGCCATGGCGCCCAGGGCTGAAAGAAGATGCGCCTAGCTCGCACTCCTCCCGCGATCGACACAGCAAGGCGGACGGCATGCAATCGATAAGTCGGCAATGATCTCCGCCGCGACGTTACAGTGACATGCCCGCCTCCCAGACTCCCACACTCGCACGCTCGCACGCTCGCACGCTTGCACGCTTGCACGCTCGACGCCCGCTGCCCGTGACGCGCGCGCGCTGCCCGTCATCGCGCCCCACGCCGCCGGCCCCTCACGCCCAGCCTGTTTGCGCAGCCTGTTTTCGCCGCCTGTCCGCCTGTCCGCCTGTCCAGCACCGTGACCCTGTGAGCCCGTCCGGCAGCAGCCCCAGCAGCCCCCAGCAGCCGCCGCCGCCTCATCTCCGTCACTGCTCCCTTTGGGCCTGGCCAGCTCAGCTGAAACGCCGTGGCGCTCCCGATCAGGCGACGAGATCTGCTCGCATCGGGATCTAGACGCTGCGCGTTCCACCGCAACGCGCCAATCCCCATGTCCCGTCGAGGACTCGCCGCCAGCGCCGCCCGCGCCGCCCTATTGCCCTCCTGCCTCTTGGGCTGCGAGCTCGAGAGCCGCTGGACCCCGAGCTAGAGCGATGTCATGCGTCGGCGGCCAATTGCTGACGAATCTGCGGGCGAGTCAGCAGGCGAGCATGATACAAACGCGGAACATCCGAGACCCAATGCGGCGGCGGCGGCCAAGCGCTGGCTCCGACGAGGGTTCCCCGGCCGTTGACACCACTGCCAACCTTCTTTCCCAACGGCCGTTGCTGGCCGGGGTCCGCCAGTGGGCCCCTGCCGGCGCCGTCGCCCTCGAGCGCGCGGGAGCGGGTTAAGCGTAATTGACGGTGCTGATGGCGCTTTTTAGCAAACCCCATGCCATTTCCAAACACGTCGGTAGCAAGACGGGCACGCTCAAACGCCGGGCTCGCGGGCAGAGGTCGAAAAGAGGAGTGCCGGTGCAGAAAACGGAAAAATAAAAGAGCAGTGTTATGCCCTCCTGGTCCGTTTGATGCTGAGACACGCCCGCGAGTCTGCCTCGCGGGCCAGATTACGTGCGTTTTCTGCAAGCCACTTCCCCTTCGCGACCAGCCTTCATCTAAGACACTCGGATCCTGTCATCTACAGCTTGGCGAGATGAAAGCGCGGAAAGTGCCCCGGCGGCTGCAGTGGTGCTCGCAAGCACAGCGAGCTAAACTCGACGGCCATACTCGACCGGGCAGCCGAGCGCAGTGCTAGCCTCGCCGCCCGCACGCGAGGCGGGCAATAATCGGCGGGTTCCAGATTAGCCAGCCGGTGGGTGTCGTAGCCCGTAGGGGCCTCGGCGGCGTGGAGGCGGCACGCGGGAGCAGGACTGAGGCCGGGAAGGAGCCCCAAGGCATGCTCCGGCAGCACGAGCCGGGGGGTGGCGCGTCGTGCCGACGAGGCCGGCATGCCGATTGCTCGAACGAGGACGTCGTGGCCAGAAGCGGGCAAGCCCGTGGTGGAGGCCGCCGCAGCTGGTGGCGAGGAGCGGCAAGGCGAGGCGTGCCGGCAGGCGCAGGCGAGATCTTCGTCGTCGCCTATCGACAATCGCCAACTCGAGCCTGGCGACATCGCCGGCTCGTCAGCCCTAGGCGCGGCCGGCAAGTCGTGGCGACACCGTTGCCCCGCTTATTGCTGGCGCTGGACGTCGACTTTCCCTTTCGCGCCAGCCGCCGGCGCCGAGGTGGGCGCAGCGGCGCAGCGGCGCAGCCACACATCGGCAGGGCACACAGCAGATCCCAGCGGCCAGGATGCGAGGCGGGGACCCTGGCGGCCAGGCAGGCGGAGGCGCGTGCCACATCTGCGGACATCTGCGGCCATCTGCGGCCTGGTGTCGGCGGCGGCGGCGGCGGCGGCGATGGCTGGGGCTCCGAGCAGATCTCAGCGCGCAGTGGTTCCCGGTTTCCAGTTCCGCGCGTGCGCCTCTTTTTCCAGCGATTCGAGAGCAGCGCAAGGTGCAGCGATGAGCGAAAAGTGGTGTGATGATCTACGAGCGGCCCCTCAATCTGGCAAGATTGCGTCTTTCCCCCCAGGACGCGGACCCTGCTGCATCGCCTTCCCTGTCGCCCGCCAGACACCACGTCTCCATCATCAATCCTCACGCAAGCTCCACCTGCATAGCCGCCCGCGACTGCCACTCCCGCCGCCGCGTCGCCTCCTCTTTCTCCGACCGGCGAGTGCCACCCGCAGCCTTGTCCGCCTTGTCGCGCAGCCCTCAGGCCCCGTCCTGAATCCTGATGCGCAACGGCGCACGTCGCGACCGCCATCCGAGTCGCGTGCCGCCAATGCACGAAGCGCAATGCTGTCGCGAGGGAAAAACTAAATGCCACCACTCGGCCTATCAGTGGCTCCTCTGCCTTGGCCTTTGTGGCCCAGCTAAACCGCATTGCCCCGTCCGCCGTGGATGCATGCGACAGTACGTGGTCGTAGGGCAATTGCCGGGACCTGCGGCACTTCCGCCCGCATTCACTTACCGCTTGTTGCAACCCTGATGCCTCACCGCCCGCAACGCCGTGGCTGCGCTGCGCCGCCCCTCTCGCCCTCGCCGCCGAAGCAACGGAAAGTAATGGCAAAAGCGGAGAAGAACACCAGGTGGCTGGCATCGCGCTCAGACCGCTACGGAGACATTTCCTTCAGATCTCGTGTTCCTCCCAGACGCTTCTTGCTTGGGAATTAAAATGGAGACGCTCCGGCCGCCGATCATGACTCCAGCACTCGGCCCTCACAGTCTTCACGATGGAAGAACCCGCCTCTTGCAAAAGAACACTCGACCGCTTTTGATTGGTGCTCCCGTGCAGATTGATCGGCCTGGATCGTGCGAGATTCACGTAGATGGTGGGGGCACGAAAAAAGCGGACCGCATCCTGACTTGTCAAGACAGGCTCGCGGAAGTATGATGCTGCTCTCACGAGAGACGACAGCACAAATCCACACAAACACGTCTAACGCACGTACGCGCGAGCAAGAAACGTGCACGCACCTGCACCCGCGCACGCACGGCCAGATGTTGCCTTGGTCCTGCCCGTATAGTCGGCGCGATTCTCCGTCTAGGGGGCCCATGTTGTAGGAGAAGAGGCGGAGGGGTGGTCGTCTCGAGGGCGCGCTTGGGATTCCCGGCAGTAAGGTACACATGGTTGCGGAGCCTACTTACTCTCGCACTCAGATGCTTACGGCAATAACTCCGTGCGCATTCACACGAGCTAACCTAGCACGCAAACCAGGAAGAGCGTCGGACACTCTAACAAGAAGGTACTGTCAAGCCATGGTCTCAAAAGGCGCCGGGGCTAACATGCCGCACGCTGTACGTGGTACACGCCATAAGCGGGAGGGTTATCGGGAAATTTTATTTCCTAACGGCCGCCCCATCCCGTCTGCGCGTTCGCGTCCTGGGCGGACGGAACATGGCGCGAAGTCGCGCACGCGCGCGCGACCTTTGACCCTGGGACAGAAACCATCCTCTTCCCTCTCCCCTCTCTCCTGTTGCGCATGGGCAATTGCCGCGCTCCTCTCTGTCTCAGACCCCCGTCGCTCCCACTTCCCACAGCAGTGGGGTTGCCAGAGATGGGAATCCAACCAAGGGCCAACGTGTGACGTCGGTCCCTTTCCCGAAGTTTCCCCGTAAAACAAGTACCTCACGACACGTTTGACAGGCTGTAGTCTTCCCCCGCTGCAGCACGAAAGCATGCCCAACCAGAAACATGAATAATGCAGCCTGGCCGCAGCGATTAACATGGCACACACTCCTCTCTCCTCGACCTTCTCGGGCCCCGGGCAGGAAGGGAGAAAAGTCAGTCAAGTCATTCTCATTATCTCAGCCACCCGGTACTATCCGGAGCCAATGACTGGCCTGGGAGGATCGTGCTCACCCACGCGAACTTTAGCAAACGACGGACGGTTTTGTCGAGAGGCCGATCGCTTCCATTATTCGGGCGCCTGCGACCGTCTCTCGTCTCGGTAGTACAAAAATACTGCGCGCTAAAAAAAATAAAAAAAATAAAAACGAAGGCAAGGCCCCAAAAAAAGCATCGTGCACCAAAGGCCAGAGTGTGAGCAACCCGCTCCCTGCGGACATCGCCGTGACACTACCACGAATCTCTTCGTATCCCCCCTTCTCTCTGACCAGCCACTCGTGCGCTGTATACGGGAGGCGAATTATAAAGGGGAGCGTACCTTCCAGGAGAGCTGATGCGAGGGACGCTAGGTAAGTGAAGACGACGGCTCAGTGAAGAGGTGCAACCACTCATGATGCGAACAAGAGCCTGCAGCTTCCGATTCGCCAATGATTTAGGTCACATGGAAGACGAAACGGCGTTGGGGGGGGGTTTGTTTGGCTCAGCCAATCATTAGCGATTACTACTAAAATAACAACGATCTCTCTTTTGTCTTTTGATCCCAGCCCCCGCCTGTGGTCTTTTCTATCCTACCAAACACAAAAAAGGACCTCGGTATGTATGTATCTGTTGCCGATCCGCCGGGAAGCTTCTGCTCTCCCCGCTTCAGAGCTGAACCTGGCAAACATGATGGATATCAACTTCATTCAAAAAAAAAAAAAAAACACAAGAACGAAATGGAAACACAATGATTGGATGGGTAAAAAGCAAAGGACAGACAAAGGGCATGCTCAGACCTCGGCCCCAGCTCCGGGGACACGCGATCGACTGGCTGCATATTAGCCGCCCATGAAGTAAAAGATGTGAGCAACGAAAATGGTAAGTGATCGACAAAGTGGAAATAAGCAAGGTTGCAGTAGTAATAATAGCGGAAACACCCGTCATTTGTGACGTCGGGTTGGCTTTTGAGCGAAAAGAAGGCGAACAGGTCGTCTGCATGTCGTGTGGTCCCAAGCCGACTTCGAAAATACAGTAACGGAAAAGACCTCCGACGCGATAAAGGCGAAGCTCACAAAAAATAAGACAGCGCGACAAGAACAACATCATGATTGGCCGTACACGATCCTGCCGGTCGCCGCCACTGCACCCGATCTTTTCGCGCGCAAAAGCAATGGGAGTCCAAAAAGAAAAAACGAGAGGGATTGCAAACCAAGTGAACATGACGAAGGACTTCCAATCGGGGTATTCGGCTGGGGGGGGGGGGTGATTGGGAAGCGTCCGTGAAAAAAAACAAGCGAGCAAAAGTAAAGACAGAACGCCTGACCCGGAGGCGAGATGCCACGTTCAGCCACGCGGCAGCCCTGTGTGCCATCGCCCTGTCTTTGGATCTTCGTCCGAGCGATGCAGCATTGTGAAAAGGTATTCTCCGGGTGGTGATACCAGAAAAGGTAGGTAGGTGGGAGCGCGGAAGTGGCTCGCTAATGGCACAACCCTAGTCAGCACTTCAGGCCTAGCCTCGGCAGCCCTCTACGCAATCGATGCAACCTTTGCCGCGACCTTCTGCAGCAGGCTCGAGTGCGAATGCGAACGGTTTAATCCTGCCGCGACGACAGCCCGGTCCGTCTCTTTCGGGCTCAGGCGACATGTCCAACGCAGCATTACCCGGCAACGGGATTGGCCTTGGCTCGCTTCTTCCTCTGCTTCCACTCTGCCCTTGCCACGCGCATGAGCAGATCCTCGTCCTTGACCGGAACCCACGAGGTTAGCGTCTTCATCGCAACCTCAAAGTCCGAGTCCAACAGGATTTCGCGCGTGGCGTCAATAAGAGCTGCCGAGGTGGCGTGCAGCACGTCGAGATCGGCGTGGAACGAGTTGTTGGGGTCGCAGGATGTAGAAGCATCGCCGAGCAGCATGAACACGTCCCAGACACGGAGCTGCGCCGGGAACGGAATCGAGTAGTTGAAGAGCGTAAGATACCAACGTGTCCCGTAAGCCGTACAGTGCACGCCGAGTTCCTCCTATACTATCCGTCAGCACTAGCGAATCAAAACGTGAGGCGGTGCTATATGGTGCGCATGGCTTCGGACCAGAGCCACAAGCAGTCACAGCCCGGACCTTGCATTCAGCTCGCCACGAAACACGGTGGGCTACCGCATCAAAGCGAAGCTGAGCAGTTGCACAGGCGTGGTCTGACCAATGGTTGCCAAGACTTACCAATTTCTGAGCTATCTCGCCTCCGCCGAGCCAGTACTTCTCGAAGTCACCCAATGCTTCCATGAGACCTTCGAACCCATGTTGATACAGGCGTTCCAGGCCCCTCAACTTCCACAGCCGCACCAACATGATGAAGGCCCTCTCCTCGTCATAGTAGCAGAGGAGAGTGGCTGCGAGTGCTGCCATTCCTTGAACGTAGCCGGTGTCCGGGAGATAGAGCGAGAAGGCGTGCAACACGCGGAACAACAGGCGCTGGCCCCCGCGGTAGCGCCTCCTGAACATGATGTGGTGGCTGATGGTCCGGGGAACGTCCATATCAATCTGCATGTCCTCGGCCGAATCCTCCTCCTGGAGGTCGTAGAATGCCTCAACAAGTTCCTCGTCCGATGCACTGTTCGGATCCTTCTTCGCGCTTGCCGAAAGAAACGCGTACCATGCAGTCGATCGCCATCTGTCCGGGATCCCCTTCCACGTGCGCTCGATGAGTTTGGGGTTTTTGGTGTCGAATTCGAACAGCATCCCGCCCGGAGACTTGCCAACAAGCTTCCCCATCTGCCGCCATTTATCCTCTCTTTGCCATTCCTTCCGCTTCATCATTTCCACGGTTCTCCCACCATCCTTCTCTTCGGCTATAGAAGCAAGTCCCGGGGGGAGCGTGAGCATGTCGCTGGCTTCATCAACCAGTCTCCTGCTGCGATTGTGCGGCAGTCTGTTGGCTGCGTTCCGGAAGATGTTTGAGCGAATAGACGCCGTGCTGCGAGTGGAGTAGACAGATTCTGGCGGACGAAGGGATCTGCTCGAGGACATTCGCTTGGGCTGGGCACTGAAATTCGTCCTTGAAGACCTGGCAATTGATCCCTGGCGACGAAGGGTGCGCTTCCGTCTTGGCGCCTCGGAAGCAAGCTGCAACTGCGTGGAGACACGCTGGAGCTTGGGAGTGTCAAAGGTAACCGTGGACTCACGCTGCTCGGCAGGAGTGGGCTTCTTGGGAACGATGAAGCCGAATCGATCAACCTCACAACCGTCAATATCCTCCCAGTCTTCTATGCCCCCTGCGAGTTCATTCGGCTCTTTCGATATCATGCTAGCCGGTTTGCTTACGATGCTCGCGCTGCGCAGGGTGTCACCGTTGTTCCGCGTCTTGGTGATCCGCAAACTGTCTCCTTCCCCAGGCATGTCTGGGGGGATCTCCTCCTCAATCGACGCATCCTCTCGGATGCTCGGTTCCACGGCCCATTCCGCAGCTCTTTCATCGCCATACTCGTACATAGAACGGACCTTCTTCGACAGCATGGTCTCATCCGCGGACAAAACGCGAGAGCCTGGGATGCTTCGGCGCGGAGCGAGAGATCTGGCCCTTCTGGAAGGTGCTGCTGAAACTGCGGTCGATGCCCGGCCATCAGCAGTCACTGCGCTCATGCTCACGGCACGGGGAGCGCCTGACTGCGTATGTGGGCGTGGGATGACAAGCTCTGGTGCTTTCTCCTGCACTGATGTCGTTTCCGAAGTTGCCTTTGCCGCCTCTGGTGCCGGTCTTTCTTGAGATATGGGTGCCTCGTTGTCCACCGATTTTCTGTCCTGCGCACCATCTAGCGCCCCGCCATGTTCACCTCCCGAGCCATGCGCAGAATCATTCTTGTCGGTGGGCCCGCGCGCCATCTCGTTCATCCTCTTTCCGTTCAGGAGCAAGGTCCCTCTTTTGGAAAAGGCGATCTTGTTTTCGGCGAGGTCGTCGAAGTCGCCCTTTGGGATATCGGTCCCGACTAACCTGCTGCGGTTGACGGTGTCGAGTTGGCCCACATTGTTCGCAGTCGACGGGCGCGGAGGCTCGTCATGCACGACGATGGTAGGCAGGCTTGGGACGCGGGGAACACTCTGGTCACAATCGTGCGAGGGACGGGCGATGGAGGGCGCGAAGCCGGAGTCGCGCTTCAGTTCATCGGGGAAGGGTTGGCCGGCGCGCGACTTGAAAGGCGAGGGTCGCGGGCCGGGAGAGGTGCGCGGACGGCGGACGGAGGGGTGGAACCAGGAGGAGCGGGACGAGGACGGCCGCTTGGGAGAGGTGGGCGAGGTGGGCGAGGCGGGGGAGGTTGGCGAGGCCGGGCGGGGCGCTGAGGGCTGAGGTCGGGCCGGCGGCGTCACAGAGGGCCGGCGTGGCAGGTGGAAGAACGGCGTCGGCCTGGCGGCGGTGCTGGCAGGCGGCGACGGGGCCGCTCCATTGTTCATGGCGGCGTGACTCGCGGGGACTGGGGCTCTGGCGATGAAACGCGGTGGACTGCGGGGAGACGAGGTGGTCGGGAGGGACCCGGGGAGGACGGGGGTCTAGAGGGCGGGCTGGGCGGGCATGGAGTGGCGGGAGTGGCGGGACTGGGCGAGGGGCGCGGTCGAGTTAGCAGGCGGAGAGTGGGCGAGGGCATGCGGCAGCATGGTGGTTTTGCGGATGCTTGGGGCTGGGAAAAGGGGGGGTGGTACTGCAGGCTGGGAAGGGACGGTTTTGATCGTGTGTCGTGCGGCCAGGGTGATGGCAAATCGGAGATTGGCCTTAGCTGCGCGCGCGGGAGGAGCTCGAAGCCACACTTGGCGGCGCCGTTTACGGATGCTGGCAGCCTCGATGTCGCAAGTGGCCCAGCCCGCGGCCCGGCGGCTTCAAGTAGTCGGCCATGCTGCGCTCTCCTGGCTGCGGCGCCAGCTCATCAAAGCGCTGGTAGCGACGTGCCGCGCCGGGGCCAGGCTGTCGTCATGCGCGCAAGTCATGCAGCTGGAGGCTGAGATGAAAATAGGTACGGGTCGCCGCCGCCAACGGGCGTCGTGCCGCAGCCCTTGTGCGCCGGGTGGAGGTGTGGAGCGGGTGCCTGGCAGAGGCGTGCAGCTTGCTGTGCAGCTTGCTGTGGTTGCTTGCTGTGCTCCCACCGGCGCAGCCCTACGCAGATGATGATGGATGGCGGCCGCGGACCCTGTGAGCGCTGGCGAGCAGGAGCCCGTTGCCGGCCGTGTCCAAATTGCTTGTTCGCACCGGCGCCCGTCTATTTTGGGCGCACCAGCCTCCGCTGCCCCACGCCCACTGAAACAGCCACGCCCGCTGGGCTGACGCTGAGACGCAGCAGATTCCTGCGCAACCAACCCGCGCCGCAGCAGGGAACACAAGGCCGAGCCCTGCGCCGCCCGCCGGCACGCTGCGTTCGTCGGGTGGGCGCAGCGAAAGCAGCCCTCGCAGGGTTGGTCGGGATGCCACGACTCATCTGAGTACACGTCTACCGCGAAGGTACACGTCTGGAGACAGCTGTACCCTGCCTGCCGCGCCATGGCGACGGGTGGCTCGTACGGAACGCTTCCGCCCACTCTGCGGGCCGAGAGTGGGCAGCCGAGCTCAGCGGGCGGAAGCTGACCAGCCCATCGCGGGGGCCCCGCGCACCCCGCCATTAATAGTCGCAGCCTTCCTCGGCCTCGCAGCCCTCTCCCAATGCTCCACGCCATTGAACACGCAGACCCCCCACAATGGCCGCCCAGAAGGTCGCTCTCATCACTGCCGGCTCGGCGGGCGTCGGCGCCCAGATTGCGCGTGTCTTCGCACCCGACTTCAGAGTGGTAAGTGCTCACCGTTGGCTGCCTGTTGCACTCGGGTTCCAGCTGTTGTGCTCACTCTCAGCCGCAGGTCATCAACTACGCCAACAACGTCGATCGTGCACAAGCCCTGTTACAAGAGCTCCACAACGTTCCGCTGGCCTCGACCATCCCCGCTGCTGCCGCTGCCACCCCGCGCTTCCATGCTATCCAGGCCGATGCCGGCGACAAGGCCTCGGTGCAGAGCCTCGTCGCCGAGACGGTCAAGACCATGGGCCGCCTGGACGTCGTCGTCTCAAACGTGGGCTGGACACGCATTACGAACATCTTGAACTTCGACGAGGGCGTGGTCGAGGAAGACTGGGATAAATGCTTCGTCTACAACGTCAAGACCCACATGTGGCTGGCATACGCCGCCAAGAAGCACCTCGAAGAGACCGAGGGTGCTTTCATCACCACGGCTTCTGTGGCTGGTGTCAAGCCGAGCGGCAGCTCTTTGGTGAGGCAATCCCACTAAGCTGATTCCCCCCTCGTGGATCATGATACTGACTGGCCGCAAAGCCCTACGGCGTGACCAAAGCCGCACAGATCCACTTGGCGAAGACGCTTGCCGTCATCTGCGCTCCAAAGATTCGTGTGAATTCCGTCAGCCCAGGCCTGCTTATGACGGTAAGCTCCGCACGATGCCGCCGCATGTCACTTTGATCGGGTCGTCTGACAGCTGCATAGGAATGGGGCGCACAGTTCCCCGAGGATAAAATAAAGAAATCCATCCAAAACACCAAGTTGAAGCGTTTGGCTACAGTCGAGGTAGGCATGGGTCGGGTTGTTCACTTTGCCCGATGATCGCGGCTGACCCAAAAACAGGATGTGGCGAACCAGGTGCGGACGATCGCTCTCAGTCAATCGCAAACCGGACAAAACTTCTTGATAGAATCAGGAATGACGCTCTAGATGTGGTCGGAGTGAGGCAATCACGGCCATTGAACGCACCGACGTTCACGATGATGAGTTATACTCATGGGCGTTATGACCCTCCAGACCTGTTTCGGCGTCCAGGCTCCGTGGTCCTCCGCTTCAAATAGAGATTTACTGGTTCCTGCCACTTAATTTGCGTTGTTATGCCGGTTGCTCGGCTAGCAGGCCTACGCTCGTGTTCCGACGTTGATCTTTATTTCCAGATCGGGACAACGGCGCCCCAAGCACTGACACCGCCATCCCAGTCTTATCAGCACCGAAATAGATCATCGCAATCACCCGTTCGCTTGATCTGTCGAGTTGTCGACGGCAACATCTCACCCAACGCCCTACCATGAAAAGCAAGCCAGTGGCTTCCAATGTTTTTCGCCTCAGTACGAGTCCACCACGCACTGACCATTCATATAACAGACAACCAGTAAGACAAACCAAACAAATCGGAAGCACCACGACACTGCCATTGTCTCTTCCAAGGACGGCTCTGGGCTCACCTTTTCTGCTCGGCCAAACCGGGGACCCCGAGGTCACTAGATCGCTGGGGTTTTGTCTCGCCTCTGAAACATTCCAGATTTGACAAAGACTGTGGCGGTGCATGATGCTGCATGCAGACGAGCGCAGAAACCCGTGCAGAGGTCGTCGTACAAGGTCTTTTAGAAAGGTGGAACCGGCATCCACCGCACGTGGCGTAGCCTTTGGGACAGTTACACGCCAGGATTGCGCACGCAAACAATATGCAGGTCCCGTGGAGCATGACTCGTCTCAAGAGTGAGACTGTCCCGAGCCTCAAAGGACTCCGGGAGCGGATGGTGATGAGCCATATGTAATTCAGCGCCAGCCCGGTCTTGTTGAGAAAAGCATTTCGATTTGGTACTCGTGATTTGATTCATCAAGATAAGTCTGTCTAGAGGATATCTAGCGTCGATGCATTCGAACACGCTTACAACACTGCGACAGGATCTCAAGACTGCCCCGCCGGCACGGGATACGGGCCGTAGCCTGGGCGCGGGAAGGCAGGGGTGCCGTCCTCGTTCCACTCGAACTTCTGGGCGCGGATGGTGCGCGCGGCCCAGCCGGTGACGGGGTTGCGCATGCCGTGGTAGACGATCCAGTCCTCGGAGCCGTCCGGGCTCTTGACGAAGCTGGCGTGGCCGACACCATAGGCCTGGGCCAGCGCGTCCTGGTAGAAGACACAGCCCTCGTTGTTCTTGCGCCAGTCCCCCGGGTTCATCGGATCGTCGCCCACGAGCTCCAGCTGGCCGAGGCAGTAGTTGCGGTTGTCGGAGCGGCCGCCCGAGTATATAACGAAGGTCCTGTTGGTCACCGGGTTGGTCAACTGCTGCGGGCCCTCGTTGGTGCTCAGCCGGTCATTGAAAGGCCGGCCGTAGGGCGTCTTCTCCCACGGGTTGCTGGGCACGCTGATGATCTGGCGCTCCGAGAAGTTGGATGCCACGGTCCACGGGTTCTCGAGCTTGGTGATGCACAGGTTGGCAGGCCATGCGTCGTATTGGCGGTACCAGCAGGAGTAAATGTGGTAAAGGCCGGTGCTGTGCTGGAAGTACGTGCCCTTTGCAAGTCAATACAACAACGGACACCAGACACATGTACACCTACATCGATTGCAAACTGATTGAAGGTATCAAGCTGGGCCTTGTAGGTAAAGGTGGCCTCCCACGGATCGTCCCCGAGCCCTTCCAAGACATACATCCTGTGATTGACGGCCGGGCAGTTGATGTCACAGAGCATGTCGACCTCTGGGGCCGGACTGTCGTAATTGGGGTCGGCGGTAAAAATGACGTACCAATTGCCGTCCAGCTGATGCACTTCAGGGGCCCAAAGATCGGTCGAGTAGTTGGTGCCCTGGGGCGGCTGGAACAACAGCTTGCTCTCGGCGTCGTTCCAGTCGGTCAAGATGGGGCTGCGCAGGAGGGTGATGTTCGTGGAGGTGGTGTACGTCATGTAGTAGTAATCTCCATAGCGGAATGCCCATGGGTCGGCGCCAACTGCATCCAGAACGGGGTTGGTGAAGGTACTGGTGTTTGTTGCCTGGCGAGCACGGAGCAACGACGCGGACCCGTCGAACGCGCCCTTGTACTGGGCAGCAACGTAGCTCGCAAGGAGCGGCACGAGAAGGAGGAAAACGACCATGGCCACTCGACGAGGGAGGGGAGGGGACGAGGAAGAGGGGGTGTTGGACCGCGGCGCGGCCATGTAGCCTTTTTAAGCCGCGCAGGAAGGATCCCGGGGTGTATTGCACCGCACCGCTTGCGCAACCGCATTAACCCGGGACGGTCAGGTCAGCGGAACGGCTGTTGGACGGTGCGGGTGCGGCGTGTGGGACGATCTGCTGCCAATTTGCGGGGAAACAGCTTTGACCATTGACCGCTCTTGCCAGCCGTGAGCCCGCCTGTGCGACCTCGCTTGCTGACTTCGCCGTTTTCTCTCCCGCCAGACTGCCTGGCGCCCCTCCGCCTCCCCACCGCCGCCATGAACAACGAGGACTTCAAGAACCTGCTGCGAGGCTCCTCCTCGCGCTCGCAGAATGGCTCGCCCGCTGCCAGCAGCACTCCGCGCGCCGGCGCGACCCCCGGCGCCTCGCTAGGTTCGCGCCAGCGCTCCAGCATCCCCATGACCCCGTAAGTTGTCGCCTGTGCCCGCCACCTCTGCCGCTCCTACCAGCCACCCTTGCCCCGAAACGGCCGCCCTGCTAACACATCGTGCAGTCGCACCGTGAGGGGTGGCCCGGGCCTCGACTTCCAACGACAGCTCGCCGAGCAGCGTGCCGGCGAGCACCGGCCGGCCAAGAGGTTCAAGTCCTCGGCGGCGCCCAAGGGCTCCAGGCTCGCCGCCGGCTACACGGACCGCGCCCGGGCACGCGTGGGCGACGGCGACGACGAGGACGAGGATGCTGCTGCTCCCGGCGGCGACGACCGCGCCCGCCGCGTCAAGGCGCTCGAGGAGAGCTTCAAGCTCGGCCAGATCGACCAGGCGACCTTCGAAAACTTGCGCGACCAAATCACCGGCGGCGACGTCAGCGCCACTCACCTGATCAAGGGTCTGGATCGGAAACTGCTCGAGCGCGTGAGGCGGGGCGAGGATGTGCTGGGCACGGGTGGTGGGCGCAGCGCCGCTGAGAAGGAGCCCGAGCCCGATGTGGAGGAGGAATTCGAGAAGCTTGAGGAGAAAGAGATCGCGCCGGTGGTGAGAGAAAAGAAGGAGAAGAAGGGTGAGACGGCCTTGGCCGGCACGAAGCGGACCAGGGACGCCATCTTGGCTGAACTGAAAGCACAACGGAAGGCTGCCGCCGAGGCGAAGGCTGCTGCACAACCCCAGTTGGGCTCTAAGTTTCGGAGAATCGGGCGCGACAACGGGACGTTCCCGCGGATAGAGCGTGATGATAAGGGGCGGGAAGTGCTATTGACCCTGGACGAGGATGGGAATGTCAAGAGAAAGGTCAGAAAGGTCAAGGTGGATGCGGAGAATGAGGGAAAGGCGCCCTCAGGACTGCTCATGCCGGACAAGGATGCGAAGCCATTGGGCATGGAGGTCCCCGAGCATGCGAAGGTACCGATTGAGGAAGACGAGGACGACGGCGACATCTTCGAGGGTGTGGGAGACACTTACGATCCTTTGGCCGGAATCGGTGACGACGACTCGTCAGATGAGGATGAGGAAGACGGCGCCAAGGAACCGGAGCCGTCCGAATCGAAGGATGCGGCCAAATCGCCATCTTCTACCGCTGACGAGGCCGATGCAGCGGCTATGCCCCCTCCACCGAAACCTTCAGAGCCTACATCCATTCCCAAGACGAACTACTTTGGAGACACGCCATCCAAGGACACCTCATCCATCACTGGGCCACCATCAAATCCTCTCACCGACCCAACTATTCTTGCCGCCATCCGGAAAGCTCGCGATATCAACCCTGAGAAGCTTAGAGGCGATGAAGACGACGATGGCGCCAAAAAGAAAGACCCGGAAGAAGAAGCACGACTCAAGAAGCGTGCCGAAATGTTGTCATTGCGGGATCGTGACCTGGAGGATATGGACATGGGCTTCGGTTCCAGCCGCTTCGACGATGCAGAAGACATGGAAGAGGAGACCAAGATCAAGCTCAGCGAGTGGAAGGGTACGGGTGGAGACGACGATGATGATGAAGGAGGCAGAGAAAGGGGCGGGAAGCAGAGGAAGCGAGGCAAGAAGAAGAGGAAAGGCGATAAGGACAGTGCCGCCGATGTGCTGAGGGTTATGGAGCAAAGAAAAAGCGGGAAATGAGCCAAATCCAACCCTAGCCTTTCGATTCTCGGCTACGATGGCGCTTACCGGTGCCTTTGGCAGAGGAAGCTTGGATTCATCATGCTTCCACCAAAAATGCCGTCTGCGGGGCAATTTAATACAAATTCAACGATGACGTAAGAACTGATATGACCTGGAATATTTCATGACAACATATTCAACAAAGAAGAGAGCTCTAGGGGTGTTGGGCTTTCACGAACTACCACAGAAGGCTGTAGAACAATTGAATCCACCTACGTCCGTATCACAAAGATGTCACGCTACACTTACGTAGGAAGTGGAATTCTTCATGTGGATGCGTTTATATGATCTTTAGTTTCGAATCTTTATATCTATACACGCTCCAGCTGCCTACGCAGGAAGAATGTAGCGTCCTTTGCGAAGTGCAGTCTTTTGTCACCGTGATACTACACAAACCAAACTATTGTTCCAGTATGGACATCTTTTTTGTTATCAGCTACGCTAAATCACCCAGAACCAATGGCGATCTGTAGCACCAGCGGAGGATAAAAAAGAAAACAAGGGTGAAAACAACGTGTCGGCACCAGACTATGCCTCAACGAGGGTATAAGTGTAGGACTAACCAATCAAATGCGCCATTCTCCCCAGCCAAAAAAAAAAAGGAAACCTCCATCGTTCAAGACAATGCGGGGAGCAAAATACCAAGGGGGAAGTGTAAGTAACTCCAAGAGAGGGGAACAAGGTAAAGATCAGGAACAGATGTTGCAAGTAGTGCATCGCTGACTTCGAATAGTCAAAAACATCGCCGTATGTCCCCAACACACTCTGCCTTTTACGGAGAAAAAGATAGCCAAAACTAAGACCTCTGCCACCGCCCTGATATCAAAGCACACAAAATCTCCTTATCATTCAATGATGGGCAAACGAGAGACAACAAAGGATTCGCATGCAAGCTGACAAAACTCTCCATACTCCTTGAAAGATGGATAAGATAGGCGCAAATTGCGAGAGGCGATACGATGCTGCAATGGGCGAATAAGCATAGAAATCAGATAAGCAATGAAAAATACACGCATGCAAGGTCGAAGAAGCGTCGATGGGTTGAGTAGAGTTTGTTCAACTTGCGCTTGATTTTCTCTTTTCCATGCTCTCTCCCGCCCATCATGGTATTCTGGCTGCTTCCCGTTTTCCCCCATATTTTCTGTCCCCCAAACCCAATCTCTCTCTCTTTCCATCCGCGCGAACAAAAGAGATGAAGCTCTTGCAATGGAGAGAAGCTTTGCTCCGCCTTGCAGTGTCTATCAACACTAAGGGTAAATTGAATATACCGCCGTAAATGCTCATCCGAACCCTTAAAAAAACCACAGACCAAATTCAAATACACAGTGAACGAGGAATAATCCGCTGCCTCCGACAGTGATGATGATAACGTTGATGGGGGGGTCGTTCTTATCTCGTGAAACGAAAGGTGTGAAAAGGCATTCGTGCATGCGAAAGGATTTAGCCATCCGTATCGAATCTCCAAAAGAACCCAAATGATGGTCGAAGTGCGCCGTGACTACCGCTTTGTTGCTTTAATCCAAATCTTCCGGTCTCTTGACAGGGCTCTGCCGTGGCGGCATGTCGTTGATCAAGAGCCGGTCCCGGTCCGAGACGGGCTGGATGCTCAGACTATTCCGGATCAGGTTGCTAGTGCTGGGGCGTCCAATCCGCTCCTCTTCCGCGGGCTCCGAGTTGAACACGGGCTGATAGTCCTCCTTCTGCAGATGGGCCTCCATCCTTGCCTCCTCCCGCATCCTCTTGAACTTCATCCAGTTATATGCCCCGATACTGCCGATCGTGACGATCAGGCCTGACAGGTTGATGGTAGTGAGTCTGTCATCAAAGACGATGGACGCTGCCGTGATGGTGACGATTTCTTTGAAAATGCCACACACGCTGAGAGTGACGACACTGGTGCGCTTCAGCAGAGCGAACTCCGAGGCCGTCATGAGGAAAGCAAGTGTTCCCGGGAAGATCAAAATCAAGCAACTCAGCGGAGTGCCCTTGACATCCCGGAGTTTGTTGAACCCGTCCAGAAGCTCGACGAATCCTTCGACCGGTATTGCGATGACGAGCAGGCTGATGAACATGACAGGGGCAAGGAAGAAGATGGAAGAAAAAGGATTGGATGTCGCGGGGTTCCGAAGGAGCAGGATCTGAGTCAGCGACCACCGGAATCCGGACGAAAGGGCGGACGACATGATGAGAATGAAGCCGAGAGCATTGAAAGCCGTCTCGCCGGCGACCATCATCACCACTCCAACCGTCATTGTGAGAATGATGCCGCCCAGCTTCCACGAGGGCTTTTCCAGCCGGAAGAGAAAGGCAAAAATGAGCACAAAACCAAGGACGGACGACTTGCACATTGCTGAAATCGGATTGGTCAGCAAAGGATTCAATTCAGAGTGTGCCGGGACAAGACTTACTGAAGAATGTGAGCGAGATGAACTTGAGACTCATGTTGCCCAGGCCAATGTCCAGGCCTGTGGCCGCTCCACACGGCCCGATCCTGCTTATATAAAACCACTTGGTCATGAGCGGCTTATTTGGATCCACGTTATCCTGCCGTTGCGGCGGCGAACGGCCCGCCGGACCTTCATCCGCGCTGAGCGAATCGTGCCGCGGGCGGAGCTGTGGGAGGAAATAGAGAACGAGAGAGGCGAGAGAGAACTGCACGATCATGTGCAGACACGTTGTGAAGAGCGGAAAGGGGAAGTTGAGATTTTGGTTTTTGTCGTCGCTTTTTGCGAACATCCACTTGTTGTACTGCACGCGGTGTTGTCAGAGTCGGAGAGATGGGGGACTAGAGCCGGGCAAAAGGGGACTTACGATTGAGATAGATATGGAGAAAAAGTACCTGCACGCGACCACCAGCAGTAGTCAGTAGGAGGCGCGAAAAAAAAAATAGAATGTGTTGGACGCCTTACCATAGGCCGATCAGACAGACGTTGATGAGCGAAGACTTGAACAGAGCGGCGCTCGCAACCTTCTCCTCCTCGTCGCTAATGGTGACGTCGGCAGCGACGCGATTGTCGAGCATGGTGTTGCGACGCTTGTGCTTCCTGCGCTTCCGGCGGTCCTTGCCGGTGAGAGCAGCCTCCTCGTCTGTGATGTCATCGTCGTCGGTGTCCTCGTAGCCGGACGGGCTGCTGGAGTCGCGCTCGGGGTCGAGGTCGTGCTTGTCCTCTTGGGCCTCAGGGATGTGCTCGGACACGGCGCGCCGGTGGCCGCGCTGCGAGCGCAGCGAGTTGGAGCGGCCGACGCCCAGGGCTTGGGTGCCGATGAGCGAGGTGCTCCGGCGGCGGGAGTGGTTCGACGACGAACCCTCCATGGTGAAGGCGCCGGAGCGGTGCGGAGGATGCAGCGGGGGGTCGTGGTGTCGGAGCTGCTGGGGGCTGTCGGACAGGGGCGGCGGATCTTGCGGTGAGGCGAAGGTGGCCAGCGGAATGGCGGTTGCGGTGGCCGAGGACGGCGGAGAAAGCGATGTCTGGGGGACGGGGGAGCCCGCGTGCTTGGGGTTGTGCATAGCGGGAGTCCATGAATGCACAGCAGCAGCTGCACTCTCAATCCAGCCCCGTCATCTGAGCGCCGTCCAGACGATCCGCCCTAGCCTAGCGGCAGGGGTCGCGCAAGTCGTTGCCGCCAGAACCCAGATCCGGACCCGCGACGCGACCCTGGGCCGGCCACGACTACCCGATCATCGCTGCCCGCCCTGGCGCGCCACGCCAAAACGCGCCCGATCTTCTCTTTGATCAGCCGGCGGATCCTCCACACTCTCAGGCCGCAGCCCCAGGTGCAGCTGCTGTTCGACGCCTTGCGCGCGCCCGTCGCCCGTCGCCCGTCGGTCCAGACTCCTGGGCCGACAGTGTTCCCCAATCTGCGTCCGGCGCGGGTGCCGCTCCGGGCGCGGGCGCGGGCGCGGGCGTGGGCGTGGGCGTGCTGGCCCAAGTCACACGTGCCTGTCACCGGGCGGCTTTGCACCAGGGGCGCCGAGTTACCTCATAGCCCACCAGTTTGGCGCAAGACTGGCGCGCTCGAGATCCGGTTTTGCGGGGAAGTCTGGCCCTCTTGCCGGCCGCGCGCTGTGCCCACGCATCTCCCGCGTCTCCCGCATCTCCCGCCGCGCTGAACAGGCAGGAAAAGCGCCGCCCTCCCCTTTCCGTCGAGCCGCGGCCGCTCGAAACGGACTGCGGCCGACCCAGGGAGAGGGTGCCTGTGCAGCGGCTTGGGTTAAGGTTTGCCGGAGGCAGGGATTGCTGCAGCAACCGCTGCGGTCAGCCAAGCATCGTGGTGAGTCAAGCCCCGAGCAGGTGCCAGTTGGCTGCTGGCTGTTGCGTTGTGCACCGCCCTGTGGCCCTGGCCAAGGCGCTGCTGCCCGCAACCATCAACACCATCGCCTCATCACGCCTGCTCCTCGTCGAACCCGGTGCGCCGTGTCACAATCCGCCGCGTCTCAGCATGCAGACGAACGCTGCAGCGAACGCAGTTGGCGTGTGGATTGGTTGCGTCGGTCGTCAAGCCAAGCTTTTCACCGTCACCCAAAGTCAATGCAAGTACACGTGCGGACGGCTTCCAGCAGGAGTCCCAAAATCGTCAGCTGGCCGTGCCGGCGACTTGAGCCTTTTTGTTTGCAGCCAGCGCCATCTTTTCATCGGCCGTAGAATGGGGTTGGAAGGAGAGATCGTTCGTGCCGCACGGCCTGCAGCCGCCTCCTTGCGTCATTGCAGATTGCCGCCGACAACTCTCCTGAGACTCGAGCGACCCTCACGTCAAAATGCCCGAGACTGAAACAACGCGCAAAAAAAAAAAAAGACGGAGGTTCACAAATCCTTCTCACGAAAATGGAACGGGATCTGAAGGGCAGTCAAACACCCAGGCTGCAACCTCTCAGGGCCGTGCCCGGAAAAGAGGACCCTTCTGCTGATGGCGCAAAGCATCCCAGGACCCAGAATTATCCAGAGAAACAGGAGATGCATTGAAATTGTGAGGAAACAAAAGGAGTAATGTCCGCTCTGTCCGATAACAACCGCATACGTGTTCCTGGCGCTGACGAACCAGCTTCGTGGCGCCAGACCCGCAAGCCTGCTTCCCGCCGCCTCGTCCTCACCAGTCTCGCCATGCACAGCCATACTACGTAGGAGACGCCGTCGCCGGAGCAGGTGCGCTCATCTCCACTTTCCGAGCCCTGCGGTACACGCCACGGCGGCGACCCTGCAGGAGCAATGACAGGCCCGGGCGTCAACCACCGAGCGGCAGTCTCACGATCTCAACCCTAACCCACCTCTTTCCCTCGTTCCTCTCGGCCGATCTCCTTTCTTCACCACAGCCCTGCCGGTCCTCCACCAACCAGATGCATCTATCCTCCCCTTCCGCTCCCGGTATCACCTGCCACCGGTCACCCCATGCGTGTGTCTCACCCCTACCGTTCCTCTCGCGCAGCCCGACCCCCACCACCGTGTCGAAGAAGAACTTGGCTCCACCCACGGTCCTGCCTCGCCCGACTGTCCCACCCGGTCCACCTTTGCCAAACTGGCCGGCTCGCTCCTCGCCGAGCACAAAGTCGACGAAGCGCACGCCGGGCAGCAGCCGCACGGACTCGTACAGCAGCTTGCGGCACTGGACGTAGACGGGGAACAGAAGCGGCCGCAGGTCGCCCTCCCACTGCTTGGGGTGCTGCGCCGACGAAGCGCTCGTCGTGAAGGTGAGCGAGCGGATGGCCCGGACCTGCGCGGGCGACAGCACCGCTAGCCGCGTTGTCAGCGCCGCCGGCCGGCACAGCTTCGTCCGGAACGGCGTGCGTGAAAACGCTAGCAAAAGGGTCTCCGCGCGGATCTGGTGGCAGGTCAGCAGCAGAGCCAAGCCCGAATATGTGCCCGATGCTGCCGTGTGCGCGGCGTCTTGTTTGCTGTTGCGAACGACGCTGACGGAGCCGTGCTCGTCATCCGCAGGGATCGCGACTGAGGTGTCTGAGCTTGAGGACGCGTACGAGGCGGAAGATGTCGCCGAGGACGGTGATGCGCTTCTGCTCTTTCTTGACTGAGCCCTGCTGCTCCCAGCGGACGAGAGCGTCGTGTATCGTGAGTTCGGCGGAGGGAATGTGTATTCCCAGATGAGGTTGCGAATCTCGGCCGGTAGACCGAGCAGCGACAGACGCGACTCGCCGCCCAGCATTCCGCCGCTCATAGTCATGCGTGGACTGTAGCTGTGCAGCCTTTGGTTCCTTGTTCTCAGCGAGCTGCCGGCCGAAAGAGACACAGCACGTGGGCTCAAAATGCGGGGTCGGGAAGCTATCGAGCGTAGGTGCGAGGGCTTCTTCCGCTGTTCCGCGCAGAACCCCTAGTGTCCCTTGGTGTCGGGCAAAAGGGGATGCAAGGTCGAATGGATGCTCTCGTCTAGAGCTCCTTCTTCCCAGTCGTGTCGCGAAGGAAGAAGAGAGCGGGTGGGGTAAAGATGGGAGTATCTAAACAACGATCTAGGCTGTGGATGCCGGATCACTAGAGGATATCTTAGGTAGGGGGACTTTCAAAGGGATGGTCTAGGAAGAGACGAAAAAGGTCAAGAAATCTTGGGTGGAGTTGGAGAGGGAGCGGCGCAAGCAAAGTCGATTCTTATCTAGCTTACGAAGTCAGCAAACAGGCATGGCAGGCGGCTAAAAAAGAGGGCAGCTGCAGCAGCTTGCTGCAACGGCAGGCGACCGGGGGCTGCTGCGGAGGTGCGAGAGTAGCGGGTTGCGGAGAAAGTGCGGGGTGATCGCTCGGATCTGCTGGGATTGCCGCTGGCTGGCGTGGGCGTCAAGAAGGATGCCGAACGTCATTAGCTTGGTGCGTCAGAACCGCATCGCTGGCGGGGCTGGTGGCAGAGCGGGCATAAGGTAGGTCTGGGTTGGTAGTCTAACGGGCAGAAAGCGCAGAGATGGGAAAGACAGCAACCCGGCCGGGTGGTTGTGTTTCGTTGGCAGTGTCGTAATGCTGCAGGTGGGTGGGCAATCCCTTTCGTTTTGTGACTGGCAAGGCCGAAGTCTGGGGTCGAGCTTGGGTGCACATCAGGCAAGTGCGGCGGATGATCCGACGCGCCTCCCCGCCCGTGTCCTCCGCACGTGAAGGCCTGAGGCCTGTCTTCCCATGCCGCACTCGCAATTGGTCAATCCGCTGCAAACGCGCGCGATCGAGGCCCTGGGGATTTATCAGACGTTTCGGTTCCGACACAGCGTTGTCGACGGCTGACCGCATCCCTTGTTTTGCTGTTTGGGGATTGATCTTGGTGTCTCGGCTCAAAGCTGGAGCAGAGGGCAGGTACGTCAGTGGTCAAGCGGCGACCGACCTAAGAAGGTGCGCACAAAGGACAAGGACCATCGCCCCTCCCCTCTTGGGCTGTTGGTTGGTTGCCTGTCCGGGAGAGTCAGAACCTAGGTAAGCACTGCAAACAAGCTTTTCCTGTTCCTGTCCTATTTCTGTTATTGATCGGGCGGCACCAGATCGCTGTCCCTCACGTTCCGCTCCACCACCCTACATGAACCATCGAGCTACACCAAGCTGGCCAAACCTTTCGATCGTTGAGACGCGGGGTTTCCCCGCTCTTTTGCTTCGCGACAGTCTTGCCCTTTCTGGCATGCCATGCTTATCGACACGCTCTAACTGGCTAGTCAATTCGCATTTATACTTGTTGAGGCGGTGGGAAGCGCATTACGAATACGGTATTCTGTAGTTTGATGTTACTTTGCTGTGTACATGCAACGTTTTAAATGCCCGTCGCACACGACGCAATGCTTGTTGATGAAGCTTAGGCCTCTTGGCTCGTTGCACAAGCTCAACCATTGATAGACGGTGCTAGCCTCCGCTTTTGTCCGAGACTTGTTTGAAGTGCGGTCGGGTTACACTAGGTAAATGACACAGCGAGCCGGTAAAGAACTCGCCCACACTTACACTTCAGGATCTTGCGTTCAAGGTTTCCGGTTAATGGCTGTCGTCTCACATGAGAGTTAGGTTGCGACGGGTTGCAAGTCAAATGATGCGCTGTCGCTTCAAAGGGATTTCGTGTGCTCCAGACTTAAACGTATACGCTCACTCAATTTTTCTCTAACCACCGGGTATCCTAAACCGTCTAAGCACGCCTTTCAAGTGTAAAACATTTTGCCCAACCTGTCCAAGTCCCGCTCTACAAGTGACTGCCCTGAGACCTGTCGGCCAAGTGGGCCAACGCTTTGATCTCATCCTCCACCTTCTCAGTCTCGGTGAAGGGATCATACATTCTCTCCTTGATGTACGCCTCCAACGCCGCATCATCCAAGTTGCGGAGAGCAAGCTCACGGTCAACACCGTTGCTTTGCGCAGCGCGGATGACACCACGAGTGACGACAACGCTGACCTCGCGAATGCGACGGATGTCAGGGTAGAGCCAGCCCTGTTCCCGCTCCTCGGGAGTAAGAGACTCCGAGAGGGCGACGGCAGACTCATAGATCATGTCTTGGGTGACGTTGACGGCCTTGGACAAGATCGCACCGAGACCGATACCTGGGAAGACGTACATGTTGTTGCCCTGACCAGGAACAAGCGTCTTGCCGCCAAAGTCCACGTTGGGGAAGGGACTGCCGCTAGCAAAGAGGACGCGGCCGTTGGTGTACTTGACGGCGTCCTCGAAGTTGCACTCAGACTTGGAAGAGGGGTTGGAGAGCGGGAAGATGATGGGGTGTTGGTTGAGCTCGGCCATGCGGGTGAGGATCTCCTTGGTGAAGGCACCGCCAATCGTCGACAGACCCATGAGAATGGTCGGCTTCACGTACTCAATCAGACGGGAGAGCGAGTGGATTTGCTTGCCCTCGTTGTCGTCACGGGCAAAGTAAACCTTGTGCTCCGCCAGCTTGTCGCCACGGTCGTTGGTAACAAGACCCTACTCTCGGTCAGTTCGTGTGCAGCTGTGGAGTGTTGTGCGTTGCTTACGTTCGAGTCCACAAACCAGAACTTCCTGCGCGCCTCGTCCTCAGTCAAGCCCTCCTTCATGAAGAACTCGACAATCTGCTTGGCGACGCCGGTGCCGGCGCTACCGGCTCCGAGGAAAACGGCGCGGTGATCCCTCACAGGGATGCCAGCGGCCTTGACAGCTCTGATGAACCCGCCCACGATGACGGCGCCAGTTCCCTGGACGTCGTCGTTGAACATGGTGTAGGTGTTCTGGTAGCGCTCGAGAGCGGGGAAGGGGTTCTTGAAATCCTCAAACTGGATGACGATGCTGTAGACCATTAGCTTGCGGTCCATCTAACGGCTCCAAGTCTGCACGTACCCAGGCCACCTCTCAGTGAGAGCAGCCATGAGCTCGTCCAGGAATTCCCGCTCCTCAGCAGGAGAGATCTTCTCCCTCCTGCTGCCCATGTAGAGCGGATCTTCCCTCAGAGCCTTGTTGTTGGTTCCGAGATCCAAAGTAAGAGGCAGAGTGGCATCAGGCCTGATACCGGCGCAGGCAGTGTACAGCGCAAGCTTGCCAACGGGAATGCCCATGCCGTTCACACCCAGGTCACCGAGACCCAATATTCTCGAGCCGTCGGTGAGGACGGTGATTTCGACATTGTGGGGCCAATTCTGCATGATGCTGTGCAAATTGCCGCGGTCTGCGTAGGAGAGGTACATGCCCTCGGGCTGGGTGTAGATTTCGTGCCATCTGAGGCAGGCCTCGCCGACGGTGGGGGTGTAGATCAAGGGCGTGAGCTCCTGCGGATTTCGTGAGCCTTCAGCGGTGCATACGACCCGCACTCGGTGCTACCAACCTTGACGTTCTCGGAAAGGAGGCGGTAGAAGAGGTGGGGGTTGGATGCGCGGAGATGAGTCAGGTATTGGTACTTGTCAATCGGCGCGCTCTTGGAAGCGAGGAGCCTCAGACCTGCAGGGCGGTCAGTTTCTGGCGCTCAGACGAGGTCAGCAGACCATTGGCGGGTCTCTCACATCTTTGCGCCTGGATCTCGTGGGTCTCGCGGGCGGGGGGAGTCAGGCCGTAGGTACGGAGGTAGCGGCGGGCCTCGGGAGGATATGAGGTGTCGAAGTCGCCATTGCTTTTGCACTCGTCAGCTCTGGCAGGCACGGGTGGGGCGGGAGAAGGCGTACGTGGTGGTGATGTGGCGGGTGGGCAGGTTGTGCTGGGCCTGCTTGACGTTGGCGGAGGGGTAGTCCTGGACGGTAGCCATGGTGGAAGAAGCCATTGCGCGAGAACGAGAGGGAGACGAAAGAATAGAGAACTTGGGCGTCATTATTCTGGAGGGTAGCAGGCGGCGCTTTAAAAGGACACAGGGTAGCATCAGGAGGCAACGGAAGGACCAGCAGTCACGCAACTGCCGGTGGGTAAACGAAAGGACGGGCGAGCTGGTGCGGAAGAGGTTGCCCAAGACAGCGGCTGTCCGACACGGGCCGCGGCAGAGCTTGGATGAGGGGAGCCGTCCGCGAGCAGGGCTGGCCGGGCGAAATCGCGTGTGCGAATCAGCAAATTGAGCTGTTGGGCAGGCCGTCTCACAATTGCAGCCCGCATTTCGTGAGCTCCAGCTTCTGGCCAGGGTGCGGGCCGCAGCTCTGGTTGCGCGTGGGCGCGTGGGCCGTCTGCGGGCCCCAGCCGCCGCCTGCGTTTCCGACATGCTCCGACGCCGGCTTTCGCTGCCCGCCGCCGACTCCACTCCTCCACTCCTTGGCAGCGAGACGAAGCGCAAGCAACGGCAAAGCCATCGTGGAGAGCAGGGCTGTGGGCCTCGCGCGCGCGCCGGCGCGCTGAAAACTCTTTAGCCGACCGCGCATTGGACCACGCTGACTCACTCCGGGAGCGTCGTCGGAAGCTGGAAGCCAGAACCGCCGCCTCTAACGCCGCAAATTTGTGGCCCGTCATGCTCGCTCGGGGCGCGCAAGGGCAGCCGACGACGCAGCAGCGCCAGCCAGCGCCAGCCAGCGCCACAGGTGGCAGGCTAATAATTGACGCGCGTGGAATGCGTTGAGCGAGCACGAAGCTTCGCAAGCACCGCAGCATTGCAGCACCGCAGCACCGCAGCACCGCCCTGAGCCCCCGGCGCTGACAGGGGCCGGCCGTCAGGCATGGGATGCTCAGCAGGCGCCCAACACGCGGCACCCCTTCGGAATATTGCGACTTTTTTTTCTGCTGCAAAAAAAGAAACGGATATCAAATATACGCGCCGCCGCGACACGGGGGGCTGGCAAAAATCCCTCGTCAGGAGGAGCGTTCCAGGAGTGCTGTCCGCGCCCCCAAAGCGGAAACCAGGCACGCGCCCGCGAGCCAGTGGCCGACGGACCAGCGCCGTCACGCCGTCTCCGAGGGCAGGAGTGGGAGGAGCGGATAAGCAGCGGGCTGCTGCGGGCTGCTGCGGGCTGTCGCGGACGCCTCGATGCAGATGTCCGGGAGCGAGTGGGCTATTTACGGTGGCGATGCATGATTCAGGTCAGACGCGTCCGGACGGGAGCTTCGCCTCCTCCCGCGTGGCAGCGCTGTGCGGACGACGGTGACCCTTGCAGTGCGGCAGCTTTCGTGGGGAAGCATCACAGGTCGCGCGCCGCCATGAATCGATGCGTCGCCCGGGCGCCAGGCTCTGGGCATCTGGGCTGGGCATCTGGGCTGGGCTGGAGCTGCGGGTCGTAGCGCTCCCCGCAAAATCCAGCAGATGCTGCGATCGGCCGCCAAGATGCGGAAATGTGCGCCAGCCCGGTGCCAGCATCACCAGCCACACCCCTCAGCCGCAGATGATGTCAACCGCTCAGACGTCCCTTCCGTCACAACGACGCGTCGACACCGCGATCCCGCCTGCCTTGGTGCGTCCCGCCCACGTCCCACCTCTCATCCGCCATGCGCCGCCGCCGTCCTCATTGACACCACCATCGCCGCCGAAATGTCGTCCTGCTTCGGCTTCCGCAAGTCGCGCGCTGAAGATCGCCAGCCGCTGCTGCCCCAGTACCGTGATGACACGGTCCTGCAGAGGGAGCTGCACCAGAAGCTGCACTCGTATCAGATGATGCGGGCCCTCTCCAAGGGATACATGCCGTCCAATGAGCAGGTCATCATCAATATCCGCACCTTGCTGGCGTCTGATGTCCTCAACCCTGGCGAGCACGACCTGAGCAACTCTGGCCGTCTGCTGGTCAAGTTCACGAAGCAATGGCTTACTGAGTTCCTCGAGTTGCTGCAGCACAAAAACAGCAGCGACCAGATTCAGGACTTCATCTGGTTCTTGTCCAAGTCGAAGCTCTCGGTCGACGTTGATGACATCGCTTCCAGAGCAACCAAGGCGAAATCGAAAGCGGACACTGCCGCAGGTACGGGCCAGTTCCGCGTGCAACGGGCGTATTAGCTGATCGATTGCATAGCCTACAGAAGCCTCCAGACCGTCGGCTCGTTGTTGCTCACAAACTCAGACTTCCGCCTGTTTCTTGCCGACGTCAATGTTATCGGACGCGAAGTCTTCAAGGACACAGCATTCAAGCTGTCCGATGTGGCCGAGGCCGCAGGCAAGAAGCTCGAGCCGTCCGACCAAGAGCAACAAACTCTGAAAGAGCCGGGTGCAGACGACGGTCCGCCACCCACCAACGAAGACCTTGAGCAAGATGTTGCCGAATTCTCCAAGGTCATCAGCAATGGTGCAACCGATGTGGCCAAGGAAGCAGGACACAGCCTGGCCGACCATGTCAGCGGTGATGAAAAGGATACGATGCTCTACCGCCTGAAGCAAGCAGTTCTGAAGCTGAGGAAGCGAAACGACTATTCCGACTCGGTATCCACCCTCTCGCTGCTGGTTCAGCGATACGCCCTGGTGTACTCTCGTGCTGTGCAAGAAACCGTGAACACCGTTCAAGATGATGTCAATGAGAATGATGCTATGGACCGAGCAATCAAGAACTTCTGGTTGTTCCTGACCTCTTTTGGAGACAGAAAGGCTTGGGAAGACCTGGAGGACAAGTTCAAGAAAATCATGGAGCACAGCAAGAACGACCCAGAATTCGAGGACCTGATGCTCGACATGGGCAACTCACTCCAGAAGCTCCTCACTGACCCTGAATTCCTGGAACATGCCGATGAGAAGTTTCAAGCCCTCCGGGAGAAGGCTCGTGGCGTTGGCACAGACTCGTCCTTGCGCACGGATGTGGATGAATTCCTTGGCCAGATCCAGACCACTTTCGAGGCCGTCTCGCATGACGAGGACATTGCCAAACTCATGCGGACATCCATGCAGATTGTGCACATACTCTCTCCAAAGTACCAGTATACCAACGGAGAGCTAGTGACAGACGCCATTAACGTTTTTGTGCCTCTTCTCATCCAGGCAGTTCAGTACGTGCCGATCCCGCGCTTGGAGGTTTCGAGTCCCGAAATAGACCTGCTACTCGAGAACTTGATCGTGGAACCGGGAAAAACAGTCAACCACACATCTTTCCTGCCGTACAAGTTCCGGGTGGAGACATACAACGACCTCGAAATCCGCAAGGCTCGCTTCCGGACCACTTCATCGGTATCCTCGCAAGTCACGGTCAAAATCGACGGCCTCTCTATGCGGGCTGATGAAGTCGGCTTCTGGCTGCGGGCCCACTCAGGCATATTCCGGCTTGCCGACGCGGGGATTGCATCGTTCGCCCTCGATGAACGTGGGCTGGATATCCACATGGACATTGAAGTGGGCCGTGATCGTCTTGAGAAGATCCTTTCCCTCAAAGCGGTGCGCGTCCACATCCACAAGCTCAACTACACGCTACGCAAGAGCAAGCTATCCATATTCGGCTGGCTATTGAAACCCCTGCTCCGCCCAATTATCCGCAAGGTAGCGGAAAAGCAGCTCGCTAACGCCATTGCCGACGCAATGCATGCAGCCAACCGCGAAGTGGTCTTTGCGCGCGAGCGCCTGCGCGCCACGCAGATCGCCAGTCCGGAGGATCTCCGCACGTTCTTCAAGGCTGTGGCTGCAAGGCTGACACCGGAGGCTGACCCCGACCTGTACACGCGCGTCGGCGTGGCGGAGCCGGGCAAGGGCATCTTCAAGGGTGTGTACGCGCCGGGAAGCGTGGTCAAGCTCTGGGAGGAAGAGGCAGCCCAGGCCGCAGAGAGAGTTGACGAATACAGAGAGGATGGATGGCGCAACGAGATCTTCGACACTCACACAAGAAACATGATGCAGTGAGTGGGGAGCGTTGGAACTGGACGCCACGCTGAGCGGACTGGTCTGGGGCGGGCAACGAGCAAGGCAATAATTTCGCTGGGGCGCGATGAACATTCTCACACTGCAGTGGTTTTCGGCAACGGTCTGGTCAGGGATTGCGGGTTTGACAAGCGTTTCCTCGCGCGACAGCCACAAGTAGCCCCAAATTGGTAATAATGCTACAAGTCCGATATCGCAACCGACGATCCGTCGCTGACCGTTGCGCTCGTGAACACACGGACGCATGTTTTGCGTGCCCGCCGAAACATTCTCCACCCCACAGCCCCGCACAAGGCATCATCTCCACTATAAAATTTATTCGATTGGTGGTCCAGAACTTGTCACTTCCCCGCAGCGACGACTTTTGTTGGTGTTGAGGGGAAGCGGCGCGTGGTAGGTTTGCGGGGGAAGCTTGGGACACCGGAGGCGACAAGCTTCGATTACGGTACGTATGTGCATGTTTCCCGAGGCCATGCGACAGCCGCCAACCACTTTCCGAAAAACAAAAAGCCCGGTTGACGATTGTGCGCCCGCGGGACAGGGCACCGAAAGCATCCGACCAAGTGGGATTTGGGGGGGAAGAGCTCCGCAATCGTTGACTCAAAGTGGAACCCCAATTACATACGCCACGAAGATGATTCGTTGCCCCCATGCCATCAGTGGCGGTTTTGCCGAAGAGAGCAAGTAGGGCGGCGACGACCCAAGGCAACAGAGCCAAAGAAAAAAATTATCACGGAAAAGGAGAACACGCATGGGTCGGGGGAGCGAGCGGGGAGGCTTTGCTGTCTTCGGGCAAGTGAGTAAGGCATCAACAGTTTCACCGGTCGGGTGTTTTAGGGATCAGTGCGGGGGTTCTAGAGGTTTCCGACTGCTAATAATGTTGGTTTTCTTTTCTTTTTTTTTTCCCTTCTTTTTTGCTGTTGCGTGCGCGTGCGAGCGGTACCCATGCTCTGCACATCATATATCATACATAGACACTATGTATCGCTCGCTCAACAGTGGAGCGCAGAAAGTCAGACGGGACACCCCGGCGCGGCAAGAGTATGATAGATAGGGCAAACGCTGCTACGGAGCGGTTCGTCAGAGCAAAGGCCCTTCTTCCAGCCGAACGGCCAACTCTCTGCCCCAAGCAATGGGGAGCCGAAGGAGACGGAAGTTGTTGCCCGGAGTGTGCAGGTATTCCCCGAACGTCGTCACGGAGAGCATTCTCTCCCACTCACTCCCACGGCGGCGCGCCGTCGGCGCACATGTCCCCGGAAGTCGATCTCATCAAATCTCAACAAAAAGCCCGCCTGCGGGCCAAGCCAGCAACGTACCTACGGGTACCCCGGATTCCCCGCCCTTTCTCGCTGGAACCGATGCCCGCGCTTTTGCCCTGTTGCATGTTGCCATTCTCAACACACACACACATTGCCATCATTACTGGGACGCCCCCCCCCCAACCGCATGCGCATGTCCAACGGCTGACGTGTCTGCGCCGTGGCGTCCTGTTCTTGCCTTCGGACTTTTTTTTTTGTTGCTTGATGTCTCATAATTCATTGAATCCCGCCCCCCCCCTCTCCCGCCGCCCCCGTTCCCGGGTTTCTTACACCATGCATGCAGCTGATTTCAAACATTGCCAACAATCATCTCCCGTACGGACAAGCACCCTCTCACTCATCTTATCGTCGGCACCGGAGAATGATGATGGAGCAGGAAGGAGCTTGCGGGAAATGGTTTGCCGAAGGAGAGAGAGTGGGGAAGCGCTCCTTCTGCTCCTGTTCCGCCGCGGAAACCACATTGTTGCGTTTTGTTTAAAAAGTACTAAGGGAAGCCCCGGAAGATTCAAGATTACCAATGAAGAAAGGGACGGCCTCTTGGCGCATTTACGCTTTCCCTTCAGCCAACCAAAGTCCCAAGTCCCAAGAAGCGGCCCTCGAGCCTCTCTAATCCAATCTTTCGCGGAAAAGCAATGCTCTACTAATATATCATCGCATGCGTGCTCACTGCAGGGTCAGTGACGGAGGGGACCCAGAAACATCTTCAGAGAGAACAAGTAGACCAAACGCACAAAACAACTAACTTCCCTGCCCTTCGTATCAATGGTTTGGTGTATCATCAAAGTCATAATCCCGTCATGTGGCGCCTGGCTCTCCTTGCCTCCTCCCTACAGAATCCATTAAAGCCCAAGGACGCAGAAGTAATCAAAAAAAAAAAAAACCAAAGCCAGAAGTCTGTAGCCCCTCTCACCATGTGCACTGTTCTTCCCGAAATGTAAACCTGCCAAACCTTTCGAATATGAGCGAAAGCCGAAAACGCATTCGCAGTTCTGCGTGGGAATTAAAAATAAAAATGATCGGGATTTGACCGAGGAGTTGAGGGTGATGTCGTTTACGCCAAAGCTAGGGGAAAGCAGAATACCCTATAGGAATGGAGAAGAAAATAGGAACATCGCATCTACCGTCGTAGTCCACGATGCTAATGAGACGTAAGGCTGCCTAGGTACTTACGCCCTCGGGCCCGTGGCCTCCTTGGCGTAATTGTTTAAGCTGAGCTTGCATCTGCGCAACCGCTTGATCAGATTCTGTGTGGCGCCGCAGCTCAGGATCATTGTCGTCATCAACGAAGGTCCATTCTTCCTCCGCATCATCGCCCAAATCGTCTTCAGTCATGGGCCGGTTGCGCCACTTGATAAGCGACCTAGCGTACTCAAGATCCCGATAGATGGTCTTGACCGCTTCGCCAGCGCCATCCTCCTGTATCTCAAGTCAGTCACCGGTTTCTAGGAATTTACGAAACGGAGCTTACATTGCGGATTTTCTCGCCGACCAAGCGTGCACCCGTGATCATGCGGTCGTCATGTGTAGCCGTCCAAAGCGCACGGGAAAGGGCGCCAACATTCAGCTTCTTGATGTGGACTCCGACGCCGAGATCCTCAACGCGAGATGCGAAGAAGTACTGATCGCCGAAGAACGGCTTGATAATGGTCGGAATGCCGGCGCGGAGAGATGCACCCGTAGTACCAGCTCCTCCGTGGTGTGCAGCTGCGTCGATCTGCCTGAACAGCCAGTCGTGCGGAGCAGAGCTGATCTGGTGGACCTCTGCGGGAAGAGGCACTTCCACCTTGGGTTTCTCGTCTTTACCTAAACGGTCAGACCAACCTTTCGACAGAATGCAACGGACGTCTGCCTTCACCACAGCCTCAACAATGGACTTCTCCATCGCCCTGGGGTCCTCGACGACAATCGAGCCAAAGCCGATATACACAAGCTTTTTTCCGTCACTGCGAGCCCGGCTGATGAAGTCAAGGAGGTCCTTTGGGGGCTTATAGTTCTGGGATTCATCGAGGAACCAATATCCAGTGACGCGAACCCAGTCGCTGAAGTCAAGAGGTGGTGCGACTACCGAAGGGCTGAAGTTGTACATGAAGGGGATCTTGTTGATCTGCAGCTTCTTCAAGCTCGTTGGTGCCAGTTTGAGTGTCTTCCTCCTCCAAGAATTTATCTGGCTTGAGGTTGCCTTCCAGAATACTTCCTCGAACAGCACGTAGCTGAGGAAGTTGTAGGTCCCGCCCATCTTTTTCTCCTGAACCGCAAAGGCGTGCGGATAGGCGCGTGTCCTGGTCCAGGGCATGGTGAACGCGCGGAAGTAGGGGATCTCTAATGCTTCGGCGATGTGGATTCCGGCCATGGTGCTAGGGCTCTCGATCAAAAGGTCGGAATCCTGGCAAGCTTGCCATGCAGATTCGAGGAGTGCGCTCAACCAGCCGCGGAACGTGAAATGCGCCTTCGCTAGAAAGGTAGCAGTAAACATACCAGACTCAACGCAAAGCTGCATGAGCTCGGCTGGGTTACCTGCCACAGGCTCAAAACCAATGCCGTGGCTGCGGACCCAATCGCCAAATTCTTCATGAGACGCGATCTTTGTCTGGTGTCCTTCCTTCATCAGTCGCTTGCACAACGCTATGTAGGGTTGGACATCTCCGCGGGACCCGATTGTCAGACAGGTGATCCTCATGGGCTCCCGGGGGGTGAAATCAAGCATGGAGGCCTGGGGGTCATCGAATATGATAGCGGCTCCAGATTGCTCCAGCTCGTCAATGCGCGCCGGTAGCGCGGGCTGCTTTTCCGGGATTCGAGCATGTTGGAGCAGGTCATTCTCCGCCTTTGCCTCCTCAGCTTGCAGTAGGTTCTCTTCGCTGAGGAGCCCCGAGGAATGCAGGTAGCGAACCTGCTCGAGTTTCTGGTGAATGGTAACTGCACAGTCATCTCGAATATCGCCGCGCGAAAAGTCGAAAAACAACTCTTCATGACCGCGAACAACCACGACGAGAGCCTGATGGGTCAGACGGAAGCTTTTCTCCTTCATGACGTTTTCGATATCACGGAGGGGCAGGACGAGCTAAGGTCACGCGTTAGCAAATAAACGGTATAGGGGAGAAACATGCTGACCTTGGTCCGAGTACCTGGCAAGAGACTCCTGAAGCAGAAGTACCTGTCACTCATGTAGATTTTCCCGTACTGCGGAAGCACCCTCCACAGATTGCAAAAGAAGGTTGCTCGCAGGCTCTCGCTATCGGGCAAGGCGAAGTGCTGGCGGAAGCGCTCGTTATGGGAGACAGCGTCCGAGTCATCAACGATATCGCGTGGTTCTTCGTCAAAGATCTGACCGTCCTCCCCATAGTGCTTCCGTCCACCAGCCCACATGCCGGACACCTTGTCATACACGCTCATGGTATCTGTTGTCAGCCGGCTGCCCAGTGCCAGTGTCCCCCGCCTGAGAGAGCCAACTAGTCCAGTGGCTCTCGTGAACGGCTTCGCACCAGCACTAACAATCCCAGAATAATAACCGGAAGCCGATGCCTGCAGTCTGTCGTCCTGAAGCTCACTGTCATTTCCCATCTCTCTCGAGTTCTGAACCGGCGTCCTTGAGCGTGTGCTGATGGTCTGCTCTGTCCTGGGATAGGGATGCTTCTTTGCTGAGCGAGCGGTGTCCTGGGACGCTCTGGGATTGACATCCGAATCCGCAAGCTCTACAGCGGGTCTATGAAAGACGTCGCTACGGCTGAGGATTTGGCTAGCGGATGCATCCGTCTCATTGATCGATTGAATGGCGGCAGACGATGATGTGTCCGGTTCCATCGAAAGGCAGGCAGATTCAGAGGAATCTCGTACCCTAGAGGAGCCCTCGCTTTGTGCGACACCAGAAAGCCGTTTCTCCTGCCCTCTACTGAAGCTGCGTCGTCCCCGGTCAGAACTAGATCTCGCGGATTCGCCGCTGACCCTTCGACTCGATGGGCGGCGAAACGGCGGGGAAGTCGGTGATAGCGTCCCTAGAGTTGGCTGGAAGATGGTAGATCGCACCGGACTTCCGGAGTTACGAGATGGGGGGCTAGCAGGTGTCTTGAGGCGTTTTTCACCTGCAGGCGTCGTAGGGCGCTCAGCCGTAAGACCTGGTTGCCGCCTGCAGCCGTCCCACACGTTCTTCATAAAACGCATTGGTTCCTCGCCGGAGCCAAAAAAGGAAAAGAAGTATTCGTCAACGGCGTACGAATCGTCATTGTCAACGACCCCGACCTTGATGGTGTCGGCATAGTCCAGTACAGGGTTGTCCTCGATCTCCATGACGTTGGAGAGTGGGATAGAGATCTTCACGCTGTCCCCATCATTGTGGGACTTGAAGATGACCTTCTGCAGCAGTTTGACCCATTCCTTGGCACTGGCAGCGCTCTCGGCCCGTAGTACGTAATTCTTCTGGTTGGTAGAGATGGAAATGTCGGTGGGCTCGCGAGCCTTGTCCTTGTGTTCCATCAGAACGGCAGATGTGGCGTAGCGCAGGTTGATCCGGCCACGAGGGAAGTAAAGGTCGGTCGGGTCGTTGTAATATGCCAAAACGTCACCCTTCAGGATGAACCATGATCGGTTCCACATGGTACGGCCACGCTTGGAGAGATATCCGGACTTGGTGATTTCCTTCTGTTTTGTATTAGCTTCACACTAAGCAGAAGGTTTGTGCAGAGCGCGTACAGTCTTCTTGGGCAGGTAGGCGTAGAAGCAGATGTGCTTCTGAGTAATGTACAAATAACCCTGGAGGAGGACGGTCTGCAGCAACCAGCAGGGGTGTTCTGCACTTGTCAACACACGTCAGGCGGCAAGATATCAAGTTGCACATACCAGAAACGACATCCTCTTCAGCGTCGAATCCGAAAATCTCCATGAGCCTCTGTGAGAGATCATCGGGACCTTTGACCGCAGAATGGCGGACGCCGAAGGCATCGTGCGCTGTACGGAGGTCCGACCCGAGGGCGGAAGCCTCCATTTCAGCCTTGGCCTTCAGTTGGCCTTCCACCGAGCTGGTCCCGTCATTCCCCGTCTCGTTTTGTTCCATTTGTGGCGGTTTCGGCGTGAGAATCTGCGAGGAGGACATGGCATCATCGGCGGGGGCGTGGCTGCGGTCCTTGGAGGGCTTGACGTGGAGCTTCTGGAGTGTGCGGATTATGGAACGGTTGCGACGATGCTTTTCGGACTTCTGTTCTGGTTGGGCTGAGCTCTGGGGGGCGGTGGCAGCAAGTGCTGAGGGCCCGAGGGACTGGGTTACCGCGGCATGGTCGGCTTCCTCCTCGCCCTCGCTGAGCTCGTCGTGGGTGAAGCGAGAGCGCAAGTTGGCGACAGAGCCAGCGTGAGTGATCAGATCGAAGACGGAACGGTGGGTGTAGCGAGGGTCGTTGGACTTGGGCGCGGTGACGTCTTCGTCCTCGTCCTCGTCTTGACCATGGCGGAGGCGTTCGGGGATCTCGAAGGACTTGCGCGGGACGCGGGAGCGTCGGGGGGACCACCGGGGGGGCTGGTCCCGCGAGTTGTGCTCGGAGGCCATGGTGAGTGGATGGCCGCGGTGGTGGGAAGGTGAGGCCAGGCAGGCGCCTCGAGGCGGGAGCGCGGTGGTGAGGCCCGGGGTGGTGCAGCAGGCACAGACGCGCGGGCGCGTTGGGGGTCTGGGCGTGGTCGCGTTGGGGGTCTGGGCGTGGTCGCGTCAGGCGCAGCTTGCTCGAAGGCTCACACGGGGCAGGCAAGCGGCCATGTCTCACGGGGAAGCTGGCTGTGACCTGGAGCTCAGCGGGTTCCTATCGTTATCGGGGGCGTGAGGCTCTCTGGGGAACCCGATGGCGAAGCGAGTCATGCAGCCTGGCAGGGGTGCGCCCAAGCCGCCCAGCACACCGCCACGTTCCTACCCTCTACTTGCTATTCGCGTCTCACAGACTGCTGCCGGCCGCTGCCGTGACTGCGCCGCAGCTGCCTCTGCAGCAGCCTCGGCGGCAGCCCCCACAGCGGCCGCGGCAGAGGGCCCTGCTGGAGTCGCCGTCGATCCCCGTTCCCCGTCGCCAGAAGCTCGCGGGCGCTGGTGCCACGTGCACGAGGTACCGCTGACGCCGTGACGCCGTGCAGACTCCGCTGCCTCTGCAATCTGGATGCTGCCGGGGGCCCGGGGCCCGCAGGCTGCAGCATCACTACTGCTCGCGTCTCCAGCCAACCGCCCGGCGCGGAAGCTGTGCAGCGCGTCCCGCATCAGCGTCCACCCAACCAGCCACGTCCAGGCAGCTGTCGGCGCACCGGCGCTGAAATTGACCATACATGTCACGAGGCCGGCTTCCTCAGCAGCTTGCATTAGAAACCTTCAGATTGCAGTACACATGGCCAAGACGAGCCCGGCCGAGCTGGAGACACGTCACAAGCATTGCAGCCTGTTGCTAGCGCCACAGATCAACCCGGCCGCGATTGCATCCACGCCAAAGCGGCAGTGGCTTCTCATTGCGCCGTTCTGTCCGGCAACGACGACCCACTGCCCCGAATCGGCGGTATCATCCTCAGCCTTTCGAAGCCTTCAATGACTTCAAGCATGCAATCCGCCGAGCTGACGGTGCCAAACCATCCGAAGCGGCGGGATTTGTCCATGCTGTCACAGCATTTCAGCACATGAAGTCTGGGTCACGACAGGCGCACCTACCTGAAAGCAGTGCGGACCGCGTTGGCCAGAGCGCCGTCGGCAAAAGCAAAGATGCGGCCAACATCTCGCAGTTTCCGATCTAGCAAGTCGTGCTTCTGCGCCAGCTCTTTCCAAGCTTGTTGGGTCTCCGGTTTTTTCGCCCAGTCCGCCAGCGTGAAACGGCGTCGAATGGTGGCTTGTGGCCCGAATCTGAGAACATGGTCAGACCATTCCAAAGCACAAAACAAAGAGACACGCTTACCCTCGTGGCGTCTCCTCCCGTGGTATAGCCATGGCATCGTACGCAGTCTCGTCCAGCTCCGGTCTGGTCCACTCAACACCGTAACATGCTGCCAACCTTGGCCAGAACTGCCCCCACGTAAATGTGCTCCCATCCGCCGCATTGAACGCTTCGTTGGCCGTTCCCTCGTCCAGAACAGCCCACTCGGCCTGGTATCCGTTCAGCATGGCACTGCTCAGGTCCAGCGGCCGTTCCCAGGCCTCGAGGTTGCCGGGAAACTCGAGCTTCTGGCCCAGATGCTTGCACACAGCCGTGTATGCTGCAATCGGAAAGACCAGATTCATGGCCGCGTCCGGAACGGCTCCGAGCACGAAGCTCGGGCGAATGACGTTCCACCCCACGCCGCTCAACTCATCGCACCAGTCCACCAAATAGTCCTCCTGGGGATAATAGAAATTCGGCTCAATCGTCACGCGCGCATCGCCTTCCTCTTGCGGCACCTTCGTTGGGCCAAGGTGCACGCCGTAGTGCTTTGCGCCCGTCTGGAGCAGGACACGGCGGGGCTTGATGCTCGCCAGGTTCAGCGCCGACAGGAAGTTCGAGAGCAGTTCCGTGTTCACGATGGCCATCTCCTCGGCATTGGACCATAGCCCTTGGCCATCCTTGGGGGGCACCTGGATGTACGAGTAGAAGAAGACGTAGTCGGCGCGCACGCGGTGCGATACCAGCAGCTTCGAGATGAAGTCTGGCGACTTGAGAAAGTCGATGGATATATGTTCCACCTGCGGCGGCAGGGGGTCAGGAATCGATGGAGGCCGTCGTGACAGGCAATAGATCTTCGACCAGCGCTGAGGATGTTGCGCAAGCACCCGGAGCATGTGCTGCCCGGAGATGCCGTTGGCGCCAGTTATTATGGCTGTGAGATCCTTCTTGTCATCTGTATCCGAGAAGACCGGGAGGCCACGATATATGCCTTTCGGCTGGATCTGCTGCACACTCGTCATGGCTTGCGCTGCTCAGGAAGAAGCATAGAGCATGCCACGCTGCCCGACCCCGGAAGCCCAGGGCCTTAAATAATGCCCCCCGAAAAGTGGGACCTGTCTTGGGGTGACATACCCAATTGCCCATGCGGGGTCAACCATCTTGGATCCTTTCCGGAGCTAGCGGAGAGGCTTCTCCTCTCGCTATGCGGGGCAGCCTACCAATTGTCTCTTCAACGGCATGGGCTAAGACACCCTTGTACTTCCTGCTCCGCACCACATGCCCGCGCCTCGGACGCCAACGCAAAGCCCCCCTTTCCGTGAAGGAGCTGGCCTGACCCTGCAGTGATGATGTCATCGGATCTTGCACGGGGCAGCGGATTGCTTTGGTTGAACAGGATGTAGTATTAGACAACTCAGCCAAGGCAATCGAGAGCACTTGCAAGTGGGACCTGGCGTACCACAATGAGGTGTGTGTTACGCGATGTTTCTCTTTTCATTGAGCTGATAGCCGCACGACCGCAAATGCGTGAAATGGTCCTGCTGGTCTTACGATACGTGCCCGCATGTTGAACCATCAGACTCGTCGTGCCCAAGGGACTGGAAGAGTCGCCCGAACTTTTGCCTATCGATGGTTCCCCATGCCATCATCTCAGTAATTCCCATTCCTCGCCATCAGCTCACTTGCGCTCATTCTTAGTGGCCCATGCGGCATCAAATGTCTCCGGGTCCACAGCATATGCCTTGAGATAGTCTCTCTCCAAGTCATGAGTGTTCCTGCCAATCAGAACCAAACTGTGCAGCGGTTTGCCAAGATCAGACTGGCTCAGCTGCTCGAGCGTGCCCGCCACAATCGTCTGGTCGGGAGCACCAACGCGGGCGACGCCCACTGCAAGGGCGGCCTTTCCGCAGACGCCATTGCCCTTCTCTTCTTCGATCTCAATCATCTGCTGGGCGCATTGAGCGACCGTCATGAACCTTGGCGGCTCGTAAATAATCCTGCCGCGAGCAAGAGCATCCAGGTTTGGCTCCTTCACCTTGATGTCTAGCAGGACGAGGGTGTGCAGCCCAATGGTGTCATTCTCGAGGATCTTGTCGTACCAGGATGCCGGGCGCCAGTTGTCGGTGAAGAAAACCATGCTAATGGTCTGACCGAAGTTGTATAGCTGCAGGCCGGTGCAGCCGACACCGGTCAGAATGCTCGCGTTCGGAACCGTGTTGGTGGGGATGTTCAGCTCGCGCGCGCGGAGGATGAGATCGGTATGGGTGGTAGCGCTTCTCACCAATCAGCAAACGCCAGTCCAGGCACAACGGAGAGGCAGGTACCCGAAGGGATCGCCGACAACGAGAAAGGCGACGTCAACCTTGTCGGCGTCGGCCAGGATGTCATCGCTGGCGGATTCGACCATCTCACGGTCGGCGATGATGACGGAGCGGCCATAGAATGCTTCCTACTATCACGCAGCATGCTCGTCAGTCGTCACGGGCTTGGCGGGGCAAGAGTGGCAGCAGACTCACCAATCTGGCCTGGTCGACGAGCAGGACGGCCGTGTAAGCCTCGAGGTAGACGCGCTCGGCTTTTTTGATGATCTCGAGGCCGCGGACGGTGACGTCCTTCTCGTCGGCGAGGCCCAGGCCAATGAGGTGGAGCATGGCTGCGGGCGTGGTGTTGGGCTGTGGTGTGGGCTGTGGACGGGCAGCAGCAGCGGGCGACGAAATTATTGCTGGACCCCGCCGGCCGGCCTGCCGCCGTAGGGCTGAAGGCGGTCGGCGAGTCAGCACAGGCTCCCCCGACCCCAGCCCGTCTCCGCCCTGTCACCTCCGTCTTCACCACCCACTCACCTCTCCTTGTCCGCCCCTGCCATCCACCCGCGCTCCACCCGCGCTCCACCCGCGCTCCACCCGCCGCGTGGGCGCTTGTCTTCCCTGGTAGTACCGCTTCGCCCGCTGCCAGCGGACCTGTAGCCATCATGACGGACAAAAGTGTCAAGTACCGCACCGAGATCCAGCAGGTGAGAGCATGCTACTATTTTCATATTTTCACCTTCCGTTCCCGTCCCAGGGCCGCGATCATGTCATGTGCTCTTTCACCCTTTTCCAAAGCCACGCGTGGCTTGATGAGCCCTTGGTTCCACTTCGACCAACGTGCCAATGCCTGCGACAAACAGCGCCATGTCTATCCATACCCACCCGCTCTTCCGTCCTGACCATGGTAGATCTTGGCAATGGGCGGCCTTTGCTCACGTTGTGCGACAGATGATGTTCGTCTCTGGTGAGACGGCCGAACCATCTGCTGAGACGACCTCTCTCATCGAGCTGATTGTTCAGCAGCAGGTCCAGGAAATGGTAGGCCGGCCTTCACCTTGAAGCAGAGACTCGCCCGCTCCGGTCTAACTGCAGCCAGTTGCGCGAGTGCACCGTCCTTGCTACCCGCCGCGGTAGCCGTAGCATTTCCACTGACGATCTGATGATGCTCATCCGCCACGACCGCGCCAAGATCAGTCGCCTGCGCACTTTCCTTCAGTGGAAGGATGTCCGGAAGACGGCCAAGGATTCGGACGAGAAGAACCCTGGCGCCGACGACCTTGCTGCCGACGACATCGGCGTTGACATCACCGCGACCGCCCCGAACCCGGCCACCAAGACTGCGAAGCCCGGCGGCTCGAAGAAGGCCGTCGATCTGGTCTGGGATGTGCAATCGTACTTTTCCGAGGCTCCCCCCGCCCGTGAGGAGGAAGAGGATGAGGAAGAGACGGAGATGAATTATGCCACCATCCAGCGCCTGCGCAATGCCGACGAGCGCACCAAGAACATGACCCGTGAGGAGTACGTCCACTGGTCCGACTGCCGTCAGGCCTCCTTTACCTTCCGCAAAGGAAAGCGCTTCCGCGAGTGGGCTGGATTCGGCACAATCACCGACAGCAAGCCCAACGATGATATCATCGACATCCTCGGATTCTTGACCTTCGAAATCGTCCAGACCCTCACCGAGGAGGCACTTAGGGTCAAGCAAGCTGAGGACGCCTATCGCAAGGCCGTGGGAGGCGACGCCAGCGGTGGCCAGAGCAGGAAGCGGAAGCGCGATTCTGGCCTGTTCGATCCGCCCGAGGAGGCCCGCGAACCTGTTGGCCCCGGCCACGTTAGAGAGGCTTTCAGGCGCTTGCAGAGGACTCCGCCGAAGAGCAGGGCCATGCTGAACTTCACCGGCCTTCTCCAGCGCACAACTCTGAAGCTCGTAAGTTCACGCCATGACATTAACCACGCGCGCTAAATAAAGTTAGATCTGATCGCTCCCGTTCGACGGCGTCTCTCGGCGTTCTCCTCTGTCATGTCTTTGGTAGAGACATTTTGATACCCAACGGCTTGGGATGGGCAATGGCATTAATTCGGAGTTTCGGTCACGGTATGGTACTGATTGGGAGGGATCTATTTTTTTTTATGGAGTGGGAGGTCCTGTCTTCAGGGTTTATATCAGACACGCAAGAGGCCTTCGGTTATTATATTAACCATTACTTCTCAGCCGTGTTTTTGAAAGCCGCCAAAAGGAGCTAAAATGTATCAATTAATCATTGCCTGCGTATGGAATCAAAACACTAAAGCCTAACCTACCATAGCTGGTTCAACATGACGTTTAACGATAAAGGCTTCTAGACTCCACTTCAGAAGACAAAAGGAAGACAAAAGGAAGGGAAAAAAAAGGAAACTGGAAAAGCAGAGTAAAAGAGGGACTGTAGACCAGCGAGCGTGTAACCTCGGTCAAACGACGTCTCTTCCCCAAAGCTCGCAGACGGTAATCGATTTGCCCCCCATCAACGTTGTCCATTCCTCTCACATCTTTCTCTGCCTCTTCACACCGGCTGTTGCTCCGACTATGGATGATCCCTTCACGCTGCTGCCGTTGGAGTCGCCAGGGCCATCGGTGCTGCTGTTGGCTTTGCAGTGCCAGCATCCGCTGCAGGAGCCGGAGTCTCGACGCAGTCCGGAGCCAGATACTTGCGGTCCTCGACACACATGTTCCAGCATCTGTTGTCACACCTTTGTTAGTGAACCGAGTTCGGAGAGGGTGGGAAGCGGAGAAGATGTCGGAACCAAGTCACTAGTTTCCACCGGAACTGAACAGAAAGGGCAAGGGAAGAAACAAAGAGGGGACAGTGAGAAGGTGGAGAGAGGGGGGAAAAGAAAAGAGAAAGAAAGAAAGAAACCTACCCGCCATATCTCATATCAGAGCAAGACAGGTTCATGTAATCCTTGCAGATGGTCGCCGAGCAGGTCGTGCTCGCCACGGGGACATAGGTCGGCGATTGTCGGATGTAGCTGTGGCTGCCTTCGGTCACGGTCACGCCCCACGTCGGCGCCGGCTGTCCGCCTCGTGCGGTGGCGGTGGCGGCGGACGCGGGGTCCACGCGCTGCTCGTTGCGGGCGGTCGGTATGCCCTCCCCTTCGAAGCGTGCCGAGGGGATGCCGTTGGCCGGCAGCACTACCGGCACCCGCCCCGTCGACCGCGCCTCTGCTGCTACCACGGCGTCTAGATCGAGCAGGACGGGACCGATGATGGTGTTTGAGGCTGTCGCCGCATTGTAAAGGATGGCGGGGGAATAGGAGGGAGATGGATGCACCGGTGGGGGAGGAGCATAGATGTGGCGGGCGCGGCCAGCCGGGGAGGCGAGGACGCCGTTGGTGCTGAGGGAGTGGCAGATGAGGAACAGGGAGATGGCGAGGATGTTGCGGTAGGGACGGTTCAGGGTCGATTGGAACATTATGGGTAGCTAGCGTGGCGGGAAATGGAGAGGAATCGGGTCGGGACGAAGGATGAAACTGGGTGGTGAATGAAAGTGCAAGCTTAGAGAGTGTCTTCACTACACTGTGTGAGTAAGCGATGTTGGTGAAGAGAAGCCAGCTCAGCGACTCCGGGCATTTATACCCATGCGGTCGTGCCGGCCATGCTGACACCATGGCGCCAAGGGTCGAGGTGACGCTCTTCGTGGCGGGGGCAAATGTAGCCCTGACGAAAGCGTGAGTCGAAACGTTCACTGTAGAAAAAAGCCCAAGTGTGGAGATAATTGCATACGAGGTGGGCAACGATGGGAGTATCAGTGAGACAAATGATATCAATAGCCTCGCAATCATGGTTGCGTGTGTCTCAATCGCCACCTGAGCGCGAGCCCGCTCTCGTTCTCTTGAGTGCCGAGCAGATTGGGACTCAAGGTACGTTCGCGATGCTTGATTCCAATCAAGGGCGTGTGTGCCACGCGCGAAAGTAACGATAGTGCAGAGCCCAGACACCTTCTTCCTCCACGCTGAAACCAAGCCCATCTCGTGTGCGCCCCGGTGCGAAGAGCTGGGACACAAACACTGCTGGGAATTCTGGCCCAAAACCACTCGTCAAGTTCGAGCCTATGAGGGGGGTCTGGTTCAACTCCCCGCTTGCTTCCATCGCTTTGCAGCCGTACCTCGGATTCGGAGCTGACTATCGACCCGGCCTTTCGGACGCGGGAGAGGGCCGCTGCCAGGGATACGAGCCACTGGGTCGTCTGTGCAGCGGTGTTAGTTGATCGGAATGCTCTTATTTGGCCAGCTTCCCCCAGCCTTGGCCATGTCTTTCCGCAAAATGGCTTTGGAGGTGCTCTCTTCGTATCTGGGAAGTGAGATCACGAAACACACGGCCGGGAGGAGCCGAGGCACCATGCGGACCCAGCCATCAACATCAGACCTCAGCCCATTCCTACAGCGAGAGTAGAAGAAGAAGAGCAGACAGGCCTCCTGATCCAGCGACTCCTGCACAGCTTCAAGACCGGCGCAATGACGTGTGCCGGGAGAAGACAAATTGAACATGACACGCTCGGGACTTGACCCTTTCATTGTCTACCTTGCTTTTTTAATGTCTGTCCCTGTGTTGTTCAGGAGGTCCTATCGAGCATGACTTCATATAGCGTACAGTAGAATGTAAAACAAAATCTCCGAGGCCGCGGCGCTCACGCAGCAGGGAGGGTGCGTGCTCGCCGACGCCTCCGGAAGAATAGAGGTGATAGAAAGGGAATCTATTGCGTCCATGGCCTAGAAGGAGATACTTTCGCTCAAGGAGGGCTTGGGTATGCGCGTCAAATGACGAAGAACAAGGAAATGCTCGTCAGGACGCTTGCATGCGTGCGCGCCTGAACCATGTAGGAAAAAGACCCGCTGAAAACAAACGCTCGGTACGGAAAGGAATTTGGCCCAGGCGATCGCTGGCGAGGGGGGACGACAGCCATCTACTCGTCTTCCTCGCCAGCGTCGCGGGCAAGACTTCTCCCGATTTGCTCTATCCACATGGCGCCTTCCGCGTTGATGCCTTTCTCCGGATTCACAAGAACACTTTTTCCGATCGGCGCGGTGTGGGTGCTGCTGCTGAGCGGCAGCTGGTATCTCAGAATACCGCGCACGATCAGCTCGAACGGATACTGAATGACGCGCTCCCATCGTTCTGTGCCACCAGCCTCGGTTTTGTTCCCTGGCTTCTGCAGACGGAGCTCGCCGATTGAGTAGTGAGGGCGGCGCTTGAGAGGGTCGCCATCGAAGTTGAGTGGCGAGTCAAAGTGGAATATGCGCCCCAGGAGCATCGTCTGCGAATCGCCCTCGGGATCTTCAACCGGATCGTGCGGGTCGTCGTCCCAGGAATGGACCAACGGCTCGGCGTCGTCATGCGACGAAGGCCGGGGGCGTCGTCGTCCTAGCTCGCGAGAGCGTCTCTCAATGACGGGGCCAAGAACCTCACTCTGCGGCTGATCCCGCCAGAATGCTTCGGAGCCGACGTGCTTGCTCTTGGCGAAAATGTTGACGTCCATCTCTCCAATGGAAACGGCGACGATATTCGGGTTGATGGCTTCGACTAGCAGGTCCAACATGATCTCCTGCTCGCTGGCAAGAACATTCTGTATCTCAACAACCTCGACCTGGTACAGCGGCTTTGTCGTGGCGAACAGGAAGCCTACCGCCCCAAAGGCAAGCAGGAGAACCATGATGGTCAGCACAAAACAGCCTGCAAATCTTCGAAGACAACCCCGTCTGCGCCGCTCGTAGTGATCGTGGTACTGCAGACTTGCGCTCGTCGGCCGTGGCCCCCGTGCCGGAGCTCTTCGGCTCCGCGCGGTTCCCATAAGTGGCGTTCTTTCGTCGTCTGCCCCTTCGCCGTCCATATCGTATGCCGACAATTCTCCCATCTTCCTGCTCGAAGGATTGCTTGTGCGAGAGCTGTAATGGGGAAACTTCGGGCTGCTGGGGGCAGATCCATGCCGAGAACCGTAACCGGACACACTCCTCGCTTTGGAGCCCGGAGGCGCCGGCCCGTCCTCGAACAGAGAATTAACAGCGGCATTACGCCCGTACCGGCCTATATGATGGTGATAGTTGCTATGGCTTCCACTCGGCCGGGAATGATTGCCTCGAATCGAACCGTCAAAGCGCTCGGTCAGATCTTCATCGAGGCTTGGATTGCCGTAGGGGTTGTTAGCAAACTTCATACTTCTCTTGCCTGCAACACTGCGATGCCCCTCGAGGACGTTGTTGATCGAGCGAAGGCCGCCACCCAGGCGAGGGTGGTCCACCATACTCGCCATCGAAGTTGCACTCGGCGTACGAGAGTGGTGTCGGCTCGCTCGGGGTTGCGTGTCGGGCGGGTTTGACTCGTAAACAAACGTCTCGTCGGAATCGGATGAGTTCGCTTCATCAACGGCACTGGCTACCTTCGCTTCGAATATATCTGCTTTGGAAGACGCTTTACGTGGAGAGCCGTTAGTATATTTCGAGTTGATTTGCTTGCTGACAGCCGGCGAAGGGGGTTGGGTGAACTGTGAAAAGTCGCCAGGGCTTGGGTAACCCGGGGTGCGGAAAGACTGGACGTTGGAATCTGGCGAGGTGAGGGCTGTGATGGTGTTCGATCGGACCTGTAGATCTGGTCTGACGACAGGGCTGACGAGATCGGTGACGGGAACATGGTGGTGGCTGAATGGATTGCGGACTAGCTGTGGTGGATACCTACCCGTGCCGGAAGTGATTGACGGCGCTTTCCGTACTGTCCTCCTCTTCTCCCTCCTCGGGCGAATAGTCTCGTTACTTGGCTTTAGACGGAGGCTGCTGCTGGGCTCTCCCCGTCCTGGTGTAGGGCCAACTTGTGGCTGGCCCATCACCCCTTGAGGAACTGAGCGGACAGTTTCGGTCTCGACAGTCATGTTCTTCGACGGTTCCGTAACGGACCTAGACTTTCCAGGAACGAGTCCGGTGAAGGAATTCCTCGACGTTGCAGAGGGTCTGGCGCTGCTGAGTCTCTTCTGTTCTGTTCGTCGGCCGCGTTCTTCGGATTTGTTGTTACCCCCGCTTTCGCTTCCACTTTCCCGAGCCTTCGAGTTTTCTTTCGCCGATTCTGTTGAGTTAGCGACAACGGTATCGTCACTGGACGATTTGGCGGGGTTGTTACTGAGAGAAATAGTCAGCCTCTGCATAGCTGGGTCCAAGCCTCTAGTAGGTTTCGGTGGGCAGCTTAGTGCAATATAAGGTTCGTCGACGTCAACATTCTAACAGTATGACGCATACACTTGGGTTCAAGCCTTCATCCACATGAAACGTCTGGGACGCTTATGTGACAGTTGTGACAGCCCATGGTTCGCCAACTGGCCTTGCTAAAATAAAGCGCCTTCGACTCCCTCTGCCCGCTACGCGACCGCAGGAGATTTCACCAACATACCTGCGTGCTTGGAAAACGTCGAATCCGGGTGATGTCGGGAGGCTAGCCTCCTGTACGGTCTCCAGCGCTGGAGGAGCGCCACTCACGGCCCTCACGGAACCTTTCCGGGCCATATTGCTGCTGTCTTGGTCTTCCGAATCGCTAGGCAGCGGGTCATTCTTCTGCTTTCCTGAAGGACCGGGCGGCGTTGCGGTGCGCTCAACGATGATATTCGGGGCGGACTGGGTCGATTGGGGCGGGTCTGGCCTTGGGGGCCGGGAGAGCTGAGGCGGCGGCGGCGGCTGTTGCTGTTGCTGTTGCTGTTGCTGCTGCTGCTGCTGTTGCTGCTGCTGCTGTTGCTGGGAGCGGAGTGAATTGCGGCGAGAGCGGTTGGCAGAGGGGGGAGGTGACTTGATGCGCGGCGAGACGGGCCAGTGGGGGTTGGTGTCGCTGGGGGTGTTGGACTTATGCGGTCTCGGGCCACGGGTCGAGTCTGCCGGAGCGGGCTGGAGCTGGGGCGTGTTGGCAGACGCAAGGGCACGCTGGATGGCAGCGGCAGAGGGAGCGGTGGTGGGCTGGCTGGTGAGGGCGGCAGGGCGGTTCGGACTGGCGTCCTGGTTGCTGTTCTTCCTCGACCGCTGGACGCGGCGGGCTGGGCCAGCCATGGCGGGCGTCTGGCGGGGGTGCTGCGACGAGCGCGTGGGCGAGGGGTCGCGCGAGGACAGGGGCGAGGTGGTCTGCGAGCGCGGAGCCGTGGACCGCGGGCGGGCGCCACTGGAGGAGCGCAGCGAGGTGTGGGCGTTGGTGATTGGGTTTGTTGTGGCGGCGGTTGCACCGGGCGTGTTCGCAGCAGCAGCAGCAGGCGACGGGCTGTCTTCAGCTGCCGGCGCCGGGTCTGCGGTCTCGGGAAGGCCAGAGACGGAACGAAAGCCTTCGTCGGGGGGGTCGGTCATGTTGGCTTTGGCGAGGGGTCATTGCAAGGCGCTGGGCGTCGGGGCGGGAGCGGTTGAGGTGCGGTGGAGCAACGGGCAGGTTCGCTGTCATTGATTGCTGCGCTAGCGAGCTGGAGGGCCGTCGCAGAGCAGAGTCCACCCGAGGGCACGCGGCAAGAGGCGGTTCGCGGAGAATGCAGAGGCCACGCAGCCCGCGCAGGCTCGCAGCCCGCGCAGCCCGCGCAGGCTCGCAGCCCGCGCAGCCCGCGCAGCATGAGCAGGCGCAGGCAGGCGCGCGATACGGCCAAGCGTCGCGGCCGTCGTCGGTCAGGTGCTGGCCTGGCTGGGCGGGCGATGACGCCGGCAGGACTGGCAGGACTGGCTGCTGCTTCGCCCTACCCGCGACGACGTTACGCCAACTGCCAGCTTCCCAGCCCAAGGCCCGCTGCCGCCTCGCCGCCTCGCCGCCAGCTGCGACGCCCATCGCTGCCTTGCTCGACCGCCCCGGCACAGCGCGCCCGATCGTCGCCCCAGGCCCGTGCATGCCTTCATCTGGTCGCACTGGCCGCCGAGACATGTGAGACGGTGCGACCGCGCCGCCAGCTCACCAGCGCCGCCGCCCGCCCGCTGACCGCACCGCTCAGCACCGCCCACCTTGGAACCCATGCCGTCACCGCCTCGCGCGCTTGGAGTGGTCTTTTTTTTTTTTTTTTTTAGTTTTGCTAGCCACTCTCGGCCAAATGTCTCCCAGAACCCTCTGCACCGCATAGTCCAGCGCATAGTGTACCCCATTCTCTAGGTGGATTGTTTGAGATTCGAGACATCAAAGATGGGGGGGAGGCAGTGGATTGTCGACCGGGCATGCTGATCTGCGTTTGAAGTGCGGTTGACTGCAGCGACGTTGAAGTCTTGTGGCGGTGCCTAGCACGTTGTCGTTGATGCGCTGGGCCGTTGTCGTCAGATGGTTGGCTCGACAGCTTCGCCCTCTTGCGCACCCTCTGCGTTAATGGTAACGCTCGCCCCGGGCACATGCCTGCTTGCAGTCGCATCCCATCCAACCTAGGTAGAGAAGCCGTGTGGATGGGGAGGAGCATGATCAAGCATGAACGTGACTGCGTGTACTTGAAGTCCTGTGCCACCTCGGATATGGTATTATTAAAGTAGTCAGCATGTTGGAGTGAGCAAAGCAATCAACAAAAACAAGACGCCCCCCTCCTTGCGTGATACGAAGCCAGCGTCGGCCCAATAACCTACAGCGTGCAGATAAGGCCCAGGTTCACCGTTTGAGGCAACAACGAATGTATACCCCGGGCTACTTGGGCATCACGGAGAACAGCTACACAACACTTCCCTTTACCACAACAGGACTTGGGCCTGTTGTTTTCGTCCCCGAACTCGAAAAAGACGGCATCGGGATTCAGACATAGGCGATAGCCACAAAGGTGGGATCGCTCAAGGGCAAGCTCGTCGACTGCACATTCGAAAGAAGCCAAGGCAGGAAGCCGTAAGGAAGACACAGTCGATATCGGCCCCGTCATAGGTCACGGCACCGCCCATCTTGAAACCCATCCTGTCACCGTTTCGCGCGCTTGGAATTATTGGGATTATCTTCTTTTCATTTCGCTAGCTACTCTTGCCGGTGCCTTCCATCCCGCAGCCCGGCCAAATGTCTCCCAGAAACTTCTGCACAGCATACTGTAGTGCTATCTACCCAGCCCAGGTATCGTTCAGTCGTGAAAGGCACAAAGGAAAAAACAAAAGAACCCTCCACCAGTCAGATCACTACGTCTTCCCCCTCGCGCACGGTCGATCCCACCGTTTGGGATCGAGGCTGTGTAGCGGCTGGGCATGTGATTTGAGGGTATTTCCTGAGGTTGGTGTACAATTACAAGGGCGCGCCCATTTGGCGCCTGGCTATAAGTAGCGAAAAGACTGCCAGCTTCTTTTCCTGGTGTGAGGCAGAGAATGCGCAAGGGACGACGTCGCTGCAGACCGTCGACCCCGAACTCGATGCTTGGCCGGCCATGACAACGTTTGGTAATACAATGTGTAAAAGAAGAAAGTGGTAGTGTGATCGAATGCGTTTGTCCGCCGTGACGAATCGAATCGTTTGGATCATCCGTGTGTCGTAAAAGTCGTAGAGGTGATCCGCAAAGAATGGTATACAGTGTTGTCGTCGAGGTATCGGCCGATGAGCGCGGCGTCGTAAGCGCTAAGTCCAAACAGCAGGTCGCAGAAAACGTTGGGATATCGAAGCGGAAGAGCAGAAAAGCAAAGCAGGAGCAAGCAGCCAGATATCGCCCCGTCCGAAAAGCCCATGCCGCCTAAGCCAAAAGTCGAGAAATCAAACGCCTATCACCCGTGCACCTTAAACACCACATGTTTTTATATGCCTCAGAAACGCCTTTCCAAGTGCAGTCCCCCGAGCATAGGTAGTATCCAGGCACCAGTGGTCCTAGAAATGTTCGATGGCTCAGTTCAAGTCCATCATGTCGACGTCCTGCTCGGGGTTAAGGACATAGTCCGCAGGTCCCCAGTTGCCTTCATAGATGGTAGCACCGGCGCGCCTGCGCCTGTAAACCCATTGGACACCGTCAAGGTGGTAGATCTGATCGATGACTGGGCGCGCATCGGGGTCGGGAGAGATCATCCACTGAACGATCCTGTCCAAGGCGCCGTCGTCATCGGGATCTACCATGAACTGGGGAGGCTCAACGAGCGTGTCTGTGAGATACCTCCGAGGCGAGAGTTTGCGAAGTGCCTGAGACGTCTCGTCGTCATGATCAGCGCAGAAGAGCGCCCCATGGGAGGGGACCATGACGGCCTCTTCATCAAGGATGGGATCACCAGACTCATCACGCTCAAGCGTGGTATCAGAGCTGAAAGTGAGGCTGGGAAGATCGCTCAAGTCGCCGTTCCTGAGACGCTGCCAGGAAGCACCGTTGTCGGGTAGGATGATGTTACCCGCGATCTCGACCATGATCATGCCCAGCGCAAAGACATCGGCAGGCTTGTCAAACTGACCGCGGAGGATTTCAGGTCCCATGTACTCACGATCGCCCTCGCCGTCGATGCCGCGCGGCGCCGGCCAAGAGCTTGCGAGGCCAAAGTCCCCAATCTTGAGAACGCCTTCCCAGTCGATAAAGACGTTCGCTGGCTTGAGATCGAGGTGAATGAAGCCGGAGTCGTGGATGTGTTTTACGCCCTAAGATTCAAATCAGTATAGCCCGTCCTCATAGTAGATTGACTACTACTTAATAACTCACCGACGAGAGTTCCAGCAGGATCTTCCAGATCCTGAAATCATCCAGTCGGGCCTTGTCGCCAGTCTCGCTCAGGAAGGTCTTGAGATTTCCGTTTTCGCAATACTCCGTCTGAATGTAGAGATGGTGGTTTGCCTCCCAGCAGTTCGTAAACTCAATAATGTGCTCGTTACCACGCAGGAACTTGAGAATGTCCACTTCCAGCATCTTTCGTTCCCTGTCTTTCGGGCCAGTGAAGGGCTTCTTGGCCTTCTTGACTACCCATCGCTTGGTAAGCGAATGTGACGACGGCGACTGGGTCATCGAGTCATGCGCAGACTGGTCAACAAGGAAAACCTGAGAAAACTCGCCATCTCCGGGAAGGAGCTTGACATTCTGGAAGCGAGAAGTCAGGCTGGTGTCAACGTCGTTCTTGGTCAGGCCAGTGATGGGCGCCACAGGCTGGGTGTTTCCAAAGAGGAAGACCTGGTCCCGAGATGTAGTCGGAGTAGCCGGGGGAAAGGCTAGTCCGCTACCAATGCTGGCGTGGAATGGAATCGATCCCCTGCGATTAGCCTGGGCCGAGATGGAAAGCCGGCTAGCATCGGGCGGGGTGTAGCTCCCCTGCGGAGTGTGAGGTGACTTTGACCGGTTAAGTGTAGGAGTCGGAGCAACTGGAGAAGTCATTTGCTCAGCGCCATCCGCTGCCGATGGAGTAGAAAGAGATTTGAGAGAACGGTTCAGGAGCGGTGACGGACAGGATGGGGTTGACATCCGTCTGCCGAAAGGAGAACACGGATCGATGTCTTGAGAGTTTCGAAACGGGTTTGGAGAGCGCTCGAAGAGGCCCTTCTTGGTTCCCGTACCGACCTCCGTAGACCCACGCGGGAAAGACTTACTCTTGGAGAATTTCGGAGAAGGGAGGTCTTCGGGAGTGGGTGGAACAAAAGTGTCAGGACCCAGAGAAGCTCGTCGACCAAACAGGTTGCTCCTCAAGCTGTTCTCCTTGGAGTTCCTAGCACTATGCTGCTTGGTAGGTGTGGGAGGAAATTCGTCGTTGCTGAACTGGCTGTCTCCAGCACCAGAAGGCGATCGTAGGTTATCGTCGCCATCAATGCTTACGAAGCTACTCCTGCGATCAAGGTCGGGCTTCTGGCCTCGGGAACCGAAGATGCTGACACCCTTACCGAACGAGATCGGCGTTGCCTTCACCGCATGTGAACTGAAAGGTGTGGACGGGGTACCAAACTCCGGCCGAGACATGGTCGATTTGCCGAAAGTGCTGCGCTGGAAAGGCGTAGAATTCGTCAAAGGCGGGAAAGACACCCTCTTTGACGGTGTGTCAGGCATGGTGTAGCTCTCGACCCCTCCAGTTGCGGGCGCCTCCACGTTGCGGTTCTTCTTGGAAATAAGACCAGTCGACATGAAAGCAGATGGTAGCGGCTTCGCCATTCTGAAATGGTCTGGAGTGGCAAATGGAGAATCAGACGGCGCGTGTTCTCCGCCAGCCGGGCGGGCGGCACCTATAGGGAGCGATCGAGAGAAGCTGATCGGAGGCCTCGAGGTTTCAGTGATTGTCTGGCGCTGAGGGGCCGGGGCCGGCGGCGGCATGTGAGAGGGAGAGTCGTCATCGTCGCTTAAGCTGGAGCATGAAGATGACGGTGTAAGGGCGTTTGACAAAGGATGAGGCTGGTGGGCCATCGCTGGACCCGAAACCGACCGCTTTTGAACATGGAAAGCGTGGGATGCTCCGAATTTGGTGCTCTTGCGGAAAGGCGAGTCGGCCGGCGATGGGCTCATGGCGACGCCGCTATCAAGAGAGATGCGAGGCTTAGACTTGGGAGCAGCTGGACTGGCAGATAGAAATTCGTGTCCCTCAAAGAGGCGCAAACGCGCGCTGCTGGTGTTGTACCGGCTGAGTGTTGACTTTCTGAGGGACTGCTTCCGGATGGGGGAGGCGCGCCTTGGTCCAAGCGGGGAGGAGGACGGCGGTGTGAATGAGGGATTCGTCGTTTCCCTATCTTGGTCGTTGCTTCCCCGCTCCTCAGTTTGGTACGGGAATGGAGCGTTCTCGAAGAAGCTATCGAGATCGTCAAACGATCCACCATGCAGGCTCCTTCTCTTGGCCACAGGACTGCCGAGGCTGAGGCTGGCCTGATCGAGGTTCATGATGCCGTCGCTTCGCTTCAGTGGACTCGACTTTGCAGGCTGGAGACATCTGGCGACAGAGTCACTGGCCTCAGCCTTGGGCTTGGCAAACTCGAACTTGATTGGGTCATCCTGGAATTCGAGGCGAGCATTTGATGCCTTCGATTCCGTGTCTGACCTGAGATCCTCTGTGTCCTCGTCCATGTTGTCCTCCTCTGCAGTGCTGCGGCGCCTCGATGTGGGCGACTTGTTGGCTTGGTTCAAGGTGTCGCTAAGGACCCGGCGCGGGGTCGGTCGCTTGCGGGGCGAAGTGCGAAGGGGCCCGAGACGGCGGAGAGCGGACTTGTTCTTCTTCGTTGCAGCGGGAGTCTCCTGCAAAGGCGAGAACGGGAAGAGTTCCGGGACATGTTGATCCTTCCTTGGGCTAAGGGCTCTCGACAGAGCCAAGGGCGACAGCGGAGACTGAGGAGAACCGGACGGCGAGTTGTTGTTGCTGTGCAGGGTGAAACGAGAAGCCTTGGATGGAGAGCGCGAGAGAGAACGCCTGATTTGTTTGATGGACGGGAAGCCGTCGACGCGGTATGAGTGCGGGTGGGTTGGTGAGTGGAGGTGCAACGTTCCGCCGACCTCGCGGTGTGGGGAGTAGGCGAAGTCCATGCTTGCGGAAGAACTACGGTCGGTCGCGACGGTACCACTGATACGCGTCGCGTGTCTTCGCGATGACGACAACTCGGCGGCGCGACGAAGGCGTCGAACTCCTAACAAAGCGCTGGGGAGCGCGATTCCTGGCGTGAAGTCGCAAATTCGGTGGCGGGCGGCGGCTGCGATGGATGTCGCATATGAGTGTGTCCAGGAGGCGGCGGTGCAATCGCGATGGCAGGCAGTTAAGGCGAGTGCCGCGCGCTTGCGGATCTGCGGATAGGAATGTAGGTGGTGTTTACGTTCAACAGAGTCGATCCTGGATGCGCAGTAGTCGAATTCCTTCCCCTTCACTCGAACCTGGCTACACCGCCCGTCTCAGCGCCATCCAACGCTCAACGTGCGCGGGCCGGGGTACGCGGGCGGAAGCGTGTCAATCAGGCGGGGAGGGGGTCCTCAGCTGGGGGCGAGGCGTGTTTTTGGCGGCGACTCGAGGATGGTGACGTGCGGAGCGCGTGGAATGCGGTGCGACCGAGTAAACAATAGGCGCGTCACAGCGTGCGACCGCGGCGAGCAGCGGGCGCGTCGGGGGCGATGGAGGGGCCTCGGACAAAGAATGCGGGCAGGGCGAGGTGGAGCGGTCGTCCGGGCGGGTGCGCCAGAGCTGGGTGCGCGCGCGCAGCGGTGGTGGTGGTGGTGGCCGTCAAGCGCTCGATCGCTAGGGTGAGAGAGAGGCGGGAGTGCGGCGGGCCCAGCGCGCGTCTTTGGATCGCGTCGTTTGCTGGCAAGCGTCCTCGCTTCCGGATCCCTGACCGACAGCCACCCACCCCCTGACTCCTCGTGATCCGTGATCCGCTAGTGCACAGGGCGCGTTGCTCTCCGCCGTGGCCGTGAACAGCGACGCACCGTGCGGGAAGTGCGTCTGGCGATGCGACACGGCGACTCCTGAGGTGCAGCCTGCGTCGAGCGATTGCGCAGGAGCTGCGGGCGAGCGCCGGCGCCAACTGCCCACGCAGCCTTGTGCGCTCGCCCTTGCCACCGGCCGGCTTCGTGCTTTGTTTGTTTACCATCGCGCCCTTCCTCTTTGGGCAGATCTGCCTCCGGCTTCCCCAGCGCATTGCCCACTCCCCCCCTTCGTCATCATTCATCGCCGGCCGGGATGCCCCTCTACCGCACGCCGGGGCATGCGTTGCGCACCCGCAATTTACGACGCGATGCATATCGCACGCAATAGGCTGCCGTCCGCCGGCACCTGAGGGCGCCATAGCCGTCGGGCGGCTCGCAGTCTCCAGCCCAGGCCGAGGTCGCCGCCGCCGCCGCACGCGCAGCATCCAGCCCATGCAGCTCAGCTTGCACAATAGACCATGTGCTAGGGCCAGGACCCCGCCCGTGCTGCGAGCACTTGCATTCTTGCCATGCGCAAGCCGGCTGACAAGGGCATTATCCCCTCCTTCACAATGCAGTTTTTGCATTGCGATGTCTGCATGGCCCAATTGGCTCGGCCCGTGCCCGCTACGGCGCGCGTCTGATGGTCCCACCATTCTTGGGAGTTTGGCATCAGACGTCGAGGCGGGACGCCCCTTGAGGACGTTGGGCTGCGTTGGCGGCGGAATCACGAGCAGGGAACCCATTGCGGCACGTAGGCTCTCGGCGGCCCTGCATGCTCGGTGCCACGTTCGTCAGATAGGCGCAGCCAATCCCGCTGCTGTGCGACGGCCCGGGAGAGAGGCGGCCTCGTCGCCCTGGCCGGCACAGCAGTGGTAAACAAGCGGGGCTGAGCAGGCGGTTGGCAATGCGTTGGCAGACGTGGGGATGCTCCCAAGTCGGCGCAGACTACACGCAATACACAGTACGCCGCATGGCTACCTATCTGTTCCAACGGTTCACGCACCGATGCATCATCATCCTCTCCAACGATCGGTCGTTGCGAGCGCTCTTCGGCACAGTCTGGAAGTCATACGGAGCGCCGCCGAGGCCTACTACACAGTACGCACTAAGGGCTCGTTGCGGTTGGCAACGCAGTGCAGCAGACCACATGAACAGCTACGCTGAGGGTTACGCGGTGGCGCAGGGCCAGCCACAAGTTGGAGGTGGCGGGTAGGTTCGGGAGGCCTGTAGGGCAGCATGATCAACAGGCTGCAGCCAACCACGGGCCGCGTGCCTGCGTCAGGGCGGCAAGCAGCAGTCGAATGGGCAGGAACAATGGGACTCCAGGGACCCCGCTGTCTTTGGGTTCTTGCCACGCACCGACAAATCAAGTCGCCTGCCTTCTAGCGTCCTACGTAGTAGTAGTTGCTGTGGCAAGCGATCTTCGGCGCCAGTAGCCCTACCGGACAATTGGCGGCGATAATCTTTGTCGTGGCAGCGCGCTGGCTCGACCTCAGGGCCTCCTCCAGGCTCGCGCGTCCGAACCAACACAGCTGTGCCCGGCGGGACTTCTGGAGGGCCAAGGCGCCTTGCCGCGCCCGAACGCCGAACGCTGAAGGCCGAACGCTGAAGGCCGAACGCTGAAGGCCGAACGCTGAAGACCGGCCGCCGGCCGCCGGCCGCGTGGTGGCTGGGATCCCAGCGTCGCACCATGGCGGCGGCACAAATACCCAGGTAGCGATGCACTTTCACGGCAAACAACAACGCGCCCTTCCCCGCAGGTGAGCTGCGACGATGCCAGGATCCGGATGCGGCTCGCGCATGGCGCTATGCCGGACTGAGGCGCAACGGCAGCTCGGCCTGCGCCGCGGACGGGCAGCGCATCCCAGAAAGGTGTCGAGTCGAAGATAGCAGCCATCAGACACGGGGCATTGGTCGAGAAGAGCCCGACGTTGCGTGCCGCAGCCCGCTCCGCATCACACTATACATACGACAGGAGCCTTTTTTTTTCTTCTCGACGATCGATGACCGGATGACGAGGTCGGAACGGCTTGTTTTGACTCTGCCCAAAGGGGATGTTGTGATGTTCGCCACGGACCCACCGCAGTCGCACGTCAATCCAGCGCCGCGAACCGTTCCACGCCGCACTCGCAGCCCCGGGAGACATGCGACTGACCGCCAGTCTGCACATGCTCGGCTGGTGCGCACGGATTTCACATGATGCTGTTCCTGAGGCTGCAAGACGGCGCCTGCCGGATGGGTTGCGAGGCTGGGGATCACAGGATCATCATCCTTGGTGGCCCGTCGGCACCACAGATGTGCGGAGGCACGAGGCGAAAAGCCGACGGGGCTCGAGGCGGCTGCCGCCCAGGGAGATCACCAGTCCACCAGTCCACCAGTCTACCTATGTACCAGCCCAGCCCAAACGGGCGCCAGGCCTGCCGTGCATTCGAGGCCGGCGGTGGAGCTTCTCACTCACCGCCAGCGCCGGGCTGTCACTAGGCCGGCTCGCCTCAATGCTCTGTCGTCAGCTGCGCTCGTCACTGCAGCCTCGGCCTGCCTAGTCGATTCTGCAACACAAAAGGCGCCTCCAGCAAGCACGATAACCGACTTCTGGCGGCTCATCTCCGGCCACGCTCCCCTGCGCGTTTCTGGCCCAACCAATCTCGGCAGTGCAGGGATTCTTGATGGAAAGCAAGAGGCTAATAATACGATTCTCTCAACATCCGTGTCACTGTCAAATTCCTTTGCCGCCAGCTCACATCATCACCAGCTACCCCGCTTCCGGCCGTCGCGTCTCCCGCCAATCAGTACTTCGGCTTGAACGGCATCGTCGACAGTTGCTGCCCGGCGTTGCCCTGGATGCCGAACAGTCTGTAAATCCAGTTCATGATGATGAAGAACGACTCTGGCTCGCCCATGTGCTTTATGCCGGGAACGAATCTGTCACGGGTAGTATCAGCACATGGCTGTGTGAGCTGCACCTCGGAATACGCACCTGGCTTCCTTGGGAGGACCATGCTGGAGAGCGACGTAGTAGTCGTCTATCGGGAAGATCTCATCGTGCGTGCCCTGTCCAGGTGTCAGCCGACAAAATTTGCAACGGAGCTCAGCAGGCCCATCTTACGTTGACCAGCAACAGGCGAGTACAGTCGGGCTTGTCCAACGTTCCATCGTTCAAAAGCGAGTACTTGTGAGCTTCTTGCTTGAACTTTTCCACATCATCACCGTAGCCAAACTTGTAGGCCAACGAGTTGGCCTCGCTGGTGGTCGTTAGCTCACGTACTTCTTTTTCCTTCCTTCGATCTTCTCTTTGGTGGAGACAAACTTACTCAAAAGGGTATTCGAGATGGTTCACTTCGTCCAGCCACTCCTTGTCGAACATGTGATGACAGCCGCCGCCCAGCGAAACGATGCCCGCCACGCGGTGAGGATGAGTGTAGGCCAGCCTGATGGCGTAGAAGCCGCCGGTGGAGAAGGCCCAGACGGCGACCCGGTCGTGGTCAACGGCCTCCTGCTCGTCGAGCCAGTCGAGCAAGCTGGACCACTGCCGGTCCGGGCCCTCTGGGTCCTCCTTGAGGACGGGCGAGTCGGCGGTCCCCGGGATCTCGACGACGACGGTGCCGACGCCCTGCTGGCGCCAGCCCTCCATCCACACGGCCAGCTCGGTGCGGTAGCCGTCCAGGCCGGTGATGATGACGACGACGGGCGCGGGCTTCTCCTTGGACGCGCCGGCGGGCAGCATGTGGTACACGGGGATGTGGCTGCCCTCGCCCGCGACGGCGTGCCGGTGCGGGACCAGCACCTCCTGCACCGGGTGCTCGCGCAGCTGCAGGCCCTTCAGGCACACCTTCTTGCCTTGCTCCCACGCGTACCGCTGCTTCTCCGACCGCGGCGCCGGGAAGCGCGAGATGCGCCACACGGCCGACGAGCGCAGGTAGTACTCGCACGCCTTCTCGCGCTCGCCCGCGGCCTCGGCCTCCTCGGCGATGCGCGTCAGCTTCTCAGCCTGCGGCCTGAAGACGGCGGCATAGTCGTCCCAGTTGTAGGGCTCACGCATGTCCAGCTGGAGGAAGCGCCCCGGTCGTTAGCTAGCCCAATCCCAGGGTACCGGACGGCGGGATCCGGGGCAGGGGGCTCCGTGTTGGTGCTTGCTTACCCGGGTCATCTCTTCGACTATGGGCTCAAAGTCCTTTGCGGTGCCGAACATGAACGGGTAGACGCCCATTTCGGCCTGGGTGTGGCACGCGCTGCGTTAGTCGAGGGGGGCGACAACCGTGGGACCGGGGGGTTCGACTGACGGGCTTCTTCCACTTCGTCTCCCATAGTTTTGCGAATGATTCATGATGTGCGGCCGGGGTCTTCAGCTCGTCCTGGATGAAGTACTTCCCGCGTGCGGCCATGTTTTCGTCTGCTTTGGTTGGTTTGGATAACTGCCAGCGACGGTTCTGGTACGAAGGGTTGAACGAAACACGTGGTGGCTTGTCTTGATATGGCCACGAGAAAGGGACTAGGCTAACAAGGAGTGCGAAAGATGGCAGATTCGAATGGCGTCCGTCAGCCATGCTTATATGCAGGCGGGGGGGGACAGCTCGCGCTTCGGCATCCTCAGTATACACCGAGACGGCCGAATGAGAATAGAACTGCCCGTCTCGCACCTCGGCGCTCGGCTGAAAGTAGACATTGCAGGCATGGGAGGTTTGTCGGAGACGTCGGGGAACGGAGGATTGAGGCTGTTGTGGTGCGGAAAGTGGTTCGGCTCGCCCGCGGTTACGTCAAGCAGGGTCCCGGGAGGGGAGCCGGCCCCCGCATATCCGCCATGGCACTATGACTACAAGGCTACCAGCCATCCTTACCAACCTGGCATACTATGTCCAACAAGCCCGCAGATAGCACCTGCAACCTGTCTGTCCCCACGTTGTTACGCCCCTTATACTGTGAGTCGAATGGATTGTGTTGGCAGCCCCACAGGGGCCAGGACCGTTGCAGCCAACGGGGGACAAACCAGCTGTTCGTCTCTCGTCATTTCACTTCCACAAATTCTCCTCGGACACTCCAAATACAATGACAAAAAACGTTGAAACCAACACTCCCAAACTGCCGTTCGCCCGTTTGACGCTACAGAAAGTGCAGATTTATCGTCCTAATTATCCACTTATACAGGTAGTAAGTATAGACGCGGTGAAACGGACCGTCCCGCATTAGCCCCGTCCACCCATGCCCTCGGGAATGCTGATCTATTAGATCGGGCAGGGAGAAAGCACCTAAAGTGAGGACCAACACAACGGCGTCAACGCAAAGCATTGCGCGCCAGCGCCCTGCAGATCATCAGCGTCCTTGCCTCCCCATAGACATTAAAGGTTAGATGAAAATCAGCAAACGGTTGATGACGCAGGTCAGCCACACAACTATATCAACGAACGAAATTGATCCGTAGACTGTATGAGTAGAAACAAGAGCAGACAGAGAGAGAACGAAGAAGAGTCTTATGGATCTTCGCAAGCGGAATCTGCCTTAGTCTAGCCACCAAACTTGGCAGCAAAGACGCTCCGTAATTCCCTGAAGATCGATCATCAAGGTACTCGCATTTGTTAGAGCATTCCACAGGGCGTCATTCATGGGGTGCAAATGAGTATCAGACCATGGCGATGCCGTGCCTGGAATATCTGATGGGATTGATCAATGCTTATCTATCCCTTCGGCGTGCCCATGGCAACGCATCCAATTCATTCCCCATGCAAAATGTGCACCTATTCCGAAGAGATTGAGAAGAGGACTGGGCTGCCATCCCTGGAGATCACGTGCTCCAAATTGTCGTCGCTCTTGTTGTCTTCCTCTAAGTGAATGGTCTCGAACTTCTCCAACATCTGTATGTCTTCCAGCTTCAGAGTGTGGAGATTGGGACAGCGAGCGCTCATAAGAACGTCGGGGTCCTCGCTATGCGCGAGGATGTTCTGTAGATGAAGTGTGGTCAAAGTAGACCACTTGATCGCCGGAGAGCTGAAGTTGTGGCCGCCGTAGCGGAGGTCGAGTAGGAGCGGGTTCGGTCCAACGGTTCCGATCCAAGAGAAGCGGAGAATCTCTAGGGAATGGGAGAAGCTGCCCAGGTAGTCATGAAGCGCCTTTGTGAAGTCCTTCTGGTTCGACTTGCTGTAGTATGGAAGAGGATTGTGGAGGTCGATGTGGAGGGTCCTAAGACGGCTCCAAAAAGCCTCGGCCATCCACGTGGTTTCCTTGAAGGCGGCTCCGCGCCAGCGAAAGTGCAGGAGACCGGTCGCGTTGATGGGGGACAGCGTGATATCACGCAATCCAGCCGGCAGGGTCACCTCCAGAGCGACGCGGATGGATTCAAGAAGAGCCTCGCCAGATCCGAATCTGTGCCAGTCTGGCTGGCCGGGCGCAGAGATTTTCAACGTGCATATCGAGCCTAGGATTGTGAAGAGCTGCATCCAGATTGACTTGTTCTCCGTGTCGAAAACCGGGACTCCAGCATAGACGAGAGGAGACACGGGATTGAGCATGTCTTCAAGGTCGATCACGAAGTGGGAGCAGAAGCGGGCGATGTTCTGCAGAGCCTTGAGCGAAAGCTGTTCGTCAAGTCGGTTGTAGAGTCGACGATTCAGGTGCAGGGTCGTAAAGGCCTTAGCAGAGAAGTCGAAGTCCTGTCCTTCGACCCAAGACTTTACAGCCTTGTTGACGAGGCGAAGGTTCAGAAGATCTTCTACGTCGAGGCTCTCGCGAATTTTGTCGCCCACAAACATGGGAGTCTTGGTGCAGGGCTCGTTAGGATCACTGGGTCCGGCCACAGGATCAGTAGAAGAGTGAAGCAATTTTGAGAGGTAGCTTTTATGAAGTACCGTGAGAGGCTGCTCGTTCTCGGGCTGTTGATCGGTGATGGGCATTTTGATGACGCTGCCCAGCGTACAAGCGGTGTCTTCAGACATTCTGAAGAGGATCAGGCCGTCCTTTCAAGCAGTGTGTGCGTGCGTTGGGGTCTGTGTCACAACCCGCATGTGAATTGTCGTGATTGGCGACGCGCAGGCGGACGGCAGCTTGCGAGTTGTGGCTGAGAGTCAAGCGACAGCGGGGCAAGCCGCGTCTTTGTTGTGGGGGCGCGTGTGGAGGGGACGCGGTGTTGTTTACATGGCGGATTGGATTATGGTCACCCTGCGGGATAGCTTCGGGGTATGCCGCAGCAACACCGCGCCCGCCAGCAGGCGGCAGCCTACAGACGTCGCCAAGCCCTAGATTTAGCCCTGAAATATGCTCCAGTCAAGCAGCGGGCTTCAACTGGCGGGCGGGCAAAATCGGCATGCCGATGCAGCGGGCGCAGAGCCGAAGGCGCGGGCCGAGACACTTCGCCATAGGACCATGGCCACGTGCAGCAGACGCGTCAAGAAAGACAGGCAGCACCTTCAGACACGCGTCGGCCGAGGCGTCGGTGCGAGGAAGCCTGGAAGCCTGGAAGCCCGCAGCAGTCGCGGAGTTCTTGCAAGTGTGAGTGCACCTGACATCCGTGGATGCACCCGGGCTCGCACGTCGGCCTGGATATTCTGATACAGAGCAGGCCATGTCGAGACCGGCAAGCACCTTGGAGTCCTCTGTGCGGTCCGTTGCATGGGGCCTGGACTCGGTGTGGTGTGGCAGTCTCGTGGTGCAGGGCCCGGCCAGGAAAGGCAACTGCCCGATTCGGCAGTGGTCGCTGGTTGCACACGTTGCGGGGAAGAGGTGCATCCGCAGACGTCCCAGCGCGACTTCCAGTGGCAGTGCAAAAGGACGGGGCCAAGCGTATCGCCTTCGGGGCTGTCGAGGGTGCGCTGGCCTGGCGCACGAGAGCAGTGCGGTGTCACGTGAGGATTGGACAAGGGATCAGCATGCGAATGTGGAAATGCATGGCATGAGGCTCCATGTTCTTCTCGGCTTCCGGCCTGGGATCATCCAATGCAGATCTACTGCACGCTCGACATGCAGCCACACGGCGTTGCACAGCACTCGACCGGGTAGTGCTAGGTGCAGGGCGGGCCCCGCGCGCCGTCGGCTTTGGCCGAACAACATCACCAACCGTGAACCCGCCACTATCAGCACCGGCCCGTCCAGGCAGCCGGCCAACGGGGGCGAGTGACGTTGGAGTGGAGCCTCGAGTGCAGCGCAGTGGACCTGCTAGTAGTAGTAGGTAGTCCACGGCCGCTCGCAGGAACCTTCTTCCGCAGCAAGACCCCCGCCGGCAGCAGGCGCGCGTCATAACCACTGCCCTCCTCTGCCCGCCGTCCACAAATTTCCTCCTCCATCCTTCGCCCACAAGCCACTACCGCCCAACACCACCCGCCTCTGTAAGTATCCTTCGCCCTGCCCCTCTCCGCGCCCTCCGAGTCGTTCCGCCCCCTCCCGCCTGGCCAATGGCCGCCTCCAGCGCCCCCGCCTTGCGCCCAATGGCTGCGTGGGGCCAGCGGGGGTGACGGCAGCAGCTTCCAACCCTTCCAACCCGCCTGCACCCGCCCGTCGCCCATTCCTCTACATAAGCCCGTCGCTCTTGCCCTCCCGACAGCCCCGTTGCTCGCTCCTGCTGCGACTTCGCTTGTCGCGGACGCTGTTCGGCGAGTTGTGCCCGCTCAGCTGAGCTCACGCCTACATCGCAAACTCTTTGATCACGCAGACCTTCCGCTGACCTCCACTATTTAAAGCCTTGCCTCCCGCGTCCACACAACCGCTTCACCTCGGACCCGAGACCGGAGCGCAGAAGCTGACCCCTCTGCGCCGTTCCCGCCAACCTATACCCCGCACCTCATCCTACCCACCCCGATAACACCAATCCGCCACAATGGTCGGTCTTGGTCCCAGGAAGCCGCCGTCCCGTAAGGGTTCCATGGCCGATGTGCCCAAGGATCTCCTTCAGACCATCCAGCGCTTGGAGGAGCAGTTCACTGTTGGCCAGGACAAGCTCAAGGAGATCACCAACCACTTCGTCAAGGAGCTTGAGAAGGGCCTGTCCAAGGAGGGCGGCAGTATTCCCATGATCCCCACCTGGGTCATGAACTTCCCCGACGGCAACGAGACTGGCACCTACCTCGCTCTGGACATGGGCGGCACCAACCTGCGTGTTTGCGAGGTCAGCCTGTCCGAGGAGAAGGGAGAGTTCGACATCATCCAGTCCAAGTACAGGATGCCCCAGGAGCTGAAGACCGGCTCCGCTGAGGAGCTGTGGGAGTACATTGCCGACTGCTTGCAGCAGTTCGTCGAGTACCACCACGAGGGCGAGGACATCAAGTCGCTTCCTCTTGGTTTCACCTTCTCCTACCCCGCTAGCCAGGACTACATCGACCACGGTGTCCTGCAGCGCTGGACCAAGGGCTTCGACATTGACGGTGTCGAGGGCAAGGATGTCGTTCCGCCTTTCGCCGCTGCACTCAAGGAGAGGGTTGGTCTGCTCTGCCATGGTTCAGAAAAGCAAAGCTGACAGTGCAATTCTAGGGCGTCCCCATCAACGTTACTGCGCTTGTCAACGATACCACCGGCACTCTCATCGCCTCTGCTTACACTGATCCCCGCATGAAGATTGGCTGCATTTTCGGCACTGGCTGCAACGCCGCGTACATGGAGGACTGCGGCTCCATTCCTAAGCTTGACCATCTGAACCTGAACCCCAAGGACCTCATGGGAATCAACTGCGAGTGGGGTGCTTTCGACAACGAGCACGCCGTCCTGCCCCGTACCAAGTACGACATCATCATCGACAAGGAATCTCCTCGTCCCGGCCAGCAGTCGTTTGAGAAGATGATTGCTGGTCTGTACTTGGGCGAGGTCTTCCGTTTGGTCGTTCTCGACCTGCACGATGATCCTCACTGCCACATGTTTGAGGGCCAGGACGTCAGCAAGCTAAAGAAGCCCTACACCATGGACTCTTCGTTCCTGGCTACCATTGAGGAGTAAGTCGTCGTCCCTGTCTCTTGTGCATCAGGAAAGCCGCCATGTTAACATTGAAACAGGGATCCTTGGGAGAACTTGCAGGAGACTGCCGACCTGTTCCAGAACACGCTGGGCCTTGTTCTCAACAAGCCCGAGCTCGAGCTTTGCCGTCGCCTGGCCGAGTTGATTGGCACCCGTGCCGCCCGTCTCTCTGCCTGCGGTGTCGCTGCCATCTGCAAGAAGAAGGGCTGGACCGAGTGCCACGTCGGTGCTGATGGCTCCGTGTTCAACAAGTACCCACACTTCAAGGCCCGTGGCGCCCAGGCCCTGCGCGAGGTCTTCGACTGGCCCAAGGGCAAGCGCGACCCCATCGAAATTGTCCCCGCCGAAGACGGTTCCGGTGTCGGTGCTGCGCTCATCGCTGCGCTCACTCTCAAGCGTGTCCAAGAGGGCAACAACGCCGGCATTCGCGACCCCAAGGCCATGCTCGAGAGCATCAAGCAGTAAACTCACGACTGTGGTTGATAAACACCATTATTATTCTTCACCTTTATGACTTCATGTTTTTACAGGCGCCGCACAGCAGGCAGAAAACCCTCACGTCGATGTGAGGAATAAAATGATGGGGCGACCTCTCCAGCACTTGGAGCCGAGACAATTGGCGCTGTGTCATGAGATTCGGATGATTGTTTTAGACATGGGAATAGACTTTTTTACGATGAGAATTTCATACTTCTTTGCTCCCCTCTGGTGACGTGTCAATGCTGCAGGCCAAGATTAGGACTGCCTATCTTGAATTCCCTTGAGCCAAAATCAATTAGTATGTTGTTTATGTTTATCCAAGCGTGCCTCGCAGTGGTAGGCATATTTCTTGTTCAAAGAGGATGAAGTAGCGGCGCAGAACGTGCCAGTGCATTTGGTTGCGATATGACTGCAAGTCCCATTCCCGAGCTCAAAGGCATGAGAACGGTAACGGCGAGTTACCTCTCAAACGCTGTTAGCGACGACACGTACTGTAGTGCACTGTACAAATTTTGTCAGTTGTGAAAGAAGAAAGCCATTCAGTCAGAGTCCTGAGATTAAAGCCGTTCAAAGAGTAAAAGGTTCCTACATGGAAGACAGGTCGAGAAGCAAGACCACATCATTTCTCAACGAAGCAGGCGCCAGAAGTATATTGCTGTTGGACATATGATATTTTTCTTCGCTTTCCATTTTGGGTATCAGAATTAGGGAAAATGGATTACCAGCCACAACCACCTTCGTCCCCCCTCTACTCGCCGACCACCCCAACTTTATCCTCCTCTCCTTTTCCCCTTCTCACGCAATCCAACCAGCCCTCCGTAGACCGGAAGCGATTTGTTGTTTATATCCACAACCACGATGACCACCACCACCGTAGCCGTGATCCAAAATTGAAAGATCCCCCAAAAAAGAAACGCCCCTTTACCAGCCCAGACCAACCTGCAACCCCAAAGCCAAGGAGAATATCAACCAGATACCAAGCAAGCCATCTGTTCCCGCCCCCGTTCCTTTCTCTCGCGCTGCTATTGTTGCTTGGCTATCCTCCAAATAGACGAGAAACCAAGCATCCATTTCAATCATGAGACACCACTCACTTTGCTGCCACCACCACTGATACGGAAGCAAAAAGAAGAGAGAAAGAGAAAGAGAGGGGAAAAAAAAAGAAAAGAACGCCCCTACGCATGCACCCCAGAAATGCCAGGAACCAATAAAAACAATAGAAGCAAGAGGGAGGAGGGGGAGAAAGCTCAGCGAAAACATGCACTTCGAGAGGGGAGGGGAGAAGAAAAGAAAAAGCATGTCAAGACAGGGGTGTTCGTGCGAGAGGTACTGTCTACGCAGAGAAAAAGATACATGCTGTGCCGCGCCGAGCCGTGGAAAAAACAAGTTCGAGGATTCGAAGGGACCCGAGGTTTGGAGGGGAGGGGGAATATTCATCCACAGAGCCGAAGTCGGAATGATGAAGCGCAGCAAATGTGCAGAGAAGAAAAAAAATAATAGTAGTAGTACAGGCGTGGGCTCCTGCGGGTTTCCCCATTTCGTTGCTCATTTCCTCTTCTTCCGTTAAACCTTTTTGTTTTTATTTTCGACGGTCGCGCGAAACTCCCGATTATTGACCTACGGCCAATATGTCATCGAGTACGGAATTGAGTGTTTCGCGATCCTTTGCCGATGCGCCCTGCCAACCCCAGTCGTCGTCAATCATCATCTCGTCCGGATCGTGAGGTACGCCGTTGGTGGTGGCGCCATTCACGCCGTTCGCGGCCGTTCCGTTGGTCAGGCGGGCAGCCACGGCGCTGTTCGTCGACGCGCGGTAGTCGTCGATGTCCATCCTTTCTGCATCGTAGCTCTCACCGTCATAATAACGGGCGTTCATGACACCGGCTGTGATGAGCGGAACCTGTCCGAGGTAGCTGTCGCCGAGCTCGACGGCAATGCGCAAATCGCCCATGTTGAGCGGTTTTCTGTTCTTGCCCTCCTCGACCTCGACGGGAAGCAGGCCAGCCGGGTTGCGCTGGACTTCGCCCTGCAGCCACCTCTCCTCCTCAAGCTGTAATTGCTTCTTGTACGATGCCGTCTTGATGTAGTCGTCGCCATTGCTGCGCACGCGGCCGAGAATGTTCGAGAGCACTTCCTTGATGAACGTCTCGGTCGCGATATTCATGAAAGAGGCTGCGTCTGCCGACGGCCCAGACGCGATGCCCTCTTCGTAGCATATGGGGGTCATGCGCGCGTCGATGGCAGCCGTATCCGGAAACTCGAACGTCTCGGTGCAGAGCGGTTGGGCGTAGCGCTTCCGAATCTCAAGGTCCCAATCTGCGCCAGTCAGCGTTTCTGTCGGCCCAACAGCAAGAGAGTGTGGATGTTGACGTACTGGTTTTGCTGAAGCCAGCAGCCGACGCGGTGCCGGGGTCTGGTAATGATATTTGCTTTGCGGCGTGGTACTCCTGCAGCTCCTTGGTGAAATAATCTGCCGGGTCCTGGTGAAGGGTCCGCGGATCTGGTCAGCGCACACAGCTCTCTCTCTCTCTCACGGCCTGCCAGGAGAGCGGCAACTCACATCGGGTATGGCCTTGAGGCGCTTCCTCTCGCGACCCTGCAGCTCTTTGACTTCGGTCTTGAGGCGCAGCTCGGCAGCATCGCCGCTGCTTGGCTTGCTCGTCGCGCTGGGCTTGTCGTTGGCGCTGACCCAGCTGGCGACGCCAGGCTCGGGCGGGTCGCGCGTGGTATTTGCATAGATGGCGGCGATGAGCTGGTTGTGCTGGTGCTCGCGGGCGGCGTCGACGGCGATGAACCAGTCTATGCGGCGGCCAAGCTCCTGCTGGTTGAGGCGGCCTGCGGTTGCGCGAGCAGACGTGTCAGCAGACGGGGATAACACAGCTCTCTCCTGCAACAGCAACTCACTCACCCAACACGAACAAAGAGATGGCTTCCTTGTATGCAGCCCAGTGCTCCCCGATCTGCGCCTTCAGGGCCGTGTACAGTGGTTCGATGTCTATGCGCGGGGCGCTCTGCTTGGGGTTGGAGCCGGGCTTGAGAGGCGTGAGCGCAGCGCCAGGCGCGGACGGGCCCGAGGCCGAGGATGAGGAGGCGCCATTGAGGGCGGGCAGCGTCTTTGCGGACAGGGTCGGCGTCGACGACGGGTCCACGACCGACTCGGAGCGCGTCATGCTCGCCATGGCTGGGGCGGAGGGATGGGGGATGCGGATGCTCTACTGGACGCGGGGGGCGGCAGCGGCGCGGTGGTGTGGGCGGCGGCGCATCCACGCTGCAGGCTGCACGCTGAACGGTGGGCCTCAGTCCCTCGGGGGAGGGCGCGCGGGGGGTCTGGCAGCCAGCGCGGGTGACGGCAGGCGCAGATCCGATGGGTTCGCGGTGCAGTCGATGACGGCGCGTCGTGGAGCTGATGAAAGGGCACGCGTGCGGCGGCGGCGGGTTCGGAGGTGATGTCGAATTAAGCTGCGCTGCAGCTCCCTGCGCCTGTGCCGGTGCCTGCGCCTGCGCCTGCGCCTGCGCCTGCGCCTGCGCCTGCGCCTGCACCCAAGCCCAGCCCAGCCCAGAGCAGATGCCACCAGCTAGCTCTGCACTCCCCGCCCCGCCGCCCCTTCCGCTCCCGCCTCACCCGCTGCTATCCATGATTATCGCCAGGAAATCGCAATATATTTTTTTTTCTCTGCGTCGCGAGCTAACTGCACGACAAGGCTCGTTACCTACTACACCCTTAATCGTCTCCAAATCCACCTTCACCCAGCTCCACCCTGCCCACCGACCACACCTCACGCTCGTCCTCCATCTCATCGCTGCTCAGACCCAATCCGCCCTGTCCGCCCTCGGCCTCCTTCCTCTCCCTCGCCTGCGCCGCCAGCCTCGTCGCAACGCGCTTGAAGTAGTCCTGCATGCTCCGCTTCGGTCCCGGTCCCAGCGACGCTCCAGGGCCGGCCATGTATTTCTCAAACACGGCACTCTCTTCCGTCACCACGTCGAAGATGGCCAGGAATGCCGCCTCGGCCGCCAGCTTCACCGGGATGATCATGTCCCTGACGCACGCGAAGACGGGCTGCGCCAGGAGTGCGAGGTGCGGTCTCACGAGGTCGTTGTGGTGCCTGCTGACTGTGCGGATGACGACCAGCGACAGCCGCCGCGTGTCGACCGCGTTGCCCGGCGGAATCACCTGCGCCAGCGACTCGAAGATGAGCTTGGTCGAGTCGAACGACTTGTTGCTCGACTCGGTCAGCAGGTACTTGCCTGCTGCCAGCACGCAGTTGTCCGCCACCATGGCGTTGGCGTGAGTGATTCCGCTTGCGATGGTCGCCACCGTCTCCTCGCCGCGGCTCTCGGTGAGCGTCTCGGGCGAGTCGAGCAAGATCGAGTTGATCGCCAGCACCGACGACTTGTTGTACGAAGTCGTGAGCACCCGGTTCTTGATAAGACTGTCTGCCGTCTCGGCAGGCAGGTTCTTGATGAGCGCTCCCAGCAGCCGTGCGTTCTGGATCGACATGGCATCGTCCGCCTCGTCAATGTCTGCATCCATCAGGCCGAGGATCGAGTTGCGCGAAGCCTCGCTCATGTTGCCGCCCGCCTTGCTGACAACCTCGTAAAGCGCCTTGAGCATTGCCGTCCTGACCCCGTGGTCCGCCGTCTTCGACCCAGTGACGAGCTCGGCAATGAGAGGATCGATACGTGGCGTCAGCGTAATGAGTGTTCCCAGCGCCTTGGCAGCACGGATCCGGAGGATCTCGCTCGACGTGTCGGCCAGGGACTTTGCGAAAGTCCTCTGCAGCTGCGGCAGGAAAGGCTTGAGGAACGTCGGAATCTTCTCAAGCAAGTTGTTGAGCGTGTAAAGGATGGCAGCTAGATCTATGTGTTAAAAGTGGACTGAGTAGAAAACGGGACAGCGGACTCGAAACTTACCCTTGACCTCCACCGAACGCTCTGAAACAACACGAATCAGAGGACCGGTGATTTGCGTGACAGATGGGCGCAAAGACTCGGCACTCGTGCGATCGATGATATCCGAAATAGCAAGAGCTGCCTGGGTCCGCTGGTCGGCTGAACCGTTCATGAGACCTTGCAGGAAAATCGGCAAGATGGCGTTGATGCCCTTTGGCACGTTGAAACCAGGCAGGTTCGAGCCGGCCACGCCGACTTGCTGTAGAACCTGGCGAGTGGATATGACCAATGACTCCATCTCCTCCTTGCGCAGCCGGCCCGTCAGCGCGCTCAGCGCCGTCCAAGCCGCCTTGACGACCTCTGCATCGCTGTCGTCGAAGGACACGAGCAGTGCCCGGATGAGATCGGGGTAGTAGCGGGACATGTCGACCTCGGCGGCCTGGAAGAACTTGGCCAGGTGAAGGTCCGCCGCCCGACGCCTGTGGTGGTCATCGTGCTTAACAAGCGCTAGCATCACGCTCATGACGGTGGTGAGACCGTCGTACTCGTCGACCGACACCAGGACCGTGTCGAAAGAAGTGTCGAGCTCCTTCCGCAATTCCTCGTCCTTGGTACTGACAATGTTGTCCATAAGCGCATTGAGAATTTGCGGCAGCTTGCGAGCCATGGCCGAGCTGGCCACTTCTGCAAGAGAAGCAATAGCACGAGCATTGAAGGCAGATATAGGCGAGGCGATGAGCGTAGGCAGCAGGTTCGGGAGGATAATGTTGCTTCTCGTCTGCTCGGTAAGGAGGGTAAGGAGAGCGGACAAGGCGTTCTGAGCATTCTCGTCCGAACGGAGCAGGTTGAGCAGGAAGGGAAGGACCTGGTCGACTGCCTTCTTGCCAAGGATCTTTTGCAGAGCATCGAATGCCTCGGCAGCAGCTTCACGGACGTCGTCGTCAGAATCGACCAATGCCGTCCGCACCACCGAGATGAGCGTCTTCTCGTACTCCTCCAGAGCATCGGGCGCGGCAGACGCAATGAGCTCGCGCAGGGCAATGCAAATACCCTGCTTGGCGTCGGTGTCGGTGGAACTCTGGAGACCTTCCTCAAGCGTAGGCAAGAGCGTAGCAAGCACTCCTTCGCCAGCCTTGCGAATAAGCTCGCCAAGAGCGTTGCTGGCAATGACCTTTTGCTCCATGTTGGAGCTCGCAAGGCGGCGGATGACGAGCTGGGTGAGGGTAGGGATGAGCTCGCGAAGAGTGCGAGGAGAGGCAACCAGAGCCTTCCACACTTGAATGGCCGCCGTGCGGACGAGGCCAGAAGTGTCGCAACGGCAGATGTAGAGCGAAGAAAGGACTCTGTTGCGCCTCTCCTCGCCGAGCACTTCGAGTAGCGATTGGCCTGCCTCCCTGGCGCTTTCTTCGTCTTCATCCTGCTCGGTCTTGCTGCTGATACCCGTGAGGTTGAAGAGCAAGTCTCCAACAAGCTCGACGGAGCTGAGACGAATGCGGTAGCTGTCGTCCGCAAGACCCCGCTCGAGCTCAGGTAGCAGGAGATCGATGGCGCGCGTGGCAAAGTTCTTGACGAGAAGTCGACCAGCACGGAGAGCAGTCTCACGGATTGACTCAACATCGTCGGCAAGACCACCAAGAATCGGCGGAATAATCTTCTGGAGATAGTTCGAGAAACTGTTACCGAAGCATGCCGGCAGGAAGATGAACAGCGACATGAAGCCCTCGCGAACAGAGGGCTTGGAGCTAGTAACGTTCTGCAGGATGGACGGCAGAGTTTCCTCGAGACGGCTTGTACCGAGACCAGCAAGGACCTCACTGAGTGCTTGTGCGGATCCAAGCCGGTCACCAGCACCCGTGTCAGACTTAAGAGTGGCCATGAGGCTGGGGATGAGGTCAGGAAGGGCATCCTCGCCGAGCTTCTCAACAGTAGATCCAAGGGCCTTCGAGGCCGTGGCGCGGGTTGTGGGGACGGGGTCGACAATAGCCTCGCGCAGACCAGCGACTAGGATGGGCAGATGAGAGATGAGGTCCTTCCGCTCCGTCAGGTGAGCCAGACTGCCAATGATCTGGGAAGCCTTGCGCTTGGTGGCAGACCTGTCGCCCAGACCACGCTCAAGAATGCGGACCACAAGTGCGAGCGACGGTGCGTCGAGATAGTGTACGAAATTGACCTTGATGAGGGACTCGAGAGCCTCGTCCGTGTGCCTAGTGGGGTCGCTGAGAGCCTTGAGGAGAATGTCCACGACACTCTTGATCTCGGGATTGCTGATGACTTCTCCGAATCTTTGTAGAGACCGCTTTGCCGAAGCTCTGACCTCCTTGTGGGAATCGTTGAGGACGGTAGTCAGAGGTGGGATGATTTCAGGAAGACTGATGGCAAGTTGCTGCGGGTCCAAGTAGGCCATGGCACCCAAAGAGTCGCAAGCGCCCTTCTTGCTACGCCATTGTTGCTCATCCAACCCTTCAAGCAAAGTGGGGAGGATTTGCTTGACGCCATACGAGCTCAGATTAGCGAAACACGTCTTGGCTGCGTCCAGGCATGCCTCGCGGACATCTGCGCTGGTGTCACCAAACCCTGCTAGGAGTTGCGGCACGGTCTGGATGACGTAGGGCTCGAAGATACGGCCGAGAATGAGAGCAAGTAGCTCGTAGGCCAAGAAAGCTCCTTGTCTTGCGTTCTGATCCTTCTTGTTCTCGCCCGCGCCTCTGAGCGTGGACAAGATACGCTTCTCGTGAAGAAGGACGAGACCCTTGCCACGAACAATACCAGCCAGACCATATGCTGCACCTCTACGGGATGCATACTTCTTTGACTGAAGAAGCTCGTCCATGACGTGCTGGACATAATCGGAGACTTTGTCGTCCGAGGCCCGTACAAGCGGAGGGAGACATTCGGCAACTGCATACTGGACAGTTTCGGACGGGGTGCTGAGCGTCTGCAAAAGGCGCTGCACAACCTTGGGGACACGGTCGTCGCCAGAAGGAAGATGGCGAGCGAGGGCTCCGTAAAGGATGATGATGGCCTCGTTGACCAGGTCGGCGGCCTCATTTCCTTGGTCGGGTGCCTCGAGGGCACGCTCAAAGAGTTCCATGAGTTCCTCCACCTTCAGCTGCCCACGCTGCGAAATGATGGCCACCGCCGCCTCAACCATTTCATCGCGAACACCGGCGCTCTTGTCGCCAAGAGGGCCCTCTTGAATCATAAAGGACACAAAAGGCACCAAATCCTGCTCACGGAACTGGCTGGCAAGCTCGCGGAATGCCAAGGCAACACCGTTTCTCGCCTCCCAAGGATCAGTGAGATCTTTCTTGATCGGCATGCCGTACCTGTCACGTTCAGGTAGCCTTGGCTTAGCCATCTCCTTGTAGATATTTTGAAGTTGCTTGATGGTGCCTTCAAAGACGTCTGGTTTGATGGAGACACATTCAGAGAGGGAACGTGCTGCAGCCCTACGAAGCTGCTTGTCGGTAGCTTGAAGGTACGGAAGCATTTTGACGGCGGCATCTTCAGGAAGCTCGAGGCCGTTCGCTTCCCAGATGGATTTTGCAAGGTCGATGTTCTCTTGCACGTCGTCATGGCATGCAAGCCAGATGTCCTCCGAGAAGTCAATATCAATGATATCTACCTCCTCGTCGATTGCCTGAAGGACGGAAGTCCTGACAGAAACCTGTGGCACAATAGCACCCTTCGTGACAGCCAAGGTCTCCTCGGCATTCAGATCAGACCCGATTCCTCTGCAGAGGTCCATCAAACAGTCCTTGAGAACCTTGAAGTGCTGCGTGAACTTCTGCATGGACGAAATGAGAGTGGAGAAGAGCTTGCGGCGAGGAAGTGTTTTTTCGGAGCATGAGTTGGTGTGGAAAGAAATGAATTCCAGAGCAAGGACGATCTGCTCGTCGGCTTCTTCATCATTTGCTCTATCGATGGCACCATTTTCGAGCACCAGGAAAACCAAGGGGAGAATGTAGATGAGGGAGATGCTGTCAAGTGGACGCTGCTCGCTCAGGAATCTCGTGCGGTAAAGCAATCGGGTGACAAGGTCGCCAAGGGGCTCGTCAGCAAGTCCATCCGGGAGGAATGCCATGTTCATGGCCCGCAAAGTAGCAATGCCGAAGAACGGCTTGTGCACGCCTAGTCTGGGCGATATGCGTTCTGCACAAGCGATGTACGCAGAAGTAGCGGCATCGGCAATAACAAGGCCGGCACCAGCATCCATGGCTCGCAAAATTGAATCAATGGCCGGTCCAAGCCACAAGTTTGCCTCGGTGGGGGGGCCGGTTGCGAGCGCCTTGATCGTACCGACACCACGTTGGAGAGAGGCTTCAACGACAGCGACTTCTTGGCGGATCTTGGACTCTTTCTCTACCTGTGCCTTGACCTTGGCGTGCTCGTCTGGTGTCAGCTTCTTCTGTGTACCTTTCTTCGAGGCAATCTGGTCTCGTAACTCTTGCTCCCACTTCCATGTGTCGTAGTCTGCATCACCCTTGGAAGGAACCCGAGCCTGTTGCTTGGCAAGTACGTCGATGAATGGTGTGCCCTCTGGAGTGCGGAATATGGCTGCTTCAGTGGGACCAATGTTCTCGAGCTGCTTTGGATCGAGATCCTGTTTGATCTGTTCCACAAGCCGAGGGATCGCGACTTCGGGAGCGACGAAGGCAAGGTCTGCACAGGCAGAGTAAGCGCCTTGCCTCACAAGAGGAGTATGGATGGAAGAGGTTCCCTGTGTGGCAAAGTTAGTAAATTAGAGTCGAATGCCAATCACGGGCGACTCACCTTGGTCGCATTGATGATAGTCTCGACACAGCTGTCAAGTTCGCCCTTGACAAGCTCACCAGGATCAACACCAGTCTTCAGACAGGTATCGATCCAAGACACCCGAGGCAGAAGCTGGGGCCGAGCTAGCACGAGCAGACTAACCAGCTGCGAGCGCAGCGTTGCGTTGTCGATGGGAACCTCGAGGGCCTTCTGCTCCTCAGGTGTAAGACAAATCGCGCGCAAGGCAAGATAAAGCTCATTGTTGCCAGTCCTGGAGGAGGTGGCCGCGGTGTCCTTTTCGTTCAACTCCACGTTTCGGCGCCACTGCCAGAGACCATTGATGACGATGTGTGCAATGCGGGCGGGATAGCGAGCGTAGGCCTTGGAGAGTGAGCGTATCGCCTCTTGACGCACACTGGGGGCAATTCCGGCAGCTGAAGTGAAGTACAAAAAGGCTTGTGACCACGACTCTTCAATGGACGGGTCTTCCTTGCCTTCGGTGATTGTATCAGTAACAGATGCCAGCGCGCGAAGACCCCAAGCCAGGTCTTCTTCTGTAGTAAGCTTGGAGTACACCCTGTGGTTGAGCAAGAACGAGGGCTTGGGCTCCGCCATCATGACGTTCTTGACAATGGAAGCCTTCGTGAGCACAGCCTTGATCTTCTCGTCTTCAATCTTGTTCCACTTTGAAAGGCCAAAAGCAGTGGCAATGTAGGCGACTGTGACAAGACCACTTTGCACAGCAGGAATTGGGTTCTTGATTACCTCTTGCCACGAGTCGAAAAGCTTCTGAACGACAGCCTGGACAAAAGAAATAACACCTGCCTGCTTGGCCTGCTCCTCCTCAAGTGTCCAGAGCAGCTCCCCGATACGCAGCGCCCAGAGCCTTCGCACTGGCAATCGCTTGTCACCGAGACCCTTGACAAACGAATCGGTGACAGCGGACTCTGCTGAGCCGCCAGTAGTAAGAGCAAAAGCTAGGTGCTTGGAGATAGCACGAGTCTCGGCGCCAACAGCCACCTCGTTGGGTTCCTTGATAGCTACAGGGCCAAGACCAGCGGGGATCTTCTTAGCGAGGGCCTCGGAGCTCTTCAATGCGATGAGCATCTGTGCGTGAATGGTCTTCTGCTCTGCCACCGTCACCTTTCCTTGCTTCAGGGGGTTCAGAACCTCGTCGGCAATCTTGTCCAGAACCTGATCGTCGGCGGAGCGAGCGGCGGCTGCCTCGAATGTGGATAGGGCGCCGGCCCTGATGGTGGCATTCGTGGACTTGACGCTCGAGAGGAGAGGCTTGAGCAGGTTCTTCTGGAGCACCTCGGAGAGATCCAGGCCCTGCGGGAGGGATTGCAGCATGGGGGCCAGAAGCCCGTTGAGAACAACTTCTGGTGCCCTCAGCAGTGCTCTCTCAGCCGGCGGAATAATTTCCTTCTGTAAATCCTCCAGGGTGGTGAAGACGCTGAAGAAGTCATACAAGCCATTCGCAATGTGCTTGGGCAGCACCGTCTTTGAGCCAATAATTTCCCGCACATAGTATGCGTAGTAATCTTTTTTCTTCTCTTCCAGCACCGGCTTGGCAGCGTCTATCCTTGAGCAGACACCAGCGACAACGCCCAGGAAAACAGCGTTGCGTGCGGTGGGGGTGCTGGCCTTGGCGGCCAGTGCTGCCACGGACGACTGGATGGCATCCTTGCCAATGGACTCGTTCTTGAAGACACGGCGAAGCGCACGGCGAGTGACGACCAGCGCCGAGTGCTTCAGGCCGTCGCGACCATGGGAGCCCAGGCAGGCCTCCAGCAAGAGGGCGTCTGCGGCCACGACGTGGAGGCCATACTTGTTCCACAAGGCGTCGTTCGCGCCGAACTCCTGCAGCAGTATGGAGCACCATTCAACGAGGCTGAAGACATTGGCGGCAGCGACGCTGGATTTGGCGGACTCGGCGTGGAGGAATTTGGCAATGCCACCGACCAATTCCTCGGCGATTGGGCTCGCGGCGGCAGCGCGGAGGCACTGGTGCACGGCTTGACGCGAGGGGCGGTCAATGTAGAGGGGGTAGGTGTCGAACAGGATGAGCAGGAAGCCCTTGGCGTCGGCTGGAGCGATGGCTGCGGGGAGGTCAGCGGGGGCGGTGGAATTGGAGCTCGGCGGACGCACAGTGGTCGAGCAGCTGCTGCTCCACCAGCCGCAGCTTGGCGATGCGGCGCTTGGTTGAGCTGGACAGGATGTCTTTGCGCAGGGCCAACAGGTCAAGACCCTGCGCGCCGTCGGTCTTGACCTCCGCCATGGTGCAACGGTCGCGGGGAGTTGCAGCGCGGGGATTGCTGCGCGGGTGAGGAAGGTGGTGTCAGATTTACGCGGGTGCAGATCTTGAGGCTGTCGGGCGATGACATCGCTGCCGCTGCCGCTGCCGCTGCCGCTGCCGCCGCCGCCTCTGCACCCGACCCCGACCACCGTCTCTTCCACTCCAACGCCCTGCGACTCCTGCACCAGCATGGCGCCCAAGAAGAAGAAGAAGCCCGCCGCCAACCCCGCGCGCGCCGTCGCCACCACCTCCATCGCGAGCAAGCCCAAGGTCGACAAGAAGCTCGACTCCGCCGACGTCTCCGAGACGGGCAGCGCTGCCACGCCCGCCACCCCCGTTACGCCTGCCGATGCCGCTCCCTCTCCTGCCGGCGCCGCCCCTGCGCCCCGCGAGCTGCACCAGCTCAGCCCGGAGGAGCTCGAGCTGCAGCTGGAGCGCAACGAGCTGCAGTTCTTGGTGGAGAAGCATGCCCAGAAGGTCCGCAAGGAGTCCTCGCGCCACATCTCCCGGATCCAGACGGACCGCCGTGTCCTCCGCACCCAGGCCCAGTATCTGCCCACCCGTGAGTGGCTGCCGCAGGACCTCGCGGCCCAGATCCTGGATCTTATAAAGGATGAGATAAACGGAGACTTCTCCTCCCCGGAGCACAAGTTTTCTATCCGCAGTCTTTCCGAGGAAGACGCTGTGCTCCGCCTGTGGACCTTGAGCCAGACTCTGGTCGACATGGGCTTCTCGAAAGAGAGAGTCCGCCAGATGCTGCAACTTATTTGCCGGAACCCGCCACCTTTCGATACCAACACCCCCATCTGGGGCCTCCAGGAATGTCTGGATTGGTTTGCCGTTAATTGCTCCTCCGAGGAACTTCCGCCTTACGAAAGCCAGGCTCTGCCGCCGGCGATTGACACCAGTAGCTCTTCAAGGTCCAGTAAGTTCTACCATCTCTACTTTCGTCCCCCTTCACGCCACGGCCGCCTGTCACCGTCAGATCTTTGCGCATATCATTGGAGCAGCAGCTGGAGGCCACCTGTACCAGGAATACTAGACTTGGACCACTTGTACACGGGACTGTCGTTTCCGCGCGAGGTATCACTACATTGGCCATTGAGTAGACGTAGGCTCTAGTAGACTATGTCTGGTTCTTTCCCGTGACACTCCAACGCACAGATGGCCGGTTCCTGGATCCGTTGAAACGAACAATCCCCCAGGTTCTTGATCTTGTATTCCAGTCTTCCTAAGATTTCGTTCTGCACTTGTTGGGAAATTCGCGTATACCAGTCCACTGACCGTGGTCTGCTCAGATTCTCCAAAACGCTCAGGGACGCCTGCTTCTGATCGGGTCCCTGCATCCAAGCAAAATCCAGGCCCCCCTCAGCAAGAAGCTGATGACCCTGCTCCATCCGAAGGAGATTTCGAGGTCAGCGATCTTGACAGCGACATGGAGCCGGATCAGTTGCTTGAGACTTATATTAGCGCCAAGTCTCGCCTGTTCCAAGTTAATCCGGACCTTGTCGCTACAGCTAATTCTCGTTCAAAATCTACTAAGAAGCCTCGCGGCGTTCAAAAGCCGACCTCGCTGCCAAGAGGCGCTCTAAAGCTTCAGAACAAGATTCAGCAGATCGAATCAGACGCTTTATTTGACCAGCGAGAGGCTGATGAAAAGTGGGCATCGATACGCATAGAACTGGCTCGGGAAGCATCCGGTAAACCGAAACGCCCTAAGGAGACTAGAACTAAGGAACCGGACAGCTCAGCAGAGCCAGAATCCAACAACGCAAACGCCGCCGATGACATCATGCAACAGGCTGCTGCATTCGGTGATGTTCTAACACAAGACGCGGATGATGGCGATGGCCTCCTCGGAGGGATGTTTGCAGCTGAACCAGGAGACAACCAGCCCCTGGCGACCGGTGATTCTACTGGGGACTCTGTGTCAGCTACCATACGCGATTTTGGTAAATCCACGGGCATGAACCCACGTAGGATATTGGAAGAAGCCTGTCGCGCAAGGTTCGTCTTGTCTACCTGATCGCAAGTCCCACGTTAACAACATGCTCACTCACTTCACAGAGACTCCGGAGTACGTCTAACCTACAAGCACGTCTCACCCACCACGTACTCAAGCCGCCATTCCGTGACAATCACTTGGACAAAGGATCAAGAGTCTATTGATGCTTCAGCAATCCCTGATATTAATTGCGAGGTTGGACCACGGTCCACCACCTTTACTATGATTAAAGTGGCAACTCCAGGGACCCAACAGAGTGAGGCATACGTCTCTGTCGTTGCGCTCTTTTTAATTTTCTCGGTTTCTTCCAAAGAGGAAAAAGTTTACATGAGGCTTCCACCGGCTTGGAGGGATCTCTGGGCAGAGTTCTCCGAGGCGCAGAAGAACATTACTGATGAAAAGGATCGGGAGATGGTCAAGGATATTCGCGGTATCGTCCACGAAACGCTCGAAAGAGAGGACGAGGATGGTGTTGTCTTGATGAACGGCTTCAAGAAACGCGGCAAGGGTGTGGGAGATGGTAATGGGGAGTCGAATCTCCCAATACGCACCAACGAGATCTCTGAAGATGACTCGGAGCGCTTGAGAGAGATGTGGCGACGAAAAACATCAACGCCATCGTATCAGCGCATGCTCACCGCAAGGTCTCAACTGCCAATGACGCATTTCCGGGAGGCTGCAATGTCGGCCATTGAACGGAACCAAGTCGTCATTCTCTGCGGTGAAACCGGCTGTGGCAAGAGTACTCAGCTGCCCGCGTTTCTCCTCGAACATGAGCTATCCAACGGCCGTCCCTGCAAAATTTACTGCACCGAACCTCGCCGTATCTCTGCCATTTCTCTGGCGCAGCGTGTTAGTGAAGAATTGGGCGAGAACAAAAGTGACGTTGGTACTTCCCGATCTCTGGTTGGATATGCTATTCGTTTGGAGTCCCATACGGCAGCGTCAACACGTTTGGTCTATGCCACCGTCGGTATCGTTTTGCGTATGCTTGAATCTTCTAAAGGGTTGAACGACATCACGCATCTAGTAATAGACGAGGTCCACGAGCGGAGGTAAGTTTCATGGTTCGACTGCAGAGACGTCGAAGCTAATTGAGCATAGCATCGATACGGATTTTTTGCTCATTGTTCTTCGGGCTCTGATGGTCCGTCGCCCTGAGTTGAAAGTGGTTCTCATGAGTGCCACCGTCGACGCAGATCGCTTCTCGAAGTACTTGGATGGTGCTCCCATCGTAACTGTTCCAGGCCGCACTTTCCCTGTCCAGACAAAGTTCCTGGAAGACGCCATTGAGCTGACGCACTACGACGTCAAAACCCAGAAGACATCCTATGCTGACCAAGAGGCCGCTGAGGACGATGATGACAGCGCTGAAAACAACAAGTCCGGGACTGGGGGGAATCTCCAGGGCTACAGTCCCGCAACTCGGAATGCCCTCAAAGAATACGACGAGTACAGAATCGACTATGAGCTCATCATCCGCTTGCTCGAGAGGGTGGCGTACGATCCTGGCTACACCCAGTTCAGCAAAGCGATCTTGGTGTTCCTGCCCGGTATTGCGGAGATCAGGCAACTGAATGACATGCTTGTCGGTCACGAGTCGTTTGCCCAGAATTGGCTCGTGTACCCGTTGCATTCCACAATCGCGAGCGAGGACCAGCAGGCAGCTTTCCTGGTCCCACCGCCCGGCGTGCGCAAGATTGTGCTCGCCACCAACATTGCGGAAACTGGTATCACAATTCCGGACATCACCTGCGTGGTGGACACCGGTAAACACAAGGAGATGAGGTTCGACGAGAGGAGACAGTTGTCCCGTTTGATCCAGTCATTCATCGCGCGCGCCAATGCTAAGCAGCGGAGAGGAAGAGCTGGTCGTGTTCAAGAAGGCCTTTGCTTCCACCTATTCACAAAATATAGACACGATGAACTTATGGCCGAGCAGCAAACGCCAGAGATGCTCCGGTTATCGCTGCAGGATCTCGTCATGCGTGTCAAGATCTGCAAGCTTGGCGATATCGAGCCAACCCTGTCGCAGGCTTTGGATCCTCCGTCAACCAAGAATATCAGGAGGGCAATTGACGCCTTGATCGAAGTGGATGCTTTGACCGCAAGCGAGGAATTAACACCGTTGGGGAGGCAGCTGGCGAAGCTTCCTCTCGATGCCAATCTTGGAAAACTCGCGCTTCTTGCAAGCATATTTGGCTGCGCCGACGTGGCCATAACCATTGCCGCCATACTCTCCTCAAAGGACCCGTTCATAGCCCCCTTTGGCCAGCGACAGCGCGCAGACTTAGCCCGGCTGGCCTACAGGCGTGGCGACTCCGACCTTCTGACTGCGTACAACGCCTACTCGACGTGGCGCAAGGTATGCACGACGCCGGGGCAATCCGAATTCCAATTCTGCCAGAAGAACTTCCTCAGCCGGCAGAATCTGGCCAACATCGAGGACCTCAAGTCACAGCTCCTCAGCTCGCTCGCCGACGCCAACTTCGTCGCCCTCACGCCCGAGGAGCGCCAGGCCCTCAACCGCTACAGGCCCTCATCGCGCAGCCGCAGCTTCGTCCCCGTCCTCGCGTCCGCCAACGCCAACGCCCAGAACGACTTACTCATCTCCGCCGTCGTTGCCTGGTCCTTCTACCCCAAGCTGCTCACCCGCGACGGCAAGGGGTGGCGCAACGTCGCCAGCAACCAGTCCGTCTCACTCGCGCCGACGTCGGTCAACAAGCACCCGCCGCCGGGCACCTCGCTGCGCTACCTCTCCTACTACCACATCATGCAGTCGGGCGCCAGCAAGCTGTACAACGCGCACTCGACGTCGGTCGCGCACGACGTGCCGCTCGCCCTCTTCGCCGGCTCCGCAAGCGATGCCGACGCGCGCCTGCACGCGGGAGTCGTCGCCCTTGACGGCAACCGCCTGCGCTTCGCCGTCAGGGACTGGAAGACGTGCCTCGTCGTCAAGGTGCTGCGCCAGCGCGTGCGCGACGTCGTCAACGCCCTGCTGCGCAAGCCCGGTCCGCAGACGCTGAACAGGCGGCAGGCGAGGTGGCTGGAGCTGTTCTTGAAGGTCTTCGATCGCGAGGGCCGGGATAGGGATACCGGGAGCGCGGTCAGAAAGGCTTGATGTGTGTGATTGAAGAAGGACGAAGTGAGGTAGATCTAGAGAGTGTGGGGTGTTTGGGTGTTTGAGCTCGGGTTGGTTGTTGGAGGAGGAGGAGAAGTATCGTCGTAGAAGCTCTGAAGCAAAACACCCAACCCCTTTCCCTCTTTCTCTTGCTTCGGTTCCTTCTTGTGTACGTAGCAGATGAGGTATATAGCTCCCTGATGGTCCTGGTGCTTGTCGAAATTTCTTTGAAACTTACTTCAGTTCCATCCATCACTCTTGTATTTTGACGCGAGAACAAAACAAAAGGAACGGAACGAAGGAACGAAAAAGGATAATAGACATGAAACTTGCATTCCCTTCCTCTAATGACTCAAAAAAGGTGCGCCGGTAGCAAAGTTCCTCGCGCTCATCACTTACAGATTTTGAAATGGACAACAGAGCGTTTGAGCAAAGGGACGATGGAGATTTCAGATGCGAGGGAAATCCGCACATGGAGGAGGCCCAGGGGCCGGGAACATGGTCTCATGCGCGTGATCCACACCCTTGCTGCTGCCAGCCATGCCGCAAAGAGTGAATTGAATATGTTGACTAACGGTACTCAAGTGTTTTTTCCTCCTTTCTTTCGTCATCAACAAGATATATTCCTTTCTACTGAACGCCAGATCGTCGATGCTGAATCATCTGCAACCCCCCGCAACACAAAAGACACATTGCCTAACCGTGCCTCCTCCCAATACCTCCGCCCGTCGCAAGCTACGTTTCCCTTCATTTCTTCTTCTGCTGCTCGGCCGCTCTCATGGCCGCACGCGCGGCGCGACTGCCGCCCAGCTTCGGGCCCTTGGGTCGCTCGTCCGCAGCCTTGTTCTTGGCGCTGGCGCTGGCTGGCGGTCGGCGGTTGTGGCGCGTCTGGACGGCCTCCATGAAGTCGCGGCGGAACTGCTCGACGATGCGATCGTCGGCGGCGCCCTCTTCGGCGTCCTTCTTCTGCTGCTCTAGCTGTGCGCGGTCGTCGTACATCTCGACTGCGGGGTTGCGAAAAAAAAAAGCGGAAAGGTTAGCTATGAAAGTGAACCGTAGCTTTCCGTCTCTTTGAGTAACTGCGGGTAAGGGAGGGAGATTGAAAAACAAAAGGCAAATTGCAAGCAGAGAAATTAACTCACGTCGACTCTCCTTGAGGATTTCTTCCACCAACTTATCCCGTCTGATGTCCTCGCTTGTCCTCCTCTTCCTTCCTCTTCTGCCCTTGGGCTGCATCTCCAGTTCCAGCGATTCTCCACTCTCCAGCCGTCTTGTCGCTTCCTCTGTGCGCTCAATGTTCCTTCGCGCGGCCTCCGGGCCCAGGTCAATCTCCATTAGCTTGCCCATGCCCGCAGGTTGCCTTTGGCGCACTCCGTTGGAGGGAAAAGATGGTGTAGCCGACATCTCGGAGCTTTGCTGCTGCTGATGATGATGATTCATAGCGTCCGTGGCCGCCTGCTCAGCCGCTGCACGGCGCTCTCCCTCGCGCATCTCAGCCATCTTGGAATCTATATAAGCCATCCTTGAAACATTAGCAGCCAATCCAAACATCCGAGCAGCTATCTGTCTCTTTCTCTTTATTCTCTTCTCCGGATTCCTTGGGAGAGCATAGCAGGTAGGAGAACCACTCACATGTGCTTGTCCAACGATTCCGCTACCATGCCTGTCTGCGGCGCAAACTCCTTGGCAGCCAACACTTCAACTTGCTGCTGCTCCGGCGGCGCACCACTGACCGGCGGCGCAACCGCGGTAGCAGCAACCTCGGAGCTCCCATGAGATTTCCCACCGCCCGATGACGAGAACTCGACGCCCACTCCCCGCGTCTTCTGCTTGCGCGCACGGCGCAGGATCTCCGCGACGGACGGTTGTCCGCCTGCTTCGATGTTCGTCTGGGCGTCCGCGGCGGTCGGCAACAGAGTGGAAGGGTCAGAGGCGTCGAAGGTGGAGGGCGCAGAAGCAGAGACGGTGGCGGGGGTGGTGGTGGTGAGGGCGATGCGGTTGCCGGATGCATTCGGTGCTTGCGCTTGCGCATCGTTGATGTTGCCGTCGTCGTCTTCGTCGAGGCGCTTGCGATAGACTTTCTGGCGCTTGCGTGCACGGAAGCTGGCCTCAGCCATGATATCGGCGAGAGAAGACGGGCGAAGAGGAACGCAGAGGGACGAAGAGGAGCCGAGGATGGTGGTGGGCAGAACGGGGTGTCGGGGCGCGACTTGAGCGCGACACCCAGGGTTTGACGGGCGAAGGGTTTCCAGACGTGCCCGGAGTCGTGCAGCTCTGGCGAGGGCAGATGGCGAACAAATCAGGCGCTGAGGCGGGGGTGGTGGTTGGTTGGAGTGGAGCGGGACGTGGGCGGAGGTTCTGGCGAGCTGCAGGGAACGGCGGAACGATGTGACGCACGTCCGATAAAGCTGACCCACCGTCACGTGCAAGACCCGCCTCGGCAACATCACCCCTTGTCGTCTGGGGAAGAGGCTGGGATCACCGCCAGCACGCAAAGCAGGTTCCGCCGACATGAGAGGCCCGCTGTCCGCACTCAGACCACACTGCATTTTTGCACGCTATCTGCCTCAGCCTGCCGTCCTCTACCTCGCCCTTCATCCACCCATTCCGCCCGCTTTTCGCCTAGGCGCCGCGCTGTAATACAAAGTAGGGATCTTTGACCGGTGCTCCTTCTCCACTGATCCGCCCTGCTATCTTTCCGCCCGAAACGCTCGGAACCTTCCGTCAAGAATGCTCAACTCTTTTTCCTACACGCCACTCCCCTCCGTCTGTTGAGCCAAACGAGGAAATCACTGGTCTTACCAATCATGCCAATTTGTTGAAAAGGCCCGCCCATGCTGCAGAGTCATGGAGCGTAGTGAAAGAAAGAAAAAAAAACCCCTCCCAGATGCAGAGATAGAAACGCCGGGTGCATGCATGTGACCGCGTCTGACGAGAAGAAAGCATCGCCGCGGGAGTGCAGTGCTCGCGCAGGGCTATAGACGCGCAGCAGTGCCCGAAGGGATCAACGACACGTGTCGCTACGGCGGGGATGCTGTCTCCAAACGTGTAAAGCCGCGTTGCGAAACCCACACGGAGAATATTGTTATACTGGGGAGAAGGCGGCAACAAATGGCCATGTGCCGTGTATGTGAGACCGGCGACTCTTCTGAGAGAAGCCGCTGGGTCGAAATTAGTGAAGGTTAAGGGGGAGGGGCAAGTAAGCGCAACCGAGCTGCCCTCCGGGCTGGTCGCAGTGTCTTGAGCCAGAGCCTATTCCCGGATATCTCATTCAATCGAAAGATGCGCGCCGTGTGCCGCAGCAAGCATGTCGCCAGCAAAGGTTGGCGCCACACGTGTGCGATCGGCCTGCTGGGAGCGCTCAGACACTTCCGTTGGTAACGCCGAGTCTGCGGCGAATAAGCTCCTGCAGGGCCAGAAGCTGCCGTCTTTCCTCCTCTCCGGGCGGCTCCATCGTCAGCGGTGCCTTTCCAGCCCCAGCCATGCTGTCGATGACTTCGTCGGGTGATTCGCCCTGATGCATTTCGTGTCAGTGCTGACGTCATCAAATTTGGGTTTGACACGGGGCCTCTTACATTCAGGCTGTAGATGAGCGTCTGCACCGCGTCGCCGCCGAGCTCGAGGTCGGATTCTCGGTTGGCGAACTGCACGAGGTTGACAGCCGCACGTCGGTCGGTAGGATCGGCGTTGCTGAACTTGCGGTCGTACGTTCGTGGCTGGATCGAGGGGAAGCTGGTTCGGGCGCGCTTGTTCTCGTTGTCCATGCGCATCCTAGAATGTCAGTGACCTACCGAAAGATGTGATGAGTGGTATAGAGAACTTACTGCTTGATCTTGGAGATGAAGTCGAGCTTGATGCCCTTGGACGGGAGGCGGTAGACGACACCGTCCTCGTCATCATTAGACTCAAACTCCTTCTCGCTGTCGCTACTGTCTTCAGCGACCTCGATGACGCCGTTGTTTCTGAAGCCGCGCCTCATGTTGACGTCGACGATGTTAGGGTCCTTGGGCTTGCGAATCCGGAAGATCCGTTTGCTGCCTAGAGCACTGGACACGGTTGGCTCAATAGCGCGAAGGTCCCGGTCGGTGTGGCGGGGACACTTCCAGACATTGCGGTGCCTGCTATTAAAAGGAATGGGAGGAGGATTGGCCATGGGCGGGTCAAGGCAGTCCAAATGCCAGTTAGCACTGCAGACATCGCACTGGATGATCTGCTGCTTGTTAAGCGATGACTTGCCGCACTGCACGCAAAGGATGGCGTTGCCCTTTGTGTCGAGAAGCCTGGTGTTGTCGGGCACTTCGTCCCAGCCGCCACGGCCCTTGTTGCTGCCTGATGTTAGCAGCTGCTCCACAATGGCGAGCAGACGCAACGACAACTCACAGAGGCTTCGTCGCTTGCACCTCCTCGTATGCGCCCTCCTTGTCGGCACGCACGCCCTCGAAATGATCTTGGACGCGCCTGGGAAGAGCGAAGACGGTGGGGTTGCGCTTGTTGATGGTGGCCATCAAAGGACCGAACATGCTGAACGGGACCGACTCTCTTAATGCGCTGTTGCTTTTCGCCGCGCAGAGGTGGCAAAGCCACTTTTCGTCCGGCGTGTCGTTGAGCGGCGGGTCGCAACAAGTGAGGTGGAAGGCCTTGTCGCAACCATCGCAGCAGAGAAGCAGGCCGGAGAAGCCACATGCAGAACAAAAGTCATCATTTTCGGAACGCTGGAACTCGGTCAGAGGCGGCGAAGGGGGCAAGCGCGATGAAATGGAAACGTGCAATGGAGTAGGCTTGTGGAAATGCATCGTGACTGATGGGGGGCGAGGGTGTGGTGGTTGGCGGTGGAAAGAGCTCGAAGAGGTAAAGGGTGCGAGGGCTAGTGGGAGGGTTGGCGGAGATTTGGTCACTTACCGCGTCGTTGTCATCGTAGCCGATCGGGGATTCCATTCCGCCACTCGCACGAGCTACGCCCGCGACACCACCCGTCCTATTCTTGATCGGCCTAAGATGCAAACCGGGGCGTTAGCGATGCTCTTCAGCTGCTCGTGCGGGCATTTGGCATTCTTCACATCCCCCCATGCCCCAGCAGCCCCAAGTGGCTCGACGGCGGAGTGAAACAAACAGGAGCCAAGAAACACGTGTAGGTGAAGCTGCGGGAAGCGCCAAGGCATGCCTGTCACCCCAGGCACCAAGGCTTGCGTGAGCAGAACTTACGAGTGCTTTGTGCGAGCCGACGTCTTCTGCCTCTTTGATGGCCGCTCGTTGCCATCTGCGTTGAGGTTAGGCGTGGTAGCACGCGTGGCCGGTCCGGATCCATGCGGCGGGCCCCCGTCTGAGAGGGGTGACGCGGCGCTGCTGCTTGCTTGAAGGGCCGACTTCTTGAGGAGACCGTTGGTGAGCTTGAGCTTCTGCTTCCTGGGCGGAGGCAGGACCGGAGAGTCGTTGAAAGCAGGGATCTCCGTCGCTGCGAGTTCACGTCTTATGCTGCTGACGGGAATGATTTTGTTGAAGCTCGTGAGGTCCTTCAGCCCCTCGCTATATTTGCGGCGCTTTGCCTGCAACTCCTCGTCTTCGGACTCGGTCAAGCCGGCATCGTCGGGAGAGCGCTTGTTGCTGGCACCGCCACCCGCCTTCTTGGGAAGCGGCTTCTTCGTCCTGATGTTCAACTTGCTGGCACCGTTCGTAGAAGGCCCAGCCGTTGACGGCCTGCTAATGGCAGCGTCTTCCAACACATCGGGAGGCGGGCCTGCCGCAATGCTCTCGTCGACCGAGCTTAGAGAGGAGATGGAGGATACGCTGGCGCGCCTCGAACGAGGGGAGTGCACGGCGGAAGAGGCCAGGCCGTTGGCGCTGGCTCCCATTTCGGCCGCAGTAGGTTCCTTCGGAGGAGTGTCAGCACGCTCGGAGGATAGTTCCTCGGGGGCTGGAGATTGGATTGCGGAAGAAGGGTGGATGGTGGTCGACTTTGCTGGGGATGAGGGCGAGGGCGATTGCGCGGACTGCGAGGGCGTCAAAGCGAGGCCGTTGGCACCACGCGAGATGCGCGCGCGCTTGGGGCTTCTCTCGATACTCTCCTCCTCCTCCTGATCCTGTGGGGGCGCCTTTCTGGCGCGCTTGACGTAGCGGTCGAATTCGGCCTGCTTCTCCTGGGAGGGGGCCTTGCCGTTGTGCTTTGCAACATAGCTGAGAAGCTCAGCAAGACCCTTGTCTTTCTTGCTCTGTTGAGAGAGACGTCTTAGCACAGTGCCGATCTTTGTGTGGCCGGTACTCTCAACCTTCGCTAAAGCGCCACGGAGAGCCTTCTCGACGCCCATAGAAATCCCGTCGTTGGCCGTCTCCTCTTCGAGAGGCGACGGAGACCGATTGTCGGGAGTGCTCGGGGCTGCGGTTGGGCGGACCGAGCCCACTGGCGTCTCACTTTTCGAGCCACGCTTCGAGGCCCTGCCCTTCTTGTTCTTCTTCTTTTTGCTGGCCGGCGTGTAGTCGTCATCCTCCTCTTCATCCCGGTTGGGGGGTATTACGGGCAGGTAGTCCTGCGGATTCCTGTCCCGGTCCTCCGCCTGTTGTGTGCCGTCGACGTCGGGCGTGTCGCGCGAATCCTCGGGCCCAGACAGCTGGCCGTTCTTGCCCGCCACCGAGCGGCGCAGCCCATCAACCCTCGACCTTGCCCTGTCTTTTGCCGTGGGCCTCACGCCCAGAGGCTGCATGGTGGTGAGGACACCCTGCCTCTCGAAACCAACATCCTCGAAGCTGGGGACAGGAGTCCTCGGCGGCGGCTCAATCCAGCTGTCGAGCGACGACTGGCCCTTCTCTTTTGGCGGGGCGACTTGAGGCGCAGGCGAGTTGGTCGCATGGGAGCCGTCTGGGCTGGAGGCATTCGTCCGGGCGTTGGACCTGCGCGAAGGCCTTGACGGAGGCATGGTGCAAATCGGCTGCAAGAGCGCGATCCTGCTCGAGGGTTAGCATGGGCTCGCAAAATCAAGGGACAAGGGACCTACGACGCGTCTGCGAGCCGAATGGGGTGGTTGCGCGTGAGGGCGGCGCACGCGTTGTGTGCGGCGGCGGAGATGTCAAGACGAAGAGGACGGCTCGCGAAGGAAACCAAAGCGCGGCCGGAGGTCCCTCGGGCAGCTTGGGACTATTCCTCTGCGCCCCCCTTGTTGCGCCTCGCTGCCACGAAAACACAAGAAATAAAATGAGCAGAATCGGTTGGAGATATCGATGATGGAACAGAGCAAAGGGGCCACTCTCGCACTGGGCGAGCTTTTTTTTTTTTTCCTGGGGTGTTGGCGGCAGATGAAGTCGTGACGATGCAGGCGGCGCGGAGGTGCGAGCCTCCTGCCGCGAGAGCGTTTTGCTGGTCGTTACCGTCAGCCCGGGGCGCTGCAAACACAGCGGTCAGAGAGGCTTCTACGCGGGCGACGCGTATGGTGTGTATGTCAGGTTGGCGGGGTGGAAGGTGCTGGTGGTGAGGAAGGTTGGAAGGGTTGCGGCGGGCGGCAGGACAAAATATGGACCTGTCCACAATAGCATCCTGCCCACTATTGACTTCACTGCACCCTCTCACCTCCACACGGCCCGTGCCTCATTGTGTTTCCAAACTTTTTGCTATTGTTCACCGCTCGTTGGAGCTGCTAGTGCTACTCATAATGCTGCTCGTTGCCACTCCCGCGTCACGGAGCATGCACGCCGGCATGCCTCGAGAGGGCTTCCCTAAGGCATTGCCCAAGACAAAGTGGCGCCGCGCTTCCGCGGCCTCGTTTCACAGGCCATACCATAAAGTGACATACATAAGGGGCTGGTCTGCTGCTTACTCCTACTCCTCCGCCGAAGACTCGCCCTCCTCCTCCTCCTTGTTGTCCTTCTTAGCGGCCTTCTTCTTCTTCTTCTTGTTCTTGGGCTTAGCGCTCGCCGCCTTTCCAATGGGCTGCTCAAGGATCTTGAGGATCTCCTCGTCGGTGATCTTCTTATCCGACTTCAGCTTCTCGAGATCGGGGCTTTGGGGCGCCGCCAGACGGGTGATGCCGTTCTTGGTGATAGCTAAGGTCTTCGTCAGCGCCTCCGACTAAGTAGTGAGTGTCTCAACTGAACAATATAGAAGAATGGCAAAACATGGAAACAGCCTTCTGGTGAAAATCAAGATGGAGAGCAGTGCAGATGCGTCCACGGCGGCGTAACTAGGAATAGTTGCCTGGACCGGAAGTTTCCTTTTTGCGTTTGCCCGACCCATTATTATGGATGTTCCTGTATACGCCTTTGGAGTGGGACTCCCAAGATGAGGGCCCTCATCAAGTGTTACCGAGACATGCCGATCTCGTATAAAGCGGAGAAGCAATCCGGGCAGCGTTTACGTCGCAATGGCTGCAAAGGGGCAAACGGACGGATACTTTGGCTTCCTTTCTCACCCCGGTCTTCCGTTGCAATCCCCGACCAACAAACCCTGTCGAGGAATGCTGGTTGCTTCAAGTCTGACTCCATCGTGGAGCTTGGCTCCGGAGAGCTGTGGTCCGTGCAAGTTATTCGTTGAGGCAGGCACCAGAGGAAACGGCTTCCACGCAGGCCGTGCAACCGATATTTTTGGGGTGTTGTCGAATCATCTCGACAAGGATCCAAAGGTCAAAGCAGGTGCATCCCGGTGGTTCCACTCCTCTTTCCCTTTTTCCTCTCAGGAGCAGCCGACGGTGGTGTGCCATGAGCACAACTCCAATACTTCTCATCTGCAAAGGACATATGCGTAGAAAGACGGCGAGATGCAAGAAAATCATTGGACTTACCAATGGTGGACAGAACTCTGGCGACGGCCTCGTTATCCTTATCACCAACCACCTCGTACGCACGGACGACGCCGCCACGGACGCACTCAACGATACCCACCTTGCCAGCGCGCTCGTCCTCAAGCTGGCGCAAGCTGAAGGGAAAGTTGCCGAACTTCTTCACAATCTCGGACAGGGTGGCCCTGGAGCTGGGGCGCTTGAGACCGTAGGTGGTGTTGGTGCGACGGTGAAGGGTGGTGCGGTCGGGCAGGTTCTTGACCTTGCCGGAGCCCAAGCTGACACCGACTTCGACGCCCCAAACATCGCCAACCTCGGGGGTACCGTCGCCTCTGACACCCTCACCCGGAGCAAGGATGATCTTCTTGTCGCCCTCGATTTCTGACCGGCCGAAGACCCACGACGTGGTGCTCTCAACAAGATTGCAGTCGTAGCTCTTGACAACCTTCTCGAGCAACTGGGTCATCTGAGACTGGGTGTAGGGCTTCTGGGCCTGGGCCTTCTTCTTCTCTTCCTCCGTACCGGAAGCAAGGGTGCCGGGGGGCAGCATCAGCCTCAGAAGGAGCTCGTTCGCATAGTGGGTAGCAAGCAGGAGGTCGGCCTGGCGGCTGGGGATAACATCGTCCTTGTGCTCATGCGAGGGGATGATGATGGTGTCGCAGACAATGGTTCCCAGGTTGTCAATCTGAGCACCCAGCTGGATCTTGATGACGTCGCCAGGCTTCAGAGTGCGCTCGGCCTCCTCAGTGTCGGACTTGATCGGGGTGTAAGGCGTGACGTAGGACGAGGGCGAGACGGTGGTGGGGTGCGCAATGCCCTTGGGGATCTTCTTGCCCTTGTAGACGGTAGCGACCTTCTCGTCCAGAAGCTTGTCGCCGCGCTCGCAGATGTCAACGATCTTAGCGCCCTCGATGCACCATTCTGTGGACGGCGTCAATATCAGGTTGTGGGGTGATCGCCAGGAACAGCGCTAGCACGGCAGCAGAGGGAGCGCACCCGTAACAGTCTCAAGGACGGCCTGCGAGATCTTGGCAGCCTCCTTGTACTTGGTGAGGGTGTCGGGGTTGTTGAGCGTATAGTCTGCGGGCATGTCAACGAGTGCGCAAAGCATTGGAAGCTGCCTGTCTCGAGCTGAGCTGTGCTATGACGTAGAGCGCAACAGCAGCACCAGCGGCAGGCAGCAGCGATTGGAGGCATACCGAGCACAGTGGACTCGGCCATGGTGGGCAGAGGCGAGCAGCGAGGGAGCGGAAGGGTGTAGTAGGTGTGGGATTGCAAGAGAACGGCCAGCAGCGCAGCGAAAGGTGTTTGACGAGAGAGCCCCTCACACGGACCACGAACCATTTCGTCGTCATGGTGGGGTCGCTTAAGTCGGCCCTGTCCCCGCCCCTTCCATCATCCACCCGTCCGCCAGCCATCCGGATTATGTCGCTCTCCCTCTCTCTGCATGCATGCGTGCCTTGCCCAACAGGGCCACCGCGTGGTACGAAAGTCACAGTATTGGTTGACCCCGCCTGCTGTCCTCGCCATTGAGCGACATGGGGTTCTGGGGGTATTTGGGCTGGTCGGGCCCCGGCAGCAGTCAACAGCACCGATTGTCCGTCATGAAGACCCTTTGCGCTGCTCTGCCGCTGCGCATCATCACGCACAACATCCGCTATGCGACCACGAGCCCCTTCGAGGGCGAGGAGCTGTGGCCTGTGAGAGCCCCGCGGCTGCTCAACGAGCTACGCTTCCACACCAGCCACAACCAAGAGGCTTTCGTCGGCCTGCAGGAGGTCCTCCACAACCAGCTAGTCGATATCATGACTGGCTTGGACAGCGGAACCTCCTCCGACGTGAACTGCATCCACGTCGACCCGACCCCGCGTTCCGATGCAGCCGAGTGGGCCTACCTTGGCGTAGGCCGCGACGACGGCAAAGAAGCCGGAGAATACTCGCCCATTCTCTATCGCCCTGCCGTGTGGGACGTGGAAGACTACCAGTACTTTTGGCTCTCCGAGACTCCCGAGGTCCCATCCCTTGGATGGGATGCGAGCAGCATTCGCATCGTCACCATTGGTCGCTTCCGCCACCGCGACAGCAGCAAGCGAGTCCTAATGTTGAACACGCATCTGGATGACGCCGGCTCTGTGTCGAGGCAGAAGTCTGCCGAGTTGATTACCAACTACATCAACGACTACCTCAGCAACTACGCCAATGGAACCACCCTGCCAGTCATACTTACCGGCGACTTCAACAGCGAGCCAACTGGTGAAGCGTACCAGTTCTTCACCAATCCACCTTCCGTGGTTAGAGACATCAGAGACAGCGTCCCAGAGGAGCTGTGGTATGGCAATAATCTCACGTTCACGGGATTCAGTCCGGCAGACGGGCCGTCTAAACGCATTGATTTCATCTTCGCGGGGCCGTGGGAGAACTCGACGTCTGCCGTTGCTGCCTACAAGACATATGCCGTGCTTGCAAACAAGTTCGATGACGGTGTCTATGTAAGTGATCACAGAGCTGTCGTCGGAGATCTCGAGCTATAGTGATGGACAGGATTTGAGCGCGACTTTTACCGGTAGTCTTTGATCCATCGACTGGGCTCTCAGATGTCACAATCTCTCAATTAGCGCTCACGTCAAGATCTGAATAGCATACCAAGGATGCCTGGGACTTGAATTCATCACTTAAACTTTATCTAACCCTGTCATGCTAAGCCTTGAGGCGTTCTCTCGGTGAACAGAGCCCCGTCTTGCAGTCCTGTGTGCACTAAGACAGGCTACGCTCGACACATCCAAGGCTTGGGCTTTTGCTCACATAGGAACACACCAAGTTTCATGGTACCTGGTTACCCCAAGAATGAATTCCTACCTGTGATACTCGCATCTGCAGCCAGATGTCTGCTTCAGCTGCTAATGAAGAAAGGTCGTTTGAAGCTACATCTACGTTGACACACTTGCTTCAACTGCCCACCCAAAGGAAGGATCGCCGTAGTTCAATTTCTGTCCTCACCCACTGTGCAATTACCAAGGGACGGCTTAATAAACATTGTAGTGAAAGTTACAAACTCTTCAGATATTGCTTCGAGGACCTGGTATGATCTGCCTTCACTCTGCTTTCTCTACGCGGCGTATGCTGGAGCTCTGTCCACAAAGACTTGGCTTCGTCCACTAGAGACCGGCTCCGTTCTTAGATGACCTATTCAGCATTGTGTTCAACATGGTACGTTTCCTTGCAAACGGCTAGTGATATTCTTCCAGTGCAGCTGCCCGAAGCCGTCCCAGCAATCTATATCTATCAACTTTCACGATACTCGACCTTTGCTGACACTTTATACCCTTTATGATTCAATCTGCTCCTCATTCGGTAAAGCCCAATAGAAGCACGCATTGACTACCTGCCGAAAACTACTCTTTTTTGCGAGTGAACCAGCTAGCCCGCAGCAAAACAAATGGGATATAGAGCAAAATAGCAAGACAGAAGCAGAATATTCATGGAACACAAACATGAGTACCAGACAGACCGATCTCTATACGTGGCCTGTGATGACTGTAATGCGGCTGAATTCAACGGAACATGTCCGCAATTGACCTCTGCTTTCCCTTGGGGTTCGATTGTGGTGAGTGCATCTCGTCCACTTTCCGCTTCGAAGCCGAGCCTTCACTCTTGAGCATGTCCTTGCTCGAATACAGGCTTGCAGGTAGGTTGTACTCATTCCCAGAATTCAGTTGCAAGTAAGTGTACGCATCCATCTTGTACCAGATTTTTCGCGCGTCGTCTCGGTCAGACACTAGGCCGAGATCCACCAGCGCTAGGAGAACACGGCGGACGTCATGAATGTCAAAACAGTCTCGAGTGTAGATGACGATCACGCCGCAAGGATCGTTTTTGTTGGCACTTTTTGTCGCAACCTTCGCGCAAGGTCCAAGCCGATTTTCAAGTACGGCCAAACAAACTTGCTTCCAGAGTCTCGGTACGTCGTCCCAGTGGGGGAAGAGCAGCCACTACACTGTAGGTTAGCATGAACATGAGACAGGGCTCACGCCCTGGAATGAACGGTAGTGACCTTGCCGCACACGACGTGCGTCTCGCGAGCCAGCTCGGCTATCTGTTGCTTGAGCTTGATTCGATCTTTGAGCAGCCTGCTCGTGACAGCACCCTTTCTCAGGCCTGGGTTGCTCTTCTCAATGCCTTCTCTCTTCTTGCGGTAAGTCTCAAGCAGGCCTTTACCTGCCTCCTCGAATGCGTCACTATTAGGTTTGTCCTTGGATTGAGCCGGCTTGTGGGGATTGTCTACCCAGAACCATTCAATACCGGTTTCCTCAAATACGGTCGTATCCGGTGGGCAGCGCTTCAAAAATTCCGAGACAGTCTCTGACGATTGATACCATTTCGGTTCGCCATCGTTCGGGTAAGCAATCTCGTCCGTCTCTCCGCTTTGCTTGGCACCATTCAGCGTCGAGGAAGGACGCGTGCGAGCACGTGCCTTGGAGGCGATAGTCGACGCGAGGCTTTCGTGAGCGGACCAGTACTCTGACACATTGAGCGAACCGCTGCGCTTCTCCAGAGCGTCGACGGTCTCATCGTCTCCTATGACAAGGCGAATGTTAGAGCACGGTAGGCGAGATGAGGGTCAACTCCAAGCTGCATTACCATAAAAGCTTGACTCATCGGATATCCAGCCTTGGCCCGACACCAATGCCTCCGAGGGTGGCATTTTGACGGCGTGCGGGTTCTTTGGGCTGCATTCCAGCGTCGCTTGGGACACTGTGTTACAGTCGATGGGCCCACGGCCACACAATGGCGGAGACGAGGGAGCTCGCACGGGCCTCTCGCCAGGACGCGCTCGCGTCTTCCTCCGACCGCGTCTTCCTCCGCTGACCACGCGTCAGGCCTCTCGCCTCTTTCCAGCTGCAGTCCAGCACAACACCAAAGAAGCACAGTCCACGATGCCGCACTCAGTCACCCCAAAATCGTCGCAGGAGGAGGATGTCGACCTCCCCGACGCGCCGGCCACCAATCCCACCCAGAGTGCCGATGTGGAAGCTGATAAGAAGGCGTTGGAGGAGATGATGGATGCGGAGGATTCGGACGAAGAGTTCTCGTCGTCGGCAGTACCTCAGGAGACAGTGTAGGCCTCGCCATGAAATACGAGTATAAGCAGTGCTGACGGTCCTGCAGGAAACCTGCACCCTCCGCCGGTTACTCCGACCCAGACATTATGCGCGCTTTCTACCAGCGCTTGTTCCCATTCAGACACCTTTTCCAATGGCTGAATCATTCGCCTTCTCCGTCGACAGACTTCGCCCACCGCGAGTTCGCTTTCACGCTGCAAAACGACGCATACCTTAGATATCAATCCTTCCCGTCCGCAGACCTGTACGATCAGCCACCATACGATATATGCTACAGGAGCAAGCTGACACGCGGCATAGCCTCCGCAAACAATGCGTGCAATTAATCCCTTCACGTTTCGAAATTGGGCCTGTATACTCCACAAATCCGCGAGAACGCAAATCTCTCCGCAATTCGACCGCGTTCAAGCCTGTTTCCAAAGAGCTTGTCTTCGATATCGATATGACAGATTACGACGAGATTAGAACGTGCTGCACTGGTGCTAACATTTGCCATCAGTGCTGGTCGTTCATCACTATGGCAATCAAGGTTGTGGATGTAGCACTCAAGGAAGACTTTGGGTTCAAGCACGTTCTATGGGTGTATTCCGGACGTCGCGGCGCTCACGCGTGGGTGTGCGACAAGCGCGCAAGGGACATGGATGATCAAAAGAGGAGATCGATCGCAGGCTACCTGGAGTTGTTGAAGGGAGGTGACCAGGGTGGAAAGAAAGTCAATGTAAAGAGACCGCTGCACCCGCATCTCGAGTACGCCCCCGCTTGTTACACGCGATTCAGACTGATTCCACTGACACGGGTAACAGGCGAAGTCTCAAAACTTTGCGGGCGCATTTCCAAACAAACATTCTTCTGGAGCAAGACCCTTGGGCATCGCCGGAGAAGTCGGCCCGCCTTCTTTCTCTTATCCCCGACAAGCAGCTTGCGGCGGCCTTACAGAAGAAATGGGACTCGGCGCCATCACGACCTTCGGCTCAGAAGTGGGCTGACATAGACACGCTCGCTTCCTCTGGCGCCTCGAGCACGCTTGACCCGAAAGCGCTCAAGGAAGCCAAGCAGGACATTCTCCTCGAGTACACGTACCCACGGCTCGATGCGGAGGTGTCCAAGAAGTTGAACCATTTGCTGAAATCGCCATTTGTCGTCCATCCCGGCACAGGCCGGGTTTGTGTGCCCATCGACACGCGTAGCGTCGAAGAGTTCGATCCACTCGGCGTGCCCACCGTCACCGAGCTGTTGAGCGAGATCGACGAGTGGAGCCGGGCAAATGCAGGTGCAATGGAAACGGATGATGCGGCAAAGAAAATGCCGGATTGGGAGAAGACGAGACTGCGGCCTTACGTCGAGTTCTTCCGGGGGTTCGTCGCCGGGCTGATAAAGGACGAGAAGGCCGGCAAGAGGCCCCGGGACGAGGCGGACGGCATGGAGTTCTGACGCGATGCGAGGTGCAGATAACCGGCCAGGTTTGATTAATGAGGAGGGGACTGTGCTCATGTGTGTGGGCGGGGGACCTCGCTATTTTGGTTTTTACCGCAGATCCATGGGTCTGAGGACGGCGTCACGGCGTCACGGCGGTACGGCGTCACGGCAACATTGGGACTGGAAAGGCGTCTGCGCACCGGCGATACATACATAGGGTTAAGCTGGTGGATCTTCATGAGAGCAATGATTCAGGCGGCGCAGATGCAAATCGGTGCAAATCAACGGGCGGCCGGGGGCTGGGACATGGTGCCAGACGCAGATGGAGTGCGATTTCTGCTGCAGGCGAGCAAGGCAGGGACCAGAGGAGGTAGTGATAATCAGGTGGTCGGGCTTCCCCATCGAGGCTGCTGAATGCGAAAGCGAGGGTGTTGCGCAATGGCCAATGAGAGCGGCACCCGGCGGGCAAGCCAGCCCTTGACGGCACCGTCATTGCGGATGCCCACGGGGCGTACCGCGGCGCGGGAAAGGCCGCCTGGGATAGCCGTTCGTGCAAAGCGAGTGCGAGTGAAGAAGCGCAATCTGCGGCGTGTGCCCTTTAAAGACGGGCGCTCCCCAAGGCGCCGCAGCGGCCCAGCCGGCGTCCAGGACTCCAGCGCCTCTCCGACCGCCCGACGAGGAGCCCCCAGCAGCAGGACCGGCGCAGAAGGTGAGCGGGCCGCGGCTGTACGTCCGTACTACACAGTACACGGAACTGATGCACTTGCGGGTTTTGCCCGTTGCAGGCAGGGCCGGCAGCCTGCGCGGGTGCCTGGCCGGCGGCGGCCCAGCAGCCCAGCAGACGGCAGCAGCGCGCCTCGATGTCGGTGAGGGTCGGTGAGGGCGGGCGTGAGCAGGGCACGGCGCGCTGCTGGCCGCGGCTATGTAAAGCACGGTGGTGTTGGCCTTTCGCTGTTCTCGGCAGCCGGCCAGGGCCAAGCGTCGAGGATGGGATAACGCAGCAACCTACCGAGCCGACGAATGTGGCCCTGTCATTAGGCGCTCCAACAACAGCGACTCACTTCTCACCCGGCGGAGCAGCGCACCGGCAGCGGGCCGCCTTCCATATCGACGCCGCCGATCCAGCAGCAGCGGCCCAGTGCCCCTCTGACGATTCTCTCGCCCGCGCCCGCAAGCTCAGGCAGCTCAGGCAGCCGGCGCGCGAGCGAAAATGCCTCGCTTAGGTAGGGGAAAAGGGTGGCGGCCGCGGCTGTTCACGGCGCCTTTTGATCTTCGCGTGCCGCGTTGACGGTCTCGAGCAGGGCACAAGAAGAGCCGAAACGGATGTGTGCAGTGCAAGCGGCGCCGCGTAAAGGTGGGTGTTGCTGCCCGTCCCTCGTCTCTCTCCTCCGCCGGCTCCAGCATCGTACGACGCGCTCGAGAGCTCACGCTGATGCCCGCCGTGCCTCCAGTGCGACGAGCAACGGCCCTGCAACCACTGCGCCAGGCACGGCGTCGAGTGCAGTCTCACCCAGCCAGATGCTGCTCCCCCGCTGCCCCACGCCCCGTCGTCGGCCTCCCATGCCTCGGGCGACAGCCCGACCACCTCGGGCACCCAGAGCATAGTCTTCTCCAATGTAAGTCCTCTCGGCTTTGCCCGCCTGTCTGCCCATCGTCCATGCCTGGTTCGCTGCTCTCCGGCCCTGACGGCGCTCGTGGGCCGGGCCTTCTCGCGCCATCGATATCTTCACGAGAGCGCTGTCCTGGCCCGGGAATAACCTACTATTTCCGGCATCCTCTCACACCCGAGCACCTGCGCCGAGGCATTCTTCCGCCTCGCCACGACGGCGGCCAGGCCATCTTGATGCGTGAACAGAGACGGGGAACAGCTAACGCTGTGTAGCCATCTGACCGGGAGCGCCTGAAGTCGATACCATCCAGCAGCAAATCACAATCGTCAGAGTCCAGCAAGAATGATACGCCTGTGCTCACGTGGCCAAGCCAACAGCCACCCTCGGACCAGAATCCGTTCAACATGCTGTCGCGCGCCATTCACGAGCGAGACATCATGGGCCGCTTCACTGACAGCGTCGCAGTCATGGACTGGCAGCGTGACTTGCAGCTGCTCCATCACTTCTCGACGTACACCGCTTTGACCATGTCCGAAATGGACAGCATACGTCGATGCTACCAGGTCGCCTACCCGCGCGTTGGCTACTCGAGCAAGGCCGTCATGCACGGCATCCTGGGCGTGGCTGCCCTGCATCTTGCCCATCTTTACCTGGACCAGCGTGCCAAGTGGCTTGTCATTTCAACCAACCACCAGAATCGGGCCATCAGTGGATTCCGTTTGACATTACCAACAATCACGCCGGAAAACTGTGACGAGCTGTATACCCTGTCCAGCCTGACAGTAATGCTGCGTTGTGCATCGCTGCCGTTCCCGTCAGATCCCCGCCACTCGGATCCAATCGACGACACCTGCGAGGTATTCATGCTCATGCGAGGCGTCAATGAGATCTTGAAAACATCCTACGTCTGGGTCGCCCAAGGGCCCATCTCGGCCATGCTTGTCCCAGAAAGAGTAGGCACCTTCATTCCATTTGAGTCGACGGAATTACTGCCACTGGATGATGTTGGCGTCCAAGATCGTTTCGACACGCTCAAGGCCATCGCGCTGCATGAATCTTTCGACCCCGCCATACGTAGGACACTGTTGCAGTCTGTTGCTTCGCTCAGCAATTGTTTCCGCCAGATCATGATCCAACCCCCCGACCGCGAACCTGGTCTTCTCCTGATTTGGCCCATCCGCGTGTTCCCCGAGTTTATCTTCCTCATCCGTCAGAGACATCCAGCGGCGCTGATATTCCTTGCCCACTGGTGCATTGTCTTCCACAATCACGCCAACTTTTGGTGGCTGGGTGACCGCGGACAGCGCTGCGTGATTGCCATCGCCGAGCAGATAGAACCAGGATGGAGAGACTATCTTCATTGGCCACTGGAATACGTTGACGACGACAGCAATATTGGTAAACCGGGTGTTGTTTGAGGTTGGCGCTTTTCAATGGATCCCCAATCGCCGGTACCGTAACCAAGGGAAAACCTCTTCTCGCTACCATTGTTGACATCCCCGCCACGCCCCACAACCCGCATTCCAGACTGAGTGCTCCGACTCGCGAGGAAAGGGTTGATCAAGGAAAGAGTGAAAAAAGGGAAGGAAAAAAAAGAGGGGGGAGTGGAGGGAGCAAGGCGCCTATCTATAAACAAAACCTGCGGGCTCTTCATGTGGACAACCCGCAGAAGCCCTCCTCACGCCCGACCACAAGGCTTCAACGGAGGGTTTTTTGCGAAGAGACAACAAATGGGGAGGGCGGGTGTCGCACTCGAGTCCAATGGTCCAAGGTGACTTGGGGTCCGCCAGTGCTACTACTAAACTAAGCCAGTGATAGCTTCAGTGGTAGCACCGGCGGATAATTGGAGCTCTGCTGGAATTAATTATGTTGGAAAATGTTGGTCTGCACAATGTGGGTGGGTGTTTGGCACTGAGCAACTGCAGTGGCTTTGGTCCATACGGGATGGCAAGGATAACCATCGAAAGAACAAGGGAATAACTGCACTCCCGGGCAACAAATCTATTCCCTGGGAGGGTGCATCTTGATCCTGATCTCTTGTTTTCTGAGTGCAATATCCTCTAGACAGGGAGCAGTCAGTTTATAGATCCGTGTGCGATCTCTTCCACCATATCACCGTCATCTTCGGCCCGGCAGAGGGGGAGAAAAGATACTATGCAACGATTAAGGTATTGGATTGACATCAAATGGGGGACCCAACCAGACGATCGAAATGACAGGTCAACTCTACCATCATCATCGTTACGAGCTGACTCGATCTTGTTGGATTGCATGTTCACGGTCGATCCTCTACACTTGGTTTCAATTCGTTTTTGGATGGGAAGAACACAATATCGGGGACTCGTCAAGCAACCATGCGGAGTCTATGTCAGACTAGTCTTAAGAGCAGGTCGATGAAGGTGTGACCGCTGCAAAAGAAAAAGAAAAAGAATACAGTTCCGAGTTAGACTTCGATATCATCACTAGCTACTACATGATCTCAATACTCATCAGTCTAGCACCAAAATAGTGCAGCTCTACCTGTCTATTATATAGAAATCGTGGTATCATTGATCTTATACTTTTAACTTCGTGTCTTCTTCGAACAACCCCTGATCTATATCTATATCCAAAAGATGACTGGGTTTCTCAGACTATCACAAACGCATGCGGAAATTCCTTCGATAAATCCTACGGGTATGGCATCAAACAGCAACAAAATCCTGACCTCTCCCGCCCCCCGGTTTTTCACGTTGACGGGAAGTCAACTTCAAGACCCCTTGACCTCAACCTCTGCGGCCTTGCGTAGCCGGTTCATCACGGCAGCCGCCACGTCGCCTTCCGTCTCATCAATGCCCTCGACGAAGATGACGTCCACATTGATCTTGTCCAGCTCGCGCAGCGCCGAGAAGAGACCGCGCGCGATGTCCTTGGTCTCGGCGCCGAGATTGACCTCCCAGATCTCCCGGTCGACGTCGCTTTCTGCTGCGAGCAGCCGTTGCGGCTTGGGTACGGGGCGTACGGTGAGCGTGTCGAGCATTTTCGAGAAGCCGCGGTGCTGGCTCTGGTCCGTGCCGTTCGTGACGGGCGCCGCGCTTTCCCGGCCCTCCTCCGCTTTGCTCTCCTCCCTCTCCTCTTGCGGCTGCTGCTGCTCCGCGTCATCGCCGTTCTGCTGCTGTGCAAGTGGAAGACCGCAGCCTCTCGGCCACTTCTTCGTCCTGATCGTGCCCACCTTTCGGTAGTCCTCTACGGCTTCCTTGCTCGGCAGGCCGGTCCCCGCCTCGAACAGCACCACCCTCGCCTTGGGGGAGTAGTGCCGGTACTTCATGCCAGGGGCCCGCGGCGCTTCCTTCTTCCTCTTCTTCGCCGCCGGCTCCTCGTCCTCGTCGTCGGCAGCACCCCGGCCCTTCTTCTTGCCATCACCGCTGCCGGCACCCCCCATCTCAGCCTTGTCCTGATAGGCCACGCCGACGCGCTCCCAGCCGTCGCAGCGGCGCAGCTCGTCGATGCTCACGCCGCCGGGGCGCAGGATGACGGGGGTGTCGCCGCTGACGCCGTCGACGACGGTGCTCTCGACGCCGACGTCGCAGGGCCCGCCGTCCAGGATGGTGGCGACGCGGCCGCGCAGGTCGTGGGCGACGTGCTCGGCGGCCGTCGGGCTGGGCTTGGTGCTCGCGTTGGCCGAGGGCGCCGCCAGCGGCCGGTCCGCCAGCCGGATCAGCAGCAGCGCGATCAGCGAGCCCGGCATGCGCGCGCCGAAGGTCGAGAGCCCGGCCGTCACCTCGGGCGCGAGGGGCGCCGATGACGAGGGCGCGTTGGGGAGCGGCAGGATCAGGGTGAGCGGGCCCGGCCAGAAGCGGCGGATGAGCGGGTGGTAGATTTTGGGGATTAGGGAGGCGGGGTTCCTCACGTCCTCGTCGTCGGCGGCGGCGGGAGAAGAAGATGACGATGAAGAAGGGCGCAGGATGGAGCCCAGCTGGCGCAACGAGGCGACGTGGACGATCAGCGGGTTGTCGGCTGGGCGCTGCTTGGCCGTGTAGATGCCGCGCACGGCGGCGCTGCTGGTCGCGTCGGCGCCCAGGCCATACACGGTCTCGGTCGGGAAGGCGACGGGGAGGGCGCCATCTTGCAGCTCGGCGGCGGCCTGGCGCAGGCGGGCGATGTCGGGGCCCGACGTGGCCCACGAGATGTCCCAGTCTTCGAGCAGGGCGCCGTCATCGGGGCGGGACAGGGTGATGGTGCCGAGCTTGGAGGCGTCAATGGGCAGGATGCTGGTTTCGCAGGGCATGATCGTGTGCTGGCCGTCCTCGGGGACGGCTGCTGCTGGGGCGCTCATGGGGGCGAGGCGGCGCGCGGCGGGGATTGCGGGGATTCCTCCAGTGCGCAGAGGCGCAGGGCTGCGGATAAGGCGTGCGAGAGGGGTGGGTGTGCCGAGGAAGCAGGCATTGGGAAAGGTGGGCATGTGGTGTTGTGCATCTGGAATTATTTTTTGAGTCAGCCCTGCGGAGTTGCTCTGCCCTCCTCCGCGGTGCAAACTCGGGCCGACTCTTGCCTCAGAAATTCAGACGTCACCCCTACCCTTCGGACGGCTAAACACCGGACGCCGGACGCGATCATCCGGCTCGGACATTGAAGAGTAGGTGTGTCAGCAAGCTGACTCAGCCGACCTTCGTGGGGGGGGACGTCTGAGGGCGTTTCGCAACATTTGTGTGGGAACTCACAGTGCCTGACGCGTCCGACAGCACTTTGCAACGTTAGCACTCAACACCACCGCGTCCGACACCCGTCAGAAGCTAATCACTCGTACAATCGATTCTGACGTTTCATTTAATACCAATTTTATTGTTCTATCACGTTCGGCTGATGCCCTGAATTTCAAACGGCGTTTCGCAGACTTTGTGTGGCAACTCACTCCCATTAGCACCCTCTCTATCTCTATCATCCTTGGGCCAATTCCCTCCAAACCAAGTGCATCCGGTAGCCCGTCCGATACTCTCTACATCCCCATCGCGCAGTACCCGCGCTGGACGCTAGGTCGGGTGGGTTTTCACTTCGCGCGGACACCCTTTGCTATACGGTCGGATGCAGGCAATAATATTATTGGACGCTACAATACGCGCCATCCGCCGGATCGGGCCCGGACGCTTCAGCGTGTTCTGAGCTTCAGAGGCAAGGCCGACTCACACGTCATGGATGGCCAAGCTTACTTATGTATGCATAGCACACTCGCCTCTCGTCACTCGTGATACTTGTAAAACAAACGGCGGGGTTGACCACATATCTTCCACCAGAGGCTTGTTCAAATATCGGTGCTTGGTGCCGAGGCTGAAACAATCGACCTGCAATGCATTTATGCATGTGAGCTGCAAGGTTGAAGGACTGATTATTTGCTAGCAGTCATGAAATCGAAACTACATTCAAACACATCTAACAAGCATGCGACCCCTAACGCCAGGACCGAGCAGCGTCAGCCAGGTATCACGACATGAAAAAGAAAAACCCGAGGTTTCAGCGCCGAATCCATCCCGTACAACGGGCGACTACTCTGCTGCCAGCCTGCCCTCCTCCTTCTTCGTCTCCTTCTCTGCCGGCATTTCTCCGTTTTGCCGGACCTCCTGGTACAACCCCTCATTCCGGTGACGAGCTTCAGCGTCGCCAACAGAGCAATACGTTTTGGGGCATGAGAACGGAGACACGGTTGCCTCTGCTGCTCTCGCCGTTGACGTCGGCGCCAAGAGCGGCATTTTCCCTTCCGATGTCGTCGCCGCAACGCTCGCGCATCGGCGAACTCCGAATCGGCTTACATTGCGGCGACGTTGCGGCATCTGCCTCAGTAGTGGTGACGGCGGATGACTGCCGACCAACTTTAGTTGCCGTCTCTTCGGCTGCAGGTGAGCACTCACCCTTTGGAGAATATGGAAACGTAGACCTGGGCGACGTCGATGAAGAGGGCGGGGACGCCGCGTCGGCCGCTAGCGACAGAGGCGCGACGTCGTCGTCTTCGTCGTCGTGCGATGAAACCCTCCTCTTGTGCTCAAGCTCGTCGTGCGCCCTGCGCATGCAGCCGGGGCATTTGCGCGGGAGGTGCTCAAAGCGGGTGTGGATTTGACCGCAGTCGCCCTCGTCGTCGGCGTAGCAGAACTCAATGATGTGGTCGGGCTTGGTGTGGCCGCAGCTGTAGACGGTGGTTGGGGAGGTGCACATCTTGTTGTAGAGTGCTTCGTCGATGTTTGGTGAATGCCGTTGAGATTCGCGAGGGGGAGCTGGTACTTATACCAAGGCGCAGCAGCAATCAAGAAAGGCAAGGGAGGGCGCGAGAGATGTCGGTGGAGCGGAGTATTCAAGAAACGGTTATGCAATTTAACTGGTTGCAAGAGCAAGTGCCACCCGGGGTCCTAGTCGACGTGGTGTCGTATGATGGGAGCGGCCATGAGTTATGTTTGGTGCCCGCCTGCTAGACCCGTTGCACTGCGTCACCACCACGGCCGCTACATGTCACAGCAAGGCAACGTGCATGATTGTGGAGGGGCTTTTCGATAGATTGAAGCTGGTCGGGGTGGGGATTGGGTATACATACTCTCGGCGCCACGTCAGGTGCTTTTGGCGTGTTTGGTCCTGCCTCACGCCAGCTCGCGTTAAGCGCCCCCGCCTCGCCCTATCCCTTTCTCCTCCTATAGAGAGAAGTCATATGCCTTGAAGGCTGCCTTGAACGCCTCCGCGTCGCCTACTTCCTCCTCGTGCGTCTGTGCGCACTCCCGCCAGCCGATCCTGTTGTCCAATCCCAGCAACTTGGCCACCACCCGTCGGCCGAACTGCAGATCGAATCGGTACGACGCATCAAGCGGTAGGACAAGACTTGTTTCCGTGCCGTCCGAGTCATCATTGGTGGGGCGCCACATCTTCAGACGGAAGAAGTCGTTGCCCTCCTCAAATCCGTCTCCTACATCTTTTTTCTCAAGTTTGGGGTACCCTTCATTCTGTGCCTGAACCTTGAATGCAGCCTCCACCAATCCGCGCTCGATCAGATCCACGGGCATGGGGAGAAACTGCCAGTGCGTATGCACTCCACCCAGCCTGCTGACCTCCCACGTAACGGCACCCAGTTTGGAGTCGCTGGTTTCCGCCACCATCTTCTGCAACGCATTGCGGTAGCGTTCCATCTCGTCGAATGTGCTTTTGCGGCTTTCTGCATCTTCTATGGCACCAAGCGTGGGTGAGTGGGACAACGGAATGATGAGAACGTGGCAAGGCAGGTTCAGTCCGGGGGCGTATGTAGTCGCGGTTGTCAGTGGGCCCTTTGGTATGGTGAGGTATACATCGTTGCCGATGGATGTGATTAGGTGAGTAGCGATGGTCGAGTTCGACAGGCAGAAAAAGCACTCGCTTTGCGACGGTGGCCCTGCGCGCTGACGTTTGTTCCCGCGCTTGCGATTACCGTCGTCGGTGGAAAAGCGGAAGTTGGATTCCTGGCTGGGCTTGGACCTCTTCTTGCCAACAAAGGAGAGGGGCGATGCCGTTGTACCAGAAGGGATGCTCACCGGAGGCGCTGCTGCGGGGTCGATGGAGAAAGCATAGATCCACTTGGCCTTGTTGGGGTTGCCGTATGAGGCGAGGCTGATGAAGCGAGTAATACGATAGCCATCCCCAGCGTCTTCAGTGGGCGCATGGAAGAATGGCTCGCGTTCGTAGAAGGCGGGCGGAGTGGTGGAGAAATGATAGCGCGGCTTGACAGCAGTGCAAAGATCGGCTATGCACTGTTGTTGGAACGGCTTGTCCGCAGCGAACTCGACCTTGGAGCCAGTCTGGACGCCGGCCGGCCATTCGCTCGTGACAAGGATATCGGCGGTGTTGGCGCCTTTCAGAGCGCGGGCATCGTCTTCTCCATAGTAGGGCGGGTACTTGTCCTTGGAGACGCCTGCGGCAACGTTGGGATCCAATGACCCGCCCAGGGCAACAATGCGGATTCCTTCCGAGGTCTTCAGGGTGCTGCGCTTGCCGAGAAAGTAGAGGTTCGAGCATAGCTCACCGCCAGAGCTGTCGAGCTTCTCGATGACCTTTTCGGGCAGCGAGCTGGAGCCAAGAGCGAAGTAAATGGGCAGCGGGAGATCGATGTTCCCGGCAATGAGGTCGGTTTCATTCTTCGCATCATCGGGAGTGGCGACCTGCGGATCGGCGAAGAGATTGCCGACCACAATAGCAAATGCGAAGTTGTTTTTGGCGTGCAGCCCAGCAATCTTCTTGAAGACGTCTGGAAACTGGCCATCAACGCCGCCAATGACTACGCTGTTCCCGTCAGAGATGGCCACATGCAGGCTCCGAGTGAGGCGATGCAGAGCAAGTCGCGCAAGAAGGAATGCGAAGCAAACGGGGCGTGTACATCAAGGTGAAGTAGAATTCGGGCTTACATTTTCGAGGCCATGATGGCAGGAGCCGAGCGGCTTTTTTCACGTAGGCGCAAAGGAGGCCTGGCGGATTGCGGATCAAGCTTCAGCTGTCGTGTTTCATGCTGTGGCTGCCAAAGGCTAGCGGAACAACAATGCGCGATGATGCAGAAGCTTGGTTGGAGGTGAAGGCGGCGACGCGACACGGCTGGAAGAGGCAAAGCGCAGACGCCGGCAGAGCTGGGCTTGGCGCTGTGGGTTCGGCAGCGCGCGCGCACGGGCCGGGCGGTGAGCGGGCGGCGGCGACAGCTGCAATGCCCCGGCATAACTTTTTTGACGCCGCGACGCCTTCCACTCTCTGCCGCTGCTTGCCCGCCCGCCCATCGCACCTTGGAGTCCTGCGCAACCATGGCCGTCGTGTCGCAGGCCAAGCGCACCAGGACCGACAAGGCCTTCCGGCCCAAGAAAGGCGGCACCGAGTCGTCCCGCAAGCACCACTTCGAGTCCTTTTCGCACCGCGTTGCGAAGCTTAATATCGATCCCATCCGCCGAACCACGCGCCGCGCCGACGACGACGACGACCTCTCCGCTTCCTCCTCCTACCTCAAGACCTCCTTCGACGAATGGAAGGACCTCAACCTCTCCGAATCCTTCCATGCCTTCTCCCGCGAACTCGACCCGCTCTGCGAGTCGCTCCCGCAGATTCTCCACCATGCCGACCGCATCATGGATCTGCTCGTCTGCTACATCGAGAAGAGGGACGCCCTGTCGCTGGAGCCCTTGCTGAGCTTGGTGTCGCATTTTGCCCACGACCTGGGCGTGAGGTTCGAGAAGTACTTTGCTCGCACCGTGCGCACCGTGTGCCAGGTTGCTGCAAAGCATCCCGACATTGAGGTCATTGAGTGGAGCTTTACCTGCTTGGCTTGGCTTTTCAAGTACCTCTCGCGCCTTCTCGTGCCTGACTTGCGGCCCCTGTACGATCTCATGGCTCCGTTGCTCGGCAAGGAACACCAGAAGGGTTTCGTTTCCCGCTTCGCCGCTGAAGCCATGAGCTTCTTAGTCAGGAAGGCTGCCGCTTCATACCACAGGGACAAGGAACCCTTGCAAACCATTGTCTCTCATGCGTTGGCCGATCTTGCCGAGTTGGCCCAGCGAACCGATGCCTCTCAGTACCAGCGGGGTTTGATGACCCTTTTCGTCGAGTCTGTAAAAGGTCTCCAGAACGGGCTTCACTCCAGTGCGGAAGCGTTGTTTAGGGTACTACTCGCGCAGGCGTTAGCCTCTCCCAAAGACGACGAATCTCTTGTGCCAGAGGAGCGGCCGGCGATGGATGTCCTCCAAGGCGTGCTTACAGCTACCATACACTACACAAACTCGGAGACTTTTAGACCGGTTCTACAAATAGTCCTAGAACAAATAGACGCCGCCGACCCAAGCAAGGATACCCAGTGGCTGGAAAATGCCGCACGTCTTTTGTTCACTGTGGTTGGCGTCAGGAAAGGGACCAGGATTGCCGATTGGACCCGTGTCATGCGCACAACATCACAAGTAGTGGCATCTGCGGAGACCACAATAACTACCGCGAAGTCTGCCGTTGTTTCTGACGTCCTGGCCGCCGTGGCCGTGACCCTGCAACTCTGCCCGATGGACATCGTCATCCCGCACTTACGGATCCTGGATACTATTTCGAGCGGCCCTTGGCAACAGTCTTTCCTCTATTTCTGCAATTTCTTTTCCGAGCTTGGAATGGAGAGATTTCAGAGCATTCTTCTTCCACATTTCAAAAGGTGAGACTATTTCCCCTAAAAGTTCAACTCACACGTGTGATGCTGATGCATCATAGATATGTCGTCTCGAGATGGAACCAAGAAAAGCAAGGCATTGCTCTATTGCTTCCGCGGCTTGCCAGTCAAGGCTGTTTCAGGAATTCCCCTCTTACATGCCCTCCCGCATGGCAGGAGAGCATAATCGACTCGTTCAAGGAACTATCGAGCGTAACTCCCGTACAGGCCGTTATCGAGAGTGATGCGGCTTTGTGCAATGCTTATCTGGATGTTGTTCGCCTGTCATCGGTTGAGTCACAGACTGAATCAGAGATATACAAGCGTCTTTACGACCTTCTTTCTGGATCCTTGGACGCAACCTCGAGTGAGCTCACACCTGACGTCAAGTTCGGTGTGGGCGCCGGCTTCAAGTATGTCGCAGAAAACCAGAACAAGAAGTCAGAAGACAAGGCGTTGTGGGTTTCGTTATGCTCGGCGTCTGCAATCCTCAGCCGGTATCCGAAGTTCGCCGAAGCAATCTTGCAATATCTCAAGGTCCACGCCAATGGCCTTGACATGTCTGGGGATCATGTCGAAACTCTCGTCAACGCGGCCATCGACTGTCTTGGCTCGCCCTCGCATGATCTCCGTGCCTCGAGTCTAGAAATCCTGCAGCTCATCCACGCTCTCAAGCATGACGGGACGGAATCCGACCTCCTTTCCACCGCGATACTGATCGAGAGCACTCCTGTTAATATGCAAACTGCACGAACGGTGTCTATGAACATTCGTCGCCTCGCTGCGGGTTACAAGCATGTGGTTGATGACTCCTGGGTTGCTCGTGCCATTCCTACCTTTTGCTTCGGTCTTCTCTACGTTAACTTCACCCAGGTCTGGGAGGATTCGTGCAGCGCTTTGAAGGAGATGTGCGAGACGAAAGTGGGCGAGACGGTCGCATCGGAACTGGCTTTCAAATGGCTTGAGGCTGTGCCTAGCGAGGAGCCGTCAACACCTGCATCTTCTGCGCAAGAAAACAACCCGTTTGCGGTAAATGAGTTCGAGTGCACTAACATCATGCATCTGTCAAATCTCGCGAGACAAGCCTCTGAGTTTCTGAACGATGCGCCACATCATCTTATCCAGCACTTCAATAACGAACACCAAAAAGTCGCGTTCATCACAGCCCAAAGCCGGCCGCAAGCCTTGAAGGTCCTCAACACCATCCCTCAGGTTGCTGAGAAGAAATCGCGGTCGCTCGTCCCTACGCTTCTCCAATGGGCTACCGGTAGTTCAGTTATCAACGAGCCACTTCCAGATGGCGGTAACGACCCGGCGGACAACGAAGGAAACGACCAGCTCAGGTGGTCTCGGAAAGACCAAAAGGCAATGCTCGGCCTCTTCACGAAGTTCACGAACCCGAAGGTCCTTTACAGAGCTGCAGATGTGTACTCTGCTCTGTTGGCCCTGCTTGAGAACGGAGACGTGGAGATTCAGAAGTCGGCTCTGAAAGCAATCCTCACCTGGAAGAATCGCAGTATCAACCGTTACGAAGAAAACCTGGTGAATATCTTGGATGACGCGAGGTTCAGAGAGCAGATTTCGGTCTTCCTGGATCTGGGCCAGGACGATGAGTCCATGAAGGACGAGGATCGTTCTGAGGTCATGCCAGTCATTCTGCGTTTGCTGTATGGCAAGGTTGTTGCACGCGCCGGTTCCAGCAGCGGAAAGCGGGGTCAAGAATCGAGGCGAAAGGCGGTATTCATCGCGCTGTCCAAGTTTGGAGACGACGAAATTCGCCATTTCCTCGACATTGCGCTTGGCCATCTCTCCCATGTGACCCTGATCGACAACGGCAAGTTACGGGAAGAACCAATCAACTCGAGATTGATGGAGGCGCGGAAGCAGTTTGGTCTTCTGAACATGCTAGAAGACATGCTTGACTCGCTTGGCACACAGATGGGCCCTTTCGCTGGACAACTCATTGACCCGGTTCTGTACTGTCTGGTCGCTTCCTCTAGGGAGTCAGGCAAACTGTCACAGGGAGATCAGAAAGAAGCGTCTGGAATGTCACTCGTGAACTCTATTCGACAAGTTGGATTCCACTGCTTGAATGGCCTATTCACTCACTGTGCAGAGTTTGAGAAGTGGGCGGGATACATTCCGGTCATTCTTCAGGAGCTCATCGAACCGAGGTTGGAGAAGTTGCCGGTCGAAACGGCGCAATCGGTGTCGGGCATGCTTCGACTATTCTCGGCATGGAGCAAGTTCCCCCAAACCGCACCCTTCCTAGTGAAGTACAACGACACTCTCCTAGACAAAGTCGTCGACTGTCTTGATGTCAGTTTCGCCAAGGAGCAAGTCAAGCTTTTCGTATTGCGGGACATTCTCTTGAATGTCATCACCCTTGCCGAAGCGGATTCCATGGATGTCGATGAGCCGTCGGAAAGCAGCCCGGTATTCGTACGGGATCACATACTCAGGCCGAAGTCCGCTCATATTCTGAGTGTGATTGGTCGCCAACTCCAAGGCAGTCCTAGCAAGGAGCTTCTCGACACGGGCGTATCAACTGTTTCACGCCTTGCTCCTTTCGTTGCTGGATCTGTCGAATCCGAGTCTATGATTCGTATTTCCATCTTCCTTTTGCAGCAACCGACAAGGAGGGTCAGCCCGAGGACGAAGGGCGATCTCCTCAGCATCTTGCATAGCTTCATTCCGCAGTGCGCGTTGAGTTCCGACGCCGAGTTGACCCAGGACATCTACCGGACCGTCTGTTCGCTTTTCAGCTACTTCCAAGATCGGAGGAGCCGCAGCTTGCTTTGCAACATTCTGACTGATCTGGCACAAACCGATCCATCCCTTTCCGAGGTCTCCGCTCTCGCCACTGATCTTAATTCCTTTTCCGAAAGTAGATTGGACGAGCCTGATTTCGATAGACGGTCCAAGGCTTACTACAAGATCAATGAAGAGCGGTACCAAGCTTTCCTGGTCAAACAGTGGCAGCCGTTGGTCTACAACATGCTGTTCTACATCAAAGAGCAGGAAGAACTCATGCTTCGAATCAACGCCTCCTATGCCCTGAGGAGATTTGTCGAAGCTGCTACACGAGATGGAAACAAGGAACAAGAAGACTTCCAACAGCTCATTACAACGGCCATCATTCCAGGCATCCAAAATGGTGTTCGAGATAAGTCTGAGCTCGTGCGGGTCGAATACCTTTCCGTTCTAGCCCACATCGTCAAGTCTTTCCCCAATTGGTCCGTTGTCAGCGACATGCATGTCTTGCTTGTTGGCGACGATGACGAAGCATCCGTCTTCAGCAACATCTTGCACATTCAGCAGCATCGCCGCCTCCGTGCTCTACGCCGACTAGCAAGCGAGGCAAGCAAAATCTCGAGTGCCAACATCAGCCACATTCTCATCCCTCTCGTCGAGCACTTCATATTTGACAGGGATGAAGATGACAGCAGCGCCGCCAATCTTGCTGGCGAAACAACTAGAGCCATTGGTTCCCTGGCGCTCTGGCTGGAATGGCCTCAGTACCGGGCTCTGTTGCGCAGATACAGCCAAGGCGAAATGGACAAGACAGCCATCAAGCTCCTTGGCGTCTTCATCGATAGCTTGAGTAAAGCAGCTGAAGTGAAAGGCCTGGTGGCTGCTCCCCGGACTCAGAGCTCTGCTGACGCAGTCGACCAAGAGATGGTTGATGCTGATGGTCCAGAAGAAGCGGCCGCAGAGAAACTCAAATCGGTCGGCCTCGCACGGACAATGCCCAGCAAGGAGAAGCTGTCAACAGACCTGACGAACAACTTGCTCCCACCGCTGATTGCGTACATCCACCACAAGGACGAGTCCACCGTCAGCTTGCGTGTGCCTGTCGCTGTCATTGTCGTGAAGCTCCTGCGTCTTCTACCCCCAACGGAGTTTGTGGACCGCTTGCCAGCGGTTCTAATGGACATATGCGCCATTCTGCGCAGTAGAGACCAACAAGCTCGCGATATGACCAGGAATACCTTGGCAGAGATCTCGGCGCTCATTGGGCCCGAGTACTTTGGATTCCTGCTCAAGGCTCTTCGCACTGCTCTTCAGCGTGGGTACCAGCTCCACGTTTTGTCCTTCACTGTACACTCGATCCTCATTGCCATGACGCCGACGTTCAAGCCCGGTGAGCTTGATTACTGCCTGAACGACATCGTCTCCGTTGTCATGGATGATATTTTCGGCGTGACTGGCCAGGAAAAGGACGCTGAGGAGTACATCAGCAAGATGAAAGAAGTCAAGAGCAGCAAGAGCTTTGATTCCATGGAGCACATTGCTAAGACCACGACAATTAAGCACTTCATTGACCTCGTCAACCCAGTCCAGTCGCTACTGCTGGAGAGACTGGATATCAAGATGGTCAAGAAGATCGACGAGCTGCTTCGTCGCATGGGTCTTGGCATCATGCACAATGAAGCCATCCATGACCGCGAGGTCTTGATATTTTGCTACCAGCTGATTCAGGCCGTGTACAAGAGCAACGCTGACCAGACAAGGAACAAGGATGAGGACGATTACCGCATCCGCCGTTATTTGATCAACATGAAGGCGGCCAACAAGAATCCAAACAGGGGAGCTACCACCTCGCACAGCCACAAGCTCATCCGCTTCTCCATGGATGTCATGCGTTTCGTTCTTTCAAAACACGAGGAGCTCAAGACACCATCGAATCTGGCTGGGTTCATGCCCATCATCGGTGATGCGGTCGTTTCTGGCCAGGAGGAGATACAGATGTCGGCAGTCAGGTTGCTGAGCTCCATCATCAAGGTTCCGTTGGAGCAAATCGACAAGGATGCCCCGGTCTATGTTTCCGAAGCTGTTCGCATCATCCGGGGCGAGAAGGACACCAACACGGAGCTCGCTCAAGCGTGTCTCAAGCTCATCTCAGCCGTTCTGCGTGAGCGTCGCAACTCGTCAATCAAGGAAAAGGACATCGCTTACCTGCTGAAGAGGATCAAGGACGACTTGACCGAGCCGGACCGGCAAGGTGTAACGTTCAATTTCCTCAAGGCCGTTCTGGGACGCAAGATCGTCATCACCGAGGTGTATGAGATTCTCGACACGGTTGCCTCCGTCATGGTCACCAACCAGACCCGAATGGCCCGTGACTTGTCGCGCGGAGTATACTTCCAGTTCCTGATGGATTACCCACAAAGCAAGGAACGTCTGTCCAAGCAGATTGCCTTCCTGGTCAAGAACTTGGACTACAAGTACAAGGAAGGTCGACAGTCTGTCATGGAGGCGACGAATCTTCTCCTCAGTAAAGTCGCCGATGAAGTTGTCCAAGAGATCGCAGACAATGTGTTCGCGCCGCTCGTTCTTCGTCTAGTCAACGATGAGGACAAGGAATGCAGGGAGATGGCCGGTCTCTTGTTGAAGAAGGTCTTTGAGAGAGCCGACGCTGAGCGCACCAAGAAGTTTGTCAATATCATGAAGGCGTGGCTTGAGCAAGACGACCAGACGTTGAAGCGCCGCCTCGCCATTCAATGCTTCACCCTGTATTTCGAGGTCAAGGACGGACAAACCAAGGAGACCAAATACGTCTTGCGCCGGGTTCCCGAAATGATTGCCGAGGCACGCGAGCGGCAGGAAGAGGGCGATTGGGAGTTGATCTACTACTCTTTGCAGGCGTTCGCAAAGCTGTGCAAACTCTCCCCCGCCACGACCTTCGCTGTCGGCTCGCAGTCGATCTGGACGACGGTCCGCGGCTGCCTCACGTACCCACATGCATGGGTCAAGCTCTCAGCCGCGCGCCTCATCGGCCTTTACTTTGCCGATTTTGCCAGCCACAACGCAGCTGACGGATACGCCGGGGTTCCGCTTACCGGTTCGGGTGGTCTGCAGCTGGCCGCTGACGACATGCTCGACCTGACGAGCGCCAGCTTGCGCATTCTGCGCGTTCCCGGCGTCAGTGAGGAGCTCGCGACCCAGGCAGTGCGCAACCTCGTCTTCCTCGGCCGCTGCTTCGGCGTCAACGGGCTCGAGTGGAAGGCTCGCAGCCCGGCCGAGGAGGGCGCGCTCAAGGAAGCTGCCGAGGAAGATGAGTTGTCGTCAGAGGAAGCCGAGGACGACGCCGCCGCAGCAGCAGCCGATGAGGAGGCCGCCGTGCCTGATAAGCAGCCAACCAGCACCCCGGCCCGGATCACCGCCTTGCATTATCTCATCACGCGGCTCGCCCTCATCCTCCGCCGCGAGCCGGCGACCACGCGCGCGCCCGCGCTCTTCCCGAAGACGGCGGCGATGACACTGCTGGCGGCGCTGTGCAACGCGCTGCCCGCGGCCGCCCTCGAGCCCTCGCTGGCGACGATGCTCCTGCCCCTGCACAACCTGACGGACCCGTCCATGCCGCCGCTGCAGAGCGCGACGGACGAGGACTTCAACGCGGCGCAGACGGCGCTGGGCAACGCGGCGACGGAGGTCATGGGCCTGCTGCAGAAGAAGCTGGGCACGAGCGAGTACGTGCGGGCCATGGGCAAGGTGCGCGAGGGGGTCAAGGAGAGACGGGAGGGGCGGAGGGTCAAGCGCGCGCTGGAGCGCGTGGCGGAGCCCGAGCGGGCGGAGAGGGCGAAGAGGAGGAAGAGGGAGAGGGGCAAGGAGAGGAGGAAGGAGAAGGGCCATGAGGCGAGGGGGAAAAGGAGGGGTTGGTGAGCGAGGGGGAGATACCGGAATCGTCCGAGTCGTGGTGATGGCGACACATGGGGTGTGCAATTGGGGAGGGGGAGCATGTGAAGATGTGTGGCTGTGTGGCTGTGGGAGGAGGATATTTGTGGTGATGATGTTCGGCATGGATTGGCGTTTTTCGGCGAAGAGCCATCGATAGGCTGGGAGTCTCCACCGACGCGGGAAAGAAAAGTGAGCCTTTTGAGCATGTGATTATATCATTTCCTAGATCATGGTAATTTGAGGGTTTCAGTATTGAGCAAAGTGTGCGGTCAGGCAAACGACTCTTTTAATTGCGGTCTTCGCTACTAACGTATAGACAACTGGGGGGGGGGGGGGGGGGG